CTTGATCTCTCCGCTTTTGAAGATGGGTCGGTTAGTCATGCGTATGCGGGATTCGTGCTGTTTATGATGCCGCAAGCACGCATTGCGATGAAGGAAATCCATCGCGTTCTTACAAATCAGAATGGCGGTGGTGTGTTTGCAGTCAGCTCGTGGATGGGCAGCGAATGGATAGATCTCATGGTATTTCCAAGCAAGGTTCGACCAGACAAAATAATGCCGCAAATGCCTAAGACGTGGACAACAATCGAAGGGGTGCGAGGCGAGCTTGAGGCCACGGGCTTTCGAGACATTGAGGTTCATACTGTGGACACCTATATGCCATTCGACGACTATGAGAAGTTCGTACATGGCCTCCTCACGCAGTTTCCGGTTATGGCTAGGATGACAAGTGACATGACTGAACAGGAGCTTGCACAAACGCGCCACTTGATGGTTGAGTATATCAAGGCAAAGTACCCGCAGGTTCCAGCACGCTTGAAGGGGGCTGCAATTGTTGGAATGGGAAGGAAATGAAGAGGTGGACTTCCAATTTTCTGCGATGGTTGAAAAGAGAAGTAGCTACGAATGGGTACAGAAACGTCTTTCAGATATGTGTTACCATATGACGTGAAATCACGAGGACCAGAGCGGGTTTACCCGGGCAGCACCCGGGTTTAGGCTCGCTGGATACCACGTAGTTAAGATCTAACGGGTTGGGTAGGATACCGGATAAACCCGTAGGTTTCCTGAATAACCTGGTTTTTTATGCTTTACTTATATAAACATGCTTAAATATGCCTAAAGTCACAAAACCCTAAAATTAATCAATTTGCTGCTCCATTGCCCAAACCCATAATCTGTGAGTAAATCGTAGCAGAGCTAGTCTCTATTATAAAAACGTAAATTTGAAAAACTTCCTTATTGTGCTCAATAGGTGTTTACTGATACGAGATGGAAAGCAAGAACAGAGTAGTAGTTCTAAGTTGGCAGCTCGTCGTATGACGATGTAACAAGTTTGTTCGTGCGCTGATCTCTCCTTCGTTCCTTCCTCGCTTGAGAAAAGGGGGGCTATGTCACGTGCAAAGCATAAACCTCCAAAAGCATGGAGAGATGACGATGGACACCTACCGACCGTCGCCAAATCCATCGCCGTCTTCCCACCCTCCTAGCCGCATCTATATTCACCAGGTACTCAGTCAGCAAGCCCACCGGCGCGAGATGGTATGACAAAGTATTTCTGAAATTCGCCGCCCTAGTCATTCATCCGCCATCTGTTCACCATCTTCGTCCTTGTCGTTTCCCAAGGAAAACTTCTGGTGCATCTAATTGTATCTGTGGTGGGAGTTGCTGAACCGTTGGTCGTTGGTGGTGTATTTTGTCGTTGTTATATGTATATAAAATGGTAAAAAGCGTTCAGCATATCAATTTCAATGTTGGTCAAAATCTGCTGGAGAGGTTTGATATTATTTGTGAGGGACGTGGCTGGACAGAGTTTTGATGGAGCGTGCACTCGTGGAACCACTCTTGGAACCGACCAAGCAACTAGGTGCCAGGTTAAGGCCAATGCTGGTACCGGCGTGAAAGATAGACCGATCTTCTAATTGAGGCTCTTTTGTGTCCAACTACTTGTAGCCCATGACTTGTTCAGCGATGGCGAATTCAGCTCATTCTCCTTGTATGAGTGGGTGACTGCGGGATAAGATATTCAGTAAATTGCATCCGATAATATGATTGGTACTTACAACACCTTATGCTTCCAAATATTTCTCTTCTTGGCACATATACCGTGTCCTATACCACCAATGAGCAGCCTTGATACCGGAGTGACAAGTATGAGCAAATAATTGGGGAGCTACTGCTTTTATATAAATATTTGCGTGACTAGCTCTGAATAAAGTTTGAGCTTAATGCATCTCATGCTCCCTGGACAGGACTTGTCAATTTGAATCCCACGTCATATATCAAAGAAAATGGTAAACCTTGGGGAGCTAGCCCGAAAATAAAATGAAATTTTCTTGGGCTTGGACGCGTTGAATGGGACCTATGTCCTCGGTAGCCTCGAGAGACTCCGAAATCTGATCATCCTACCACTACAAGACTGCCTTAGTGCGTTGTATTTTGAGGATGTGGTACTAGAAAGCGCGCGAGGAGAAGCTTTCCCACACAGCTATGACCTATAGTAGACGATGCTCGCGCCTGGGGGAGTAACGAGTGCGGAGTATCGCACCCACAATATCTTCCAGCAACCGCTCCTGCTCCAGCTGCTCTAGCGTTGACATGGTACCATGGTTCAATGAGCAAGTATATGGAGTAGCTTGAGTCACCTACACATTCAAAAAGGCCATCCGCACATATAAATTAATCCTCAATTCTCTTTCGTGGGGATTTTCTTTCTCCCTTCCAGACATTTCCCACTTTCCATTATTCCATCTGAACTTCACTTAGCCCACATTACTTCATATTTCAACTCACCTCTTCAAATTCTCAATCACCACTCGGCAGGATGACTTGTTCCGCACCTTCTTTCGTGGTGGTCGATCAGCAATATATGGCCTACCAACGCAGCATGCAACAACCCCATCTTTACCAGCCACAGTGGATTTTCGGAACGCAGCAACAAACCTTTTACCAGCAAGCATGCAACATCTACTACCAGCAACAGCAACGAACATATCAACAACAACTTTATGAACAACAGATATACGGACAACAACAACAATTTCATCAACCAACACAGTCTTCTCCGCGGCCAGAATTTGTTCGAAGACAGTCATCATCATCACCGGAGCGGAGTGTTATTCAGACACCACTTTCAGAGGAGAATGCTGCAATCGGCTGTATCGTCTTCCTTCGACCGAAGGATGACGACTCGACAGGTATCGAGTGCATCAAACCAGATGGCATAGATATGAAGAACCAAAGGATCTTCAACCACCCAGCTGTCATCCTTCAGATGTGGAAAGAATCTCCAAACGAGGAGACCATGGCTTTGTGCTGGTACGTAAACCATTCCCACTCGAGAAAGATTTACTAATACGATGGATAGTGTGATCTCATCTAATCCTCAACCAAATGAGGCCCATACTTCAGCCTTGCCAATCTCAACCTTTTCAGAGACTAAGACGGCAAAGTCGACCAATGGCACCATGTTCCTCGAAAACGAAGGGGCAATGGCCAAACAGTGTTTCGTCCTCAACAGTCACGTCTATATCATTCCTCTTTCTAAACTTCGACCTTTCAGTGTGCATAACCCCTTCGGCACCCGACTGTCAAAAGAGAGTTACTGTTATTTGATGCGGTCATTCGGCGGGCCAGCAGGGAAATGGATCGAAACTTCCAAGCTGAAGGCTGGAGAACAAGATCCTTCGTCCACAAAAGTACTATCAACTACACCAACCACACCAGCGAAATAAATTCATTCTCGAGAAAGCCATGAATAATAATAATAATAATCCGTAAGTGACTGAAATATGAATTTGACAGTAAACCACTAATTTCAAGCAGTCAAACACCACAACAACAGCAATTATTCAGCCGGAACTAGATTAGACCTGGGAGTCTATCTTGCAAAATTTATTCACACAACAACTACTAACTCCACCAACCACGCCAATGAACCCAATTTATTCTCGAGAATGACAATAATCAGTTAGTGACCGAAATATGAACTTAAAAACAAAACGCTAATTCCAAGCAGTCAAACCCCACAACAACACACGCAATAACGATAATTATTGAGCCGCGGATTTCAACTTGGACAACGATCATGACGACAGAATGACTTGAAACATGACCATACCTGTGAGAGACCCTCACCAGGTGGCCTACTTCTAGCGGCCTAAATTCGACGAAACAAGTAAGTTTGGCTCACACTTCAAAGAATCCCAAACGTAATTGCTAACATTGATCAGATCGCGAAAATATGCGAGAGAGAAGCAAAAGACCATGATCAAAACGGGGGATATCGGGACGACAATACAACATCTTACGGAAAAGGAGGAGATGGTAAAGTATGAGCTGTTGGCGGACGGAAACATTTTGTAAGTCAATCCCCTGTCCTTGTGATCAGATAATGATCACTTGAATAGGGAATTGGGGTGCAGAGTCTTTCCAGCCGCCAAGGTAGTTAGGGAGGAAGATCGGGTGAGTACTAACGGAACAGTGGGAGGACAAGGTAGAAAATCTAATTTCGACAACAACAATTCAACAACAACTTCAACACATTCAACTTCGACAGATCAACGACAACTTCAACGCATCCAACAACAATTCACCAATTTCGACAACACACAACAACGGAGGACCTCAATGGGACAGACATCAAGGAGTTGGAATTTGGAACATCAAGGAGTTGGGCAGGAGGATACGGGGATGGACTTTCAGAGGACACGGCATCACCAGGCCAAGAGATCTAGACATTCTTTCCTGGCTTCACCCAATAAGAGGTTTAGCAGGTTTTATCGAAGTCTAGAATAGATTTGGGATTGGGGTAGGAGGAACGGAATACGTCGCAGCTGTACCAACCTTTCATTCAGTGAGCTCAAATACCAAAAGTCAAAATCAAAACGCAACCAAACGAACGATTGAATAACATGATAGGAACATAATTCCAGTGACAAAAATTAGAATCAGATTATTGAGGTGACTGATCCAGGAAAGTCCTTTTTCATTTTGCGACATTCCTCACAGGTGATAAACCTCACTGGTCCTCCCACAACACTTGAAGCGCAAGGTCCAATGAAGGAATCCAGGAATCCTATTTTCTTTTTGTGATAATCCGTAACTCATTTAATTGTATTACATGGTACGGAAATTTTATTTTGAAAGGACGCATGGATCTGGAGGGTGACAGCCTTTTATATACCTCGAAAGATTAGTGTGTGCACAATCACATTATTTTATCAGTCCATTTTCAAATACTTGAGTTGCTAACACGCTACGGAGATACGCTGATGGCTGATTTGCCAATCATAACCAAGACTGATTATCAGTACTACACTGCCTGTATACTTATGCTCATATTACTGATCCCTTGTGAGACACCCCCCCCCCCCATTTCTATCATCCAGCCAGGTATAAAAGTCCGGGTGCGTGCCATCCAGTACGTCCGGCAAAACGAGACGATTGAATTTCTTCAAGAGGTAGAAATAATGGGTCGGAACGACATCATTGACAAAGAGAGACTTTTGATCGCGGAGCCGATCCTGTGTACTGAACATGGCACCGCGCGGGATCCAATTGCGAGCCCTCAAGCTGATGAGCATATACTCCTTGGCTTCTTCGAATTGTATAGCGCCTGAGACTTTGATACCGAGATGATGGAGTGCCTCGACTGTGCACTTATCCGCAAAGCAAACCTTCGTTCTACGGTCTTCTAGAATTCTACGCAGGGTCGTTGAATTAAATCCGCCAGTCTCTGAATTGAAAATCCTTTTGTGGTTGACTTTCGATAAGTTGAGAACGAAGGTGGCGCCTGAGGCGAAGGTGACGCTGATGTGGGTGACTGTCCGCAACTCCCTGCCATAAATATTAGCATCCATGAATATGTTCCACAATCAATGGAATAATTACCCCTAGCAGTAGCAGATGATAAATAGTTCCAAGACGCCAGGTACCGCCTTCTTCAGTGCAGCTAGAAACTGCCCAATCCCCTTCTCATGCTCCACGCTGATGCGAAGATGTAACCTCGATTGTGTGATGAGACGGTGCTCACCGAAGGATACACGGCTGTACTTAGTACCTAGCGGTGGCAACCCCGATAATCTGGCACGGCCGGGAGTACCATCTGAGGATGTGTCGGAATCCGAGCCCCATTGGAGATTGCTAGGATCTGGTGGAGGAGAACTAGGCCTGACGGCCAGATCTTCAGAGATGGGTGTGCCACAAGCCGTGGGATATTCGAGACTACAGGCATCCGGTGAAGGAGGGGAGCCAGGACTGACAAAGTGATATTCTAGTTGCTCATGCATGTTGTCGGTGTACGGGATATTATAAACGATAGTGTGGGATAATGAGAGTGGGAGCAATGTTTGTGATGAGGATCGGAAACAAACACCACGAGAGTGCATGTTTAATGAGTCTGAGCCGGTTGGCGAACTCATTCGGAAGCGACGATGGGAAAGGGGGGCTAAACCACGTGACTCTAAATTCATCTGCGATTGTTGACTCCTGCTGCTGTACTGATTTTAGTTTGCAAAGCAAGCAAGTAAACAAGCAGCCAAAGATGTTTAAAGCAACCAAGCCCAGCCAAGTTGAAACAACCACTCAAACCCCGCAGTTCAAACTCAATAAGAATATCATTAATAGTAATATAGTGGGTATCGTCATCAAAACAACCAATCCAGCAAGCCTTTCCCCCTTCCCCATCCAATCAATCACAACCAAAACAACCACCTGAAAATCCCCACCAACCCCCCTCCAACCCCCATCACCACCCGTGCAAGCACAACCATAAACCACACATACCACATAACGCCCACCAGCGCCCACTCAACAATCACCCAGCCCCCGCGTCTCGCCCACCTAAAGCGGCGTCGTCGCCTTCTCATCATCTTGTCGATCTTGTCCGTGACCCGCGTAATCTGCAGCGTCTGGCTGGTCACAAGGTCCTTACTAACTTCATCCGCTTCATCTCCAGCTCTGCGCGTCATGGGCGTGAGGGTCTCCGAGAGTTTGAATTGGAGGGAATCGATATTTGATATGGAGGACGAGATGGGCGTAGTGATGAATGTATCGGCGGATGATTGCAGTAGACCGGAGGAGAGCTGGATATCGTTGCTTAATATGCGCGCAGCGAGCATATGTTGCTGGCTTTTTGGCACCAGCGCAATGTCATCAGTAGCTAGTGCCGCGATACCTGTGTACGCTGCCTCATCGGTCTCCCGCAAATCTTTGAGCTCGTGTGCGCGCCGGTTTATTTCCTTCGCTTTGATACCTGGACTGAGGAGCAGTGCTCTGATACGAGCAATCTCGTGTTTCGTCATCGGACCGCGATGAAGAGAGACGCTCTGGTCAGATATACTCCATTGACGCTCCCTACTTCTGTCGTGTCTTGTTTCTAGGTTCGATAAACCGGTGATTGGTAGAGCGTTCCGGCGCTTTCCGGGGAGGCCGAGGATGGCGTTGAGACGGGCGTCAGCGCCTTCGATGCCGGGTGCGAGGCTTTCGCGACGGGAGCCAACCTCGGAGACGGACGAATCACGGGTGAAGCGGTTGTTGTGGCCCGTGTCTGGGGAAGAGCTGGGCGAGGCGTTTTGGACGTCTATTCGGGGCGGAGGCGAGAGGAGCTGGGCGCGGGAGGCTTTCCTGCGCTCTTCTCTGGCTTTGTGCTCGGCATTATCAGACCGGTTTCGAATTGGTCGTCCACGATGTTCAAAAGGTGATGTGAAAGTCGGCATATCGTTGAGATATGATGGCTTTTCTTGATCCACGAGTAGTGAATCACTGTCCTCTATTGCAGCCAAATCGCTCTGGGAAGGTTTCTCTGCTTTGGTCTTTGCTGGCTTTATATCTTCGACATCGGAATCATCGGTCGAGAACCCAGATGATTCTCCATACCCGGCCGAACTCTCCTTAGTCTTCCAAAACATATCACTGACCCTTGTGACAGGATTGCGAGTGTTTTTGAACAGTCCTCGAATTCCAGATTCTTCAGTCTTGACTTTTCGGAGACTTCCTTTCTTGGTCGCTTTATGACTCTCGTCCGTCCTCCTTGATGTGGTCTTCTTTACTGGGCTTGTTGATTGCCTGCGTTTATCTGCACTACTAGGACTATCAGAAGTATGTTCCTTGGCAGGCGTGAGAAGCTCAGAGTCGGGCGTTTGCTCGATCCTCACACGACTATGGCTTCGATTTCGACTATGGTCACGAAATGCTGGTCTGATTTTTGACCTGACTTTAGACAATGGCGTCCTCGCAGGAGAGAGGTTTCGGCCCCAGGAAGACGACAAGTCCATACCAATACTAGGGATGAACGAATTTGCTAACTTAGTAGCCCTCGACTCTGGAGAATTTGGCGCAGTCGAGTCTAGATCATCCATTGAGGGCCTGGAGCGGTGACCGGGCACCTCGAGACTTGCTCGGCCCGACGAAGTTCCATTCCTTAGCGAGTCTCTATTTGACTTACCTAGGTTGTTTACAACAGACCCAGATCTACTGTGCGAAGGTGACCAGGACTTCTGTTTTCCAGCGCTGTTCTTGTGAACAGATGATTTCTGTGAAGCACGAGACTCATCAGTTTCCCGCGAGTCAATCCGTTCAGGTCGGTTCCACTCGGTTTCTCCTGCTTCCTTGGCAAGCATTTCTTCCATCTGCTTTGCTAGAATATCTGTGCGACGGTCTCCACTTTCCTCTGTTCCGCTTCGCTTTCTTCTCAGCCGGCGAGGCCCGTCACTATCTGAAGACTCCGAATCAGATCTGCTGAGAGAGTGGATGAATTGACGTCGGTCATGAACTGAACCATTGTGCCCATGATGGATGCGTGTAGCATCACGAACATCCCGTAATTTTTGCTTCGCTTTCGAAGTAGTACCATCCGAGTACTTATCAAAATCCTCTTTGATAGATCTGAACTTCGGTAGTTGGGTATCAATCCGAAGATCCATGGTAGATGGTTCTTTTCTCACAGTATGCCCTGGAGATGGCTGAAGCTCCGGCTCTTCACTCCGCCGAGACCATGGCCTTCTAAGCTCCGCACTCTTGGGGAAGACCCTCAACCCATGACGATCCTCAATAATCTTCTTATTATCATCCTGTTCCAGCCAGAAGACATCTGCAATCATATCCGCTGGATTCGTGACCCAATCAATCCTTGGACGTTTGACCTTTGGGGCTGTAGCTTGACCCTTGCCAGCATTGCTCTGTGGTGAAGTATGCGGTGTGGCTCCAGTATCCGCTGCTTTTGAGAACGAAGGCATAAATAGACAATCTGCAGCTTGGGACTCCTCAGAAGAAGACTCCCTACGCACCTGATCTACCCAACTAGAAACCTTCGCTAGATCCCCAAATCCCTGAGCTTCCCCATCAATAGCCTTCGCATTTCTCGACCTGACTTTTCGATTCCTAATATACTGCAAAGGATTGTACTCCCTCCCCAAAGACCTTGGTGACGGCAAATTCGTACTCTCAGAAACAGTCCGTGAAACAGGGCCAGATGAAGTCGGTGATCCAGGCGCCGTACCCGCATCGCTCGTCCCTCCCGCTTGCGGTTTCAATGGCGGCACATACTGCAACAGCTGCCGATACTGCGCCATAAGCTCAATAGCAATCTTCGCCTTCTCAGCCCTAGCCAATGTACTCTCCGAAAAATTATACTGATATCCTCCTTCCTGAGTAGAATCAAATGAAGCCTGCAGCGGGCTTTGTATCGCTACTCGGGGCGAAGCAGTCATTGTCCGTTCCCCGCGATCTGGCTTCGGCGACATGTTCCGCGAGACGCGACGCTGTTGCTGGAGATGTTGGCGTAAGCTACCGCCGGCAAACCCTTCGCTGAAGGCTGGGAGAGGGCTCGATGTGTTGCGTCGTGCGGCATTTCGGCGGCTCTCGCTGAGGTTTAAGGCGAGGTTTACTATTTTCGCTGAATCGACATCGAGAGCTGGAGCTTGAGCTATGTCTTTCGTATCCCTAGCTGGTTGTTCAGAGTTTTTGTCTGCTGTAGCATCGCCGCCAAAGTCTTGCTTGTCCCTGGCTGTCTTGACATTGGCAGCTGGTGGGCTACTCCCAACATTCGATCGCCCATTTCCCTTTTGCTTTTGGGCTGCTTTGCCCTTGTGATCTCTATCCCGTCGCAATTCTATCGTGGAAGCGCGTTTCGAGGAATCCCGTTTCGCCGTGTCTCCGAGGAGGAAGCCACCACTATGCTTCGTTCTGTGACTTCTGTGACTGTCCTTCGGCACATCCAAGTCCCCATACTTACTTGCTTGCCCTCCTCCATGATCTGTTGCATTTGCAGCGGGGCCGTTCCTCTGACTAGCAACACTGCTAGATTCGCCTGTCTCTGTGCTGTCGAGGCTGTATCTCTTTCTTGAGCTGGGAATGGTGCGGCGGTCTGTCATCGTCATCGTGAGGTCTCGCAGCCGCAGACCTCTGGGTAATGGTGGTATTAAGTCATTGCTTGAGGACGGGTCGCATTGTACGGTCTCGAAATCTGTTACAGTAAAGCAGGACTAATTGCGCGGTTGTTGTCGTTCACATGCATGCGAGCTTTGTTGTCTCCTAGATTTGTTGAAGTGGTATGACGCGGCCAAATTAAAATCCGGGGAAGTGTCGCTAGTGAATAATGCTGAAAATGGATGAACGATGAACAACAACAATACCCTTGGGGAGGTACTTCTTAAAACTTAACATCTATCCTGCGACGATAATATGTCATCTTGTTCTTGTCACCATTTTTCAATTATTATAGAGGCGGCGATAGGTAAGCCAGAATGGCATAATCAAGGATTGATGTACAGCCTTTATTAACGCTGTATAAATCTATAACACATAGCTGTCAAGCGCATACTGTAACTCCATCTGACAATTTCCACCAAAACGCCCACGCCATACTTTTTGCAAATCCCTCTACATTCACGCCCTCGGAGCACCCTTCCCGGATTTTTCAATCTTTCTCCTCTTTGCCCGAAGCGCCTCGGCCTCACCATCCTTCTTCTTATTGCTATATACCATCTTCTCGAGGATCTTCCGCTTCTTACGACTCATCATCATCTTGGCTCTCTCCAGCTCCTCATCCTCTTCCTTTGCCCTCTTTGCGGCTTTCTTCTTAGCATCAGCCTTTGGATTTGCAACTTTCTCCTCCAAAGCCACACCCGTTAGTTCAGCCTCTAGCTCGCGCTGGCGTTGCAGAGCTGAATCGGCAGCCTCGTCCTCATCCTCGTCTTCAACGTCTGAAAATCCGCCAAAGTCATCGTCCTCATTATCGACAACATCAGCGTCTTCGGATTCGTCGTCCTCGGACCCGGCGATATCCATTCCTTCCGCGGTGGCATCGACTTCCATCGCTGTGAGGAATTTGGGTTCCTGTACAGCCATGTCGTCTTCGCCAGAGATATCCTCCTCCATATCGCTGTCAGCCTCCAGCTCCTCGTCCTCACGCTCTTGTTCGTTGAGAGGAGCGCTGGGATCGTATTGACCGCGTACTTTCTTCACGAAAGGACTAAGATGCGGAGGCAATTGTGCGCCGGGGCCGTAAAGATCAGGTCTCTTGAGCTCCTCGTCATTGACGCTGTCCCAGATCCATTGGGGTTGGATGTAGATTCGTCCTGGAACTCGGGATCCTGGAGATAGTTTCTGTGCGGTCTGGTTGTCTTCGACCTGTTCTACAGCTTCAGGGTCGATTTGGATCGGAGGTCGATCGACGACTTGGTGGGTTATTGAGGGGTCAAGCTCGTTATGTGTGTATGCTCCATCGCCAAGAACTGCATCCCAGCCTATCCGCTTGCACCCGAATGCCTTGAGGATGAATTCGAGAGGTTGTCGGGGGGTTTCTCGAGACAGGAAGAATGTGAAGTTGGAGAATAGAGTTGAAGGGTCGGTAGCAGAGTATGAGGGTTGAAGTAAGATATCTCCACCTGGCGCAGCAGGCTCGAACTTATCAATGGTATCCGTGGGTTGCTCTTCGTCACCGTCCACCAAAGTTTGACTCGTGGGTAGTTCCTGTTCGGCTTCCTTCTCTGGCTGATTCAGTTGCGCCATGAGCTTGTCAATTTCAGCCTGGAGCTTTGGATCCGGCTTTGAGTTCTCGCCATTGGTAATTGGCTTTGGTTGCTCAATCGCACCAACGCCATTTCCTTCCAACGAAAACGCCCCGAGTTCTGCTCCCTGATCATCTCTGTTCTTGTCGAATTTGGGTGGGTATACCAATCCAACAGATGTGTAAAGTCTGAAATTCACAAAACCCAAAAGCGTCTGGTAAAATTCCACAAACGTGCCCATGATCCTGAAATCCACATCCCCTGTAACCCTCTGATTGAACCTGTACGGCACCAACCAAAGAATATCCTGTCCCTGAATTGTAGCTTGATAGTAAATCCCCTTGATCGACAAGAAACTCTTCCTCAAACTGTTTGACATGATCAAATAGTGCTCGAATTCCAAGCACAACCGCTCACACCGCGCAATCATCTTTGCGGGTACGGTATCGGTGGAAGGCAGATTTGCGAATAGGAACAGCATCGATAAACAATCGTCCAAATCTCGCAGAGCGTCGATGAATGTAGGGTAACGCTCTCGGATGACATGATCCAGTGTATACTTCGTCCGGCCCGTCTTCTCTGGTCTCGAAGCATTGCGCTCCAATCTCGAGGCATCGTGCGCATCTCCTCGTCCAAGAGCTTTGGAGATCTTCTTCTCAAGCGCCTTCTGCTCTCTAAACTTCTGCAGTAGGGGCTCATGCAACAAATATTGAATATCCTTAGTGTAATAGAAGGTCGTGGAGGCGCTGGACGATTTCGAGGCTTTTTTCTTGCTGCGAGGTTCTCGCGGGTAGATTCCTTTCCAGATGCAGAGTTTGCGGAAATCGGGAAGACTGATTTGCAATTTTCGAACGGCTTGAGTTCTGGTGATGAAGTTCTTGGCTTGACCGGCGGTTCCTTTCTTCTTGATTCGACCCATTATTGCTGGTTTGGGTACGAGTGTCGTTTTTAAAATGGTTTGTGGAAAACGTGGGGTTGCTGAATCTTTTTTGAGAAAAAAGTTTTGGTTAAGCTTGGGGCTGCGGTGCGAAAGGCCGCTGATTGGCCAATCTTCTCACCGCCCGCGCTTGCTGCTAATGCTACCACCAGCCAGTGCAGTGGCTGATGCTTATGCTGATGCTGACTAATAGAAAGGACAGAATCGCAAGACGGCGAAGTGTGAGAGCCATTATTGGATTGGTTGTGTCTTTTGAGAGGAATTGAGCTACATTCTTTTGCACAAATACCTATCTATTGTCATAATGAGTATTGACAGGAGGAAAGCCACCATTTTTGGTGCAGCAGCCGCTGTTCGTGTTCTCCTTTTCACAGCCTTTCCAGGACTCCCGGATCTGCTCACTGCGCGCGTCGAGGTATCTACGCCGGTAACCAGCTTCAAGAGATGTAAGTTTGTGGTGTACTTTATACACTGCCTTTTGTGCCATGCTAACGTGCAATAGTACAGGAGGGTCTTTTTCTCTATAACCACAATGTCTCCCCATACGATGGCGGGGTTTACCACCAAGCTCCGATACTCCTCCCCCTATTCTCTCTCCTACCGAGCTCAGCAGAATACCCCGCCTTCACATACCTCCTCTACATACTAGTTGATCTCTTGAGCGCAAATGCCTTGATGAAGATTGCCGAATCGGGAGAGGCCGGATCTTCAAAATTATACACTTCACCCCGAAAGGACAAGAAATGGAGTAGCTATGCAATCGCGGCAGCGTAAGCCATGCCCAACTTCCTAGTCTATTTCACTTACTCAACTCTCTGAAACCATGTAGTTTCCTGTTCAATCCCTTCACAATAGCAACCTGTGTCGGCCGCCCAACCAGCGTCTTCACCACTTGCGCCATAATCCTTGCCATCTCCAAAGCCGTAATTGGATCCTCGTACGCCTCCATGTTCGCCCTCTCCATCGCCTCCTACCTCTCCATGTACCCTATTCTTCTCTTCCCACCGCTCGCTCTCCTCTGCTATGACCGGCGGCCCAAAAGCCCCCAACCCACATCCATCTATACCTCCGTTCTCCAGAACATTTTAGCCGTCGGTGGATTCATACCCTTTTTACTATACATGTCATCCCTGATCACCGGCTCGTGGGAGTTCTTGGAAAGTACATATGGGGTCCAGTTGCTGCTTCCGGATCTGACACCGAATGTGGGATTGTGGTGGTATTTCTTCATTGAGATGTTCGATTCCTTCCGCTCGTTCTTCCTAGGTGTCTTCTGGATCCACCTCTCATCCTACGTCTTCGGCCTCACGATTCGAGTACGGCGGCAACCACTCATCGTACTAACCGTCCTACTTGGTATCTTTGCTATCTTCAAACCCTATCCCTCTATTTCCGACACGTCGCTCTTCATTGCCTTGCTCCCGCTGTACAGACATGTTTTCCCGCTTATGCGGTATAGTTTCTTGGCGTCGAGCACGATCTTGTATGCAACTTTACTTGGACCTGCGTTTTACTATCTGTGGATATATGCCGGGAGTGGGAATGCCAATTTCTTTTACGCGATTACCCTAGTTTGGAGTCTGGGACTTAGTCTGTTGGTTGCGGATATTTTGTTTGCGGTCCTGAGGGATGAGCTTGAGGTTGAGAGGCCAGAGATGAAGGGGAAGGAAATACGGCAAATATAATTCAGCCAGGTACCACAACAGGTACCACAATTCAGGCCATTTATACATTTAATTTGCCGTGGTGTGATGTGAATGGAAGGCAGGTATTTGCGAACTCTCTTTGCCATATTCTTTCCCCGACAGAAGTGGCACTTACTCGCTAAAATTGGAACAGGAACACAACAGTTTAATTCATAGACAGGAACGGAGCTTCTCGATATTCATTCGACATAGATATCATCATCTTATACTTCACAAGCCCACCAAATCAAGTATACAACGCTGCGCAGCCACTGTCAACTCCACTCACATACCCAATACACACCCTCCCATCCTCTCGAAACCAGCAAGTTTCGCCTCCCGGAACCGCCGCTTAGGACAATCAATGGACGGATCAGAACCCCCTCGAAACAGCCCCATAAGTCTAGAATGTATGTATCCTTTACTAAGAAAATCAGCATACCAGAATCCAGTACACATGATGTCAAAGTGAAGCAGACCTCAACGAACCAGTTTGAACCCGAAGAGGCCGTTAACCACGTCCCCCAAATCCCTTCTATACGCCCTCCTCCCCTTCTCCATGTTTTTCAACTCCTTCTTGCTCTCCTTGATCATTCTGTCTGCCTGCTCCTTCAACTGCCTCTGCTTCTCACGGTGCTTGTCAACAGCTAGTTTGTTTAGCTCGCGGTTGCAGGCTCGTCGATGCTTGGCTTGGTTCTTCGCGTACTTTCGGTCTTCGCATCGCGTGAGGCTGCGGGTGATGCGGAAGCTGGAGCTGTGGAGGAGGGTAGGGCGTTGAATTTGTTTTGGCTGTGATTCTAGCTTCAACTGGGATCCTTGTCGTGGAGAAGGGTGGAGATGTGGAGATTCTGAAATATGTAATTTATGAGAATGAGCGTCCGCTTGGACTTTTGGCGCTATTGCCGTAGAGGCTTCGTTGGATAGTTCGAAATAGCTCTGTGATGGCAGGGAAGCTAGACGGGGTGGAGTGGGCTGCACACTTGCACGTGGGTTGGCGATGGATTTGGTGAGCGTGCCGTCTACAGACCCCAAGGTTGTAGCGCGCGAGCTGCGCCGGGTTGCGATGGACCCCTTGCGTGATTGGACACTCCCGAAAATGGAATCTGCCATGATGCTGGAGCCGACGCTGGAGCGCGAGGATGTCTCATCGATTTCCGAGACAGGCTGCTCGTCGATCTTGTAGTTAAAGGAGCAACTTGTGTCGGTGCTAGGGGGAAATGGAAACTCTTTGTGTTCCATGTACTCCTCTCTTGGTGTGGTTGGGGTGAGAGGGGAAGTCACCACGTTTTCTTCAAAGGCGAAGGTAAACTCGTTATGATCCGCATACTCTTCTCTTGGACTTGTGGGAACTTCGATATTATCTTTAAGCCTAATGGGAAGAGGAAGATTCTCTTCGCTTGCACGTCTGAATCCCACGGGTAAAGTGAGAGCAAGTGGGACTTCAGAGTCAGGTGTGAAGGGCAATCCACTGACTTGCCTAAGCTCGCTCGAGAGACCTGAGACTGGCGAGTTGGGGACGTCCATGGTGCTTCTACTGCAACTTGGGTTGTCCTCACTTACGGAAGCGCTTTCGAGTCTTTGCTGGCGCTCTGTGTGGAGAGAAGGCGCAGATTTGAATTCGGGAAGCTGGCTTGGGGCAGCATCAGGGTCTGCCACATCTGGCGGACATTCGTTTGAATCGGAGCATGCGCTGGGCGTGCGGTACATGGTGCTGTGATAGCCATCATTGAATTCATTGCGGCGACATGTGTCTGGTCGGCGCCCGCACAAGGTAATTGGGAAGTGCTCGCTGAGGACTCCTTCAGTGGGAGAGTTTGTTAGGCTGTCGATGTAGTAGTTGGAGTTGCTGTTGTAGACGGGGAAGTCTGCAATTATCATTCCTCTGTATGGCTCCATCTTAGTCAGATAGTGAGATGGTTGTAGGAGAAAGTCTTAGGAATGGGGGGGAGGAGGCTTTATTGTATGTTGCACACATGTTTTGGTGATGCGGGGGAAGACGCCCCATTTTGTATTGTTGACTTGTTTTGTTGATGATATCAGATATGCCTAGACTGTTGGGACATATAATGCTGGCGATAGTCGGGCCTTTGCTTTGGTTTATTGACCTTGATGGATGCCCTTAATGGCTAGGAAGGGAAGCTAAGTAGTAAGTGGTGCGGACTTGCTGTCATCGCTTGGCCTTACGACCTGTCAAGTGGGGAAACCTGCTCAAGAATAATATTATTAACTCACATATATACAAAGATTTATCACAGAGATGCTTTTCTTCAGATAAAGCTCCATCATCCTTTTCACTTGTGACCCTTTTGCTTAGATAGACACGTGATTGAGCCCCTTTCTCTATAAGCGAGCGGCTTATGTAAGTCGCTCAGCGGTACCCCGCGGCAGAATAAACAACTCCCAAAATTATTCCACCCCACGTCTTCCCAAAAATTCCACAACTACGAAAGATGCCACAACCAAAATGTCCGATCACAGCAATTCCTCAGACCCCGAAGAACCTGAAACATCACGGCCAAATCGCTGGCCTGGCGCCCCTTCGACTTGGCAGAGCCTAACAGCCCAAGAACGCGGTCTCGCGGCGTCTTTAGACACGTTGCGGGATAGAGATCTGAGCGTTCATTTGTATAATGCCCATGCGTTGAAGAAGCGTGCCGCTTTAGGGGTCGTATGTTTATGATTCTCTCTCAGTGTGTTTCCTTTTGGGCTTTTGGGAGCGCTGGCTAATCTATCGGTGGGAAAATAGAGACAGGATGACGAAGACGCTGCCGAACCTTTCGTTCCCCCCAAATCATGGACAGCTTGGCCGCTTCCTCCTGATACTGTACCCAAAGAGGGGGAACCGATTGGGCGAGAGGATTCAGATGAGGTGTATACATTTCAGAGGAGGGAGAAAGAAAGGGCGAGTGGTGTGTTAGAAGATGTGCTTTTTGGAATTTCGTTGAAGAGCGCGAAGGAGAGGTTTGAGGGGAGGGAGTGGGCTAGTGAGGAAGGGAGAGATGTTGATGATGAGGATGAAGATGAAGATGGTCTTGTAGCGCCTCCCGAGGAAGAGCATAGTGGTGAAGATAGAGGACCGATTATCAAGGAACAAACGCCCGAGAAGATATTATTACATCCCGTAGTGTCGACTGATGATGAGAGGTCGAGGGAGGTTCTTCGGCCTACTATCAGGCATACGCTTTTGAAGTTGGATGACGTTCTTATGGCTTTGCATCATGCGAGGAAGACTTGTCGACGATATTCATCAGTATCTGCGCCTAATACGGGCGATGAGGAGGAGTCTAGCGGCGAAGAAAATGAAGAAGGTTTGGCTAAGAGGCCACGGGGACGACCTAAGAAGTTCGAAAATTTGACACACCGATCGAGACCGGAACTCGAGCAGGAGGCAAATATGGGCGCCGAGATATTGCGAGCTAAGAAACCTGGTCGGGGTCGAAAACCGAAGCAATATCCACGCCATGCTGGCGAGACCGACCGCGAGTATCTTGTACGAATTGCCCGGCTACAAAAGAAGCCAATCCCGATATTCTCGTCTGAAGAGATAGGCACACCTTCAAGCGTCGCAAACCCGCCCAAAAAAGCTCCAGTACCTAAACTTTCGACTGCACGGAAGTCGCCCGCGCCATCCCCCTCGGCCCGTAAAGACAGAATACCATCCAGGGACGCAGACAGAAGAGCTCAGCGTAATCTTGGTCTACGTGACTGGAGCGAGGTCCTAGGCTCAGCTGCTCTTGTTGGATTTCCTCCAGATGTAATAGCACGAGCTACACAACGCTGCGCTAATCTATTCGGCGAAAGTATGACTATGAGAACGATGGTCGAAACTCCATTCGGTGGCTCAAATCCCGATACCTTGACGACATACCAACCTGAAGCCATCCCTGATTTTGAATCCTCGCTCTCGGATTCTGAAACCTCCGACAATAACGAAGAATCAGATCTAGAACACCATTCCTTCAAGCAAACTAGACCCCGAGGCAATGCCCCTAAGAAAGAAGTATGTTATTGCCCCATCAGAGACTGCCCGCGCCAAGTCCGCGGGTTTAGCAGTATGCAAGATATGCGCGCGCATCTGATGAAGGGACATAGGATGAGCAAGGAGGACATTGCTGAGTTTGAAGTGCCAAGTGATGAGGAGATGGACGGAGCGGTGCATGTTGATGGATTCTTGGGGATGGAAAAGAGGATATTGAGGGGAAGAGATAGGGGGCAGAGGAAGAGAAGGAGGGGGCAAAGTGGGACTGAGAATCGGGAAGATGACGATGAGGAGGGAAGTACGAGTGAAAAGTCAGGTTCGGACCAAGCGAGTGATGGGCAGGCAATCGTTAGAGAAGATGGAGGGAATACCGATAGTGATAATGAAGATCCATGAAGGCATAGAATAGCATATTACCATATGTGAGCAGAAAATCCATATGCTATTCTAATGGATCTTTCTGGCCTTTCCTCGCATTATTTCGCTGACTTGTGTGTTCTCAAAATAGCACCTATCACCTGCTTAAAATTCAGAAAGCACCCGGGAGATGGACCAGCAGACGCAAAAGGCAAGTCATATACAACAACAGGTATTCGCTAATAGTCACCCACCCAAATACCAATCTGTTGATTTTTAATACGACGACGCTTTTCACTTGGGACGACCGCGACTTTGACATCCAGAGAACACATCAACTTCGTCGACTACATGATTTCTCCCGTCGCATGCTTGATAGGTCAAGCTTTTTTGATCACTTGTACTAGCAATTAGAGCTACCGAGGATGGAGTTTTCCAAATGACTTCCAGTTAGACGAGCAAGCTCGATATTAGAAGATTAACAGGGCCTTCATAGATTCTATTTCTGATAATATCAAGCTGTCGAAAGCTCTTCAGGCTTAGCCTTGACAAATGTTGACCTTGGCGGGGAAATTATACTAAAACCTGAGTATAATACAAAGCTTGTACAGAATCCGAAAATGTACCCAAGGTTATATAAGTTCTCCGCACCCTGAGAAATCGACAGCGAGCTATTAATCTATGAAGTAGATTAGCAAAATATTTTAGTTATGATGAAAAGACCCTTACTGAACTTGCGAATCCGGGAATAAGAGGCACACATCCGATCAGCCATGCTGCAACGGCACGCCAATTTGTTCCAAACTTGTTATATCGATAGATCCCATTAGGTAGATACATGTCCTCGATATCATAGGTTCGGCGATGAACTATATAATAATCGGCAAGGAGAACCCCAGTGATAGGTGCGAGCTGCAAAATGTAAGTAGTCGAGTTTCATGTTTTGGAATAATGACTTCTATATGCTTACCCAAATAACATATCCATCCATGAAGTCCAGCAATGCGGTAGCTGACGATAATATATTCCAGGGTGTCAACGCCCATGCACCGATAAATGCAATGAGGTATGACCCTCGGCGAAGGTTGATATACTAGACATGTTAGCATTAGACCCAAGGAAGAGAATTATGTTAACTTACCCTAGGGAACATTGCGTTAAGATCATTTGCAGCAGAGATACAATTGGCGCTAATGTTGGAACCCAACTGGGCCAATACAAATGACAGTCCAACAAAGGCTGCCCCGGCTCGTGATTGATGACTACCAGTCCAATGAGACATAATAGTGAGCGGATCCCAGATCTCTTTGCCATAAAGGTCAGAGGCCGCTCCAGCAATGATAATGCCAATGAAAGACATAAGCATGAATGAGAGAGGAATTATGATAATCTGAACAACTATCATTCTTGAGCTGCGCGCATAGCGGGCAAAATCGTTGATGTTGACAGCCATAGTACCGTAATTTCCAAGCATGGACTGTTAAAGTTAGCTGGGATACATTAATAAGGGGGTGGTTTCCATACATTAAGGCCACTGAGAAATGCCCAAGTGTATGCAGAACCGTGCAAGGTGGTGTCTTGTTTCATAAGAGTGGTGTGAAGACCTCCACCAGATACATGACAAGCCCAACCTAGCATGCCAAATATAGCAGGCACGCAAAGGACTGTTTTGACATCAAAAAACCATCTAAGGTGTCGAGGATGGATATAGTGAAATGGCAAGACTATCAAGAAATAAATCACGTAGGCTAGGAACGAGTCGGTCAGTAGTAATGCATACAGTTTAAAATCAGATTGACATACCTGTCATCATTTGGGTAGTAATATTAGCAGACTCTGGGAGATGGTTTGGTACGTTCTGAAACGATGGCCATATAGCAATGATAACCGCATTGACACATTCGGCGCCAGTGTAAGTATTGAGGCCATACCAGAAGAAGCCGACGAGCATTCGAATGAAGACCACCACGAAGGAAAAGAAGAATCCGAAGGAGGCGCGACTTTGAATAGTATAGGGTATATGATATCTAGCGCCAATGACACTATTGGCAGTGATCGCGAGAGAGATCAAGAAGTGTCCGAGGGTAATGATGCCGATCGTAACCTTCCAAGAAAATCCCAGTGTCACAAGAGATGATCCAAGGCGCAGATTACCAGGGGCTACGGCATCACAGAGCCAATATGTGACGACTGCAAATATTAGTATTCAATCTTTTCTAATAAAACTATTTGACCTTACAGTTGTGAGACCTCCATAATTGCTTGTCAAGCGGTGTCGGATCAAGATCTGTATACTATTAGAAACTTTCTCCAGAAACTGTGTATGAGAAACGACTGACCAGAATTGCTCCACCGCCCTGCAGCACTCATGTCATTGCCACTATCAAGTCTGACATAGCTGAGGCATCTTTCAAGAATACTGTGTTTTGGTTGGCTCAGACCTTCCACTACCCCTACCTCAGATACTTTCTCAGATGTAGGACGAGAACCTCCAAGATCCTTATCAGAGAACGACATGTTTTTGATGTCTGGCATTTTGTCAAATTGGAGATATCAACATGGTCTTCTAAATGCTTTACCAACTCCTACATATATGCTCATCCAAGCACTAAATGACCACTCAATTTTAAGCTCTATCTCCACTCCATTTTTCGACGGTACGAGATAGACTATCTCATAAATTGTTTACAAAAGCCCGTAGACAGCGAGATAAATAGATAAAGATGTCCGCGTTGTGGATCACGGCCGAGATTGCACGGCATGAATTCTAATTTCGAAATAGCCCATCTACGGAGGGAAAACAATCCCACTCTTGATTATATCCGCATAGCAGCTATGATGCCGATCTGGAATCACAGCCGCTGTACCATTATACTACCTTATGGCTTCCCATCAAAAAGACGGCCGACATCTCGACATATGTCACCCTGGTTCTATGGACACGTCTTCAGCAGGCCGACCGCCTGTGCGACTAGCTCAACGTCGCCCATTGACTTGTCGGGCATGCGCGAAAAGAAAGGTCCGGTGCGACAAGATAATTCCTTGTGGGCGATGTCAAAAAAGAGGTATTGAATGCACTCGGGAAGAAGTAGTTCTTTCAACCTTATCTTTACAACGTAGGAAAGGTCGTCGAACTAGCTCTCAGCCTCAATCTCGACACAATTTAGAGATTACGAATTCGCGACCCGCTGCCTCGAGCGAACAGAGAGAGAGTCAAAATAAAGACAGCCATGAAGATCGCGATGACGATACCCGTCCATGGGAACCTACTCTGAATGAATATCCTCAAATAGGCAGGCACTCGCAATATGTGGCATATAGAAGCCCAAGTCAACACCTTTATGGAGAGACTCCAGAACTGCACAACAATAACCCAAACCGAGCTCTTACTATTCCTGGAATCATTACTACGCCGATCCACAGTTTGAGAAAAGAGACCGGGAAGGGTTCGCAATTACGGCCCCTCGTTCAGCCGGAGTTTGAAGATTTAGCCACTGGTATCGAAGGTTTAGCCTGGGGAAGGCATCAGTGCCATCGATATCCACATAGAGATTGTATACAGAGTGGAAGTCCCAATGAAATAGAAAGTGTCGACCCGAAATCAAATGTCTCTTTGAAAAGGCCTTTGGATTTCACAAAAGCTCGTGAACTGGTCGACTTCCACATACGCTATCTCTGCTGGAACCACAATGTCCTACATGTTCCTACCTTCCTACGCCAATGCGAGACGTACTGGAGTTCCGGTGTTGTCCAAGATGGTCAGTGGTTTGCTCTTTACTACGCAATCCTCAGCAGTGCGACTTGGAGCATCCAGACTTGCCCTGAGTATGTGGGCAACGTCGTTCTAGCGGGATTTGATTATTCTGCTGGCGCATTTTTCGACATGGCAATAAACGCCCTCAATGACCATAAATTTATGAGCAGACACACAGTATTTTCAATACAAGCTGTTTGCATATCTGGCATGGTTGGGAATGTTCTCGGAAAGAGTGATCTCCTTACCACGCTAGTCAACGCTTGTGTAAAAATCGCCCAATGTCTAGGACTTCATCGCATACCTGGCGAAAATAAAGAAGATGGGTGGGATGAAACTATCGAGAAAGAGGTTGGGAGGCGAGTTTGGTGGAAACTGGTGGAAATCGACTATTACTCAATGCCATACACTGGCACTTGCTGCATCAATCCACGACAATTTACTACGAACCCCCCTTTAAATTGCGACGATGAAGACCTTCAAGAGCAGGATGAGTCTTGTCTGACCTCGAGTACTTATTCCATCATCATGGCCAAGATTGCACTTTTGATTCCGGACTTGCTAGATGGAATATACAACTTGGATGACTTAACTAAACGGTACGAACATGTGATTGATATTGATAGACGGATGAGACAAGTGGTCGCAAAGATACCTGCCGTGATTATTCGAAATTGTACTACAGAAGTCACTGCAGAAGCCTCCCATGGACCTGAATGGCTGACCGTCGCGCGTCGAACATTGGCAATTTCTGCAGCAGACAAGGCTAGTTTGGCCGCAACCCCTTATACAGCAGCTCTGACTGGTTATTTAGATTATCATGATTCATCGATCATTTCTCGTCAAAAGTTTCCAATCCCCAATCTATTTGTTCACGAGGGCCACCTGCGTGTCGGCAGCAATGACCATTCTCCGAGAGCACGAGCAGATTGCTGGGGTAGGCTCTAAATGTCCTCCAATTTGGGTACATTCGGCATTCTGTGTAACTGCTATCGTTGTACTCTGTTTGAATCTGTTATATTGCCATCTTTCGATGACCCAAATAACTAAAGATCAGCACCGAACATTGATAAGCAAGGCCAGGACTCGACTGAGCAAATGCAGAAATGATACTATGGCTCGACGTGGCGTATTCCTCATTGATGCTATGCTTGATGAGGATATCTTTCATTCGGCCACGCAAGATGCGCCAGATCGCAGCAGCAGACCTGAATTTTTACGTATACTTAACCGATTTCTACAACGAGATCAAGAGGGCACAAAGATGCAAACTTCAATGCCGGACTCCTATACCTTCGAACCTCGCCTGAGCAGTCAAATAGATGACTTTGACATATGGTACAATCAAATGTTTGGCTGATATCAATGCCTGATTTGTATACAAATTAATATATATGAAACATGAAGATATAATAGAAGCAAGACATCTTTGCTTTGGCAAAATGGATAAGAAGCTGTGGATGAGAGGGAGGCCAACCACAGGAAATCCTCTTATGATCCAAGCCCCCTCTTATTCTAGAACAACACTCCAACATAATAAATAAACCCAGGGTGCCGGGTGAGATTGTGATGATTACGGTTCGGCAATATTAAATATGTTCCGGGTTAAACGTGAACGGTATGTAGAAATTGGTAGTTTAATTCAACGCGCTAGTATAAAATAAATATAAATCTTCTAATACAATAATTAGGTACCCTCTATTAATGTATTAAGCTTGATTGAAAACACCATTTCTAAAAGAGACTAGTATAATATACAGCTGACCTAGAACAGATGTACAACTCGGCCGCGGTTGTTGGTTTATCCTTGCCTTAGCGCAGGCAATTATCAACAAACCCGAAGTTTGACCCGCTCAGGCCATTTGTCATGTCGCACCTTGAACACAGTTGTCGGCCTTTGCTATAATAGCAATGGGGTTTCTTTTAGACATGGAATATTCCTGAATTTGCTGCAGCGAACCCTTCTTCACAGCCATGCCACACAAGATTGCGGCCCTCAGGGTCGTGCCCCTGGACACCCATGTTCGCAAATCCTCTCAAATCGGGGCCCAAGTGATTTTGCCCGACTCAATGACGCTCTTTACTCCGCAGGCGCTGACGGAGAATGACACCCATATTTTGCGTCAAGCTCTTTTTGATCACGGTGTGCTAGTTATTCGAGGTCAATTGGGAATAGCTCCGCAGATCCTTTCTGAGATTGCAAAAGTCTTTGATCCGCAAGCGAAAAATGTTCATTCTGGAGGCAAAATGCAGGTTACAGATTCCAAGAACATATTGTCACAAAACAATTGCTCGAGAATTCCACGGGCACCCCAGGTTACTGTTATTGGAAAGGGCGATGTAGAGGGTTACGAGGGAATTCCACACTTAGAACTGAAACACCTGGTAAACATAATCTACTTTATATTTCAGCGGTGACAATGCATAACAAATTATTACAGGATCAATCGTCTTTTCACGAACATCCGTTGTCAGATGATGAGATAGAAAGAGGATGCACGAGACCGTATCGATGGCACATGGATGCGCCGTTGTACGAGAGCTTACCTGGATTTGCAACGTCAATACATGCCATCGAGGTACCACATGTACCGGATCAACAGCTCCAGTTCCCCGATGGCAAGAGCATGCCTGTTGCTGCCGGCGCCACCCTTTGTAAGAGATAAATTGAATAACAGGAGTCGGAAGCTAACATATCTGCTAGTTTTTTCTGGAGCTCGCAATTTTGAACTTCTGTCACCCGAAGAGCAAGAATTCGCCTGCAATACCACTGTTCAATATGCTCCACGGGCCTATGAATGGATAAGAAACTGTAAAGCTTCCGCAGATGGATTGACAATTGAGTCACTGGGCCGAGAGAAGGCATTCAACGAGCTCTTGGAATGGAACTGGGAAGAGGTCCAGGCATTTCCAGTATGTACCAAAAGCCTATGTTTATGATAAATAACATGCTGATTCTTATTAGATGGTCTGGAAAAATCATGGAAATGGAAAACCGCATCTCCAGATTCTTGGATGCTGCGTTTATTCTCTCACCACGACAGACCCTGTGACTGGGAAGTCAATTGTAATTGACGACATCCAAGAAGTCAGACGGATTTGCTATTCTTTACAAAGCAAAGTCTATGCGCCAGAAAATATATTTGCGCACAGATGGGAGCAAGGAGACCTTGTCATGTTCCATAATCGTGGCTTGTTACATAGCATATCGGGTCAACTGTCACATTACCCTGATAAGCGGTTAATGTGGCAATGCAGTATGGCTAGTGGAGCTCTACCTGAAGCTTATAATATCACTGGGGCTTGAATTAATAAAAGAGGCGGGGTGGAAAATGGGAGACATAAAGTCTTGTATACGGGAGCAAGAAAACATAATGGCGGTGCATGTATCCACAGCGCCGCTCTGTTTAGACTATATAAAAAGTTCCTCCATATTCGTCAAAAAAAAAAAGCACTCAGTCCTCCAGACCTGACTCTTTTCCCGCGAGTCATAAACTGCTGCACACCACATGTTACCGGCACATTGAGCAGAAGATGCTCTCTATTAGTCGGACGAGTGCTAGAACCCCAGTTGTACCAGGTAGGAATGCATCATCCCGCACGACCTCTCGTGAAGAATGGTACAACACAAATTCATTACGCCTGAGAACACAATGCAGGCTGATTTCTACCTATTGGCATAGAGTAGGTATTTCACCAGCTTGAGGCGTAGCGTATTAGTAGTTCTTCAAGCGAGGTCACTGCATAACGGTTAACTCCGTAATTCGTTTCCCAGACAGGCATAGGCCCTGAATTTGATCTGGTTGCCTGAGGCAAGTTAGCATGTCACCTACATATCTTTTACCGGCGGCATTGCTAGATCCACCCTGCTTTCAGCCCTGTCGTCTTGTATGGAAATAAAGTCAGAAGACCATGGTCTTCAAGGACGCCATTCAGAGCTGCACTTCTATTCATTTCTTGTGTGAAAAGACGAGCTTTGCCGACTCATCTCATCTCAGATCGATTGGCCGGTCCGATGGCTTCCCAGTCCCGAAAACTCACCTACTTGGCTGGTAGTCCGGAAGGAGAAATTCAAGTGAAGAACTCTGTCAGAGCCATTGGTGGCATGGAAGTTTTAGTTCGGGTCACCCATTCGGGGCTCTGTGGCACTGATGTCCACGATCGAACTGCGGGTTGCGGCCTTGGGCATGAGGGGATTGGATTTGTTGAGAAAAAAGGTGCAGAAGTGACAGCTGTGGAAATTGGACAAAGAGTTGGATGGGGGTGAGAAGCCATTTCCTGGTTTACTCCTATATTTTCAATTCGAGCTAACTTCTCATTAGATGGCAACTATCGGTATGAGCAAATTTTATTAGCAGCTCCCCTAATTAAGAACTGAGTATTGAAACAGTCGTGCGGACACTGCCGAGAATGTATCTCGGGATACCGACAATACTGTCCGGAGTCTAAGGGTCAAAAATATGGCGAGCTCGAGCAGGGAGCCTTTGGGGATTATGTGGTCAAGCATCAGGAGTTCGTATATCCAATCCCTGTTGAGATTGAGTCTAAGTTTGCTGGGCCTCTCAATTGTGCGGGAGTAAGTCTCAAGTCAAATAATTCCTTTCTAGCAATCTCTGATTGATCTGCAGATCACGGTCTACGAAGCTCTGCATGTGGCTGGCAGCAAGCCATCGGACTGCATCGGAGTTGTTGGTCTCGGAGGGCTAGGCCACCTTGCAGTTTTATATGCTCGTGCTATGGGATGTGATGTGGTTGTATTTTCTGGGAGTGAATCTAAGAGAGCAGATGCAATGGCTCTGGGGGCTACCGAGTTCTGCCTGCTTCCTAGAGAAGGTGGCCCGATTCACAACTTGAAAGCAGGAATTAACGTTTTGCTACTTTGCGGTGGAGAACTACCAAATTTTGAAGTGTACGTACAGATCTAGTGTGGAATTCTGGTTACTAAGTGGCGCATAGATTTATACCGTTGCTTGAACGTCGTGCGACGATCATTCCACTAATCATCCAAAGAGAGCCCCTAGTTATCCCGTAAGTATCTTCTTTGTATTTGTCTGCTTTATTTTAAACTAACATGAAATAGGTACATGTCGTTCTTGCTACCAGGTCATCGGATTATGTAAGTTTGCAAATCCATTTCCACGGTTAGAGACTCATAGCATAAAAGTGCAAGCACCGAAGCTTCACGCCAAAACCACATTGATGCACTTGCATTCGCCGCGCGACATGGCATCAAACCATGGATCGAAGAATTTCCCATGAGTGCTGAGGGTTTGCGTAACGCATTGACAGCACTTGAGAGTGGCAAAGTGCGATATCGTGCTGTGCTGAGTACGGAAGTGGAAGGTGGAGGCCACCTTAGTTAATATGAGACAGGAGTTTTTCTCGTTGCAATTTTGATTTACCAAATTTATCTACTAGCTTCGAGCCTCGACTTGGATTCTAACTCTCAAACTTCTAGTATGATTATTATAGAACAATTTAACAAACGCGTTTGGTTTCCGCGTAGAGTCACGAAATGCGAAGAAATCTTCTGATTGCAAAGTCCCGGCGTTGTTTCCATCAATAGAAAATGTAACCGGGGGCAACAATCATGGGATAGGGAAATTTAAATCACATTAGCATCGAATTTTTACCGGCGGTGAAATTTGTGAACTCCCATAACTCGTGCGCTACCACGAATACAATGTCATCTAAGTCAGCGTGAAAAATGGGTTGGGTTGATGATCTTACCCAACCCAACCCAACTATACTTAAGTCGACTTAAGTAAGCCTGGGTTTTGTAGATACACTGGTCATCTTTACCCCGCCGAGATCTTTGTGCAACAGGGACCATATCCCCGATAGGGTCCTCCCATCCAATGATCATAATCTATTAATGGTATTAGCATGTTCCCGAGATCCAAAAGTCGGAGCTACATAGCAACGGATCTTTCAAGGCTATTGTTTCCTCAATCAGGTTAGGTCGCTAGCTCAGAGAAGTACTCAATTCCCATAATGGGTTCTAGTTGACTTGCTTGCATCTCAGCGTTGTATATTGGCTGCACAGCACATTACTTATTCTGCTTTTTGCATTCCGCATGACACTCGGTCTTTACTGTACATGTCTGAGGATGTGAGGAGTGCTGAGATTTGTTCCGGTTCATTCGTGAACATAGGAGATTCATGAATCTCCTAGTTTATTCATAAATATTAGCGCATTCATGAATAAACTGGTTCATTTATGAATATTAGCGTAGATTCACGTATAAACTAGTTCACTTGTGAATCTTAGTGTTATTCACGAATAAACTAGTTCACTTATGAATCCAGTTTATTTATAAATGTGTACTAAACTAAAGTAAGGGAGAGAGTTCACTTTATAGGTAATCCCACAAAAAAAAACTCTTTTCTTTTTCTAATAAGAGAGCTAGAGCTAATACTGCTAGCAATAATAGAGTAGTAAAATATATCCTTATTTTAAATAATTTGAGATTCACGTATAAACTAGTTCATTTATGAATCTGGCCAGTTTATTTATAAATCTTACCACATTTACGTATAAACCAGTTCATTTATTAATTTTAGCGCATTCACGAATAAACTGACCATATTTATGAATAAACTAGTTTATTCGTGAATCCAGTTCATTCGTGAGTATTAGCGTAGATTCACGAATGAACTGGCCAGATTCATGAATGAACTAGGAGATTCATGAATCTATTATATTCATGAATGAACCGGAACAGATTCAAGCAACACGCATGCACAGGCCACCTGCTACTTTCTGCTTGCAACTCCAACTCCTTCGTGGCCAAGTGCCATTCCTGACGCAAGGAAGTGGACATCTGTCCCGCAGAGGCTGGCATGAGTTATCTTCAGGAGAATGTCTTTCGGACCAAGGTCAGCAGGCAGCTCAAGCGGGAACTTCTTGCCCGCTCCTTCCACACCGCGGTAAACGGAGCTCTGCATATTGAGGTATGCGATGGGAAGGAAGGTATTGCAAGTAATGAATGCAATTCAAGTATGGCATGATCGCGATTTGAGTCCGACATAGGAAGCTTGCTAAAGACTTAGGGCTTTGAGCCGAGGAAAGATGAATGATAAGGCAATTTATATGCCTATGTTGAACAAAAGACGGGTTGAGTTTCAAACGGACTAAAATGACGATGCTTGACATCTTCCTGCGACTTGCAAATGGGTTAAAATGCTGATTCATACTGTGGCGAACGCCTTCGGACTTTCCACGGGCATCACTTGAGCGTTGATATCTCTATATCCGTCAACTATATCGGAGGTAGACTGCGATGTATCTGATTACTATGCTCTCCGCGACCAGAAAACGTGCGCATCCTTCGAGCCTATACGATGAATGCATACGTTGCTGATGTGTCGTGAAACTGGGCGTCCAATAAATAGACTCGTTGCATATGACCTCCAAGCGGCTTGCCCTCAAATCGACATTTTCCTTGGAAAACCACTAGGATGAGAGAAATTGTGTGGGATATGAAGCCGTTGAGGTCTGTCGGCATTCTTTCACGAGCTCCCCCACAGGAAGATTCGGAATTCCACTTGTCGGTGTGCGCAAGGCTTGAGATCTCAGATGGGCTTGGAAGCGATACACTCATACTTGGTTGTCATTACAAATGGGGGTCCCCGTCGAGGGAACAACATAGTGAAACAATCTCCAGAGTGGTTAATACTGGCAGTTTATGATCATGCTATGTAGCCGTATGGAAATCATAACCACTCATTATTTCTGGTGAGCTTTCACGACTGATGCTGATGCCTCGAGGGTATATCGATGGACAAATCAGGTAGTCAGTAGACCTAGTTCCAGCTGACATGTACCTAGGTATGTAAGCAAAGTACCTCCAGTCACTAGAGTCATACAGTCAGTAAACATCCTGAGCACACCCACGTACATAGCTCCATGGGTATTGCATACCACCGCCACCACCACACCATTTGCCCCTGGTGCCCTGTTCCAAGCCCGTGCACTTGGAGGGGCATTGCTACCCCGCCGATTGACAACGCGGGGACATCTGGTCTGGGTCCATACTAAGGGTTTTAGAGTGTTTACGGAGGTACTTCAAGTCTGTTGGTGTGATCAATGAAGTCTGTGCTGAATCATTTTTGTGATCTCAATCGTTGAGATGCTCAAAATAGACCGAATGCCCGATGCCTAGCCAAGAAATGTTCCACTGTGCCAAGCCGGAGTGGGACATCAAAAAATCAACGGGGCTGCCGGGTTGGAATGATACAGTCCGATTCGACGCGCAAACTGAAACCCTAACGAGATCTTGCTCGTACGATTTCTGCATTGTGGCAACGATGATGCAAGCGATGTGTGACGGAAAAATATAAAAAAATGGCCTGACTTTTGCGGTGGCGACTCAAGGATTTAACGACTGCCGGCATACGGGAAATGTTTATCAGGTGATTCATGTTTTGAATGTAAGACAAGGTTAGGTATTTCTTCCACTGCCTCTCCAGGATTTTTTGTTGGTTTTCCAAAATCAGACCGAATATGTCTACGGATCCGCCCCTTTCGATAGCCATCATTGGCGCTGGAATAGCGGGGGTTACGCTTGCTATTGCTCTCTCAGGGCACAGCCCCAATATTCACATCACGATTTTCGAATCTCGTCTCCAGTTCTCGGAGATCTCGGCAGGCGTAGGTCTCGGACCAAATGCTGTCAAGGCGATGGATCTCATTTCACCAAAGATTACAGAGGCATACAATACCGTTAAGACCGCGAATTTGTGGCCGGAGAAAGCCGAGGTTTGGTGTGATATTCGCTACGGAGATGGCCCTAAAGCGGGGAACATGATCTCAGAAATGAAAAGTGAGAATGGGTTCGTGCCTTGCAGTGCCTCGAGGGCGCAATTTTTAGCAAAACTCATTGATTTACTTCCCGAGACCGTGGGACTGAGGTTTGGGAAGCGAGTCATTGACGTTGAAGGGGATGATGAAGATGAACCTGGAAAGACGCGAGTGAGATTCGAAGATGGGACGGACGTCCATGTTGATGCTGTTATTGGGTGTGATGGCATCCGTTCGGCATGTCGCCGCATTCTACTAGGTGAAAATGACCGAGCTGCGAATGCGGTATACAGTGGAAAATACGCATACAGGCAAGTGGTGGATATGAGCACAGCGGTTCGAGCAGTCGGACCTGAGGTTCAAAATCGGCAAGTGTATCTAGGCCAAGGAGGTCATATTTCGACATGTCCGATTCGAAACGGAAAGGCTTTGAATATAGTGGCCTTCAAAGATGCTAAAGGAACTCCTTGGAAGCAGAGGCAGTGGGTTATTCCTAGCTCGCGAGACATCCTCCTGAAGGACTTCAAAAGCTGGGGAGACAAGCCAATAAAATTGTTAGAGGTATGTCTGTACGGGTCCCTGTTGATTCTTTGCTGATGAAAATTGTTCTAGCTGATCGAAGATCCCGAAAAATGGGCTTTGTTCGATCTAATCCCAGCAACGACATACGTCAAAGGCAACTTTTGCATTTTGGGGGATGCAGCACATGCATCTACCCCGTAAGTCATCTTTTCGAAGAATATTTTCCTACTATATGCATCTCAGGATCAGTTCACACTCCTAGTGGTTGACCACTCATGAGGCATTGTCAAATCCCAAAAATTCTACAAGTCAATACTAACTTCAAGATATCTATCACAGTCACCTGGATGCTGGAGCTGGCTTCGCCATGGAAGATGTTCATCTCCTCGCAAGTCTGATGGGTCCAAATCTGACCAAACCACCATATGGTATCAGGCAAGCTTTCGCAGTGTACGACCAAATACGACGCCCAAGAGGTCAAGAACTCATAAAGAGATCCCGAAAACAAGGCATGTTGCTTGACTTACAAGGACAAAGACAGATCAACCAGGAGCTGAAGATGAGAGTACGTCTAAACCAAAAATGGGTTTGGGATGCAGATATCGAAGGAATGTTACAGCAGGCCAAGGCTCTGCTTGATGATTATAAGGAGGCTAAGTAGCTCAACTTTATTGGGTCTGAAAGTGAGCGAAAGGGAGCCAAACTACCTGTAGTGTTGGTCTCTCGACAATGTCTGATAGAGGTATAAGCAACAATGGGGAATATAAGGCAACACTTGAAGACTACACAATAACACGACGCAATATGCAAGACTCACTACTGGTTAGTGTCGAGCCGAAAGAAGAAGGGGAGGGGTTAATTTACCCCTCCTTACTCGTATCACGTGGATATCTTAGTCGGCATATGTATCTGGGAACTTTTCTGAAGTTGGAACAGCCATCTCGATTTCACAATAAATGCGCGTTCTGCGTACTAAACTACTAGGACGTTTGCGCGTGCTAATAGGTAGTCTCAATCCTTTTCCCACGTAAAATATTTCCCTTTGAACACAATCCTTCTCGGATCGTGTTGCTCTGTCCCAAAGGCCTGTGCACCGTACAATTCAACAGTCTCGCGGTGGGTGGTACTCCATCCCCATCTTACCCCTCTATGCTGTAGAGGGAATTATAAAGAAAACGCGATAGTTTATTCGTTAGAGTTATAGCCTAAGGCCTATGCGAAGCATCACTTATTTATTTAAATTATACTATGCAAAAGTTAGGCCATTCAACCGACCTCGCTAAAAAAGGGGGATAAACTGCAAGAAATTAAGATTTTCAGGGGAAATTACCCTCTAAATGCCCTCCATCATAAGGATCTTCTTGTAAAGATAAATTCTTCCAGTCGGGCGTGAGTAGCCACCAGATACGCATGTGCGGAGTATCTAAATTGAAATGGGGACGTTGCAAAGCTTGAAAATGTTGTGAAAGCTCTGGGGGGGGGGGATTATACAGAAGCTACTTTAAAGTGCCTGGTCATCTTATTATAGCCCAAATCTTCCACGCACTCATTGTTATTGTGGACTCTGAATGTTTCACTTGGGGTGGGACAATATAAATTGCTGCCGCTTCTTCTGTCCATCGCCAGAGAGTATTCACCTTTTGCAGCTGGAGCATGATACGGTTGAATTATGCCCAAGACCCTCCGAAACTGGCCCTCCTCCACCAGTAGCCTGGTCAGAAGTGCTTTTGGATGGTCCAAAAAGACTAGTACAAGGGAGAATAAATCAATGCATCTCAATAGGTCTACAATTTACAAGTCTTGCTAGAGCATGCGACTACCCTCGCCCCATGCCATTATTCTCCACAAACACAACTTTCGGCATAATTAGTATTGCCAGACCGCCTCATCGGGTTTTCTAGCTCCTCTAATATCTGTGCATGCTCTATACGTTGGTTTTGAGAATTTCTCCTGGCCCCCAGGGTTCATTCATCCGGGGGGCATGGCCTTGGAACACGGAAATAAGTTCTAGTCTCTTGTAATTGTTCAGAAGTTCAAAGTTATCTATTTAAAATCAACTCTCATATCTCTCCCCTCGTGGTGGCAAGTGTTTCACAGTCAATACCAATGCTTCGAAGTTGGCTCAAGGGATCCACTCGGTTGGTATTTTCATTTGTTAGCACACCATTCCCCTTCCTGTTGTTCTCTAGTCCTGAAACTTTTGACTTTCCCTCCATGTGTTCCTGCTGCACCGCGGATCTCGCTATCGCATCTATGAAGTCATTTAGGTGAAGAATACGATTTTCAAACTTGGCGGAAAAGAATGTCTCTAGGAATACCATGTCTCTCTCCAAGTTGAATACAAATCTATTAAATAATAGCAAGCTCTGATGCACTCTCTAATTAAGAGTCAAAGTTGTATATTTATCATAAACTAGTAAATGGGCTTTCAACTAAGAGTACTCCGTAGTGTGGGAGGACAAGACGAAGCCAGTAACGTAAAGTAAAATAAACAATATACACAAGCAAGAAATCCCAAGAAAGGGATCGAGAAAGGTATATGGTTCGATGGGTAGCTAGGTCAGTCATTGAAGAAGGTGTTAAGGACAAATTAAATCACGTAACCAATAGATCACATGGCTCCTTGTACTTAATTCTCATATTAGACGCAATCTATTTAAGCAAGTACCTTCTATAATAAGTCATACTTTAGACCATAATGACAAATATGTAGATGATTCCAATACGATGTTGAGTGTAAAGGCACACTACAGAACTGTTAAACGCCATCAAAGACTCTTACTTTCCCATGCCTAGAACGTGCTTCGAGTCATTTCCAGTCTTCTATGACGCAACATTATCGCTCTCTTGTTCGATGGCAGCAATTACAGTAGTTACGGAAGAGTATGTATTGAAGTTAATCCCGTAGTGTTGGCAATCTGTTCAATCTGACCCTGGTCACTGGCCATTGGAACTTTTCGACAACATCGAACACTGTGCCTACCCCGAAATAACAGCGCTATGGCATCAAGTAGTAACACGAAGGAGGTGGAGCTGTCTAAGAGTAGTCTCTATCACTTGAGCCAACTCACTGTCCAGCCAACTCGACCTCACAGACGTCCATCTTTATGGAGCACTTTGTATCCCTTGAGCCGATCCACTGTCCAACCAAGTCCACTCCAAAAACGTTCGTCGTTACTTATAGACACAAGGCTAAGCTTCAACCTTGTAATCTTTGACAAAGGAGTCAGATCCTAAATTGACAATACACTAGTATGTGCGAGAATCAATCGAGCGATTTAGGTCCAGTGGTAGTGAGGCTTTTCGCACCCTGGGACCATCCGCACTTCCTCAAAAACAGAATAGATCATCTATATAGACTACCGTCTTTATATACAACATGAACAGAATGCTGACTTTTCAAATAGTACCAGGGCATTACCTCCGCCTAGACCCAAGATGTTCCAGAGTTTGGAAAACTCCCTCAGTAGCTCAAAAACATGGTATGGAAGCATCATGTGCCCCCGCGTCGAATTTGCTGCATCAGGTACTCAAGGATAGCAAATGGGTCTACTGTTCAGGGCTGCCCCTCCCTACGGCTTACTGTCTGAACAGCGATTACCAAAAGGATGCATACGCAGAGCGTTACTCCAAACTCAAATCACACGATGTTCCGGCGTCTTGATCTCTAAATTGACAATAAACACTTCAGAATATCAAAGTATCAGATAATTGAATTATAGGAAAGAATTACTTAATCATCAATTTGGTATGTTCGCATCTTATAAAACTAGTTTCCTCTTCAAAAAAGTCTGGAAACGGGGTCCCAAGAATCGAGTCCCTTGACAGAGTGTGTCTCCACCACTAGCGCGAGCAATTGGAAAAGTCCAACAATCTGGACTGGCAAATGATGAATGTAGATATTGATTCGATTAAGATGGCAATGGTAAGATGAAGCCCATTACTTGATAGAGCTTATATAAGTTCGCAAGAATATAAAACTAAAATGCAAATGATAAAATTGCCACAAAGTATGAAGGAAAAGTACAGGACTGAAGTGAAACTAAGGTTTCGCTTACGCCTTCACAAGCGTCTCGCTAACACTGGTATCTGTACTGGCAGAGACCATCAGAAAAAGTGCAAAAAAGATGAACTGAGCTTGGCTCAGGATCATGAACTCATGAGAATACTCTCTGACGGGGCTGATATATTTATTAGTTTCAAGTCATAATATATTATACGGTGGTAATAACTTACAGTCGAACCCCGATCTCCCGCGCATTGTCTGGAATGACAAGCGGAAATCATGACCGTTAGACCATCAAAGATACTTGGTAGGTGGATGTCCACATTACCCTGATTTGTTGGGTAAATTTGCATAATTTACTACAAACGCTTGCCTCTTTAACGACGGCCATGTCCGACAAACTTGATGCCTGAACCTTAGATCCTCGCTACTGACGCTAGGTATCTTGGTTTCCATGCAGGAAGGCAGTGTTTTAAGGCAAGGGCGACAGATCCGCCTTCTTTCAACCGTTCCCAGACCGCCAGTTGATCTGCTGATACCCAAACCAAACTATCTGTGTTTCGTAGACACGAATCGTTGAATTTATTCTGTACTGTTGTATAAGACCGAAATCACTTTCAGTACGGTAATGGCTTAATCGCCTGTAAAGCCGGATGTACATCTGCTTCCCCGAAGCCTCCTGTGCAACACCGATATCACGAACCCATGCACCGGGACTTCCCCGCTTCCCAAACATTACTACTAACTTTAAATCTGGGGCAGTTCCTACCCGGAAACAACCCACATAGCCTGACAGTCGGGCGAACATGTGTATCACCAGGGCTGCCTGTCTTTCTGTCACTAGCTTCAAATCCTTCCATTTCCATGCACCCATCCATCTATCCGGACAAGGAAATCCCAATTGCCCATGTCAGTCAGATATCGGATTCGAGGCAATTTCGCTGGCCCTTGATCAATTGGCGTAACACACGCCACGCCCTAGTACTGCTACTGCCCTCTACGAATAATTCTTATCTTCTTTGAGACTACAAAATAAATAGCCATTACAAAAACGGGTTTTGTTGCAATGGGATGGATGTTGTGCTACGAAAACAAGGCAAACCAGTAGGGGAACTTCCGACTGACCTCATTTTTCATTGAGAAAGGTAGAGATTAATCAATTGTCCCTCGCCCTTCATGCGATGCTTCCCGACAAGGAGTGTGGCTCTTGTTCGCCCTCGTCGCCCTGTTATTCCACGTCTCTATACTCCAGCGAGTATAAAAGTCATCCGAGGGTTGTCAATTCCGAGTTCTACGACCCAGTCAGATCCCGAGAAGTCTCACTCTAAAAATTGGAATCGATTTAGAATCATATCAATCTTTACCTGTTGGCAGAAAGTCTATTATCTATCACCACTCAAACGGTTTAATAAAGCATGAACACACTTGCTCGTTACTCACAACATCTGGGAACACCTCAACTACCCCTGCTACTACCTCCTCCACTACACTCTGGCAGAACTAGAATTCATCTCTTGGCTTTCAGCGCTACAACTATCCCCTCACCCCAATCTAAACGGAACACCCCAGCTCCCTCCCGTTCACGCAAATCACTATAACCTTTTCACCTCACCTCGCCTCGCTACCAACGCACCCTCGCCACACCCACTCACTACCTACAGTATCAAAGACACCCGCCTTCCCCACACCATCACCGCACCACATTTCTCACCAACACCAACCCACACTGAATCCCCTCCCCCACAACTCCCTCCCCTCCACACCATCCCACCACCCCCCGCAATGCCCACCTCATCATCCTCCCAAAGCGCGCACAACGGTTCTTCCACCTCGCACCATTCCCACACCAAGACCCCAGAACCCAAATCACATGGGAAAAGTAGTAGCAGTAAAAGCAAGAGCAGCAAGACATTGGAAACTTATATCCATGATGGCGAAAGAGATCACCGCTCATATGCCGTGAGCGAGTATGATCCGTTGCAGGCCGAGGCGAGGAGGAGGCGGGAGGAGAGGGTTAGGGATGTTGTAGGGAAGCGGTATTGAATTGAAGGTAAGGTGCCGGAATATACGCTCATCAGAAGACCAACTGGGCTGATCAGCCGCGTTTTCTTTGCTTCGCTTTGCCTTACTCTGCTAGAGGCCAGTTTGGGGATAGTACAAAGTATAGGGATTGTAAGACTTTTTGTTTTAGTGCGGTAAATAGCGGATGGATATATGGGAAGTGGAATGAATTAATTGGACAAGGATCTGTGGTATTGTTTGTGTACAGTACAATGATAAGTGGAGATCTATATGCGCCTGGAAATGCTGCAATTTGCACCGCTGATATGATACAGTATGCAAAACAGGTATTACTTACCAACATCTTAGCTCATCTTCACCCTTTATACCCTAGTTGTTCTCATTTCCCTTCTCATTTTCGACATTGCCTTGATATATTTGAGTGGAACCGTCTAACTTTTATTTTCATCTTCACCCGTCTCATCCTCTTCTACCGCCTCATTAGAGTTTTCTTTCCGCGTGTCCATTTTCATCAAATGGTACTGTTTCCATTCAGCGCGACTGATTCTCCGAGGACTCTTCACAAGCATATCCTCGCCCTTTGAGGATTTCGGGAATGCTATAACATTTTTGACACTGTCTGTGCCCCGCATGACGGCGATGAGGCGATCGAAACCGATTGCGAGGCCGGCGTGCGGTGGACAGCCTGCGCTGAGAGCTTTGAGGAGATGCGAGAAGTCTTTTATACGTAGTGGTTTCATCTGAAAATGCCATTAGCACAAATACAACAAATCAAATGTGACACGTCTTGGGGAATGAGGAATTTCTACCTTCAGAACCTCCTGCATAACAAACAGCTGCATCTTTGCACTATGGATCCTACGACTCCCACCACCCAGCTCCACTCCATTCACAACCAAATCATAATGATCCGCCTTCGCCATCAACGGATCCGTTCGTAGCAAATCAACATCCGCAGCCGTCTTCGGCGCCGTGAAGGGATGATGTGTGGCTGAGAAGCCGGCTGCACCGCCTTGGCCAGGATCGATACCATCCTCGAGAGTGAACATGGGAAAATTGGTCACCCAGAGATAGTGGTGGTATATATCAGGTTCTAGAAGTCCATGTGCGAGTGCGGCTTTGTAGATAGCGATGCGGAGTCTGCCTAAGGCTGTGGAACCGCCCGAATGCGGTAGGTTCTCACGCGCTTGAATGAGAATCAAGTCGCCGTCGTCGAAGTTTGTCTCGTTTTTATGAGTTTCTTTATCGTGAAATGCTTGCTGGGGAAGCTTTGAATAAAGCGCCTTTAGCTTCTCGGCGCCTTCGAAGCCGAAGATTTGAAGACCTTCCAGTGGTCTTCGTGAATCAAATACTGCAACCCCAGGACCGCCGTCGACGTTCTTGCTGAAGACCTCACCAACAGGAGTGGAGAAGAACATAGCCACAAATTTTTGTATCCTCTGAGGATGACCATTCAATCTGATTTTGCATGCCTCAAAGATTGGGTTTTCAAATTGTGTAAGCATCTTTCCAAGTTGACTAGGGACGATGTGATCAATCCGTTGAATCTGGGAATATTAGTAATTGCATTTATGAACAGGATATTTAACCCACCAGGCCCGGAATTCTCAAATCAGGCTTATCCGACCCATGGTAAGACATAGCTTCATCATACGTGATTCGATGGAAGGGAGTCTTAAAAAGTGGCTGAAGAGGAGTGTCCGGCGCAGCAAACTTCTTATAGAGAGCCCTGATGAGTTTTTCAACCCGTGCCATAACAACTTCGCCGTCTGCCCATGCTATCTCAAGATCGATCTAATAGAAGCTCAGCATTGAACACATCACCGCATGAAGTTAATTACCTGCGTAAACTCAGGTTGTCTGTCAGCGCGAAGGTCCTCATCTCTAAAACATTTCGCAATTTGCATATATTTATGGATGCCACTAGCCATCAACATCTGTTTATACTGCTGGGGACTTTGGGGCAAGGCATATGCAAAGCCAGGTTTTCGCGTAGGAACAAGAAACTCCCTTGCACCTTCGGGGGTAGATTTGAATAGAATCGGAGTTTCTATCTCATGAAAATCCCTCAACTCCTCCCGGACACAAGCCGCAACATTTGACCTGAACAGTAGTGCGTTCTGGAGCTTGGTTTGAAAACGAATCTGAAGATGCCTGTTTTCTGGACGGTAGATATGCTCTGGACTGTAAGGTACAGTCTTGTCGAAGGTGTTTAGACATGTGATTTCGTCGATTTCGATTTCGAGCTCTTCCAAATGGAACCATCCTTCATCAAAGTCCTTTTCTTCCTTTTGTGTGGATGGACTTCTCGGCTTGTGTTTCTTATGTATCATCCCAGTGACACTGATGGCGCTATTGAGTCGTATAGATTGTAACTTCTTCGTCGTCTCCTCGTTCTTAGACACGATCTGGAGAAACTCGAGACCGGCCCCTCTATTTATGTGCGCAAATGTCAAGGCGCCAGATAGCCTTACTATCTTTGTAAGAAATCCGACGGTCGTTACTCGTACTGCCATATAATGGCAAGGTATTCGCTTCTCGAATGGAAAGTTTGGAGGTGGGACATTATCTAGATAAAGGTTAACAAAAGCTCTACAATGTATAGTCAATACACACAGCTTCCCTTGTATTCCTCCCAGAACGACTGCGTCTCCAATGCCGCAGCATCTACCTCTTCTTGCTTCTCTGGCTTTATGCTCAATTTCTCTTCCTCTGTCAGCCTACCACTAACATGGAACCCTCTACTGGGTGGCCATGAAGAGACCAGAGGTATGGCTGCAATCTTCCATGGCGGTGCATATACTGCTGTTCGAGTATTGCGTATTATAATGTGCCTTGCAGCACGCAGAATAATCGACATTGCCCATTCATTGCAAGCATTGACCTCTGAAGCTCGAATAACATGATCTTCAAAAACCGATGGAGCTGTCTGAATTCGGTTAGCGTGGGCTCTAGCGGCAACTGCGGGCGCTCGAACAATATATTTTTCAAAGATCAGTGGCTCCTTCCTTTCCTCTCCATCCTTCCAAGTTTTAAACATGTAAGCCCTCAACCTTCCACAGAAGACTACTCTACCACACGCAAGTTGCTAACACATACTCCTAGATGATGAAAAGCCAGCGTGTATAGCATGATTCAATCCCTCCTACTCGAGCTTTCGGACACTCCCTTCACCGGGCTTAAGGGTCTATCGTAAGGGTAGGTTGGGAGAATGAAATCAGCGTTCGGCACACACTCCTTGTTAATATCGGACGCGATGAAGGCATCTCTGACACTTTAAGCTTGGAAGGCTTCGATATAGAGGGCATGTGCGAAGGGCTGGTCTATTCAATGGCTGCAGGTCCTGCACAAAGGCTTCTCAGATTAGGGAATCGAGGAGCACATAGCACGGAGGGTGTTTGAGTGCTTGGATTCTTCTTTCCTTTTGCTGTGGCGTGTGCTGGAGAGGGCAAGTGGGGGTTTTACGATGCATTGTTTGACAGATAGCGCTTTGGGCAGGGAAAGGATTACCGTACTTGGTCTCGGTGTTGGCTTTTCAATTCACGTTTGGCGTGCATATAAAGGAGTCAACGCAAGTCTGTATCATAATCATAGTTATAAATCTTTATTCTCTTGGTACATGCAATGTCATTAATGCAGTTGGATGGCGCGTTTTGGTCTCCGCTCCGCTGATAGAAATTCATCGTGGCTATTCATTCGCCAATCACCCGGACCCTTACAGTACTGAATGGACCGTGCGATCTAGACAACACCGCCATCATGATCTTGGGCGCCAGCTCATTATTCTTCACGCCCCTCCCCTCACACGTTACAATCATAAATCAATCAGCCTTACTCTTGTACTTCCAGTTTACAAACTTATCCCAAAATGGCTATTTTATGAACACATCTCCCAACTTTACGCGGCCACGTACCCGGTGTATTGGTGAGTACAGGGTTCGTCGTTAATTGTCCGGGGAGCGTCATTTCGACTGCTTAGATTGACCCCAAAGCCACGACGACAAGGAGTCCTCGGCCAAACATTGCCACCACTCGCGACTCTTTATTTGACAACACCTGCGAGCGAAGGAGAGCATCGGAACTCAATACAATCGACTTCGAAACCCCAAGCTTTGTGAAGTCGTCGAGAGTCTGCCACTTCTTCCGGCTGCAGGCAGGGTGTCGCAACCCAGGTCCCGTCGGGTTGAACTGAGATGGCGAGTTCATTCGAGAAGTCAGTGAAGGGGGCGACCAAGATCAAGGTGAGAGAGGCTTTGACTTATGATTCCAAAATATCCTGCCGTTATCCTGCATATACTAAATTATCGTTCCACAGGCCGCCCCGCCAAAATCGAAGTATGGTTCCCTCCGCAAGCCTAGGGAAATAGAAACTGATCATGGTCCCGCATAGATACATCGAGCATATCCTAATAGCGACGCATTCGGGAGAAGCAGGTGTGGCAGAGGTATTCAGGGCTTTATCAAACCGACTACGCGATTCAACATGGACGGTCGTATTCAAGAGCTTGATCACAGTGCACCTGATGATTAGAGAGGGATCGCCGGATGTGACATTGGCATACCTGGCAAGACACAGACAAATGCTGGCTATAAGCAGCTTTTCCGATGGTGCGTATACCATAGCTGGCAGAGAGAGGGAAAGATTCTGCGAAATCCTGCAACCCTCACAGGCAATGTCTAAAGCTGTGCTAACAGAGCATGCAAAGTCCAAACCCAGGGCCGGAATATTCGGCATTATACCAATTACCTGAGCGAAAGAGCAAGAGCATATCGGGATACGAAGTGCGATTTTGTGCGTAGTGCAGAAAGGCGACTGGAAAAGATGAGTGTTGATAAGGGGCTCCTCCGAGAGACAGAGGCTGTTCAACACCAAATCACTTCTTTACTGAAATGTGATGTGAGCAAATATTTATGGGTTTCATGGCACGTACTGATAGCGCTAGGTCTTGGACAATGAGCCGGAGAACGAGATCACAATTACGGTCTTTAGAATGCTGGTATTGGATCTTTTGGCCATGTTCCATGTCATGAACCAAGCCATGATTAATATCCTCGGTATGCACTAGTGAAACACTTATATGGGAATCTTCTAACCAGATTCCAGGACACTTCTTTGAAATGTCAAAACCTGATGCAGAACGGGCCCTGGAAATATACAAAAGCTTCGCAAAACAGACAGACTTTGTGGTTCAATATCTCAGTGTAGCTCGACAATATGAACACCAAACCCGAGTCGAGGTTCCGAAGCTAAAACATGCCCCAGTCAATCTTGGAAAGCAGCTCGAGGACTATCTTGTAGACCCAGATTTTGAGATCAACAGAAGGCAGTACTTGGCAGAGCAAGAGTCAAAGGGCCGAAAGGGTGCGAACGGGACAACTAAACCTTTTCTGACTGCGAAAACTCCAGAATCGAAGGCAGCGACAGGGCGTGCATTCCCAGAGGCCGCCTCCGAGGAACCAGGCGCGAAGCCCCTACCTGCAAAAGGGCCTGACCCTGATTTGATTGACTTCTTTGATTCTATAGAGCAGAATCAACAGCCTATGGCAACTCAGATCGGACAACAGCAGCCTGGTCAGATTCCTCAATTCAACAATGGAGCACCATTGCAAATGCAGCAACCGCAACAGTTCCCTCAAAATGGCTTCGCCCAACCACAAATGGACTTCCAAAATACAAATCAGTTTCCTCCACAACAGCAACCGTTCAGTACCGGATTCGTTCCTCAGCAGCAACAACAAGTTCAGCAACCCCAACAAATGCAGCAGCCTCCACAATTTCAACAACCTCAAATACAGCAGCCACAACAAATTCAACCAAACTTCACAGGGGCAGGCTTCGGGGGCTACACTCCCCAGCCATCTTTCCAGCCTGGGGGTCTATCCTCAATCCCACAAGAGTCAGCTGCATCTTTCCAACCAGGGCAACCTCAAAATCTAGGAGTTATGCAAACAGGACAACAAACCACAAACCCCTTCCGCCAATCAATGTTAATATCCAACCCCACTGGTCTGCCCGGCCCCGCTTTTCCAGCCTCACCCCCCATAACCTCCCCCCTGACCCGGCAATCCACAAACCCTTTCGCCAAAAGCCATACCCCGCCCGGGGGGGGCCAACAACCCTTCTCGCCGCCCCCAGAACAATCATTCCAGCCGCTACCTCAGCAGCAGCCAGCTGCTCCTCTTCAACCCCTCGCTACGGGTACTAACCCCTTCGCTAAGAACATAGCCATGAGTGGTGCGCAACGGCCCCAGACAGCCGGAGGCTTAGTGCCGCAACCTACAGGCAGCACGAACCCGTTCCGCCAGAGTCAGTTTGTCAATACGGCGACGGGCACGGGGTGGCAGCATGGGCAGCAGCCTATAGGTGGGGGTTTGGATACAATAGATACTGTGCCTGTGTTTCCTCGACCGGCACAGCAGCAGGCTTGGCAGTAATGGTGAAGTGAGGTCGTTGAGTGAGGGCATTTTCCTTCTTATCTTGGTTGTTAAATCACCGCATGGCGTTCAGAGAGACAGACAGACGTTGTATGAGGGAAGAAGGCGCATGGATGCAATGCATTGTTCTATTGAAATGAATGCATAATCCCTGCCGTATCGTACATAGGAAGAGATGGCGTGGTGACCTAATTGAGTACCTGAAATTCCATCTATGTGGTTGGTTTTTGAAACGCCTGTCTGTGAACATGCCTAAACTCCTAATAACCAAACAAACGCCTTGCTAAAATCTCAACTCCCTTTTGGATAGAAGGGTGGCATGCTCCTGTCTCCATGCTTTGCTTTTCGGGTCTCTTCATGCTGAGACGTTACCGTGAGGCCAGAATGCGGACGCCGCTAGTACTGGATCCTCAATGTTTCTGTTTCTGGACCTTTTGTGATGTCTCCTTAAAAAACATCATCGATCTCCATTTTATGCCCGATGTTTATTTTTCCCCCAGATGCTTCGGCGGCTGCAGCAGTCCCAATTGATGGGTCCCCCTTTTGGCCTCGATCAGCTACCTCTTCCTCTATGAAAACACCCAACCCCGAGAACGCTTCGAACATAGTCCGAGCGTAATATTCTTGTAGACTGTATCCACCAGCCATATGCCTCGTATCCTTTTTAGCATTGCCCAGCCACTCATTATCATAACTCTCCTGAACAGTAAATCTCGCTGGCGTAATATTTACACCTCCAAACGGATCATAAGGCTTCTCTTCCACGGGCGCAACTTTCTTCTTCAAGCCCCGGATCGTAAGCCCCGAGTTGGCACTTCCATTACTCGCCAATACCTCCTCGGTAATATTCCTCCTGGCTGAAGATTTCTTGAGTATGACTTTCTGCGCCTGCCGTGTAATAGCATTGGCATTCCCATCACTATTCGCCAGCCTCTCTAGCAAATCCCTCTTCCCCTTCTCAACATCCGCCTTCTCCTCCTCCACCTCCCTCGCCATAGCCAACCGCCTCGCCCGCGCGCCCTCCTTCTCCGCCCTCTCCCTCCTCCTCTCCCCCTCAACCTCTTCTTTTCCCACCCTCTTGTTCCCCTCAATCTCCTCACGATACGCATCGCGATACTCCCTCAACCTCTCCTCAGCGCGCGTCTTCTCCGCCGCACTCCCCTCCACCAAATCGAACACCAGAGACTCGACCTCTTCGAGATAGTTATTCCAGTCCAACAGCGTCTCGAACTCATCTTGGCGCCGGTTAAACACCTCGCTGACGCGTTTCCGGATGTCGACTTCGCGCTCCACGTGTAGGTCTGTGAAGAAGGCTTTTCGGAAGCCCTTTTTGCGGAGCGTGCGTCCGCAGTGCGGCACGGGGCAGGAGGAGGGGCCCGAGGTAAAGATGCGGTCCACGCAGGTGGAGCACATTTTGTGGTAGCATTCTGGGTTGATTAGGAATTGGAGCGAGGGGTTGAGGTAGCGGTTGCTTTTGCACACGGGGCAGATGTCGTCGAGGGGGTTGGAGGAGGGGTCGGATACTGATTTGGGGGCGTTGCGGTACATGTTTGTTGTTGGAGGAGGAGAGTAGGGAGAAGAGGGGTTATCATGGGAGGTGAGGTTGAATGTTTGGAGCTTGAAGTTGGGGGGAAGCTCGATCGAGCTCGAGACAACAAGGCTGGAGTGGAGTGGCGCTAGTTTGACAAGGCGGCAAGGCTTTGAAATCGAGACACCACTACCAACATCAACGTAAATTGAAAAACTTTGTGTCAAAATTACAAACATGGCAGACGTCAAAGGTAAGACTGCTTTCAGTTTCCATTACAACATTGAAGTCCTCAAGTTGTAACCCTCTTCTATGTTACTGAATTAACACTCTACAGAACCAACCCCGCAGGAGGAAGCAACAGCAAAGGCAAAAGAAGCAGAAGAGCAGGCAGCATTACCCTACAAATGGACCCAAACAATCGGTGACCTCGACATCACTCTCGAAGTCCCCGGCAACCTCAAAGGTCGAGACCTAAAAGTCGAGATCAAGAAAAAGTCCCTGGTCCTAGGAATCAAAGGCCAAGAACCTATCATCTCCGTACATTCCCCTCCCCCTCCCCCTCTTCTCACCTCCTCCTTCCACCCCACCCCCTTCCAACACAATCCATTCTAACATCTCTCTCTTCCAGGGCGACTTCCCCCACGAAATCCACGTCGACGACTCAACCTGGACTTTAACCTCCTCGCCCTCGGGCACCAAAACCCTCGAACTGCACCTCGACAAAATCAACAAGATGGAATGGTGGGCGCACGTCATCACGTCCGCCCCCAAAATAGACATCACGAAGATCACGCCGGAGAACAGCAAGCTGGGGGACTTGGATGGCGAGACGAGGGGCATGGTCGAGAAGATGATGTATGATCAGCGGCAGAAGGAGATGGGGCAGCCGACGAGTGATGAGCAGAAGAAGGTCGATATGTTAGAGAATTTCAAGAAGCAGCATCCGGAGATGGATTTTAGTAAGGCGAAGATGAATTAGGGTGGGGGTGAGGGAGAGGGGGGTGGAGGTGATGCTAAGTCATTGATGCGAGAGGCTTGGGCAAAAATTGTCTTAGCATGCGGATTCAGAAACAAAGGCTTTGCTCTTAAAACCTTTTCGTCTGAGGCCAAGTTAAATGTATAAATTTTATATCCTCAAATGATTGCTTCAGCTAAGCGCGGCGATGGATATGTAGCTCCCAAGCTCTCCAAAAGGAACGCATAAGATCACAAACTTTTCTTGTCATAAACCACATTTGCTTGCATCTAGCCCCGGCGCTGATGAAAAACATTTTGATCTTGCCCATGTCTCCAGGCTTTTATATTGTACACATCCGTTTCACTTATACACGCCCACCATAATTTTGATAGCACCATTTTCTCACTTTGATGTATTCATCCTCTATCCATTCTCTTCACAGCATCTCTCCCTTTACCGCTGACCAGCAAGACGACGCCCCTGCACCTCACCCAAAGCCTTGCTCCCGCTCAAAAACGCTACCAGGCCCACAACTCCAGCAACAGGCAGCATCGTGAACAAACTCCACTTATAGTAGTACAGGAAGAAGATGCCTTCCATGGACACGATCGAGCCGAAGAACAGGGTGTGCGAGATGGGCGCGGAAGAAGTGGCTGCGCCTAGGTGAGAGAGGTTGGCACCGAGGTATGACCACTATAACACGTATTAGCATAGATTCAGGAGAGGCGCGGAATAGGGAGGACTTACAACTCCAAGAAGTACTGGCACAGTAGCCAAAACAGCGCCTGTGAAGAACAGCGAGATGATCAATGGGCCGCTCTTGGGGTCCGCTTTGAAGATGTGGTTGATCTCAGGCAGCTTTCCGTATCTCAATGGCTTCTCGTAGCTCGGGAGAGGGGTATTGGCGTCGACGCTAACATCGAGGTTGAAGACGTGGCTTCCAAATGGCTTGGAGACGCCAAAGGACCCGAGGAGGAGCGTTGCGCGGAGAGGAGACTTGGAGGTGAGGAGTTGGACGGGGATGTCCTTTTGTGTCTATCCCAACTATTAGCTCTGCGCCGATGTATTGGAGGATGCAGTACGCACAAAATCTACTTTGCCCTTGCCAGACTCCTTCATGGAGAAAGCAAATGTAGTTTCCAGGCCAGTATCTGGGTCTTGGAGGAGTAGGAAAGCTTGGTGTGGTCGTTTGGGCGTGCTGTCTTCTTTGGCTGTTAGGATGATCTTGAGGCTATCGTCTACGCCGACTTTCACATCTTGGGAAAGAGGAACATGGTCGAAAAGTCTATATCAATGGAACTGTCAGCATTGGTCCTAGGAATTGCAAGAACAATTGCTGCTGTCTGCCAATTCATGCGGGGAGTTATAACGTACTTGTCCTTGAATGCTGTTGATCCAGCTTTCTTGGAAGTAACTGAGACGACAGCATCGTCGAAACTCCATGATGAAGCTGCGCTGACCACGTTTGCACCCAGTAGCAGGGCAGAAGGAAGGAATGAGCGTAGGAATTTCATGGTTGGTGATGGTGTTCTGTGATGCGGAAGTTCGTGGAGCTTGAAGCCGCGTATAGTTTTAGGACACCTTTGACCCCAGATTGCCATATTGGTATCTATGTTTCACCATACTTTCAAATCGCTATCGCTTACACCCCCTGTAGAACAACAATAACCCCTATACTAGACGAGCAATATGTTTCGGAACTTTGGCCTCGAGATATATTTGTTTTTTCTTATCGTGAGTTTGTTCGTTTTGTAAACATCTTTCCAAATGACTATATGAGGCTCTACTCAGCTTCAGCTCCAAGAACCTTGGAATCGATTTGCGACTCTTGAGCGCCATATACTCAAATGCATAGAGCTCCCAAATGTATAGTTAGTTGGCTTGTTAATACTTGAAATGTCTTCAGATTGACAAACTCCACGGAACAGAAGCAGAAATAGAAACACTATCAGAAATGCCCCTCGTTGTCACGTGCAGTCCATTATTCCCATCGGCCAACGCCGCTCGGAAATCGACGAGTTTTCTCTTCCTCTCCCTCCCCTCCAAGCCACCCGCTTGATACGCCGCTACAAAGCTCTACTAAGCTATCAAGCGTATCGACTCTCCGGCCGGAAGTCAGAGCTATCAAGATATCGGTAGGCGCCGTTTGGATGTGACAAAGCGTATAAAGAGGCAACTTTGCCCCCCTCCCTCCATTTGACAATTGCTTAAACCCCACATTGCCTGCTAAACAGCCCAACTCTCACAATGGCAATCAAAACCCTCCAAATTCAACCCCTAAGCGTCCCTTCCACCTCTGCCGTCGACTTTGGCGCCCAAATCGACAATGTAGATCTCGAAAATTTGTCAACCGCCGACTTCGAGACTATCCGCAACGCCCTCTACACCTCGCACGTTCTAGTCCTGAAGAACCAAGCCGGCGTCTCCCCAAAAGCACAATATGAGCTCACCAAGCGCTTTGATCCAGCGGCAGAGAGCTACGGGCATGGAAAGACCCTTGATGCAAAGAGATCTGTGCTGCACCCTGACCTCAAGACAATCCCAAAACAAACACAAGTTCAAGTCATTGGAAATGGGTTTTACGACGAGTATGAAGGGTTGAAGAATTTCACTCTCAAGCATCCTCATCACAAGGTTTTCCACAAGGATGCTGTTCCAGAAGAGGATGATCTTGATTACACCCGTTTCTATCGCTGGCACATCGACGCTGCGCTTTACGCCCTCAACCCACCAAAGGTTACGTCTCTTATGGCTGTAAAGGTGCCAGCAGGCCGAAGGCAGACTCTCCGCTACGATGATGGTTCAGGGGAGGAGCTAGATGTGCCCCTTGGTACTACGGCTTTTGTCTCGGGTCAGAACATGTACAATCTCTTGAGCGAGGAAGATAAGAAGTTCGTTCGTGAAGCGAAGGTTGAATATGCTCCTCATCCATATGTGGTATGTAAAGTCTCAAGCACTCCAGGCCCAAATTGAATTTTCCATGCTGACTGAACTTGCAGTGGATGTCCCCTGCCAAGAGCCGTAGCGATGGTCTAGGGATGATAACTGATGACCTAGAGCTCCCAGCCTCCGAATTACCACCTATCAACGAGAAAGACATCAAGATACTCCCAATGTGCTGGAAGAACCCTGTTACTGGTAATCTTGCAGTGCAGATTCATCCCAGCGCTATCAAGGCTATCCATCTCCCTAGTGGTGAGGTGATGACGGATTTGAAAGAAGTGAGGGAGCTGGTCCACCGATTGCAACGCCCTGCTATTTCCCCTCAATATGTCTATGGACATGACTGGGAGGAGGGAGATTTGGTGCTCTTCAACAATCAAGGCGTACTTCACAGCGTCGTCGGTGCATTCAGCCCCGAGGAGAAGAGATTGTTCAGACAGTGCAATATGGCTTCTTCAGAGGGCGTCATGGGACCAGATGGAAAGCTCTACTAAACCTTCCAAAGTTGATGTTACCTAAGATGTATGCGGATGATGGATGGTTGCATGTATTGGTTTTATCTCGGCGGTCTTTCTTTGGGAACGAACTCGGCGTTTTGGACGCATCTAAGCCTCTCAGAGGGACTCGGCGTTTGAACGTAACAAAGCGTATACCCCTTTGGCTTTTGTTACAGGTTAGAAATAGAAATAGAATTTGATGATCATAATTTGTCTTTGCAGATGACTTGAACTCATGATTTTAAGCCATCCGAGCCACTCTTATCTCTTTATCCTTTTTTTCCGACGACGAAGTACCTCTGTCAAGCCGTGATTGGTGGCGCACTTGCTGAGAGAGATACTGTATGGTGTTCTTCTTTTCGGGGTCCCTTTTGAAACTGGCCAGCGGTGTACTTCATGTGGTTATAAGTAGCGGCTAACTTGGAAGGTTCGTCGCATGCTACCTAAGACTTGAGATCCCGGGCGCGACTTCCTTCTGGGTGGTCTAGCTTGCTGTTTAACATGCATACCTTATATAGCCGCCGAGCCCCAAAATAGCCACCACATATGCATATCCCTAACCGTCGATCACCAATTCCTGATTCTTTGCGCCAATCAACCGATAGTTTCCCTGCTATCAATCTTTTACAGAATGATAACTAGCCCTAGCAACTGACCAGGAGCTTTATTAGGAAGCTGGTAAGGGGGAAATCTCACCAGCCGGCTGCAGCGTCGTACTTGTGTAACCAATATATGCTGGGACGCGATCCTTCAAGGCAGCCCTTATAGTACTGTCGTATATACCTAGGTACCTATCAGTGCTATGTAAAAAGGCGGCCTTGCGCCCACAGGTCGAAAGCGGAGCCTTCCTTTAACTCATATTTTTTGCGACCGTCATGAAGCATATTTAGAGTTTCAAGTATCGCTTTGCATCTATATTTTGCCTCTAATACATCTAAACCTATACACTTGTTCCTGGAACCGATACAGGAGCGAACCTTGGTCTTGTAGCTACAGGCATTATGGATGGCTCTCGTCAGGATCAAGGCATCGGTGGCGTGGTCAGCCCAGTGTCTACGGTAGCTTTAGGAAGAAATTCAAATGTTTCTGTTGCATTAAGGGATCTTAACGAGACGTCGCTCCTTCTTTGTCAGACGAGTCAAGCATCGGGATCCGCGATAGATGGAGATAATACATTCATGGTTGTGGAATTAGCAAGTAAGATTACCCTATCATCTATGTATAGATATTGGGAGGGACATGCGTGATATGGCTAACATATCAAAGAGCTCTGCGGTCCAGGCGGACAATGTCCAGAGGCATTTACATCTAGCGCTCCAAATGTTGTCAATAGGGTGAGCTTCCTTATCAACGGAACAGATTCAAGCGGCTACAAGAACTTCTTCTTCTGTCTCACCACCTCCGAAAATAATATCTGTGGGGTTTACAGCGAGGTTTTTAACATTGCCGGCCCAGGGGAAAGTAGCGTCCCCAGCGTGGCTTCCTTTTCTCCACTTCAAACACCCATCACTCTCCAAACTCCAGGGTCAGGCATTTCAATCTCCTTGGAACCAACAACTTCTACCCCAGCAACTACTACACCATCAAAGACAATAACAAAATCAAGCCCATCCTCCCCTTCCCCGACCTCCGCATCAATATCATCAGATACAACTTCTACATCATCAACAACTCCAACAGCGACCAGCCCCATACACTCAACTACACCAACTCCAACTCCATCTTCCAGTATCAGCCAAGGAACCAAGATCGGAGTCGGTGTTGGCGTGCCACTTGCAGTTCTGGTACTTCTAACTATTAGTTACTTCTACTGGAGGCATAGGAAAGGGGTTCAAAATAAGAAAGCAAATCTGAGGGCGGAAAGTGGCCAACATACTTTATATCTGGATGGAAAGCAGGAATTGCCAGTCAACGAGCTGCGTAGATATGAGATGGAAGGATCGAATTTAAACCACGAGTTACCTGCACCTGCCAATCAACAGATTAGATCTGAGCTGGAAGATACGACGATTAGTTGATGGGAATAGGTATGACAACTGCTCCTCATGCGTGGAGTTTAGTGTTGATATAATAGCTTACTGCTCTTGACTTACCTGTACTCGTTCTCGTTCTAGCTCGAGACTGAGGTGACAGGGACGGGGTCCGGGATCATCTGCAGAATGACATCGGCGGGGTTCGCTTACTTAGAATAGGGACTCGCTTAAAACAGGGAGACACCCTTGCCCCAACTGCAATTTCCTTGGTCGACACTACCTTGGCATTAAGATGCAGTACCTTGGATAAGGTAATTAGATTAGAAAGTCTTCCAACTCCTTTCATTCATCATCTAATCTTCATAAACTCTTCTCTTGATCATGTTATAGACACAATCAGCGGAATCCATCCTCACGATGGATCCAGATCAACCAGTCCCCTCGTCGGAACCTCCCCCTCCGTCCTCGACAACGGAGAACCCAGTCGTAGCAATTGGGAGGAAGGTCAAGTCGGCTTTGAGTACGCAACAACAACCAAGTATTCGCATATTACGCGCATCTTCGTCCACGCGAGAATCACGTCCATCCCCCTTATCTAGTGGGGTCGCAGAGAAACCTTTGCCCGAGCTGCCACAATCGAATGAAAACGCGTCTACCAATCGCTTTTCCAACGCGGCAAATCGTGCCAGCGCGGCAGTCCGATCAGTGTTCAATCGTGGAGAAGATGTCACCGATGATGGGATTGAGAAGAACGAATACGACACCGACACGGTTGACTTGATGGATGTTGTAGGCATGTCTCGCCCGTCCAGTACTGAAGCCAACAGGCTGACTCTCTCCAGACCCAGAAGTATCTACACTTTCTACCCTTACCAATGTCCAGAACTCACTTTTCGTACCTTCCCTCGGAAAAATCATCAATCGTCGGGCTACATACAAAGTTTCCGAGGAACCTAGTGACGTACGCTTGATTGACAAACTCAAAGCTTCGTTAAAGCGCTTGAAACTTGCTGTGAAGGAGGAGAAAGGAGAAACCTCACCGCTAAGCAATGCACAATACGCTGTCTTGCCAGATGGAGAAACACTCCAGGGCTGGACAAAGGAGAACAAGGAAGAGCTAGATGACATTGTTAGACATATGCTTCATTCTCGACGAGCACGATTCAAGCGGTCTATGAAGGGTTTTTGGCAGTATATACACCGACGTGAGTTTATCCTCTGCTTATGTACCCATCTAGGAGGTCTGTTAATGATATTTGGCAGCTCTTGGATTGTTTGTAACGGTTTATGCGACTTTAATCACACTCTTCGGCGCGGCTTGGGTACTTTTCCTCATCGGCTGGATTTCGATAGGTTCCAAGCGATCCTATGTTATCAATATCGTCGATAATGTCCTCGTTGCCCTCTTCGCCATTATTGGTGATGGTCTTGCCCCTTTTCGTGCAGTTGACACCTACCACATGATATACATAGCGCATTACCACCGCAAGACTTGGAAGAGGAGAGACCAACTTGGTCTTCCAGAATTAGTAGATCATAATGATCTGCCTGAACAGCGAGAGGGAGAAGCTGAGCCAGCCGGAGTTGACCTCGAAAGTTTAATTGCTCGAAAGATGCCTCGCGGCCTCGCCCGGAGAATTGCTCCTAAGATCCTAAACAAGCTTGCTCAGAGAATGATCGCTCGTAACGAGTCTCCACACCCATCACAAGAATACTCCGTCTTGAGTGAAGAAGAGTTAGCTAAGCTCGAATATCACGAGAGGAAATTCTCAAAAAGCCACACTTTCTACAAACCGCACGAGACAGAAACACACTTCGCCTTCCCACTGAAGCTCCTCATAGCCGTCGTCGTCTTACTCGATTGCCATTCTGCGCTGCAGATTACTCTTGGCGCATGCACATGGGGCATCTCCTACCATACAAGACCTTTTGCCCTTACTACCGTGGTACTGTGCTTTAGTATCACCTGCAATATCATGGGTGGCGTGCTCATCTCTATAGGTGACAAAAGAACACGCAAGAAGGATGTTATTGAGCGAATGATGCGTGAAGAGCTTACTTTAGAAGCCAAAGAGCAGATGGAAACACGGTGGATGAAAGAAGCAGAAGAACGAGGAGAGGTTGATCCTGCCGTAAGGAAGAGATTGAAGGAGGAGAAAGAAGAGGCAGAGAACGAGGAAATCAAAAATTCTTGGAAGGTTGTCCCGTCGCTGCCGAAGACGTTGCTGGGGAAGGGTGTGGATCACAGACAACCATCGTTGCCGCAAAAGGACAGGTCTAGTTTGAGCGTTGATTCTACGACTGCTAAGTCTTCTACAACGAGGAAGCCTCCCCCCAAAGGAAGTACAGGGTTACCATCTCTGCAGGAAGATCCGGCGCAGGTGTCACGTCCAAAACCAACAGCGAGAAGTGGTGAGGAACCAGCAGACGAAGGGATAGGACCAAAGGTTATGAGATTCATCAGGAGAGCTGACATGGATAAGAGTTGAATTATCACATCCTTGAATTGAAATAGCTTCACTCGGTATTCTAGATCTCCAGGTGACGAAGTTTACTGCATCTGGAATATTAATCATTTATTATTCGGTTTTATTCAACTATTCTATTCCATCAAAACATCAACATCTATTCTTACCATTACATTTCTCTCCCAATCATCGAGCTTCATCTTCAAGAATCCGCCGGATCACCTCCTCATTCGCAGCCGCTTCACTCTCCGCAGTCAGCTGCGCAACGAGAATCTCGGTTGCAGTGAGATTCGGATCTCGGGGTCGGGATCTAGATCTACGTCTAGGTCTAGGTCTTGGCCGACGTCCTGCATCGATCATAGACTGTTCGAGTGCTCGTCTCAGCGCTTCATCTTCCGCGTCTTGTAGGCTTGCGGCAATTGCTGCATCGATGTCGGAAGAGTCGTTGCTGTCGGAAGAGTCGTTGCTGTCGGAAGAGTCTTGGTCGAGAGGAGGTCTGGAACGCGGGTCGTGTTGAGGGCCGCGGGGTGGTACTGGATGGGAACCCCAGGAAGGGTAGCGGGGTGATGTGGAGTCTGGCTGGTGATCTGGCTGAGGGCCTTGGTGGGCCGCCTCTATATCTTGGTTCGTCGCCCCGATCATGTATACTAGGCCGGCGGGGTGGAAGACCGGCAGGTGGTCTACCCAAGGGTTGGGGTGGCCCGTACATACCATCTTCATGTCTTGGTTCGTCTCCCCTTCCTGGGTACCCGTCCCACCCATCCACATTCGGCGGGCTCTGTGGTTGATATCGAGGTCGATGCCGCGTGATCCCGCCCGGGACGCCTGGGCCTTGCAGCATCCCCCATTTACCAAGCTGCTCATCCGTGGGTCTCCAGTTGACAGCAGCTCGGACCTCATGGATTACCGAATCATGAATCCCATAATCCATCGTATCCCACGGCACCTGGTCCTGGAACGCTTGTCCCAGCGCCAGCATAGCATCCGCCCACGCCGGACCATGCCCCGTATCCCCAATCCCGCCTTGGGCGGCAGCAGACGTCGACTTACAGCGCTGGCTCTGGCACGTATAAGAGCTGAAGAATGCATGCGTCATCTCGTGCAACAACGTCGTTATGTACAATTGCTCGATAGTCATCCCTCTCGCGTGATCTTCACTTCGCAGACTCAAGTACCGGTTGATATCTAATCTCCCGATCCAGACGCCGTTTTCGTAACGCCCCGACGACATGCCCCGGACCATGGGACTCAGATGGTGCTCTGGATTAGGCGATGGGATTCCGTCGTTTAGGAACAGGTGGTCGCGCAGTATACTCAGACCCCCACCGAAAAACAGCGAGTTGAAGATATCGAACCACGCGATTAACAAGCAGACGAGAATATGTTTATCATCACCACAGTTTGGGATAGGAGCGCGTAAGAGGTCTATCTGAGTGCTTCGTAACTTGTTACGCAACTCACCGTCGCTCTGGGCTGCGCTGAGGATTAGTGTTTGCGAGATGTGCTGTTCTTTGAAACGGTTTGTGAGGGATTGACTAGCTAGATCTCGAGAGAGGTTTTGGGGGTCGATCGTTGGGTGGTTTAATACTACTCGGTCTGGTGTGTATGAGGGATGGCGAGGTTGGCGGAAGATTGAGGGTGGGTAGTAAATGCGGGGAATGTGAAGTCCGCCCCAAGGGAACGGCATACTGTACCTACCTATAAGCTAGTTCAACCTTCTACCTGTGAGTTTTTGGAAAGAGAGAAGTTGAAATGATCTGGCGTAGGGCAGATGAAGAGCATTGTATCTATAACTTGGCGTTGTTTCTTTAACCGCTATTATATTATTTCTTTGTTGTTTAGGGAACAGGTGCATTATATAGTATAAAGCACAATTATATCTCAGAAAACAAGTAACCAAGAGATATTGTCTAAATACAAGTACCTTTAACTTTCAGAGAACTTTATAAAGAGATAAAGAGACAATGGATAATAGATATATCACAAAGCCATCCAGTATCCATCCTCACACATACCCCATCTACTATCACGTCACAGCATAATTTAGAAACCAAAGAAAGGCGAGGTTTAGTGAAAAAGGATCTAGTATAGTAATCACAGATCAGCTTTTCTAAGAACGAGAATATAAATAGGAACGTAAGAAGGGAAGACGGTCGCCCGTTGCTTATACTAGCTTGTTGCTATATTCTATGATAAATTCTATGATGAATAAATAAAACACTTGGTGTGTTTTGTGTTATATGATAAGTAGGAGGTGGAATTCAGGGGGGGTGGGTCTCGTGATCTATACACGTGATTACGGTTCTGTGAGAGTACTAGATATGTATTCTGAGGCGTCATTGCAGTTAGGTAGTATGCCGCTAACTCGCCTAAATCCCTAGTATAACATTCATCTATAAAAAGCCATATATAACTCCTAAAACCGCCCTCTCACATCTAATGAACCTTTCTCTACACTCTATGCTCACTTTCTTGAACTCAACATCCAAATACATATAGTATCATATCCACTTCAAATAAACAAACCTAATCATTTCCTAGGATCCTTTCTTCCCTTACCCTCCTACAAGCATTAAATCCACCTACCCACCAACCTGAAAATAAGATAAGACGAGAAGGATATTTCTTCTCAAATATCTACCAGTAGGCAGCTAGCTCAAATATATTCACACGACATTCCCTTTCATTCATTCATTCATTTCATTCCATTTTATAACCTGCTTACATGTGTGAATAAGTACCAAAGCAGTAAATGGCCCGATCAAAGACGGATCCCGAGGACGTGTGAATAAAAAACCTGCAGTTCAAACGGCCCGAATAGATACTGGAGATCCCGGGTAGTATGTATGTATGTATGAATCACTTACTCACGCCCTTATCGATGACGCTGAGATATCGATAGTATCTACCTTGGTTATCAAGAGTTGGATTCGTTGACTCGCTCGCTACTCACTGGAATGTTGAGGGAGTTGGTGAGGTGAGGATATACATGTCTTGGCGGTATATTATGGGATGGGATGGGATGAGTGCAAGGGGAGGGGAGGGACAGAGGCATAGCATGTTAAGTTGCAGCATTCATCACAGGCAAAGATACCAAGTACGAGTATATGAAACGCATCAATCACTTTTGTTTATTCATAAACATTCCCATCACTACATAAACCAAATCACATGCTCATATATACAAATCATGTCACAACTCAAGTCAATAAAAAAATATATTTCCGTTGAAAAATCATTGATCCATTCTATTACGCAAAAGCAATTTAGATCTCATTTCCCCAGCAAAAAGCAAGGAAGTCTAGCAGGTAAGCAACGCAACGCAACGCAACCCAATGCAAATGCAAGTTCTAATCCCTTCAAGAAATCAATTCAGCGATAGACAAACGACAGTACGTCTGGCATTCCAAGCCAAAAAAAAAAAACTCCCCGTGAGATGTGGTGTGCAATTTGTCGAAGAAAATTTGACTACCCCGCCAAGTCCATATATGCATATACAACTCATGCATATACAATCCATCTATACCCATTCATATGCAACAATGCAAAGGCGGAGAAGATCGTGCCTGTTTGTGACTTTGACTGATTGAAATATTGGGATATTCAGACGGTACCGTGGCGGCGGCGGATGCTGATTTTGTCTCCCAGAGGAGGGGCCTGACTTCCGACAAACCAGTTGTTGTCTGGCCGGCGTTCAATGGGCTTGATATCGTAGTTGAGCGCAATGTAAGCGAGGACCAGCTTGAGCTGCTGGGACGCAAAGAACCGTCCAGGACTGTTTAAAATAGTTAGCAAATGTCAGACGTAGGGATGGGGGAGAGGGATAACTTACCAAGCGTGTTTTCCGTGAGAGAAGCCCATAAAGGTTGCACTGGTTGTCACAAGCGGGATGCCTTTTTCCTTTCCAAGCATATTCTCGGGGTGGCTGTCAGATGTTCCGTCCTTGTTAGTAGGCGGCTTGCAGAATCGGAGACCATCGAATTCGGTTGGGTTCGGGTAGTAGTCGGCGTCGTGATGAAGAGGGTATGCGTGGATGCCAATCTTTGTGCGGCAAGGGATGTGGGTTCCGTCGGGCAAGTAGATACCTTTCTTCACGATGACTGTCTTGAGGACTCCCCGGCTGACGAACCCCCATAATCGCATACTCTCTCGGAGAATACTGTCGAGCGTCAACATACGAGAGAGCGCAGCTTTGGTCCATCTGCCATGTTCAGCTTCGAGGTGGGTAGAAACGTCGTCCCGAGCGGTCTGTAGGTACATTGGGGTGAGAGGGGAAGCTGCTAAATCGAAAAGGAGGTTGGCGGAAGTGACGACTGAGGATTGAATGGCTGCGAAGCTAAGTGCAGCGAGGCGTTTGGTAATCATGTCCGAACCTCGTTCAGCCTCGGTTTTCGCGTGATCCAAGGACCATTGGACGTAATTGTTCTCCTTAGGGCTGGCTTCAGAGCATAAGGAGGTTTGTCGTTTCCATATTGGAAGGATAAACTTTGTCATGTTCAGGTATAGTTGGTAGTTGGAGTATGTGACAATTTGGCCGACAATTCGCTTCAAACACTGAGGAAAGAGACTAATACAAGCGGCCAAGAGCACAACCCAACGGTTGAACCTGGATGAATTGTAGAGGTATTCCTCATCGCGACCTAGAACAAATGAATTAGTAAAGATATGTATAGAGGGGTGGGGGAAACTTACAAAGTTCAGAGCCAACCAGTACTCGGTTGGATATGCGGGTGATGATCTCGGACATGACATCGTAAACCACAATCTCGTTCCACTTCTCGGTGTCAACTCCAAATGATTTACGCATGGCGAAATCAAGCTCATCGTTGACGGCTTCCGTAAAACCTCCGAGGCGACGGTTCAGCTCGTTCTTGATGACATCTCCGTGGACTGCATCAGAAATGACCATTGGGTGTAGCATTGTGTGATCGGCTTGGAGGAAGTCTCGGTTGACCTCATTCTGGTCGAGCACCTCGTCGGATTGCTGTATCAGCCATCCCATTTCCGATTGCGGGAGAATGAGTTCCGGGCCGGTGAAGATATTGGGCAGGACAAAAGGGAGACCATTTTTGGAATACTTTTCATAAGCCTCGTCTAAGAGAGTACGAGAGCCACCAAGACTTTGCAAGGTTGCTCGGGCACGCGACAGCCAAGTATAGCGCCCCTCGTGCACGCCGGCCCATGGAATTGTATCAGGAATACCCTGGCGAGAACAGAATCGCAGAAAGGCCAGGCGGACAGAGGAAACTACCAGGAAGATGCAGAAGGAAACAGCTAGAACCTGAGGGGAGAAGTGCATTATAAAGAGTATAATGGCTAGGAGCTTGTCAGGAGGGATTGCAACAGTATGTTGTATTTACGAGATACGAAGCTTATGTAGAGAGGAGAGATGGGTCAAATATCTAGTCCAAGGTTGTAGGCTGAGGAAGTGTCGAAGTGGGTCGGAATCTGTTGAGGTTTGTCAATTGTATCTATGGGGGAAGTAGTCACGAAGCCTTTTTATATTTTACCTTTGGACACTGTTCTGTGAATCGCTCCTTCCTCCTCCTTTCGAGAGGAAACAATACGCGAACAGGAAGTTCTCATCGCATCAGCAATGATATATTCATTTACGATCCGTAAAGTAACTGCTTCTTATATTCATTCCAGACCTGCCCGCAAATTCACTGCGTCGTTGAATTCACCGGCATCTTTCACACCGGTAAGAACGGTCCTTGGAAGGAACATGCTTCGGTCCGACGTGCGCGTAGTATATTTGCTTTCGAATCGTGCAATAGGATCAGCCTATCTTGCATTGCAATCACGTAGAGGAAGATCCGTGACAAACCAACAGTGTTTTCGAAGAGCGTGCGTGTTTGAGCCTCTCTTTGTCTTTGTCTTTGTCTTTCTCGTTGCTCGCTGATGTCTTTATACCGGAAAACAAACCACGTTGTTCTCGAAGAACCAGCTTCTCTTTCAGGCTTCAACATGGACAATGTGATTGTTTACTTCACCTTTGTATGAGAGTAGGATCTAACCCGAGGGACCACACCAGGCAAGTATAAATGGGGGGGGTTTAAAGGCAAGAACAAGATAACAGCGCTACGCGTAAGAATCCCAAACAGAGGAGTGTGTACTTAGGCATCTTAATCACAGTACAGTTCATAAAGCCAAATGTTCAAGAGACATAACACCGAGTACGCTTCGAGACGATGAACAGTCGCGCTTGCAGCCGTTAACAGATTACAGATTACATTATGCTAAAGGAACACGCGTCGCGGTCGTACTATTCATTTGGTAAAAACATTCATTGTCCAACCTGACCGAAGATGGCTTAAGCATCTCTAAACAGAAGAAGATAGATTGGCGGTAGTATAGGACACGGCAAACAGGACGGGGTCTCTTCAGAAGTGAGAACAACAGGAAGTGAGGTGAGGTGAGGTTGTTTATACTAAGATAGTGGTAGTTGCCCTCCTCGCGTGCCGATCTTTATTGTCCCTATCAATTATGTGGAGAAGATCCACCCGATCCATTTTACTTATAAATATAGTATACTACCGAGACTACGTCATATTACCTCAGGGGCAGAGGCGCAGCACGACGCTAGAGACTCGCTTACTACATGGACATGGTCCGTGCTTCTGAGGTTGAGGTTGAGGTTGAGGTTGAGGTTGAGGTTGAGGTTATTCCCAACTTCCAGCTTCTGCACTTCCAGCTTTCCTCTAAATACTTATCCTAGTCAAAAAACCCATATCTTAATAATCTACCTACCGAACTATAATAGAGAGCCGAGTCTAGAATCTTGCGTCATGTAACCTACTCACCTAACGAAACTATAAAGTAATTATTCGTAAACTCCGGTATAAGGTATCATGTAACAGCAGTCGAGTTCCACAACATTCATCTCTGCGATACCGTACCATTCCATAACACCGGGACCTTCCAAGGTTCCATGGAGAGTTACCCAACTTACCCAGGTATTCCATGCATAAACCTACGATGCGGGGTACTACATCGATCCGCTCAAGAGCTTGACAGTCCCGACTCCTGGCACTCTGAGACCATGACGCTATGACGTCCGTCATACTACGTTTAATAAATGGCCCAAGGTATATCTGCAATATTCCTCCCCTTCACGTTTCCACTTCATCGGCTATCCCCGTACCATAATAGTTTAATGATGCCCAGAGATCCTGAGCCGGTCTAGCTAGCACACGGGAGTTTCATCATTGCATTTCCTGAAAGCTGGATGTAGCGATAGAGAGATATTTGTTCGTGTATCTAGGTAGGATATTGTACGTAAGTGGCCATGGTTTCTTCGCAATTGGTAATGGTCGATTGGCTTCTTGTTATACCCTAGAGGAAAGAAACACTCGGTGCGTGCTGGTTTTGGTTTGGGTCTAATTATCTATGGAGGGAGGGGAAGAGAAGGTGCTGTGTGAGAGAGAGAGAGAGGGATCTCGATATAACTTATAACTTGCAGTTTGTTTATTAGGAGTTGGATGGGGTGGGTTTCGAGGGGATCGAGATATATTTAGGTAGGTAGCGTGGTCTGATTTGAGGTTTGATGCCAGTTGGAGTGGGAGAGGCATTGGAAGTATTGCAGGTCATAGGTGCGCCGAATCAAATAGCAGAAAACAGAAGAGAATACAGAAATGCATAAAGGCTCAAGAAAAAACCCGAGATAATCTGATTACCTATTGATTTATACACACGCTATGCTATATTCCCATGCCATCCCAAGCTATCCATCCATGTATTTATTCCCTCCCTCAAACTCCTATAGATCCATGCTTATTAAGGAATACAAAAATCAATCCAGCTCCCCAAATAATCCATCTGGTTGCCCCTCCCCTCCCTAACAAACCTCTTCACAGCCGTCTCAAACTCCTCTAGACTAAGCCGTCCCCAGCCTCCCTTTTCCTCCGCATCCATAGCTACACGCTCACAGAGCCAGTACCTGTAAAGTATTTCTCTGCCTGGACGTTGTCCATAATTTGCGTCTGTGGAGGCGCAGTCGGATGAGGGGGCTGGACGAGAAGGAAGCGATATTGGGAGTGCGTGTGTGGTGGAAGGGGAAGTGGAGCGATTGCGGGGTTGGGCATCGTTGTTGGGGGAGAAGCTGGTGCTGGAAACAGAGTCGGGGCGGAATTGGGGGAGCGTGGGGTCGTGGTATGAAGAAGCGGATGAGGATGGTATTGACCACGTTGAGTCAGGAGAGCCTGAGGGCGTAGCTCGAGGAGATGGGGATGATGTTCGGTCACGCCCCTCGTATTGGGATGCTGGGATTTGGTGGCGTGTAGATTCGATGGGGAGCGTGCTAGGTTCGGGGCTCTCTGGGTCTTGATAGATGTCTCCAGTCAGGAGGGGATTGTGACGCCAACTGTCTGCGGGCTGGGAGGGCTCGATTTCTGGGATTACTTCCAGCTCGGGGGTGCCGTCGCTCTCTTCATCTGGTCCATCCACATAATACCCAGTGTGATTTAGAAGATCGTCAAGTGGTCTTTGTCGCACCTCCTCTACTTCGACTTCGGGAAAGGTTGGCCATGGTTGCCGCGTTTCATGGCGCAGGGGCGTATGACTGCGCTCTGCGTGCTGTTTTTCCTTGGCCTCTTTTTCCTTTTCAAATGCCCAATTAAAGAATTTGGGTTTCGTATACTCGTATCGCCACCGCTCTCGCTGTTCCTTGTTCGCAGCTGCTTCCACAGCTAGATCTTCTTTCTCCTTGAACAATGGGTCTAAAAGCTCATTGAACGCTTGCTGAGTCACTTGATATAAGATCTCCTTGCCAGCATCTCTCTCCGCATCGGGAATACCCATTCCTCCCCACCGCTCAGGAACACTTCTTGATGAAGTCGAAGGATTTGATCTGGTATCAAAATCATCCATGTCTTCTGCAAATCGTACCTTTGACGATGATCGTGAATGCATAGAAGGCCTGGACTGGGATTTTGAACTCTCACCCACCACCTCGTTAGTAGCGAACACATCATCGTGCTCTTTCCAGTCGACTGGTGGCGTCGCACCCTCTTCTTCATCAGTGTAGAACTGCCTACGCTTCCATCGTTCATGTATCGCTTCTTCGGCACGCTCTCTATATACAGCATGTGCAATGACTGTTCGCCGGCTTGAAGGATGAACAGTTGAGACACGAGCTCCTGGTCCATCAATGGCCTCGGCGTCCTGGTCCGTGACGGTAGCATAATTAGGAAGCCAAGAATAATCGTTATCTGCACCAGTAGATATATCGTCCGAGTCGACTGAGGTGTTGTCTTCATCTTCCAAGATATTAATATTGGTGACCAGGGCTGGATGCGCATTCCTGCTCATGTTGGTAGCCGCTGTCACTGCCCTATCGGCACGATCTCGATTCCTTCGCATAGCTCGAACCATGGGATCCAATTCTCCAAGACTTGTGGGCGGATTTCTCATAGTCTCCCAGTATCCACCAGTATCTTCGCCATGGCTGTGTTCTCTGTGAATCTGGTTGTACCGGCTCAATAACATGATGTTTTGCCTGAAGATGTCCTCTCTGTTGCCCCTGTCTTTGCTGTTCTCATTCATGATACCCTGTCCATCACTAATCTCAAGGTCGCCATTTGGCTGTGCGGTTTTACCCTCCCCTGTCCGGTAATCTGGAGCTCTGGGATATCGACCATCTTGTCCAAAAGCACTGCTGAGAGGTTGCCGGCCAGCCACTAGCCGATGTGCATCCGTACAGCTCATTTGCTGTTCTTCCATGCTTTCCAACATATCCCGGTGCATCTGACGGTAGAGAACGTAGTATGAGCGGAACATTCGCAGAAAGTCCTTCCTGTCTACAAAGCCGTCTCCATCGATATCATACCCCTCGAATATCCGACGCCATTTATCTTTCTTCTTTCGGTACGCGATGCCATTTAGGAATTCGGGAAAACCAATTAGATCATCCTTGTTCGTATCGTAGAAGGCGAACATTCGGTCGAATATCAAACTAGGCGATGTGTGTCTGTACCCCCCGGAAGGAACTAAACAGCATTCAAAGGTCTTCCTGTCCATAGCCAGATTGATATCATCAGGATCATCTTTCCAGTCCGTACTCGCCATAAATGTCCACTGTTCCCAATATGCATCCAGCTCTGGCCGTTCGAACCCAGTCTCCCTTGAAAGCTTCGTAGTGATCTCCTTGGGCAGGACCCGCATCACAGAATCTGGATCCCCAGCGTACAACACTGGCTGGATACTCCTAGGCCCAAATGAAGGCCCGGGAACCTTGATCTTGTAGAATATATGAGTCTTCGTGTGCACTCCTTGTGATTCGCATCCCTCGCAGAGATCGTAGTCGGCGCAATTGGCACATCGGTATCTGATGCCCCTGATGGGCACTATGCCACAGCTGTTGCAGGCACATCCCCTATGAACATATGCATTCCGTCTTGTAGCATCCTCGGAGACTCTGAAAAGAAGCTGGACGATGTTCTGGCCGCTACGCTCTGGTTGTTCGTGTTGTTCTGGTACGCGTGTCCACGGATTGTCATTGTCTTCTTGATCATCTACCACAGTATCCCCATCTGTCAAAGTCCGAGGGATCAGTTGTTCTCCTGAATTGTTCTCCGATCCCTCGTCGCCGAACAGATTCGACACATCATCGGTGTTGTTTTCGCTTCGTCCCTCGGTGGCTCTGTCAGTAGGGCCTGCGGTGGTTCGTCTTCGCCGCCGATGCACGGCATTTCTTCGAGACAGTCGCGGACCTGATCGAGATTGTATTTCGGTATCAGACGCAGAGCTGCTGTAGAGATAATATGTGCCGTATGCAGCCGCGAGCGTTGTCAGGGTCAGAATAGTGGCCGTGGATCTGGACAAGCTCGAGGCTGCGTTTAATGAGGCTGACATTGATGCTTCTGGTCTATTTGTCGCAAGGTGAGGTCTACCGGGCCATGTACGAGGGTTTCGCTGCTGTTTCCATGTCTCCAGCTACTGTAGACATGTATGGGAGCATCCAGAGATGGAGCTGTGTTGTTGTGGCATTGTACGGAGTACTGTTGATAGGGTTGTCTTTTCGTAAAGTTGTGCATTGTCAAAATTCGCGAAACTGTGTCAGCCTTCTCATTTTCTTTCCGCCTCAGCGTCTCTCCTCGGCGTTCATCACAACAAGCCGGCTTCAGCTCAACATGTACTATCTGCGATATTCTCGCGTACTAATGGTACTATGAACAATTCGCCGTAGACCGTAATAACGACCAAGTCTTCACGAACAGAACTTTCCCAGCAATGCCTCGAACTACAGTTTACACATCCATAACTTTTCTAAACTCCTTCTCTCCTACCGCAAAGTACTTGAAAATAGGACAGGGCTGAATGGCCCAAGAAAGACTATGGGTCCGGCCAATCCGGATGATCAAAGTCCTCTCACTGTTGGTATCCCTAGGAGAGTCAAACTAGTAGATGAACTGATGCAAAGTTGCTCGGACTTTCCGAGGGAATCCTTCAAGACGAGTTGCTTTGTATGGATTCCAGATTATACTTATAACAATCCTTTTTCAATTCATTTGGCCCTCCTCTTTTAGCCCTCGAATGTCTTTGCCTCTTAAGAGTTGAAAATCCCTGGTACCTAGAATCTGAACCTGCAGTTTACGGGGAAAACAAGATAGTCGATGAAGCTTCGGAAGTTGAGATTATATCATATTCGAATATCTATGTTAAAACTTATGGACAAACATTCATCCCCTCCAGTCTCCCAGTATCCCAGTCTCCCAGTCACCTAGGAATCAAGTCCTGGGCACATCTCAGACGTCTCCTGTGTAACGGCACCATAGGGACTCGGATCCGTCCAGATGTAATTGAAGCTATTCATCAATCAGCACTCACTCTCATGCCTTTCTCACTACTCACGAAGCATCGGGATAAGTAGGCGCATCGTTATCGCCCAACGCCTCCACAATATCCGTCAAAGCATCATGCTCCCAGCAAATCAAGACATTCCCACTTCGAAATTTGTCGTGATCGAAAACAAGTTTGGCTACACAACTAAAGTCGTCGCGCTGGCAGAACGTGTCGACGGTAATACCTAGATCGTCGGCGAGCGGTTGGACGGTCATTAGGGGGCGGTTACGCGATCCATCTAGATGTTGACATTGAGTTAATTTTCCCTCGAGTTTAACAGTAGATGGGACTCCTGTTGGAGAGAAGAATGAAGATGGATAGAACGAATCTTACCGGATTTCGGCCGTTCAGCAATTATGTAGTCGATGTAGTATCCAGATGAAGTCCCAAACACGTTTCTCAGACATTGAGCTCGTTCCAATCCCTGGGGACTGAGTCCATGTTCTTTGTCATCTTCTGGCTTTTCACCGTGGCGGATTAGGTATACTGTGTTCTGTGCTGAGAAGCCTGAGATGGTACTCAGGAGGCTTGCCACCACTAGAAGGATGGACGCGCGCATCTTGCTTCGTTTTCCTATCCTTAAATGCGGGTAAATTTTTTATAACTGGCCATGGTACTGCTCCTTCCTTTATACTTCAAAAATATTCAAATCTGCTTGCTCCCACTGTGTGATTTCGTGCAACTGTAGTATTGCACTACGATCAGTAGGGCGGAACTATCGCCCATCAAGGTTGTAAATGACCTCGAATGATTTTAGCAGGAACACCATGTGGCTTGTAGAATACTACATTGTTAAATCTATTTGGAAGGCCAAGAATGTGTTTCTGTGTAGTAGTTGCAACTTTGGGGTTGACAATTGTAGATCTTTAACAACGCTGGCACCGACATGGAAGGTGGAAGAACGCGTACAACCTATCAATGGCTCGTAGAACTCCCACATTGTACAGCGGATCACAAGGACTATGTCCAGGAAGTACAACACGCCTTTGACGTCTTTGTGGCCATATATCAGTCACACTTGTGACTTGAAGAACGTATATACCTATACCTCTAGTGTGCGCAACATTCAACTCGAGTCAAAAACTCAAAGCCCGAAGTGCCACAAAGAGTACACCTAAGAAGTGGAATAGCTATTCTGGTATTTTCAGACTCGGGCGACATTCGACTAGATGATGAACTCCGACAGTTTGCAACGCAGCAAAACAATCTTACAAAAGCGCAAGATACAGCTAGAAAATCAAAGTTATGTATATCACAGCGCACAGCCCTTCTTATCACGTGAAGTGGGGTGTGCCTGTCACGTGATTGGAATACCCAACACGAATTAGACGCGCGTTGTTTGCTCCAGTTTCCAGTTTATTTTCTGACCTAGAGGCTAGCGACAAGAGTGTTCCAAGGATTTGGATAACTTCACTCCTAGGACTGGTCTGACTCGTGTAGAATGTCATTGTCTCTTTTACTTTCCAATTATTCACGTGCTACCCAAGAGCTTCGTCAGCCCGATCGTTCTCCCCCCCTCCCCCCCTCTCCCCGGCCCACCCTTGATCCTGGGATCGTCCCAAAAGACCGGTTAACGTTTTTCTCTTTGTCAACGATACCCATACTTTTTCTCTACTTTTCAGCCTACAAGTCTCCAGTTTCTTCTTTCACCCGTCTACTCCGTACACGAAGTTCACGGGACACGCAAAAGCAGCCGGTGGTTCCGGCCTCGAGACATCTCGTATTTGACTCTTCAGATCCACAAAACCATGTTGTCCTAACATACGTGTACACGGAAGCTTTATCGCCCAAGTGGGCTTACATTGACCTTTCGATATCCCGTCTTCTGTTTTAATGCCCACTTCAGTCATCCAGCCTGTCAGATTCGTCGATAATACCACAAATCTTGGTATTTCGTATGACGTCCAGAACTTGTGCTATTTCTAGCCCACCGATCTTCGTAAACGTGGAGCAAATATTGCAAAGCTTTCCACGGCAACCGTCATCTGTAAGTTGGACTGTGGTTAGTAAGTGCCTTTAACTCATGGCCTATATGAGGATGTGCCACCCTCTTAATACAATTTCATAATTGTCAAATACAAACATTATTACTTTCGTTAAACACACATTCGCTATAATGAATACCTTTATCACACTCTCGCTAGCTCTTGGAGCCTCTGCTCTTGTTGTGCCAAGATCCTCATGTTCCTTTGAGCTCACTGCAGCCGGTGGCCAGGCGGGGACAATTGGACAGCTCTCTGACGGCCAAAACAGAATTGGTGGTGGCCTTTCGGCCGCTACTTTCACAATCAACAACAGTAGCATTACCGATGCTGCTGGACGTGGTTGCATTTTGACCCGTAAGTCTATTGCTCCATCAGTTCAACTCACTCCTAGCTAACCCTTCTCAGCATCCGTCGGTCAGTTCCAATGTGATGAAAACGCCAGTCCAGCAAACGGATTCTCGATTGAGAGCAATGGCACTCTTGAGTATTCCGGAAGTTCTACGTTTTATGCCTGTGGAGCATCCGACACGGAATGGAATCTGTATACGGCTCCTATCGTTGGTCAGGATACTTGTGTTGAAATCTCATTGACTGCAAGCGGCTGCGGAACGACAACCTCGACTTCCGCGGCCCCAAGCGTTGTCACAGTGTCGAGTGTTGCTACCGTCACTGTCCATGACTGTGCTCTGCCTTCATCAACTGCCGCACTTGCTTCTTCGGCTCCAGCTGTTATTCCTACTTCAGTAGCCACAGTTCCGAGCCCAGCCCCTATTGCCACGTCTAGCTCAGTTGTTGTCCCAGTTGTTGTCAGCTCAGCATCCACAAGCACCATCGTGTCGGTTGCGTCTACTTCAGCCATCACGTCGAGCGAGGTCTCCGTAGCGACCGTTCAAACTCTGCCTCCCGTCAAGGAGTCTTCAACCGTGGTCCAGTCATCAGCTCCGGTCGTCTCTACATCGACTGTTGTGCCTATTGAGAAGACCTCCTCGGTCTTGGTTTCATCCGAGGTCCTCAGTACTGCTACCACATACTCTAGCATCTCCTCCGTCGTACCCACACCAACTACGTCCACCTCAATCGCTGTTACATCCACCACGGCCTCAACGAGCTCCCTCTGGGTGAACACTAGCTCCGCCACCCCTACCACACTCTTGACCTCATCCACCTCATCCACCCCCGCCACAAGCGCAACAACCTCATCATCCTCCTGCGTTGCCACCTCCCTAACCGGCTCCTCCACCTCAGGAAACTACCAATACCCGCACCTAATCCTCCCCATCACATCCACAGCCCCCACCACCGCCCCCGACACATCCTACTTCGGAACCGTCTCCAGCAACACCTCTAGCATCTTCTCCTTCGACATCCCCTCCACCTGGAGCGGCACAACCTGCAATCTCATCTTCCTTCTCCCCCTGCAATCCGAACTCGAGACCTCCTCCTACACATACAGCGGATCCAGCCAAACCATCGACTTCGAGCAGTTGAGCCGCAGTGGCAGCTCGAGCGGTGTAACCACAGAGACGACCTGGGATAATGCCCCAAGTGTGGAGGCAGATCTTGGGAGCTTCGATGTGCAAGAGGGCAGCAGTACGCTTGTTGAGAGCTTTGCGTGTGGGGATTTCGCGGGCGGAAGTGTAGCGTTTGAGATGAAGGCTGTGGGAGATGTGTATTTGAATTTCTTCCAGGATTGGAATCCTAGTCCATTAGGGCTTTATGTTACGCATTGCTAAGCTTTGCAAAGAATGGCATAGGTATGAAAGTATGATCATTGAACAAGGAAAGAAAAAAAGAAAAAACAACATGAATAAACAAAGGGGAAAATGAGCCAGAGGCTGGCCGGATCGGATTAGGATTTTACATTAGGTAGATTTTTAATGCTAATGATGTAATGTCAAATACGATAAAATATCCCAAGATGCGTGCATGTTGATGAGTTTTGTGATCTGTGAAGAATGGCATACGACAATTTCAAATGTTCATTCACCAGATTCGTTGCTAAAATGAATGTCCTACGCTTATTCCTAACAGAAGTTCATACCAGAGGATGATGATCCTCAAACGCCAGTACTCCAGAACCCATGTCCCTAACATAACATAGCATAAGAACCCTAATAATTCAATCACGCTATCATAACACCCCATCACTTCCTGCCCCTAGCAAGCAATTTCTCACCCAACTCCCCCACTGCATCACCCCACCCCATCCCCTCTTCTCCCAGAGCATCGCCACATCTATCCAGTAGAAAGGCCCCCATCTTCGGCTCGTTAAACCTCTCCCCATAGACAACCCTCGCTGCATACGTAACAGCGACTTCGATACCTTCTTCCCCAGCACTAGTTCTCAGCCCTATCTGAATCTCAACTTTTGTAGTTAATGCATTGATCAATAGCGTAGATTTTACGACAATGCTATCATCTGCAGTCTTTTCGATGTCGGTAGGACAATCAACGCGTAGTAGGCGGATATCAGAAGTTACGGCGAGAGTGATGTTCCAGCTGTTGCTAACGGCCGAAAGCAGGGTTTTGACGGCAGTGCGGGATTGTGGAAGCCCGCGGATGTGGTCACGGATGCTTTGGAGAAAGAATTCTTTGGTCGGCGTTAGGGGTTGGGGGTCCAGAGATCTGTTGTTGCCTATGTACCAAAGATCGATCCTAGAGTTTGAGGGCTGCGCTGCTGTACTTTTGGTATGGAAGGGCAGGAAGGAAGCGGCGTCAAAGACAAGCTCGATGTCCTTTTTGTATGTCATCGAGGTTGTAGTGCCGGAGACGCCGGTTATGGTCCAACCGTGCTCTTTTTCGATTGCATCGACTTTGCCTAAGGGATGTTAATTTCAGGAGAAAGAAAAGTGGGAGAAGGGGCCTTACCTTTGAGAGCGCTGATTTCGGTGGAGGTCCAGCCTCTGCATTCTTCCCGGATCTTTTCTGCTTCTCGGATTTCCTCAAGCCAGGCTTGTTTCTTTTCAACACCCGATTCGATCTCGACTTCTTTCCCTTGCAGCTGCTTGCGTAAATCGGCAATAAGGCGCTTCTTCTCTTCAACTTCAGCGTTGATAGAGATAAGTTCTTGACGAGCGTTGCTGAGTTCTTCAGGATCGCAATTGGCGAGCTCTTCCGCAACAGCTTGAAGGTCGGCCTCTTGGGTCTGAAGCACCTCTGCCTTTTTGATCAGCTTTGGGAGAACAGTATCGAGTAAAGCTTGTTGATGGTCCAGCATTTCCTCGTCCTTGATCATGCCCTCCCCAGTCTTAAAAAGACCTTCCTTTAAGGTGCCAAGGAGAGTCATTCTCCAATCATACCACATTCCCTTGCTCAGGAGTCTTGCATGGGTCTTGACATTCTTCAATTGATTATCCATAACAAGTTTCATGTCGGGAGTAGCAGAAATATACTCGCGGAACAAGGGAGGGTTCTCCTCAAAGGTTTCTGTCTCGATTTCGCGCACCGTCTTTCGACCCTCCGAGATGTAGCTTTTGAGCTCATGGCAAGCCTGTATAGTGTTAATATACTACATTCGATCGATATGATAGTACTTACGTGTTGAAACAACTCTAGCATTGGAATGGTTGCAGCTCCAGCCGCCACACAATATTCAAGAACCACAATCTCGTCTTTTTGATCTCGTGAATCAGTGGTAGGTTTCGGTGCGATTGTATGCCTTCGTTTCGTGGTTGTTAATTCCATGAATCGAATGCTTGTCAGGTTCAAGAACTCTTGCAACTGAATGCGATCATCGTCGAAGCTCTCCTCGCCAATCTGAGGATTCTCAACCGGTTCCTTTTCTGCCAATGGTCCAACTTGAGCAGGCGCATCAGCTTCTGCATCTTTGAATCGCCCTTGTGCACGAGGTGTAGTGACTTTGGCTTTAGTCGGCGAAAATGTCGACGGGGTAGTTGTAGCATCTTCGAGGCTTTTCCGAGCTGCACGAGTCATGCGTCCGGTGGTTTCTGCTTTTGAGGGAGGTCCTCGAAGCTTAACATTCTTTACTGGACTGCCCTGGTGGTTCTTTAGACGCTTCACGCCGCCATCGTCTTCGTCCTCATCATCATCGTCCAGTTCGGCAGGTCGCTTGCCGAGAATTCCTTTAGCAGCGCCAACATGCAAGCTCTTACGACCCTTCAATGGATTCTTCTTCTTGGGCGTCAGGCTTTGTATCATCTCCTTAAGATTTAGAGTAGCGTCTTTTTCTTCTTGATCCGCCTCCCGCTCGAGTATACTACGTCCACTCTCGCGATCTTCGTCCTGCTCTCGCTCTCTGTCGATTGCTTCCTCCATGACCTGAAGGTCATCGAAGCGTACTCCACGAGCAACATCAAATTGACCTGGAACAAAAGATTTTGCTTGGTCACCAATTGAAGTTCGTCGATCCAACAGGGCAGCTATTCGAGGGGAGCCAAGCCCTTCACGATCAAGTCCAACACCCGAGGTTCGCCTATGTTGAGGTGTCAAAATAAACTTGGGGGTAGCAACTCCAGTCTTGTCCTCCTTGAATAATCTGCTAGGAGTTGTTGTTTTTCTGCCTTTCACGGATCCCTTGGCAGACTGAGGAGTCGAAGAGGCAGCTTGTATTTCATCCTTAAAAAGTTTTTTGGGAGATGCGGAGCGGATAGTGACGTTTTTGGAAGGGGGGGTTTTGCTCGGTGTGGTTGGACGTACTCTTTGTGGGGTGAGTTGTTTGGATGGGGTTCCCAGCTTTTTGATTGGGGTGCTATCACTACCTAGCTTCGATTTCGGGGTTGTCGAATGTCTTGCTTCTGTGCTGCGGCGAAGTCCTTTCCCGCGAAACCCAGAAAGACTTGGACTACCTGTTTCCGATGCAACAGTATGTATAGGAGCAGCTGCAGGGGCTCTCGGGGAAGGATGAGAATTGGCAATGACTTCAGCCTGGAATGGGGAACTTCCCAGATCGGTCTCCAATTCCATGACCTTCTTAGCGTGGGAGCGGCTTCCGGTGCTTCGTTGGGCCTGCAAAATACCACCAAGAGCCGTTGTCATGTCCATACCCATAGTAGCATCCTGATCTTCGGGTGCAGATTCCCCAATGGATGGCATGATACCACCAATGGCAGCAGTCATGTCCATCGTATCATCGCCCATATTAGAGTCCAAGCTCTCTCGGCTTTTCTTCTTCTGGCCTCGTGGTTGAGCTGCTAAAGAAGCTCTGTTTCGAGTCCGCGGGGGATTTGCTTGCGGCAACACACCGCCAACAACTGAGGTGAACTCCATGGTCATGTCTTCGTCATCAGAAGATCCAATCTTTGCCTGAGCTGGTTGAATACCGCCGACAGCCATTGTCAGATCCATTGTTTCGTCACCATTCGAATCCTCTCCAGCTGACTTTCGACGTGTGCTTTGACGACGATTGGCAGCTACAGATTGGCGACGATTCGTGGGCTTTGGAGCCTCGTTCTGTATGATACTCCCAAACGCTCGAGTGACATCCATTGACATCTCATCTTCATCTGGCTGCTGTGCTGACATGATACCGCCCATAGGTCGGGTCATATCCATCGTCATATCCTCGCCATCTGACTCCTCGTCCTGTTGCTGAGCACCCACCTTGAAGGCTGGGGAGAATGGATTGACATTCTCTTGGTCCTGTTGAGCCTCAAGATTCACTGCAGGTTTCGTCCAAGGAGCGAAGGATGCAACGACATCTTCTCCTTCCAATTCATCTCCATTTTCGTCAAAGTCAATGCCTTGGGTGCCCGCTTGACGGGCAGCCAGTCTTAAGGCTTCATCTAATCGAGAGCTGGAGCCGGCACTTGACGCAGATTTGATCGATGCCATAGACATGTCGGTAGTTTCTCCTCCATCCATACTCATGGCCGTCCCATCTGCATCCACATCAGACTCATCCGAGTTGGAAATAAGCTCATCTTCAACAACTTCATCAACGTCGTCCAATGAGTCCGCGTCACTTAGCGGACTCGATGAGAATGCTTCATCTGGGTTGTTAAAATTCATAGGAGGTATGCCAGAACTTCTGCGACGCTTCTTTTGATGTAGGTCACGTTGATGGGCGGGACTCGCTTTGACTGTATCTTCTTCTTCCACTTGTTCCGGCGGGGTCGATGGCGGTTCCGAAGGGTCTGAACTTGTATGACCCGGTGTCTGTGGGTGTGGCGATTCTCCAGATGCAGATGAAGCTCGCCGAGTCGAACTTGTAGAATTTGAAGAGGTTGTAGAGTCTTGATATTCGACTACGACATCCCATGTATGTAGTGTAGCTTCGGGCGCAAATGATACTCGACGATTCGCGAGAGATTTCCTTCGCGCATCTCGTCGTGACACGACTTCCTTTTCCAGGTCCTTCCTCTCCTTCTCTTCGCGCTCTCTGGCCGCGGTCTGCTGTTCCTCCTCAGTCCGCAACGTCACGCGTGTTTCACTGATAGCAGCACTTTCTCCCACCTGGAAAGGATTCGGTAGGTTATTGGTACCACTGATAGTCGCGCTGGGGCCCACGTCGAAGTCGATCAAGTTGTCCGACTTTTGCGCGGATGGCGGGGTAGCTTTCTTAGGGCTTCCTTTGCGGGTAGATCTATGCGCTGGAATCTCTGGGAGAGGTGGCATCGTAGGCTTCAATATGGATCTAGGAGGAGCATGAGGAATTACAGCAAGAGACTTGAAACGTATTAGTACTTAGAGGCTCCAATGTATAGATGTGCACATACCTTGCGTCTATTGCCGGTTGTATCCTTGAGCGCATCCAATCCACCTGGTCCTATGCTCTTGCTTCTTGATTTCTTCGAGGCCTTCTCAATTGGCACAGCCTTCTTCCCACTCGACAACGCTCCCAGGTCCGCCGTCATATTCTCTTGGTCCATTGCTTTCGAGGAAGAGATATGCGCCAGTGACTTTCGCGATTTCGGTCGCGTCGCAGGGAGGGTGGCTTCATTTCGGGAAGACATAATGGATGAGTAGAGGCCGATGCACCGAATATGGTGTCAGTATTATTGCGGTCAATTGCTCACGGGTTTTGAGACAATGTGGTGGTGAACATAGTATAAAGTAAGGTACATATCAGTCGGATCTTCTCTGGTTGCCCGGTTTTCCTGGCTTTCCGCGTAAACAAAACATTGAAAGCGCGACGGAGGCTAGTCAGATGCGCTAGGCTACATCAACTCTAGATCGTCTTTTGTCGGAAAATCGTATCCCATCACATGATGCAGCCGCACACAAACTAAGCGACTTTTCAAAACCACAAAAACTTCTACCCCAAGAAAAGACAAGCCAACGCCAACTTTACGACTCGACGACCACTCGAATCCGCAAACATGGCCACCGAACTGACTGTGCAATCCGAGCGCGCTTTCCAGAAGCAACCTCATATCTTCGCCAACGCAAAGGTCAAGTCCAAGACCAGCAGAGTTGGAAAGGGAGGCCGAAGATGGTACAAGGACGTTGGACTGGGCTTCAGGACCCCCAAGACTGCCATTGAGGGAAGCTACATTGGTATGTGTAATTTCTCTTCGTAGGGAGGGGTGATGGTTATTTTGCTGGCAGCACTGGGAACGAGTTTGCGCGCAGGAGGGGCTGTTGAACATTATTGGCGAAACGCGCCTTAGCTGGATTGCGACCGAAACTGCCTATTCGCACGAGAACAGAATGCTAATTCTATTCTCCCACAGACAAGAAGTGCCCTTTCACCGGTCTCGTCTCCATCCGTGGTCGTATCTTGACCGGCACCGTCGTTTCCACCAAGATGCACCGAACCCTCATCATCCGCCGAGAATACCTTCACTTCATCCCTAAATACTCCCGTTACGAGAAGCGACACAAGAACCTGGCTGCACACGTTTCCCCTGCTTTCCGTGTTGAGGATGGTGACCAGGTTACTGTTGGACAATGCAGACCATTGAGCAAGACCGTATGTTTACCCAGTCGCGGTGGAGCAGAATTGGATGCTCTGGTGGCTCTGCGGAGATAGTTGATTTTCCGAGCATTACTGACAATTCTCCCAGGTCCGATTTAACGTTCTCCGCGTGCTCCCAAGAACCGGCAAGGCTGTGAAGCAGTTCAGCAAATTCTAAGCGGCTTTCTTTTGGGATTCTAGGTTGCATGGGGTTTGTTTTGCCGATCAGATCATGAGATTGTGAGCATATGGGATTTGCCAAGGGCTAGCATGGCGAAAATGTGCATTAGCTACAGACAGTACTCTGAATGCAACGATCGTCTCTGAATTTGAGTTCGAATGGAGGAGTGAAGAAACGAAGTTGATGCCGTAATACTAACACAAGTTCTGGTACAGGTACAGTTCCTCCCAATGCGACTCGCTCTCAAAAGCTCCACGATACGATGCAATCTGCATTTGTACAACCACCAGCCGTCATGTTTAAAACATTTACGCTTAACGATAATATTGACGTGCGTAATACATTTCAGTCTTAGTGGTTCAGAATCCTTTAGAATAGTGTTGATAGATAGCGACAACCTGAACTCCAAGGTGGATTCTCGAGTCGTCGCTATCTCCAATCTGCCATATGCTACAGCACTTGTTCACATGCCGATTCTTGCACCTTCCGCCCACATTATCAAAATCCACTAGTTCCTTCCCTCTATCCCAAACCCCTCCCTCGATATCTCTCCGTTCTTATTCAACTTCCATTTCACTTCACTTCCTCCATCAATTCAATGTAGATACATCCACTTCCAACTCCACTCCTTAACTCGGATGATCTCCAAGGCAGCCTGCTAATATTATAAGCGCATCTCCAATTACCACTACTTTCCGTTTTTCGCACGTCAGCTTCTCAAGGACCACTCGCACATCCCACGCGACGAAGTCGACTCACCTCTACAAGCTAGTATCAAAACTGCATCTGCCTCCGCAGCCCTGTTCTGTGCCTCTCACCTGACCTTACTCTCGGCGTGACAAAATCTAGTGCCCTACCCATCTACACATTGGAGAATTCAAGGGTTTGAACCTGACGATGCCTCGACACCCTCACCTTCTCCAAACGCTTTCGAGGATGGTCAGCCAAAGCTTCCCGACCTATGCTGCTGTGCGGCACAAGAGCTTCGCTCCTTCGTCTTCCCAAGCACACCAGCATCAAACCTGTACGACAGTAACCTGAGAAAATCCTACCAATCGTCTCACGACCTTCTCAATAACGGAGAGATATTCTGCGACACACTCGTCTCAGCCGCCGTCTTCTACCCACTCTCTTTCATTAAAAGTACGCCGGATAGGAATGAAGGTTTTCGATCATCTATTCTGGACTCTTTCTGCATCTCTTTAGCTGGGAATAGCTAGCTGAAGCCTGTCTCGGAAAGTCGGAACACCAATGAAGAAGGCAAACTGCAATTTGTTTGGAATGAGATGAGATAAGATAGAATCTGGGCGCGGGCCATGTCGCAAAATTCTGGGAGAAAGAAGAGATATAACAGATGCTACATTATGGCAAAAATTTTACGCAAATGTGGAATAAAGTGGCAGAGAATACTTCGACTGTTGGACAATGGGAAGTCAACTCAAATTTCAGGCTCAGAGACGGGCTGACAAGCGATGAAAGTGCGAGCTGTGCTTTCTTCCTGGGTCGGTAATCTTTAGCGGGGAGCGACTCTGATGGTGTGCATATGCCATATTGGTTGGGACATGGCATGGTGTCCGTGCCATCACTTTCACCTGATGATCTGCAGTTTTGTTGGTATTTCTGCACCGGAAACTCTACAGCATTTCCGAGGTCTGGTCTGGTAACACAACACAGCACGTACCATCTTTGGCTCCCTTGCCCATTTCGCCCTAAGCCGCAGGTATCGCACTTTTGACCCGTTGCCCATTCGACTGCCACACACGATCATAGCAATCAATTAAGCAGCCTATGAATCTATGTCCACGACGAGGAATTTGAAACTGCCGGTCTAGCATCCATACCCAAGGATCATTATTAAGGTTCTATTGGTGCGGTACTGTACGAACGAAGTCGTGTCATGTACACCAACATGCAGAAGATATTGAGACGCGTATTTCGTTAGCCACTGCAACGCTAAGCCGTGGGATATATTCCCACCTAGGCCTCGGTACGGCCCGTTGGTTCTAGAACCATTGAATCAAACCCTGATGAAGGTATAAGGGCGCCCAAGCAATTATGCGGCGCACTCACTAGTAGTGCAATCTGGCCGCCACAATGGGCAATTGGGCACTTTGCTAGCTTATAGTATCTTGATTCTTGACGTTGTTCGAATAAACCAAAATTTGTTCCATATCAACGCTGTCTGGCTTGGCACTCTTTATACTTGGAAATCCTATACCTTCATCACAGGTCATCTTTGATTTTGTACTTGGTGTAGTAGAGCTTCGTATTCGTTGATGGATCAGCTAAAATCTAAAAGTTCGAGATTTTATGCGTGTGATTCAAGACCCACTTGCTATCTTTGGTGGATCTTATAATCGAAAGTCTTTCATTTGAACATACCAGTCACAATTCCCATTCTATATTAAGCTACTACTCAACCCTTGTCGGTATGCAATACCCATTGCGGCCTCAATATCCTTCTATAATCACATTCCCCCCCTTCCCCCCCCCCCTCTCTGGCTTTCCATATTTATACCCCACAACTGTTCTGTCGAATCCTGAAGTGTCTTGCTTTTACGAGTAACTTCATGCATATATGTGTTCTTGGGACCATTTACTTCATCTCCGAAGTACCAATCACAAATTATCCAAAATCAACTTTCGGTAGTTGAATTGTTGTGAAATGCTCTATACGTCGTATGCAGCCTCATCCCCACACAAGACTGTGCCACTTCAAGACATCTAAGAGATAATTAAGAAACCTTGCTGCAGCTGTCGTTTAGTCCTGGGCGTTTATATATCTTACTCGTCTATTCGTGATGCAACAATTGTTTGGTTTCTGGCTTTGAGCGATACTCGTTTCTAATTGGTCCGAAAGTGCTGCCAACACCTCTCCTTATAGTGACCTTTCCCCCCTTCTTCACACAACTTGGTTTTTCCCACCTCTCATACTCCTCTCTTGTACATCCACTACGCTGGGAGTGAACTCACGTCCAAAGCTGTACAACATTCAATTCAATCATGAATACAGCCCAATATCTCCAAACCTTCGACTCCATCCTCGACAACTGCAACAATGACCGCATTGTCATCATTGCCCTTCTCATGTACCTCTACCTTGGCACCTTTCTTACCCGGCAAATCCTCCCCCTCCTCTCCCCCCACATCAGCCTCCTTCCCATATACCGCCGGCAACAGCTCGCTGTCACGTTACCTATGCTCATTCTACGTTGCGGCGTCGCGTTTCTGGTAGCAGAATCTGAATTCTCTGCCCGCTATACAACACCAAAATCTATTCGGCTCTTGGACCACCAAGCTTCCCTCATCTATCTTCTAACAATAGGGTATATCTTCGAGCTACTACATCGTCCTTCACCGCTGGATCTGGATCTGCATCATCTCGCTGTAGTCGCGGCTCAGCTATATTACTTTCACCACCGAGCTACGCGTTCAGTATCCGAGCATCTAGATGTTTTCCAGCTCATCATCATACTCGTGATCTACGGCATCGGCCCAGTAGATTTCGCTAGCGAAAACATTCGCCTTATCTACTACGTCGCTCCTCCCAGTTATCTCAGTCTAGCTGGCATTTATGCACTTACGGCACTAGGCTGGACAGGCAGGATCGTGCAGTGGTATGTTATGGGGAATTATATAATGGAGAGGAGAGAAGATCTGGAGAGAGGACTAGGGTGGAGAGAGGGGTGTATTTGGGTTGTTTTCTTGGGCTTTTGGGTTTATTGCGAGGTGGTGGAGGTGGTACATTTTTTGAGGCTGGGGTCGAAGTATAAGAAGAAGATAGGGGAAATGGAAAAGAAACATGGTAAGAGGTGATGCGGTTTTGTGATAGTAGGATGATATAACGTCGATGTAAAACCCGGAAGACGGGCTTGTTGAAAGCCCCAAGGTGTGAGGATAGGAATACAGATATTTTTACACTCTTGGTCATATTGTGGAACTGATCTCTTCGTCTACACCACGACATTGCATGCGGGAAAGCACGTCGTACAGCAAAAGATATCGTTGCCCATTCCAATCAATCGTGTCCTTTCAACACGGCGTGATTTCTGGATGTTTCTTAGATCTCCTTATTATAGGAATAGAAAGGAAAGGAAAGGAAAATCCACTATGCTTTATTATCAGCCTTTCCCCACATGAAATGTTAATTCTCGGCTACAGCAATCTTTCCCCACATCAAGTCTTGACACTTAGCTTAGCCACAGCAATCTTAATTTCCCCACAACAAGTCTTAACACTTGACCTAATTTTTTTAAATAACACGCATCGGCACCCAGAAGCGCCCTAACCAAACGACAGCACAACGTGTGCGACCTGCCCATCTAGCGATAACACAAGAGCTGGGAGGAAATCCTAGGATTCGCGGACATGACATTGCAACCGCAATATAATAGCCAACATCTTCCGACGACTTCTTTCTGGCCCCGGGACACAGCTTTATGGACAACACTCCAGGAAGGGACATTCCAGACATCCAACGCGTATATTATTAGGCTATCGGGATACTTCTATTGACTGTCTCTGTCGAAACCTTGCATTGTTAGACAAAGACCCACATTGAATATATGAAACGGCGGAAAGTTGATAATCAGGACATCGAAGTTCGTGAAGATGGAGGCATAGGTCTTATTGCTAGCTGACGGTACATCACCAACGGCTCAAGGAAATACTAGGAGAATGTTAGCGAAAATCATCCATTAATACTAGGAAATCCTTACTCCTGAATCCCGGGAAGTTCCTGCGACGAGCTTCTTTCGACGCAATGAGCCTACAAAAATGGCGAATTTTCACTTCATCTTAAAAATAAACACTCTCATGTCACATGAAAGAGGGTATATGCTCGAATAATGGCTTCCTATCAATTCAACGGCCGATGTTATACATACAAAAGGAACAAAGAAGACGGACTGGCCATACAACTCCGAGCCTTCGTTCAGGTGATGGACTATGAAGCGACATAGCCGCCGGTCGACATAAGAGATTGCAGGAGTTATTTCAAGGCCGACGGTTTTGTTGAAACTGGTTTTTATGGACTGTTCTGAACTATAGCGCAGCCCGCCGTAGGCATCTTGGTGATGGCACAGCAATGCGCAGCACTACGAAGGGCCTTTACTGATTGGTGCGCTGGACGCCATCTTCTGGTGCCGTTTTCACATCACCACATATATGGTAATTTCCCGGCCTGGTTTAAGTTCTTACATTAATTTTGGCTTCTTCTTTCTATGTTGTATGTTTCCTTCAGTAATCTGCATCACTTCAGTCTATTATTCTGTCATATTAGCGGGGTTCACTGCTTGGTTGATATTACTCCGCACATGATGTATCGCAGACTCAAGATAACTTCAGAAGAACTGCTAGATAAACAAATCCCGCCATTCCTAATACTCCAGCTAACAAGGTTTTGCTATTCTTAGGTGTGCAGCGACGCCTTGTGTCGGCATTTCGAACTGGCTCCCGAAGGATCGTTTGTTTCAGCCTTAAATCATTTCATACCCGGCTGAATGTTCAATTCATAATTTAATTGGACAGCAGTACGACAAATACTCGAGTACGGCCGCGGACCTGCATCAGCTCCGTGCGTCGCATCGTGGAATTAAACTCACTCCTTCCCCAGAAGTCTATCTAGCGCAAGGCTTAGCATGAATGGCTTCTAAAATGTGTACTGGTTCCAGTGGTTACTTCCTCTGTAATATCCAACGGCCTGCACGTGCGTGCATAATAGCGTGTCATTAAGAAGTTGACAGTGCCAATTATAGTGTCCATGTCGGAGTACTTGCGCCTCCAGCCTTGAACTCTATGGAGCTACTTCATAGCGCTTAGCTGACAGCCTCCGCCTATGTACCCCCTCTTAATGCTTCTTTTGTGCCTGCAGCCTTGGACACTGCGCTTCTGAGCTTTCTATAGTTCTGTACCAGTAAGCGTACAGCAATCGTATAAAATTCACGATGAGGCTGTGTAGGCACGGGCTTGGTCTGGTGAAATTACTGATGGATTCAAGATTTCTCAAAGTAAACTTGTCAGATCACTATAAGGAACAATCTGTAAAGACAATGTCTTCTACTTAAGGGTCACTAATCCCGTCTAGATTCTACCATCTCATATTCAGAACTCCATACTTGCTTGCTTGACAATCAGAAGCCAAGATGCCTTCCATTAAAGCATTACTCCAGGTTACTCTCGCTACTGGAGCCATCGCCCAATCAGCTTCCATTGCGAACCTACTTTCCTCTGCTGCTACTTCTTCAAAACCATCCACAGTCTCTTCGTTGCGTCCTACTACTACTACTACTGGGACAGCAGCACAACAGTCTACAGGATGTGCGGCTATCGCTCTGCAACAGGAGGCTATCCTAGCTAAGAACTCAAGTAGTGGTAAGTCCTGAAGAGTGTTCAACGTTTAGTATAACACTAACTCTATTTAGGAGTTTCGGACTTCCCACGGTTTCCACCAAGCGTTGCACTTGCTTGTTTGCAATCCGTCCCGCTCGACAAGACTGCCGCGATAGCGTTTGTGGCCTGGCTAAACTCATATCTTCAGTTCCAAAGTACAATTGGTTGGCTCAAAAACCCCCCTCCATCATACCAACAACCCGCTGTTGATATGGTTGGAGGTCTCAAGGATATCTCCGCCAAAGTCTCTAGCAATCAATACAACAGCGAGTATGAATTTGAAGTAGCCGTCGCAGGACTTATGCAACAGGCACACGAGGGCCATTTGAGTGTACCTTTGCCCGCCTATTCAACCTTTGGCTTTATTGCACCATGGGAATTTGTTTCATATTCTTCGGATGGCATTCAACTGCCACAAGTCTACATTGAGAGTAAGTTGTTTCTCCTCGGTCATAACAGCAGATATCCTGACAAACGGTTCCAGGTGATCGAGTAGAGGCAGCAGTCCATCGAAACGTCACAATAAGCCCCGTCAAGACAATCAATGGCCAAAACTCTGTTGATTTTCTGACTGCCTGGATGAGGAACTCTTCTTCAGGTCATATTGAACCACATGCCGATTACAACGGCTTATTCCCCAATGCTGCGAAAACCATTGGCAGTTCTGGTAATGACAGAGGTGGATTTACAGGACGTTTTAACTATCCTGGGAGCAACAATATGACCATTACATTTGCCAATGGAACCTCGGCAAGCGGATCATGGTCAACTATAAGTACTCAGGTCCTCGCGGGTGTCAGAAGCGGGCAGGATTTCTATGATCTTATAGTCGCCCCAGCGGATGATGATGAAAGTGACGATTCGCCAGACATGCCTTTGACGAATATAACGCTTCCAACCGCACGCAGAGTGCCGCTGACTCAGTATCCAGCCCCAGTTGTGGTCCAAAAGTTTCTTGGAAGTGGCGGTTTCTGCTCTGGCTATTTCTTGAACAAGTCATCCATCGCCGTGCTTAGCATTCCAAGCTTTGACATGTCAGATGAGTTTGGGTTTACTTTCCAGCAGTTCGTGATTGAATTCCTCAAAAAGTCAAAGGCGGCTGGTATGAAAAAGCTTGTGATCGATCTGCAAGGTAATGGAGGAGGACAAATATTCCTAGGCACTGAGCTCTTCAAGCAGGTAAGCTATCCCATATTGCCTCGAACTCGAACTCGAAGTTGCTCGAAAGGCTAACTGTTTCAGCTCTTCCCTGACAAGGAACCTTTCGCCGGCAGCACTCTGCGGGCATCTACGACTCTTAACATCGTTGGCAGCACACTAGGAAACAGTGACATTGGGTTTGTTGATCAAAATCCCCTATCCTATAAGCAGTATGTCGATAATAATAACAAGAACTTCTCGAGCTGGCAAGCGCTCTACGGACCACAACAGGCTCGTGGGGATAATTTCACGAATGTCGTAAGTTTCCCAGTATTTCTTCCCACAATGCTTAGTACTTAGACATATAGATTCACTACAACACCACAGTAGAAGCCGATCAAGGAAGCGGACTTTTAATCTCTGGCTGGGGGGGTAATCCAAACGCCGCACCCACCTACTTTGCCGCCAAGGACATTCTCCTGCTACAGGATGGATACTGCGCCTCCACCTGCGCGCTTTTGAGCGAATCCATGAAAACCGAAGCAGGCGTTCAGACCGTCGTGGTAGGAGGTCTCCCCCAAACTGGTCCCATGCAAGGAGTAGCCGGCACGAAAGGAGCCAACATCCTCGCGGTGGGCGACGCAGTCCCAGACGGTAACCTCCTCTACGCATCCGTCGAAGAGACCATCCTCCTAAACTTCACGTATCTCTACGACAACAACAGCTTCCCCGACGCGCTTACCCTGCTCCAAGACCCGCCCCTGAAGCTCGACACGTCGAAAGTGGAGTTCAATTTCCGCAACCAAGTGCGCAAGGTGGATCCCGTAACGCCGTTGCAGTTCGTGTACGAGGCGGCCGACTGCCGCATCTTCTACACCTTTGAGAACTTGAAGAACTACGAGGTGCTGTGGCAGAACGCTGCCGATGCGCTTTGGGGCAGTGGCTCTTTGTGCGTGAAAGGCTCGGCCGGACAGCCATCATCGAGACCGAACGCCACGATGCTTACCGGGGGTCCTAATGGCACTTCTAATGGAACTGGTACCCAGGAAACATACGTGCTTTCCTCAGCTGGTGCGACGTCGAGCTGGGGTATTAGGAGTGTATTTCTCGCTGTTGGATTTGCATTTGCTGGCGCTGTATTATAATAATGTTTAGTTTCTATTTAGCATACGGAGCTTGGGCCCTTTTTACTTTTTCATTTAGATACCTTTACCGCGACAATATTTCCGCTGGGGAATGGGTTCATAAAATAGACGGGAATCATACAGTGCATGTGGCTACACACACCTGATACTCACCCAAACACTTACAATACTTGACCAACGTTCCTGTCTGTGACTTTTATTTGACCGACCCGGAATACTCAAGAACTCCAATGACTTACCAGTCACATCTTACAGCGTCCCTTGATGCTCCTACTGATTGCGCCAAGGAGACCCCCTAAACAACGCACCCACCTCAAACGCAACACGGGAATTCCATCTCTTTCTCCCTAGCCGGGATGATAAGCAATCCGATCCCCGAAACTTCAACTTTCACATTCCCTCCTTCCTTCTTTCCTCTCTCCATCTTCAAGCGCAAAACAATCACAACCCTAAAACACTTCCTCACAGCCCCAATAGACCAAGGAGAGCTATGAAAGCAGAGGTTTTCTTTTCCAAAGCGAACCTCTAGACTCTAGCTGTTGAAGCAATGTTTAATAAGACGTGCTATCACAGCTTCATCATTCATTATTTAAATCCGTAACTCCTTTAGAGGAAACGATAAGGAAATGAGAATCGGTCATTGAGACTTTTTGGTTTCTTGGCTTCTTTGGAGCGACTGTTTTGAGGGTGATGAAATACGAGGCAGTGAGACCTAGAATTTGCACAAAAGAAAATGTGGTTATATTTCGAACGAACGTAACCTGTATTTTCGTGATCAATGCTAACTAACTCACAAAACTGCCTCTATGTTCTCTGCGCACCCACTTTCTTGATAAGACGTGTAACGCTCCTTACTTGCACAATGTGACCTCTCCGGGGCATATATTTCCAGCAATAACGTTAGGAGCACAAATGTGCCCACCAATTAACCGAGATGTAAACCCCCTCAGGATCCCATCCCACGTACATTGATCCGAGAAATGAGCGAGATGGCGATTCAGACCGGCGAGAGCGACGTAGATACCGTTCTCAAGAAGCATCAACGACGAGGACGGGGTCAGATAGTTCAGCATACCTAGCGCGTATACCGCAAAGGCTTCGTCTTCCTGCGTCTCGGTCTGAAATTCCGCGGCCCGTCCTCGTCTTCTTCATAATCATCCTCTTCATCATCAACATCAGCAGGAACATCTGCCATCTCTTCATCCTCATCCTCATCCTCTTCCTCTTCCTCTATTTCTGGCTCTGGCTCACTCTCTAACTTCTTGGCCATGTCTCGAGTCGGGGCGCTCTTCCTAGCTCTACCACGCCCTCTACCTCTACCACGACCACGATTCATACCCGTCATATTACCTTTGGAATTCGTGCCTTTGCGCCGCGAATCGACGCCATCAAGTGCATCAAGTGCGTCGTCAACCACGACGCCTTTCTTGGCGCCTTCTTTTATTTTCGGTAGCTTTTTGTTCAGACCGTGCTTATCTGCGAACTTCTTTCCGTAATTGAACAGCAGTTCCTCACCTTCACGTATATCACGGAGGGCCAGGAATTTAATTCGATGTTCGCCATTGACGAAGAGGATCTTTGCTTCGCAGTTCAGGCCGTCTTTGTCATTATCAGCATGGTTGATAAAACGGGTTTTATTGCCAAGGCGAGCAGCATCAATAGCCCAGTCACCATTGAGGTCAAAAAGAAAAGATAGAAATTTCCGGTCGTAGATGATACCACGGCGCTCTGCCTCATCGGTAGATATGATCTATCGATAGCATTAGTAAAAGACAGTTAGAAGCAAGCTTAAGATCAGTCCTTACCTCGCCGCCATACTCGCTCAGGAATTCGCCCTTACGAATAGGCTCTGCGGCATATAGACCAAAACCAGTACCTTCAAGCTGACTCTCACCCATAATTAAGCTTTTCGCGACACCTCGAGACAATGCTATGTTTTGGCAGCCCGTTGTAAACAATGCATCATTATACTTATTCCGAGGGTCGAGACGCTCGACTGCACCACATTTAGCGCATTGTGGTCCGCATTCCCGGTTCATCTGAATGCAGATGCAACTATCACTAGAGCAAGGACGTCCATATAGAGAGCAAGGGCATCCAGTGAACTTTCTAGGGCAGTCATCCAGGCAGCTACACATGCTTTCGCATAGGATGTCTGCTTTGGCACACGGACAGTCTGCATCGCAGGGGCGGCCTGTGTGTGCACACTAAGATTGTTAGTCCGAGGCAATCTAATTAGAACCACCAGCATTGAAGTCCTTACCGGATTGATTTGAGATCTCTCTTGGTGGAGATGAGCACTCGTCATATCCTCAAACCCAGCCTTAAGCTCTTTGCGCTTGTTGTCATACCAGTTTGGGCGCTTTGCCCTACCAGCTAATGGTTCCTCTGGTGTTCTCATCTCGCGCCCAAGCTCGATCTTCTCGATTTCAAGGAAGACTTGCCAGCAAGGACTTTCCATTCCAAGTGAGATATCGCACGAGCGGGAAAGTTTTTCTTCCCAACCGAAGAGCATATTGCGAAGGTCTTCAATGCTCTTCTGAGTAAATTCCGGGTACGTAGGGTAAGAGTCCATTGCTAGATGACATTCCTCGCCACAAGGCTCTCCATATGTATCTATGATATCATTGCTCTTAGGGTTATTGGCAAGGTGCTCTTCATATAGTCGTATGAGTTCCTTTGGTGGCATTGAGATTTGCTTCTTGAACGCCTGCTCCGTATCGTCATCGGAGTCCTTTTGATAAGCGCCATGAGTTTGGCATTCGATAGCGCCACAAATGAGGCACGAAAGCGCAGTATAGGTCTCCAAATGGGTCTCTAAGCTCGTTGCTATATTGTCAAGACTCTTGCGACCGCTATTAGCCTTCGCAGCTTCCATCATCTCTTTCAGTCGGTCGGCGGGCCACAAAACCTTGGCTAGAGAAAGACCAAAAACTGTCTCGAAAGCTTGAGAGAATTTATTCGCCATCTTTAGATTCTCGGTAGTCAATGGTGTGGCAAACGACTTAAGTAACGTTTTCCTAGCTTTCTTCCCAAGTCCAGACTCATCGATATCCTCTTGTCTTAGAATGTAGTGTTCCAGAATCTGCTTGGTGCATCCTATATCCAGATCTTCTAGCCAATACTCAAGGTGAGCCCCAAGGTTAGAAATGTTTTCAGAGACCCGACTTGGTTCGGAGCGTTCCGCAGTATAAGCCTCTGCTAGATCTTTTTCCAATCGCCGCTTGTTATTTTGACTACTATCCACATCTCCTAGATATGGCACAAATCTAAGCTTTTCATCGTCGGCCGATAATATGTTGCGGCGAACAAAAGTATGAGAGCTGAACTTTGGGACGCGTGAAACATCCGATTTGAAGGTTTTTGCAACTATAATACTGCGGCTTTTAGTAAGTTTGCTATTATTATTGCTGCTCTTGCCCTTCACGGTCTATGTCCTGTTAGTGTCTATATCTTCTCAAACAAAAGGAATCGAGGAACCTTACATAAGAATCTAGTTGCTGTGAATACGCCCCTTTTGGAAGCGGGGTCTTTAGCTCAAGCTGGATACCTTTCAGAGAACCAAATGGAGATACAGCGTCAACAAACAGCTGTTCTCTGGCGGCTTCGGCCTCCCTAGCATCGCGTAATAAGTGCCTGATAGTTAAAGCATGCACATTCTTCATGTCTCGCTCCAACGAACGGAGAGACTCTTCTAGACCCCGAATGGTTGGAGTATTTGGCTGGTTGAGACCCTCTCCATTCTTCTCCTTTGACATATTGCGGCGTGTCATAACCTCGCGTGGAGACTCGTCTCGTTTTGTCGGGTTTGGAGGGTTTTGAGTATTTCGTAATCGTGCGAAGTTGGGTGAAGGTGATCCAATGGAATCAGGTATCGATCTCTGTGCGTGCAACTTGCTTCGCGATGACCTTTTTGAAGGTGTGACCAGCATGGGCTGGATATCATTTCTTGGTAATATTGGCTCAATTGGTGGTTCCTCTGAATCACTGGAGCTGGGATCTTCGTTTTCGGATGATGTGTAGAAGTCCGGTAGGAACTGGTCTTTAGAAGAATGTCTGCTAGGTCGTGATGCCTCTGCTGGCTTGCTAGAGCTAGCAAGGTTGTGTGCGACAGGTGCGACTTTGGGTGTAGGAGATTGCCTAGCAGGCGCTGCAGTCGTCACTGGCTTGCTTGAGCTGCTCTCCTTTTCCGCTAGATTTGATGATGCCCAAGAGGCTGGAGCCGCAGATGTTATTGATGCTGCACGTTTCTCTTTTGGTGGACTACGGAGACTTGGGGGTACAACATTGGCGGCTCGCTCTCTAGGGAGCGGGACCTTTCCAGCTTTGGGCTGAGAGGACTCACGAGCACCAGGATGTGTCTGTTGGATATCAAGAGGCGACCCATAGGGATGAAATGGTGACTGTTTGCTGCTAGGACCTGAAGTGTTTGCCAAGACGGTGGATTTTGGTGGCATCGATTTAACATTCTCTAGTGAAGAGGACCCTGAGCCAAAAGCTTCTCCAGATTGCCGGAACGAGATCGGTCCATCCCGTGGGAGTCCTCTAGAAGGCGCTGTGTCTCTTGGGGGAGGAGCGTTCTTGGACAACGCGGGGCTGACCGATCCCCCAGGATTTGGCTTGACCTTTCGAGGTGTTGCAGTTCTGGAATGATCGTTACGCGTTCTGCTAGAAGCAGACAGTACTGACCCATCATCTCCATCTTCGGTAAGATCTATGTAAGAGAGTCCCGGGGCCACTGACCTTGATGGCCTAACCGACTCATCCTCGGAGTCCTGAGTCAGATCGATATCGACTGGCATACTGGGCAGCGTGGAGGCATCCAGAGCCTCGAATCTTGCCAACCCCAAGATCGATAACTTCCCACTGCTTATTCAGTTGGATCCAAAGGTAGAGGTGAAGACCGATAGGGATGTGCTAGAGTTGAGAGAAGCGGTCACGTGGAACTCGTCCTTCGAGGAAGGAGGCTCTGCAGCACGGCCGTAAGCAAAAGCAAAGATAATAAAGAGTAAGAGAAACTGTATTGACGAAAGGACACGGAATTGAAATATGAGGTTCGTTTATCCTGCAATATAGTCAGTAAACGCGCTCCAGATTGCGAAAGATGAGATCTCGAGCAACATGTTTTGGGGGTTTCCATACCTGCACGTTGAAGCCAACCTAGCGAAAACGCTTTAGAACCAAGATAATAAGCCTCAATCCTAAAGTAGAGTAGAAGTATTGTGACAATCGCGGGGAAAAGGGGCAGTGGTTGATGTTGATGCGATGTGGTTGGTGCATCACAAGATCTGATGTCAAACCTTGTTTGATGTGCATAAAGTTGTATAACGAGCATAACTAGCATATATTGTTTGACGCTAGTGAGTGTGTGCCCCCCCCCCCTTTTCCGAAGAAGCAACCAGACATCAAACAAATACAACTTTTCAGCCTCAAACTTTGCATAATAGAAGCTCCATATGCGAACCATGGTAAAAGCAGGATTGATTTCCTTTTCGCACTTCTTCCATTTGCGCTCTTTGGGGAGTTTCTTGTTGCGCATGCCCAGCAATGGTGAAAGTCGCGACTAGAGAATTATCAGACATTGCTATGAGTGAGAGTCGCAGTAAGCTGAAAGGGACGCGCAAGACAAGGTCTCAAAATACGCCCGAAAAAAGTTCCAGCTCAAGGTACGAAGTAGTATAATAAGTCTCTGCCCTCTCGGAGCCCCCGAAAGCCACTCGGGAGCTGCAAAGCATCGTTACATTGTTTCATAGCGTTGTGTCTGCTATTGACAGCCATCTTGAAAGAGCAGCCACACTATACAGAGGAGAAGAAACATTACAGACATACCCTTCAAGGGTACCGCGTGGGATCCAGGTTATTGCATGAGATTGGCCCAGGCTGCATCATCTGGTTGACGCACTCCTTCCAAATATAGTTAATGGTGATGTTGAATTTACCCAGCAAACTTACCCGCCCCTTGGAATTTAGCAGAAGTTGCGATTCTGCCTATGGTATTCGCGATTCTCGAGGTTGAGATAAATACCCCCTGTTGCAAATTCCACACTCGGCAACCTCGAGATATATTTACAGGGTGTCATTGTCCAATTTGTTTATTTTACTGGAAATGTCCCTATTCCCGTATGGTGGTGGTTTGATCTTCAAATAAGGCATAAATGATCATATCCCATCCAAGGAGCTATTTAGCCAATGAACTACTCACTGTACCCATTATCAGTATAATCCTTGGCAGAGTAAAGAAAATCATCGTAAATTTATGAACAATTAAAATCCAAATTGGATGCTTGTACCCAGGCCTAGGATAAATACGGCCGCCTTCGTCCCGAGAGTGTTTATGCTGCGTTTTAAGGCTATAGTTGCCTGACGGCAAGTTCCTTTACTGCAGCTGATACCGTATCTATTTACTTTGTATAGAGTAGGGGTAGGCCTAATTGTATGCATGTTCGTACGGAGTACGACACATTCAGTATCCGGATACTTGTAGGTATGTACCGGAACTTTATACTTTGACAGACGGGGATTGCCGCAAACTTTGAGTGGTGTGAATGCTTTTGGCGCAAAAGTCTCGCAGCGTACAGTACAACACGCAGGCCAGGCGGCTTCTAGACTTAAAAACTTCTGTACGGAGTACGGTACATAAGTCGCACCAGCACAGCGATGCTGACTCCGCACCTTAAAATTGTGCAGCGGATGAATGATCTGCTCCAGGGGCTACATGGAAGATGGAGCTACCCGGATCCGTAAAATGCAGTAGAATGTCATTGCGTATGCCATATGGTAGTGTACTCTAACTTGAAGAAGTCTCTGTCCCGAATATCTACTATCGCGATGCTGCGTATAACATACGAATATATGCTAGACCTTGTTTTCTTATCTCTTATCCTCACTTGGACACTTCAATACTTCTATAAATCTATGTATTTCTTTTTCAATAATCATTTGACGTCCAAATGTGGTCAACACCAGCGCAGGCGCCATAAACGCGAGGACACATATTTTACCTAGGTATGCGGGCACGGGAGCGAGGTTAAGTAGCGTTGCAGGTTGAGGGACTTGATTGACCGTGCTGGCGGAATCGGTCCAACGTAAATGTGATAGCAACGAGGCTCTTGCGATAGGGGCTTGGGTAAGTCATGGTGCAATCAGCACGAGTCATGATTACTAATGGTTCTATCAGTGCAGTAAAGATGCTTCAGTACACAGAGATGGGGACGATTAGCTCCAGATGCTAGCATATGGAAGTTTGTTGTTTGTATACTCCGTACTCGGGAGTAGAATGAGTGAGTGAGTGAGTGAGTGAGTTAGATAGTACTGTAGGCGCGTGAGTGAGTGTATAAATTGCCCAAGGATCATCACCCGCCCCCACTCCTCCGCGCTGGACGTACGAGTACGCAGCAGCCCGATTCCGAGGCGGGCACAAAAGCACCGTGCGCCTCTTGGGTAAGGTCAATAAGGTAGGGTTGGCATGTTTTTCGGAGCGGGAGAAGCGCGAGATTCTTCTGCGCTGCAAGTACTAAGTATTTGGGACCTTCCCTAAGGAGCTGGCGAGGGCGAGCACGGCCTATATATCGGGACCACATTGGAGGTACGGAGCATACGGAGTACTGTAAAAAGGTACAGTAGGACGAGTATTAGGTCTCGTTATACCTTAGCATAAGTTAGGGGTGACCCCATTATTCGTGTTGACAATACTTGGTAAATTTACTGGCAATTGTCCACCTACGGAGGTAAAGTCCACCTACGTCCCCGGCTCTAGGTAAGTCTAAGTGTCTAAGTCGTGCAGGCTTGTTGAGGCTGCCAAACAGTACGGAGGGAGGGAGGTACGGAGTACTTCCGTACTTAAGGTACCCACAGGCTACAGGTAGGTACTAGGTACTAGGTACTAGGTATTACCTACTCGTACTACCTACCATCAGACACACCACACCACACCACACACCACAGGCCCAGGGCAACCAGACCAGAGCCCGGCCCTTCTCTCTTCTTCTCTATATCCGTAGTTCTCTCTCTCTGGTGGTTCGATCTATCTCCATGCAAATCAAGTCCAGTACTTAGCCTTAAAATGATATGCAGGAACGCCGTCGCCCTCGAGCGCTGTTGCGATCAGGGGTCCAACTGAACAAACAAGGGCAAGACAAGGGTGCTGTATTCGAAATTTCCTTTCCTTCATTATTATCATCGCTCCCCCCCCCTCCCCCCCAAATCCTTCCTTCCACCTGCACCCACCTGCACCTGCACCTCTACCCACCGGCCACCTACCTACACATCTCTTTACCCGACCCCCCGACACTTACCTACACCTACCAACCCACTCACTCACTCACTCACTCATCCGCCCACCACCACCTCCTTCCATTCTGCATATCATATCCTATCCATATCTTCAACGTCCCCTTCCTTCGGCGCCCGCCGTGTTGCTTCTGTGTGACGCTTTGCATTCTTTTCCTGTACCGTACGCGTGTCATTCATTCAGCGCATCGTATCAGATCGTCCCATTCGCGTTCGCACTCGGAGTTGGAATCGCGGCCAAAAACCCCTGCACCTGCGAAAAGTTTCGGAATTGACAGCACCTCCAACGTCGTCGCGAACATTCCTATCGACGTGTGCGACAACATCGCAGCGCATGGAATAGGACCTCTTGTTATATATCCGCTCGACGACCCTTTTCTTTTGGGTGGCTCACTTTGATTTTGGTGTTATCTTTGACGGATGGAATTCATCAGTACCCGTCGCGATAACGCGGATTCGTAGCAATTCAGAATGGCGCCGCCAGGCCTGCCGCTTCCCTCGAAGGAGCAGTGCTTTGCTTTGACGGATGAACAATGCCACAAGATCTTACTACATCGCGACCCGGACGATACAAGGGCCAACAAGACGTGGGAGCTGCTCCATCAGCCAGAGCTGGTGCGACTTTATATGACCCGGATTAGCTTCCCGCAAATCAGAGACTACATGAAATCCAAACTAGACTACTCGTAAGTCATTGCGCTCTGAATAGAGGCAACATCTCACCATCATTAAGTTACAAGACATATGCCAATCGGTACAAGGACTGGCATCTCCCGGTTAGCCAATATGAGCGGGAGCAGACGGTTCGGGAGCTGTTTGGGCTTGTCTCGGGTTCGAGCAATATTCAAGAGGTAGCAGCAACTACGACGCCAGGAACCCCGGCAAGGTTACCAATTCGACCAATTCAACCTCAACCAGCCTCTCACCTACCACAGCAGCTCCCTCCTCCGCAGACATCGCTCCCGCCTTTGCCGCAGCAACTGCCCCCTCCGCAAACATCATTGCCGCCATTACCCCCCATAGCATCCCGAACATCACATTCGTCACGCCCGTTGCACCCTCCACAAGTCTCCGCGCCACCTCCACCATCGCAATCCTCCCAGTCATCGCAACATTCATTTGATTTGGCGCAAGACTACTTCTCCCCAATGCGTCGGCAGATTGATTCAATCAGAAGCCCTACACCAGATAGAATGTCTATAGCCACCATGGAAACTTGGTCGACTGGAAGCGCTCAGTCAAGTTTTCAGTTCGATGACACCTTCTCAGAACCACGGTATTCGATGGCCAGTCTAGCGACGACAAATTCTTCCTTGAGTTCAAGCAGTCAATTCAGCCAAACATCATCCATGTCCAGAAGTCGATCTGTAAAACCTCCTAAGCATGATTCTCGGGCTGGAGTATGGAACAATTCCTTACGAGTCATTCCCTGCGGCAAGACTCATAGCCACTTACGTTGGGATGTATCTTTTGCCACTTGCAACATTTGTGGCTTCTCTCAATGGCATGCTCTCATGTTGCAAGCTCGTAGCGTAGATCCTAATATGTTTGGACCCGCCATGTTCGGCCTGAGAGACGTATGCAAAGTCGACTTCGCAGGGAACCATACATTACATTATCTTATGTCTGCAGGAGTCGGCATGGAATATTTCACCCACCTGTCTCAATGGAAAGAAACCACCCCAAATGTCTTTGGGCAAAACCCTTTACACGTGGTTGATCCACAAGCTCTTGGAGACGAATTGATGGATTTTGTGGATTGGTTCAAAGTCCAAGAGACCCCACCAGGACTGTTACTTACACAGCGAGATATGAAGGGACGAACGCCGCTTCATTGTCTTCTACAGCGGCCTCTTGAGCGAGATCTCTACTCGAAGATTTTCAGGGCGTTTCCCTGGATTGAGCATCAATTAAGCACTTTTGACACTTCCGGAAGGACCGCAATCATGATGATGGTTGAAGTAGCACAGAAACGCAAGTCGGAATCGCCAGCAGATTATCAGAAAATGCAAGCAGGCATCGTGGAGGTCAAGGTATTCCTATCCCAATCCGGTGAGATTCTCGAACGGAACAGACAACTGTACGGCCTCCACGACATCGCGCGAGGAGCTAGAGGCACGTCTTACTTTGGTTTTTACGAGTGCCGCGTCTGCAACCGGACGAATGCGCATTCCAATTCTTACTTGGACCAATTGATGTGTGCTTGTAACCAGGGGAGGGATAGGAACGGACCGGACGACACGGGCATGACGCCCGCCCACGCCATCGTCACCCAATCGCGCTGCAACGATGACCCAGAACTCACACCTGAAACACCGCAGCAAACGGTGCAGCTCATGCAAGTGCTGCTTCCCCGCGGCGACCCCACGCTTCTGGAAACCCTCCGCGTCCTCGACGGCGAAGGGAACACCCTAATCTACAACATTGCAACGCGAGGCCTCTACGAGCTACTCGAGTACGTGCTTCACCTCGAAGAACCGGCACGCAAGAGGGCCATGGTGAATTGCTGCCAAATGGGTCCGTTGAAACGGGAATGGAGCGTCTTGGCCGCTGTCGACACAATCCGAGGTCAGATATTCGACCCACAGAAACGACATCGGTTTTCAAAAACGAAACATATTTTGCAGAGATACGGCGCAGAGATGCATCCTAGTATTACAACAAGATGGCAAATTTCCTGGGCCTTTTAGCATTTCATTTTCTTTTGTCTGTTTGCCAGTGAAGATTTTTACTGCTGCTCCATCGATACGATACCACCTGTGCATTTCCGCATTGCGTTGCCTCCAAAACGATACCCACCCGCATTACAGTTATACATTTTTCCTTTAGATACCCCCACTCTGATTCTTTTGTTTTGCTCTTGCGATTGATTTGATTTGATTTTGTATATATTGCGCGCCATGAATGTGGCAAGAATTTACGTTATATATGTATTAAATAAGTAATGGAACAGGGGGCTGGGTGGGGAAAAGCATTGCGGGATCTTTTGGATTGGCATAGATCTTGTGTTTATAGACAGATGGATGGCGTATATAGCAGGGATTTGATGCTGGGCGTCATGCAAAGGAGTTGGTCGTACATATCCATGCGTCTTGTTTATAGAAAGGACTTTGGGGGGAGATGGGGGCTGGTGGGGGGAAGGAGTAATGGCAATGAGGGTTATATCTATGTGTATGTTTGGATGCATGCTTTGTGATGTGATGTGATGTGATTGCTTGCTTCCTTTTATCCAAATTAAACATCAACACTCTTCTTCACTAACTTCCTCGTCTTCCTCGCAAGAAAATTCTACCGTCCCATCCATTCCATCCATCCAACACCTCCTTCCCTCCCTCACTTAGCTTAAATCAAACAAGCCAGTCCCAGCCCCAGCCCCCAGTCCCAACTCCAACTCCAACTCCACCTGTATACATCCATCCAACACAAACGAAAGCTTCAGCCCCACCCGCGTACTGTGAACATTCCATTCCATTATATTCTATCCTATTCTTGCATATATGCTACGCACTCGTCCCACGCTGCTATATACAGTATAATCCGTGGAACGGCGGATCGGATCGGATCGACAGGCATGTATGTGCACACGTGTGGGTTGCTGACGCGAGGAGATGGGCGGGTTATATTAGATGTACTGGATTGGACTGGACTGTATGATATAGGTTTCTTGTGTGGTGTGTGCGGGTACGGTATGTAGGGAATGATTATTTTGGGGGGTGGAGGAGAGGAGAGGTGGGGTGGGGATGGGGATGGGGATGGAATATATATGTATTGTGGGTGGATGAGAGGATATACTATTTGGCTTGTGAGATCTACTTGGGCAGAAGAAGCTACGCATTCGGAGGGATGGCACAGTGGAAGGATTTATTGTTGATACATATGCATAGATGTATTGAAATGAGTTGGATATATATGTAAATGTATACATACGTAGGTAGTACTCATATTAGAGTTCAATTAGAGTGAAGACTTGGTTTTATTAAGATCTACAGATGCTGCGATAAGATAACCTCAAGCATGACTAAGCTACTGTACTGTACCTCCAGTGATCCGTCTATCACTTTGGCCCGCAAATGACCCTCACAATACCTAAGAGATTTCCATGTGCAATACTTACTAGGTACAAGTCAGCATTAGCTCAGGTCCAATACAAGCCACAGTTGGCTGCATTGGGATCAAACATCAAAGTCACATCACACCACCACCCCACACCGCTGCAGAACTAAGCCGTGCACTAGATCTAACCCGGTGTCGATATTCAAGATTGCTTTGCAACGCGCCTAGGAGGAGGAAGGGGATGACGTAGACATTATTTCTAGTCTTTATTTACGGTAAGTAAGTAGTCTGTGTTTGTGTTTGTAAATGTGGTCTGGTTAGGTGGGTAGGAGAAAGAGATGGGTAGATACATAGATACATAGATAGATAGGTATGTAAATATATATCCATGGCCATGATCTATAAAGATCAATCAAGGATACGAGTAATATAATACATCTTTTTTTACGGAAAGAAATGCATCCAGGGTCCATTCTCATTTGGGTGATGATGGTGAGGGTGAGGGACAGCGGCTGCGGGGATGGATTCTAGATTTGACGGTACAGTACTGTAGCTTAACCTTGACAAGCTGGGTGGCTACGTCATGCATGTTGTTTGGGCCTGGGCGCAGCACCTAGTCGGGAATGATCGTCATGGAGGCAGGAGCTTCAAATATCAACACTCTCGTCCCTTTCACACCTAAAAACCTTGCTTGTTCTCACTTACTTTCAAACAAAGCGAAAACACATCACACTATACATCCAATCTACAGTCCAAGTAGAGTAAACGACTGCATACTTGATTGATCCAAGAACAAACAAACAAGCAACCTCACATCAACATCAACATCAACATCAACAACAACAACAACAAACAACAACACCAGACATCATGCATCGCACATACTCCATGAGACAGTCGCGGGCTCCTACTGTATGCGCTTCCCTCTTTGCGCAATCATCATCAGCTTCCTATACAGTGCTAACCTAATTAACTTCTGCGCAGGCCTCGCAACTCCAGAACCCTCCTCCACCACCTTCTAGCACCAAGTCCGGACGTTTGTTCGGAAAGGGCGGTCTTGGTTAGTGAATCCCCCTATGACGTGGTGGTTATCGCAACATTTATCTCCAATACACATGGCGGCATGTCGGTATGGTTCCGTCGACGAGGGCAATTGATCGCGAGAGGCATCTTGGTGTTTGCAGTATCGTATGATACTGTGTTGCTGCTGCGCGTTCCTCTCAAGCCAGCAGCCCCACGCCACGGTGTACCAACCGCTGCTCCCGTTGCTGGGACCACGAGCCAGACCCCGACACTAGAATTTCAGTTATGATAATGTTCGCATGCTAACGCGCTCAATAGGCCATGCTCTCCGCAAGCAAACCGCCGGGCAATTCGGCCCAGATCTTGCCAAGAAGCTCTCTCAGCTCGTCAAGATGGAGAAGAACGTGATGCGCAGCATGGAGCTCGTGGGCCGTGAGCGTATGGAGGTTGCTGTACGTTATTGACTATGCCGCAAAGCTTTTACCGTTGATTAATGTGATTCTAGCAACAACTCTCCATCTGGGGTGAGGCATGCGATGACGACGTTTCGGATGTCACGGATAAGCTCGGTGTCTTGCTCTACGAGATCGGTGAGCTTGAGGACCAGTATGTTGACCGTTATGACCAATACCGGGTTACCATTAAGAGCATCCGAAACATCGAGGCTTCCGTCCAACCCAGCAGAGACCGTAAGTCACAGCACTCGACCCTCTTTTTCAATTATTAATCACGTGCACAGGCAAGCAAAAGATCACCGACCAAATCGCTCAGCTCAAGTACAAGGAGCCCAACTCTCCCAAGATTGTCGTCCTCGAGCAAGAGCTTGTTCGCGCCGAAGCCGAGTCCCTAGTCGCCGAAGCCCAGCTCTCCAACATTACCCGTGAGAAGCTAAAGGCAGCCTACACCTACCAATTTGATGCCCTCCGCGAACACTGCGAGAAGCTCGCCATCATCGCTGGCTTCGGAAAGCACCTCCTCGAGCTTGTCGATGACACACCGGTGACGCCGGGCGAGACCCGCGCTGCGTACGATGGCTATGAGGCTTCTAAGGCTATCATCCAAGACTGTGAAGACGCACTCACCAATTGGGTTACTGCCAACGCCAAGGTTTCGTCTAACCTCTCAACTCGTGCCCGCACATTGTCTCAACGCCGTCGCAACAACATCCAGCGTAATGCCGAGGGTCATGATCTCTCAGGCCAAGATCAGCCATTGAACGACCGCGAATCAGGTCTCTGGGTTCCAGCTAGCGCTCACAAGGGCGATGAGTTTGATGATGAGGAGGAAGAGGAGGAGCTTGGTGCACCTTCTATCCAAGATAGCGCTATTAATGGCGAGTCGAGAGGCCGTACTGAAGAGGTTATCGCATAAGATTGTCTAATGAGCAGGATGTTGAGGCACGGGGTAGTGGCGAGTCACATTCGGACTGGTTGTGGATATTCCCAAGCAAGATCTTTCTTTTGGTGATTCATGAAAATGCGCTGCGAATATACCCGTTGGGAGGGGTATAGGCTAATTAATGTGCGGTGGTAATTTATTGATGAATGGATGAGGATGGCCTGGAACGGAATGGGATGGGTGGATAAATGCGTTTATGTATTTGTAGTGCTGCGCCTGAAAATTATATTCTTTCTTATTTACACCTTTAACCTTTAAAGCCGCTAGTTTTGCTATATGATGTTATGAGATGAGATGCAGTGCTTGTAGGGGAATGGGGTTGTAAATGTAGAGGTATAATGCAAGGTATACTATACATCCTTTGGTAAGAAAACCAGGATATCGATAATGAAATCAAAGTATCTTCCTCATCGAATATATCTACCTCTCCACCATGTCTTGTCTCGTACTTCCAACCCCTATTGCAATTGCAATTGCGGATGCGTGAGTAGCTGACAGTTCTGGGTAAAGTTAGTTATGTTCCATTATATATATTCCCGTGTGAGTGGATGAATGAATGAAGATATATATAGATATATAAACGTAGGGTTTCCGTAAGTAAATTCGGTAGGCATCGAGCATATATGTTGTTTTGTGAGGCTAGTGCTGTGTAGATCTGTGGGGGTTGTTTTGTGTTGAGGGTTAAGGAAGGGTAAGTAAGGGTTTTAGCAGGAGGCAGGGCAGGGTAATACGACGGGCTCGCGTATTTATTTTCTCCCCTTTACATCCCATCTGCCATGACTTGTTGATGGTAGGGCTAGTCTTGCTCGACCGACCTAGTTCTTTATGCACACCGTTCAATGCGAGCTCCCACTCTTCCATCGTTTGATTTGTATTGCTTCGCATGCACTTTCCAGCTCTTGATCGAAAAGATCAACACCGAAGAGCTTGTTGCCATTATGGATAACCCTGCTGCTGGTTTGGAGGACGCATCGAAGCTGAGACTCTTCTATGATGGAGAACGTCAAGACTTGGTTCAAGTTGAGCCCTGGTGGTCCTGGTCGGGACTTGGATCGTGCTCCTGGATCTATATTCGAATTCGGAACCGAGACTGAAGAGATGATAACTTACTCAGAGTTTTGATAGTACCAATTGACTTAGTTGAAAGAAGGATATACTCGATTCCAGCTGCAGATTGTGTTGATATGCACCAGGTGCCAACAGGATCAGCGGTACTTGTGCCGTTGAATTATTTATAACTATACGGAGTATAGTTATCGGCACGGTATGTTTGGAGATAATCTGCGAGAAGATCTTTCAAAATAACGTGTCAGATCCATATCCACCCATGACAGCGGAGGCGCAGAGTAGGACATAACAAGATAGATATAGTGTTGAGGGATGTAGGATTCGAGAGCGCCGCATTCCAATATCGCAAAGGGTACTCAGCTCAATGATGATCTTGAGCAATTTTGGCTTGGGGCGGTGAAGCCGGGGTCGTTGTTTGGGAGGGAAGGGGCTGGAAATGAGGAACGGAGCCAGGCCGGCCCACCAATTAGCGCCTCCTTCGCGCAGCTTACCCGATATGGTATGCTGTTTGCAGCAGAGAAATTATTCCGATATCTCAACTCATCCTGTCTGTGCTGCTTCAACCACTTTATGGCTCTCGCTATGCAATATCAGTGGCCCAAATATAAGCTTTGTTTGCATGGACCGACAATGCTTGATCTTATAAGAGGCACAGCCTTATACGTAACCCCGGAAGTCTTACCCCTGAAATGGGAGAAACAGACTAATAGCATCTATCCCCGCGCTGGTAGGCCTATTCTTAGCAAGAAGATCTATATGGATATTTCATATAAGACTACCACTCTCTCTGGCAGTTTCTAGCATATTACTTACTCAACCTACAATCCGTTCTTCTTGGCCGCTTGAAAACTGCTGAATATCTCTTGCTTCATTCCACTTGTCTTAGTCCTGTCTGCCACGCCTACGATGCGTTTGTTCCATGATAACGATAGCTCCACCAGCTCGAATTCGACTACAAAACATGTTTGTCCCGTTGGGAGTCATCCAAACCCGAGTATAACCCCCCGCAACGACTGTTTTGAAACGTCACTGACAGTAACCAATTTGTAGCTCAAGTTCCTATAATTGGTTCACTTAAATTTCATGACTTATCCGTGATAATCTCAGGGTCTTGCATGGCATTTGTGTGCTTGGTCTCCTTCTTCTTAATCATAAGACACGCGACACATTTCTCGCTCCCAAAAGAGCAAAAGCAGTCAGTAGTCCTTCCAGCTTTAGGGGAAGCATATGCTAATATTCATACAGAGTCATGCGAATAGTATTTATGGTGCCAGTCTTCTCTCTGGTCACATTCCTATCGATCGCCTTTGATGGTTCAGCCATATATATCAAAAATATCCAGGGGGTTTATGAAGGGATTGCGTTTTCGAGCTTTTTCCTCCTGCTCTGCGAATTTATTCAGGAGAATGAGGAAGATAGAGTAGCATTCTTGGCTTCTTCGGGTGCGACAAGGCAGTATAGGGTACGTTACTTCAACGCCATAAGTCAATAGCGGGTTACTAACAAACAATAGGCTGCTTGTATTGGGGTGTTCCAACTACCATTTGCCATGCTCTTGCAATTAGTCATCACGGACATTACGCAGGCAGCTGGCACATATTGTAAGGAATCAAATAAATTCTACTTTGCAAAGATATGGGTATGCTTATTCCCTAATATAATATCAACAAATGTCACTAATTCTGGAGTAGATGTCCATTCTCAATAGTAAGCAATATGCGCTTTAAGACCTTCTCCTTTTGCTTTCTGAACATTCTGCTGCCTCTATTGCACCCCTCAAACGAAAATCCATCGTTTATTTCCACATTTTATTCTTACTGGAAGAAAACAAGTATTATTTGATTTAATGTTACTAACTTCCATTACTTTAGTGATTAGCACTACAGTCGCTGTTGTTTCCGTCATCAAATTCTACACTGTCACAAAAGATGTTACAAAACGTCGCAAACCGCTTTCCAAATTGGTCGGCTTCAAAGCAATTATTGGCTTGAGCTTCCTACAAGACGTTAGTCTCGCCCTTCTGCCCTTGCCAAGCCAACATCTGACCTTTTTCTCTTCAGCTCGTCTTCTCATTCCTTCAAAGTTCCATGAAACCGACCGAGCACTACACATATAATGATCTCACCATCGGTCTCCCGAACCTACTCCTGTCGGTCGAAATGGTCATATTCGCCCTCGCCTTCCTCTACGTTTTCCGCACACACGAATACTACCCCACCAAAGGCGTTAGTGCTGTTCCGCTTGGGCACGGCGGGTATCATGGTGGATTCTTAGGCATTAAAGCCATCATCACGGCCTTTAGTCTCATCGATATCATCAAGGGAATTTTCGGTATGCTAACGCTGGCGAAGAACAAATTGAGCGCAAGTCCGAGTAAGGTATGGGATACGGGTTCAAGCACGGAGGTGAGTATTTGAGACTCGAAAGAGGGCTAAGGCTGATAATGATGGCTAGTATGAGAGGATTAGCATGCAGCAGAATTATGGGCAGACACCGGAGTATCCACATAATACTGCACACCCACAAGGAATGCCTTACCAACAGGCGGCGACATATCAACAGGAGAATTTTCAGCTCCCTGATGCGTATCATGCTGGGACACCGTTTAACCAGGATACGGGATATCACCACTAGATACGATTGATGCTACGAGATACCATTGCTGTTGGCGTTTTGTGATAGATGGAGGGGAGAGCTTGTTTAACGTACGGGATGTCTCTCTCTTTGCTGGCGTTGTTTTATCTACCACGAATGCATTGTATAAGCTTTGTATCTGAGGAAGATATTGGAGAGAAAGAAGAGGGTAAGCCCTTAAACCGGTTCCATATATTCTGGGATCATTGATCTTCAAGTATAGCGCACTCTGTGGGTTGAAGTGCAAGCAGTCAGATGTTCTCTTAGCGTATCGCTTGCCAACCTACTACGTTAAACTTAATCGCAATGCTTTCCTGACTTGCTCCGTACGTTCTTATAGTTTTATGCCAATGTTGGCAATGAAATATACGACTAGGAGTTTGTATGAACTGAACACGACCGGCAATAAAACCTCGTGAGAGTAGCATTACCTGACTCTTTGGGACGCATCCAAAACGGTCATGCATATGCATATATTAAGACACACATACCCCGCCCTCTAAATGTTACACGTGGTACACAATATGGATCGGTCGAGGCTACTAATAGCGACACCCAGAGTGGATCTGTAGCACAGATATATACGCATGCTCGTGTCTGCTCCTTGTTTCACACGCATCAACCGCACCTCGTCTTTATTCTAAACATTCTCAACAATATGCTCTTCTTTGACATCCTCCCCCAGACCACCTTTTTTGGGGTAATCTTGGCCTTAGTAGTCGTGTGGTGCATCCAGACCGCTGTCTACCGCCTCTACTTTTCTCCAATTGCTCACTTTCCGGGCCCAAAGCTTGCGGCATTCACGCTCTGGTAAGTCAGTCGTCGAGTTTCCCTCTCACAGGTAGCCTGCAGTGATAGACTAACCGTAAGATAGGTACGAGTTCTACTATGATGCCTGGCTCGGTGGGCAATATGTCTTTAAAATACATAGGTTGCATGCGCAATACGTAAGTGTGAATGCTATCAATCGATCCCCGAGAGAAGGAGCGCAGACGTCTCAACACTAACGAAAACTCAGGGCCCCATCATTCGAATAAACCCCTACGAGCTTCACATCGACACCCCAGAATTCTACGATGAACTATACGCCGGGTCGAGCAAGAAGCGTGATAAGTACAGATGGCACAATAAATGGGCTGCAAATGATTCATCGGCATGGGGATCGATTGACCACGATATTCACAGGATGCGCCGTGGAGTGATAAATCTGTTCTTCTCTAAAGCCAGCGTTAGACGTCTCCAGCCAGTCATTCAAGAGCGTGTAGACCAGCTATTGTCGCGGATCAAAGGTTTTAAAGTCTCGGGGAAACGACTGACTATATCTCTGGCTTATGTCGCACTATCAAGTGGTACACATACAGCTGATTCCTATCTTAACTTACTTCCGCCATCATTTTTCCTTATACATTGCTAATACAGTATACCGAATTCAGATGTCATCGCCGACTACTCTTTCGGGCGAAGACCTCAGCGCCTCGAGCAAGAAGATTTTGACCCAGCATACGCCCAGGCAATGCACGAACAAGCTGCCACTATGCACTTCAATAATCAGATATACTGGCCCTTTCAACTCCTCACTTCACTTCCACATTGGCTAGCCCTTGCAATTGCACCGAACATCTCCTTGTATATCGATTTCGTACTTGACTGTGCAAAATCCATCGAGGCGATAAAGAATGGCTCTTGCGATCTTTCCACGAAGACAAGTCATCCTACCCTCTTCCAGGAATTACTCGAGGGCGACGTCCCGGACAGCGAAAAGAGCATTGATCGACTTGTACAGGAGGCACAAGTTGTTGTTTCAGCAGGTACTGAGACAACTGCTTGGTGTCTTTCAGTCATCACGTTCTATATATTAACGAATCCCACGATTTTAGAAAGGTTGAGGGTAGAACTCGAAGAAGCGATTCCTGATCCGGATAAACCGGTGCCGGTGGAGAACATTGAGCAGCTTCCATACCTGACTGCGTGTATCCAAGAGGGTTTGCGGCTTTCATATGGCCTTAGTACCAGGCTACCGAGAGTCTCGCCAGTTGATGTTATGGTGTTCAATGATGGGAAGAAGGACTGGCATATTCCACCAGGAGTACGTTTCAATCGATCTCCTGACATTCACACGTTCTCCCAATGGATTCTAATAATCTTTCTAGACCCCAACAAGCATGACCTCATATCTAATACACCACAACGAATCAATCTTCCCAAAGTCCCACGAATACATTCCGCAGCGCTGGATCGACGACCCCCGCCTTGACAAGTACCTGATTTCCTTTTCCAAGGGAACTCGGCAGTGTGCGGGCATCAACCTCGCATACGCCGAGCTCTATACTACACTGGCCAATATCTTCCGGCGTTATGGAGGGCCTGAAAGTACGGGGCCAGAGGGAAGCCTTGAGCTGTTTGAGACGATGAAACAAGACGTAGAGATGGTGGCGGATATGTTTATCCCCTTTGTGAAGAGGGGATCGAAAGGCATTCAGGTGTTTGTGAAGTAGGTTTAGTCTTACATCATCTATCTACGTTCACAGTAGAATGGGGTGATTATTGAGCGAGGACTTGGGACTTGAGGAAGTCTAGCATGCAAATTAGAAACCAGCAGACTTAGCGAGACTTGGTTATGAATATCCGTTTACCTTCTACAAATCTACTAAGCGTATAGCCTACTACGACAAAAGCTTGCCAGGCAGACATTCGAAGTATTTCGACTCCAAAGCAGACATTTGAAGAGCTACAGTAGCTACTCCATAAATCCAACTATATCAGGGTAATGCACGGTATCCCTGGGATTATGAATGCCGTTTTATCTAGATTCCACTGGATGACAACCGCAAGTCTCAAATAGAGCAAAAATGCCCTGAATAGGAAATCATGGCTGGGCAATTAAGCTTACTATAGGCTATGCTATGCATGCCGGTCCCCGCATCTGCCGTGCAGATTCTGCACCCGCACCCGCACCCGCAAGCCACAAGAATGGCTCAGTAATCAGTCTGTAGAACGTTCCGGATGCTTACGATCGTAGGTGGCACCGCTCACTAATCGATTGCACATACGACTTCGATGAAGGTGTTGCGAGCCAGGGCTAGAGCTGTCCAGTTCTGATAAGTTAGCGGGGTAAAGGTAACATCAGAACTGCTATGATGAGTGTACGCCGTGCAGCTCCGAGGTTAGGATCAAGTTGTTTACAAATTTAATGTGACGAAAAGAAAACATATCCTGGGATCATTTTGCTGAAGAGGTAGGGCATATATAGGTCACTATGTCCCTCAATACTGACTACATTTGCTCGGAAATATGCTACAATCCATTTCTTGACCTTCTTCGTCCTGTCATTTGTGAGCCAAGATGAATATCTCCCACAGCAAGGCCTGTTGCACCCGTGCACCTGTCATCCTCCGCGGTGGCTACAACTATAACCAAACCGGGAAATACGTCGAGTATGACGGACTAAAGACTTGTGAGCTTTGTTTTATTACCATTTATCTCAATTTCCGTCGAGGTATTTCTTCAGACCCAACTAATAACACCAATTAGACGAAACCGGGTCGCCCACAACCAAACGCGGAATCCTTATGATATACGACATCTTCGGCATATTCGTCCAAACAGTCCGCGGAGCCGATATCCTTGCTTCAGGCCACCACGAAACTCCCGACAAAGGTGGACAATACAAAGTATTCATGCCAGACTGGTTCGGAGACCACGCTGCCGACGTGCAAACCTACCCTCCGAAAACGCCCAAGGATGTTGCCAGCATAGCCGCCTTCATGAACGGACCCGCGGATCCTGCCAAGACAGTGCCGAGGATAGCACCGCTGATGGAGGCGATCAAGAAGGCGAATCCGCAGATTGAGGAATGGGCCATCTTGGGATTTTGTTGGGGTGGGAAGATCGCTGCTTTGGTGTCGCGGGAGGGGAGCTTGTTTAAGGCCTCTGGACAGTGTCATCCCAGCTTGCTTGAAAGGGCTGATGCGGCAAAAGTCACTATTCCGATGGTGGTTTTGTCGTCTTTGGACGAGGTTCCTGAGGTGAGTTGCAGTGTGCCTAAAGAATGATGAGAGGGTTCATCTTGCGGAAATCGGGAGACGCTAGTAGTAAATTTGCTGATAAAATGTGACAATGCTAGGAGGTAGATCCTTGGGTCCAAGATCTGAAAATGGCGTCTACTTCAAGTTTCAGTGAGATTTTTACCGATTCAGTCCATGGCTGGATGACTTCCAGGTACGTACACCCCTCCATCTGTTCCTGAAAGACATATTTTAGACACTTACCACCTCATGCACTTAATACTGATATGATGTAGGGCTGATTTCGAGGATCTGCATAAGTTTGAGGAATATTTGCGTGGATACAGAATAGTTCGCGAGTTCTTTGCTCAATCCTTGTAAGTTGCAAGACGTGCGGAAATAAGGCGATGCCTTCGATCATCGAGCTGCAATGGTAATAATAAAAAATCGTTTCCCGTAAAGCTTACATTAACGTGAATTTGTCATTGCCATCCGCAAATTAATCCATGTCTAAAGAGATATAAGACCACCCAAGCTGCAGAAAACTTTCCGAGTAACCAGAAGTTTAGAGACATCTATGATTGGGACCTATCGCGTTTAAGGCTCTATTCCCAAAATCCACGCGAAAGACCATCTAATCAGTAATTGGGATAGACTATTAACTTTAAAGATCTTGGGTGTTGGCTCGGGTGTTGGTTCAGGGGCTCGCTTGCTAGTGAACGAGGATCGGTTTTGACAGCAAATGTAAGTCAATGAATGACAGCAGGCAGTTACGACTAAAAGAATAGGATTTAAGATAATAACCTTTCAGACATCTACACAACTAGAAAATGGCCTAAGTCTTACACGTACTTGATTCTATTACTGTTTGAGTTAACATATGCAATAATGTCTGAGTGGATCTAATAGATAGTCTGGTATATTAGATTGAGGTTTACAGAAGTGACTAGGAGGTTATTTGATAGCAAATAGAACTTTGACAGTAGTAATTTCTCCTTTCTTAAGCATCAAGGTCGTCCTTTCCATATACGTAATAAAACTTTCACAGGTCTAGTTTACTTGTTGGTTATTCATATATCGCTGGGTCTAATAGTATTAAACCTCTAATATAAATCTTACGTCAAGCTATGGTAAATTATTTCTGCCAAGATCTGACTTGGTGACAGGTGAGGATATTTATCGACTGTTTATAAACTAATTCACTCTAAAGATACTAGAATTCAGAGAATCTTTACCCTAAACCTTCTTTCTTATTAATCACTTTGAAGTTCATCACATTATCAAAACAAACCGATATTTCAAAAGAATCCCCTTGTTATTTATTAATCTTTTCTAAAAATCAAAATCCAAAAATAAAACCTAAAACACCAGAACTTTTAAACTCCAACGCCAACTCTTAAACGCCAACGCCCCTACAGAACTTACCTAATCACCTCTTAATAACGGTTCCCAGTCGCCTCCCTCATAGTACACTTAAGGCAATTATCACCTCGGTTGAGAAACTGAATGCGATAGTTCGGGCAAGCGGGAGGGGTGCACCGTGCTGCGACTTGGTGACTGCATTCGGTGATGGTGTAGCGTTGGCAGCCGCAGGTGTAGGTGGTTCGGAGTTCGTAACACATTATTGATGTGGTGGTAGTTAGGTTTAAGTTTTGTGGTGGTTGTTTTATGCAGTGGAAGTTGTAGTAGTGGTGTGTGTATGTGTGTGTGCGGTTGGTTGGGTATGGAAAAGTGTGATATGGGAGGAAGAGGAAGAGGGATTTATAGGTAAACTGTCAGGGTTGTTTTTAGATGGTTTAAAGTTGATTTGAAACACGTATGGCAGTACTGGAGGTACTGCAAGGAAATTTTAGAATGAAAGAAGTTGATAAATGCTATTGTTCTGTCTTGAAGCAGCGATCCGAGAGAACAAAGTAATGGTAAGACTTGAAATAAGCGGGATAATCTAAAGAAAGGAAACAATTGGAATACTTCTTTTATTATCATACGTTTCCTTTGTCCGCTTTGAGACCGACTTCAGGAAGTAAACAGGATAAGGAGGTCATAACTTATTGATTCATTTTTAGTTTCACATCGGAGGGGGTGATTGAAGTAACGTGACTTTAGTATTGCAGGGCATAGCTTCCCCTGCTATTAGTATTTTTAGCCCTAATATCTTCTATTCCGCTCTTATATAATACATATTAATTAGCCTCTTTAAAGTTATTAGCAAATGAATATCCACTTCCACCTCATCCCACCTCCATTCCCTACCCTGCAACTACACGAATATAAAACCCCGCACCCTCCCACCCTTCTCAATTCAGAATGGCTTAAGGACGGCTGGCATAGGAGGCATCTGTTGGACGGATATGGAGATGGATTTCAAGAACATATATTGAGTTTTATATTTATGCCGCAATTCCACTCTACTTACCCCAACACTCAAATGACTGTCAAGAACACCTTTACCGTCATTCCAAATCCATTCATTCATTCATGCATTCATTCATTAATCCATGCAGTCATTTTACCCGACGAAAATGACCTTTAAATATATACAGGATATGCATATGTATATTCAACATATCGCCTTTCTAGAACCCTCCCTCTACATGTGAGACTAAACCATTCCTCACCAACCCTCAAACACCAAGAAGAGCCCTCGTCCGTGCTGACGCTGGAAAAACCGGCTAATTCTATGTATGATTCCTCTACAACCCCTCGACCGCAGCAGATGTTTTATACCACGCCACCAAACCGGCCAGTTGCGAAAGCTTCAAGCACGATAATGCCCGTCTGCCAACTTACGCATTCATTACGAGTAATCTGCATTTAGTGGGGAACGTCAGACATATGAATAAAGGGTCGTTTGTTCCCTATTTCTATTTAAATTCCTTCCTATTCCCTAAACCTACAGAAAACCCCACCTATACATTTATTGATTGGCCAGCCCTACTGCACCTTATCCTATCTCCAAAACACCCGCTAAAATTGCCACACCAAACAAATCAAACCAATCGTTCCTCATTCGCACTCCCAAACACCGTTTTTGTTCCTTACAAATGAAATCCCACACCGCTTTCCCAGCCTTAACCCCCAATTTCATTACGGCCCTCCTGACGGTGGATTTGTATTCTCAACAAGCGTAGGCGCAATTCTCCTCTTCTTCTTCACCCCACCATCCTCCACATCCACATCACTCTCACTAGCCCCCGCATCCCTCTTAACCCCACTCACACTGCTCGTCGTACTACGCGGCGTCTGTGGTGGAGTCGCAGCCATGAAGCTATTACCTGCCGCGATGCCCGCTAACGTGCCGCCTACTAATGTAGGATTACTGATAATCGTGCCAGGGGTAGCGTATGATGATTGTGTTGCTATCGACGACGTTGAATTGGAGCGGGTTGGAGATGAGGGACGGATAGTGCCTGTAATGTTGCCTGATGAGGTCGGTGGTGGAGAAGGAGCAACGGATAGATTGGAGGATGTGCGGTGGTGGGATGATGGGAAGGGGGAGGGGGGCGCGATGGCCGTTGGTGTTGCCATGGGGGTGGTTTGGGATGAAGTTGTGGATATGATTGGGTGTTTGGCCGTGGGGACTTCGCCTTTGTATACCTCGCCCAATTCGGAAGGGGAGAAGGTTAGGGTTGAGCAAAAGCCGTCGGAGGAGGTCATTAGGAGGGTTTGACCGTCGGTGGACCTGATAACTGTTAATTGGGCACGTGAAAAGGTGGATAGATGGACTTACCAAGTCAAGTCTGTAAAGGTCGCACAGTGCAGATTGCTAACGATGCAGAGCGGTGTTTGTTGTTGAGTATCGTATAGAAGGACGGCATCTTCGGTTGCAGCTGCATATATCATTCGATACGGCAAGCTGAATGCCATTGGAGGCCCTTGAGTCGATGCATTTGTTTCCACCTCTAATGACTTCGGTTTTGGTGAAGAGGTTGGTCCTGAGGGATCACTTGTTTGTAGAATAAGTGGAGGTGGTTCCATGACAGAATGTGAGGGTGATTTTGGAGCAACTGCAGGTTCTGGGAGAGCCATCAGGGTATCATCCGCCGATGAGGTGTCAATTGTGATGTTTTTTGTTGTTACTGGTCCCTTTCGAATGTTGTAAAATATTGGAGAGCATTTCACCACAACCGAAGGTTTCTTATGCCCGGGAAGATGTGCCACTGGGGGCTTATTGATCCCACCTCTGGTGTAGATGTAGACCGTGTTTATCACGTCACTCGTCGGCTTCGTCGTATCATCTAGTCCCTTGAACTGGTTTTGGTACTGTCCAGCTGGAGTGAAGAGAAGGCTTCCGTCAGGTGTAAAGGTCAATCTGCGGAAGAACGACTTGAGCGTGTCGTTGGCGTAGATATTCGCATTTTTAACTCCAAGCCCAACTCTCGGGGATGCTTCCATTGGCATTACAGCTGGCAATGGCATGGAAGGTGCTGGGGAGGCGGATCGGCGCATTGACATAGCTGGCGAAGCCGCCCCAAAAGATGATCTCCTACTATGGCTGATCGTACTGGGCGGGTTCATAGGCAATGCCAAAGATGTCGGAGTTCCTGGACATGATGGAACTGGCGATCCAATACTAGCAGGGGGCTCGATTGGTAGCTGGGAACGGAATCCCGTATCAGGAGGTGCAGGGCTATTCGACGATATTCTTCGACCTGGTAAATCCATCTTCATGTTGTTTCCAATCTTCTTTGGTATCTCATCCCTGTTATCAAGAACATAACTTCCATCTTTTGTCCTCAGTGTGTAGATATGTACGGATCGATCGGATGATTGGGTTGCGATGTACTCGTTGAGAGGATCCCATGTTACACCTTGAACGTAGTGTTGATGTTCAGCAATCTGGCGTATGAGTTGACCTGGGAGAGTTAGCTGATAATATTGATATTTTGTCAAATATTCTACCTGTTTGAGCATTGTAGATCCTGGCAACATTGTCCATGCTCCCAGTTATAAAGTAGACACCATCAGGAGACCAGGCCAAGTCGTATATCTCAGCACCCGTCGATCGGCACATATGTCTCGTCCGCCAGGCCTCTTTATCTTCCAGTCCATCCTCTCCCAATGTGGGCTTGCCGTTCTGCGAATCGAGGACCCAGGTGATAACATTCCCATCATCACCAGCAGATGCTAATACATCCCCTATGGATGGTTAGCCAGGGTCCAATAGTCGAGGGAGTAGGAATTTACCTCGAGGATTCCACCGGACCACATTTACAGCCTGGGTATGCCGGACCATCGTACACAGATATTCGACCTTTCGATCCTCTCCCTCGGCGTCTATTCTCCATAACTGTGCCTCTTGTCAGCAATAATCCGCCAATTTGAATATCTGGCACCTACTCGGACATTGTTATCCCCACCACCTGTTGCCAATCGCCCCTTTCCGTGAGGCTGGTAGTCGGCAGAGTATATTGGGGCATTCTCAGCATGCCAGTTGACGATTATCGGGGAGGCTTTCATGATTGCTGCAGTAAGGGAGCTTCGAAGCTGCCGTCGTGGTTGAATCCGGCGGCAGCTGCACCGGTATAGCTTAGAGGGGGAGACAAAGGGTGATACTTTGCTATGCTATTCCGGCAAATTCGGTGGAGGGTTGGGGGGCGGAGAAGAAAGATTATGGTTTCGAGGAGGTCGAAGGTTTGGGAGGATGCGGGCAGGGATTAGATGGTGTCGCCCGGAGCTTGGAGGTAGTTTGGCTGCGTGCGGGTTGATGAATCCAAATATCGACAACTTTCTGTGTAGAATTTGGTGAAGAATTCAAGTGAAGATTTAGAGTCGCGTAAGGAAGAGGGGGGATGTTTGAATGAATTGTGGTGGTGGTGGTAGATGTTAATATGGTCGTACTCGTACATCAAGGAGGAGGAGGAGGAGTTGCAGGCGGCGTGTCTCAGCGAATGGGATTCACGCGTCGGAGCTACTGTATAGTAAGCTAAGGGGTGAAGGAAACCCTTGATTCAGTGAGGGGAGAGTTTGGTTTCATAGCCACAACGTTATGATAACATATACTAAAGGTGGGTTCTTTCGGATCTTACTATACTTTTATGAAGTCGCAGAATGATATATATATATATATTGCATTTAAATTACCGTATCCTATTTGTATTGTGAAATCTCTTGTGCAGATGAATGTCGTCCATGAAGGTGTTACCACCACGCTCTGGAACACAGGTAAAGAACGGATAACTACCTAGGTCGGTATATTAGGGCTTCATACTCCCTCAAACTTACTCTATATCATAGGTGGAAAGCAGTGGAAAGCCTCCTCCCTCTTTTCAAACAACAACCCCTGGCCCTGACCTGATATGTACCTATCCTATCATAGGTATGTACTGTACTACTTGTATCAAGCGAAATCGAAATCTCATCACGTGCACATCACCTCACTCGCAAGCTCGCGCCTTTCTTCTTCTACTACAGTACTAGAGATCTATTTCCATCCAAACGGAAGACATTCCAAAGCGCCGTTCACGCTTGACTCTGCAGCCGCAAAGCCCACCGATATTGTGGATCTGTCAGACGCCCCTCTCAAGCTAAGGGGAAGGAAGTGAGTGAAGTTCTCTATCGTGCACCCGATTATCTTCCCTTTCCTTACTCATCTCCTCTCACCGCTCCAGTTCACTCGTATTTTCAGAACCATTCGCCTTCCGCCGACTGCAATACAGCATGTAGAGTGCAGCTGGTTTGAGCAGAAAGCTCGCATTGTTATAGCTACAACTTCGATATCGGCATGGACATTGGCGTGTGACCGCTCAACCCTGGTCAAGTTAAGTGATTCATCATCATCCTACGAGTACTTTGAACCTCGAACCTCGAGTATATGTATATGTATATGTGTATGTGTATGTATATAATGAGTCTCCCCACATCTGCATTTTCACTAGATGCCAGGTCAAACCAGATTAATTCTCGGTTGGTTCCCCACTCTTCTATTCCGCCTTTCCATGCATACAGGACGGTATTCTCTTGGATAGAATCTCTTATTGTGCTGTACGTCGTTCATCACCTGTTCATCACCTACCTTTTTTCGCTTAGACTGCCCCTCCCTCCTCTATCGCAACTCTCAAGCCGTTGCCGTTGTCGCGCCCCCCACCAATTCCAACATCTCCCTGCCGCCCCCCCCCGGGCCCCCAGCCAATTTTCATATATTCTTCCGCGTCTCTTCTTACCGGTTGACTCATATCCACTTCTTCCACATCAACCAGGCAACCAGGACGCAGAAGAAGAAGAAGAGTTATTCACACCTGGGTAATAACCGCGTCTGGACAAGCTTTGATGGCATCTTCCTCTTCCCTACATTTATTTATTTATCTATTTATTTAATCAACTTCTTCACGGTGACTTCTACCTGGCCCATCGAGTCTCCGAGTAAGAATGATTTAATACTCAAGTCAACAGATTCAACACTGTCTGGGACAACTACAATCAAAGCACGATGTTCGATCACCCTTCGAAATCCTTTGTGTCTGGAGTCGTGGGCACCGCTCTCATATTCCTGCTCACCTCGCCTTCGATATTCGCCATTATATCCCACTTACGCGCCCCCAAACCCAACGCCAAAACCTACAAAGACGAGGATGGCGCTGCTACCCCAGAATCCATGGCCAAGTACTCGGCCAAGATTCCCAAGATTATCCTCGTAGCCTTCGTTGCTCTTGGTTTTCTCACTTCAATTGCCTTGGCTGTGCTTGCTACTCTGGGTCGTCGTTCGCCTGCAGTCGTGGAGGATTGGCTCAATGCAGCTCAATGGGTATGTCCACGTGACTCATTCACAAGTACTCATGTACTAACATTCTGCAGTTCTTGATTCTTGTTCAGACCACCGGCGTACTCACGATACGGGACACCGTCAAGGCCTATACTCTCGGAATCCATACAACCATTTCATGCATCCTACTCCTCGCTGTTCTCCTCTTCCAAGACCAACTCATCACACAGGCTTCTGGCTTCGAAGGACCAGCAGAGATAACCACGCTCCGGACCGCACAGCTGTTCATCGTTATCTGTACTGGTTTTGCCGGCGTTAGCATTCCCCGCCGTCCAGATGTCTTCTACGGAGGTGTACCTCTTGATGGCATGTATACCGTATCAGCCCTCTCTCGTTACAGCTTCTCCTGGGTGGGTGGCCTGCTCTCCATGGCGAGAAAGGAAAAGCGCCTCAACCAGGATGACCTGCACAAAATGGACCATTTCACACGATCAAAGGACCTCAGCGAATCATGGATGAGTCAGAAGCATACAAGAAAGCTTTGGGTAGAGGTATTTCTCGCCCACAAGGGATCATTTCTCATTCAATGGTTTCTCACACTTGTTCAAGCACTGGGACTATTTGCACCACAATTCGTAACCTTCCAAATTCTACGCATTCTCGAGCGACGAGTTCCTGGGGAGGCTGTTCATTCCGAGGCTTGGATTTGGGTTTTTACACTATGCGTGACGACGATTGGATCTACGTGGGTGGAGGCTTGGTTGTTTTGGATATCATGGTCTGAGATTGCTATCCCAGTCCGAGCCCAACTATCTGCCCTTATATTTCAAAAAGCAATGCGAAGAAAAGATGTAAAGGGCGCTTCGAAATCAAGCCGAAAAGCATCTGATGAGGGTCTTGATATCTCCAACGCAATGGAGGATCCTGTGGCTGACAAACCCGAAGTCGACGAGGAAGAGGGCGATCCAAAGGGGAAGCAGTCGACTGTGAATCTCATCGGTGTTGACACGAAACGCATTTCTGACTTCTGCTCCTTCAATAATTATTTCCCTGGCAGTCTGTTCAAGTTGTTAACCTCACTAGCCTTCTTACTCTTGATTATTGGGTGGCAATCATTGCTTGCTGGGTTTGCAGCAATGTCTGTGACAATTCCCATCAATATTTATTTTAGCAGACGATATTCAGCTGCTCAAGATAGACTTATGAAAGTCAGAGATCAAAAAATGGCAGTCGTTACGGAAGCTCTACAAGGTATGTAAGACATTTGAAAAGTTGCTACACGCTAATGATTCCAGGTATTCGACAAATCAAATTCTCAGCCTTGGAGTCCAATTGGCACGAGAAGATTGGGAAAGTTCGAAACAAAGAACTGGACGAGCAGTGGCAAGTATATCTATCCGATACGTTTTTGCTGTTGTAAGTCAACCCTTCCATATCTAGATTCTTCCCTAAACTTGAATAGCTGTTGGATCACCGGTCCTGTAGCCCTCGCAGCAACATCCCTGGCCGTTTACGCGTTCCTATATAGAGAACTCACCCCCTCTGTAGCCTTCACAGCTATTGGCGTCTTCAACAACCTCGAAGTCACACTGGGCGTGATCCCCGAGTTAACGACCAACCTCATCGACGCTTGGGTATCTAGCGCCCGTATCGAAAAGTACCTCTCAGCGCCTGAAATCACCAAGAATACCAATGACGCCCCCAACATTTCTTTCGAGAACGCTGCTATCGCCTGGGCTTCTGATGAAGATAAAGAGGATGGCGATGAGCGATATGTTTTGCGGAACGTTAATATTGCGTTTCCAGAAAAGGAGCTCAGTGTTGTGAGTGGGAAGACGGGGACGGGCAAGAGTTTACTACTGGCTTCCATACTAGGCGAAGTCGATGTCCTAGAAGGCAAGATTAATGTCCCATCCCTACCCCACACACTCTCCCGCCATGATCACCTTGCGACCCCGGATAACTGGATAATCCCCTCGGCCATTGCATTCGTGGCGCAAATCCCCTGGATCGAAAACGCCTCCATCAAAGACAACATTCTGTTCGGTTTACCCTTTGATGGATATCGGTACAAGAAGGTGCTTGAGGTCTGTGCGCTGAAGAAAGATCTTGATATGCTTGCTGATGGGGAGAACACTGAGATTGGCGCGAACGGCATTAATTTGAGTGGAGGCCAGAGGTGGAGAGTTACGTTTGCTAGGGCGCTGTATTCGAGGGCGGGGATATTGGTGTTGGATGACATCTTTAGTGCTGTGGATGCGCATGTCGGACGGTTCATTTTTGAAAAAGGCCTCACTGGTATGTCCATCTTTTCTGGTAGTCTGAAGACAATGCTAACTCTTGACTGTTTGTAGGTGAGCTAGGCGTGGGCAGAACCCGAATTCTAGTCACGCACCATGTCGCCCTCTGTAAATCCAAGACAAAATACATCGTTGAACTCGGCGACGGCACAGTCGAGCACGCGGGTCTCGTTCAAGAATTGGAAAACGAAGGTACCCTCCAGGAAATCATTAGCCACGAAGAAAGTGCACAGCAAATCCAAGAAGACGAGGAATCTATCGAGTCTACCGCTGTCAACTCTGCGGAAGAGTCTTCTGATGAAAATGAGCCGCTGAAAAAGGTGGATTCGAAGACGCCGAGGAAGTTTGTCGAGGAAGAGGCGAGGGAAGAGGGGAGAGTTAAGACGGCGGTTTATTTGGCATATATGAAGGCGAGTGGTGGGATACCATTCTGGTCGGTGGCTGTTCTTGCATATGCTATTGTGCAAGCACTTACAACTGGTAAGTTGAATTCGCTCCTGTTTGCTTTCTAAGTCTGGTGCAACTCTCATTCGATATCACATTCCCTTAATTTAAGTCTGCTGACACATATAGGTCGATCATGGTGGCTCCGTCTCTGGACTGGCAACGACGAACGTCACACAACCGCAACCCACGCTTTCACATATTACTTTCAAGTCCACTCGCTCGCGCCCTCATTCTCAAACTCAACCGCATCCACTGAGCTTCCTCCACATGACAACCTGAACTATTACCTCGGTATCTACGTCGCGTTCTCCATCGTCTCAGCTCTCATCGGTACCTTTAGATACTGGTTTATCTTCACTGGATCTATCCGCGCCTCTCGCAAGCTCTTCGACAAGCTCTCCTTTACCATCCTACGAACCCCTTTGAGATGGATGGATACTGTTCCTCTAGGCAGAATCCTAAACCGCTTTACAGCAGATTTCAACGTCGTCGATGCTCGACTATCATCTGACATTGGTTTTGGAGCAAACAATATCTTTCGTCTCATCGGTGTCATAATAGCAGGGTGACTTTACACTCCCATTCTATTTTCGGCCTCCTCACTAACCTCAAAACAGAGTATTCGTTTCTCCCTACATTATACTCATCTCCATCGCTTTACTAGCAATCTGCGTACATATAGCCCTCCGCTACCTCCCCGGCGCCCGCGAAGTAAAACGTCTCGAGTCCAACGCCAAGTCTCCCGTATTCGAGCAATTTGGTAGTGCCCTAACAGGTGTTGGCACAATTCGCGCTTTTGACAAGACTGACACCTACATAACACGCATGTTTTCCAAGATCGACGACCACTCGACATCCTTCTGGCACTTGTGGGCCTTTAACCGCTGGATGGGATTCCGCATGTCTCTTGTAGGCGGAGTTTTCGCTACTTTTGTGGCCATCTTTATCCTTTGTATGAGTGATATCGATGCCTCTTTGGCGGGCTTTGCACTCAGTTTTGCGCTGGAGTATACTAGTACTGTGGTGTGGACTATCAGGCATTATGCTAATCTAGAGCTGGATATGAATGCCGCAGAGCGCATTATCGAGTACTCGAACCTAGAAACCGAGTCTCAAAGCGGTGTTGACCCGCCAGCGCACTGGCCATCCGAAGGACGTCTCGAAGTCAACGATCTGGTTGTAAGCTATGCGGACGACCTACCGCCTGTACTTAAAGGCCTTACCTTCCGCGTCGAACGCAACGAGCGTATCGGCGTCGTTGGCCGGACCGGCGCAGGGAAATCATCTCTCACCTTAGCACTGTTCCGCTTCCTCGAAGCACAACAGGGAAGTATCCACATCGACGGCCTCGACATCTCCAAGATAAACCTCCACGCGCTGCGCTCCCGCCTCGCCATCATCCCGCAAGACCCCGTTCTGTTCTCGGGCACTATCCGTTCGAACCTCGACGCCTTCGACCAACACTCCGACATCGAGCTGTGCGACGCCCTCGTACGCGTGCACCTCATCACCGAAGCCGAAGCCCTACACATATCTTCCGGCACCAACACCCCCACCCCCCTCACACCCACGACCACGAACCGCAAGAACAAAAACCTCTTTGCGAATCTCAACACGCCCATCACAGAAGGCGGGCTCAACCTCTCGCAAGGCCAACGCCAACTCCTCTGCCTAGCCCGCGCCATCGTCTCGCGCCCGAAAATCATGGTCCTCGACGAAGCGACAAGCGCCGTGGACATGGAGACAGACGCGCTGATCCAGCGCAGCATCCGCGAAGAATTCGGCGACAGCACACTGATCGTCATCGCGCACCGCCTGAGCACAATTGTCGATTTCGACAAGATCCTCGTGTTGGGCGAGGGCCGCGTCAAGGAGTTTGGCAGTCCGGCATCGTTGTGGGGGAATGAGGAGGGCGTGTTTAGGGGCATGGTGGGGGAGAGTGGAGAGAGGGAGAAATTGGAGAAGATTATTCTGGAGGCCGGTGCCGAGTGAAGTGCGAAGGGCAGAAAAGAAAAGAAAAATCGGTCATGATATACGTTATGTTATGCTATATGCTATATGCTATATGCCTTGGACGACGGAGTTGGCGTTGGCATATTACGATACGTTGCGTGCGGTACATAGAAAGCGCAGCGCTGTGCTTTATTTACTATGCTGTGCTGTGCATTGCTTAATTTCACCATCCTTTTCTGTTCTTGAAAAACAAATAAACCGGCGTTGCTTTCACATAGTGAACGTTTCTTCTTTCTACGTTCTTTTACTTGGCAGATAGATGGAGAGATGGAAAGATAGGTAGGTATAAAACCAAGTCTGTCTATACTTATATTTCTGGTATATGTATACGTATACTGTGATTTCACTCTATAGCGAAAAGAGAATGCGAGGGGCATGGATGACTTACTTGACTTGCAGTTAGTTAAAGGAGGGGGGCCGGGGGCCGGGTGGTGGAATCCAGGGGCGTTTTGTATAGGAAGCTGCATATTGTTTTCTTGCACCGGAAAGGTCACCTGTTCATGTTATGCAAGTTATTCTTATTTGATTTCAAGTGATTGATTGATTATATTCTTTGATTTTATTTGAACCAAGATAACATTTAATTGCTGGTCCTACGACTGCAGTGGACCATTACCTCCATACGTTATCATCTTGATGGTCTGATATTCTCCCACACCGTACTTACTTCCCTCCCTTCCGAATCCAGATTCCTTGACACCTCCGAACGGAGCAGCGGGGTCACTGATAAGTCCCGTGTTGACGCCTACCATGCCTACCTCCAATGCCTCGGCGACCCTAAACACCCTCTGTATATCCTTGCTGAAGAAATACCCTGCGAGTCCCACCTCGGCACTATTCGCAATGCGCACGACCTCTTCCTCCGTGTCGAATTTGAAAAGCCCAGCTACGGGTCCGAACGTCTCTTCGGATGCTAATGCCATCGAGGTATTCATCCCGGTAATAACAGTTGGCTGGAAGAAATTCGATCCCAACTCTGGTATCTTCTGGCCGCCCTGAATAACCTTGCCTCCCTTAGCCTCCGCATCTCTGACATGTGCTTCCACCTTGGTAATTGCACGATCGTGAATCAACGGGCCGTGCGTAACACCTTCCGTGTAACCGCCTCCGACCTGGAATTCGTTGACTTTCGCAGCGAGCTTTTGGGCGAAGGTATCGTAGATGCCGGATTGGATAAAGATCCGATTTGCGCACACGCAAGTCTGGCCTGAAGAACGGAATTTCGATGCTATGGCTCCATTGACGGCGACTTCGAGATCCGCGTCGTCGAAGACGATGAATGGTGCATTGCCACCTAATTCAAAAGACAGTTTCTTCAACGTGCTGGAACTCTGCTTCATGAGCAGTTTCCCTACGCCCGTAGAGCCTGTGAATGACACTTTCTTGATAATGGGAGATGTGCAGAGCAATTCACCGACTGCAGGTGTGTTGTCTAGGGCGGAGATGACGTTTACGACGCCCTTGGGGATTCCGGCGCGGTGGGCAAGCTCTGCGATGGCGAGGGAGGTGAAGGGGGTTTCGCCGGGGGATTTGGCGACGACAGTGCAGCCGGCTGCGAGGGCGGGGCCAATTTTTCGGGTTATCATGGCGGCGGGGAAGTTCCATCTGTCATAAAAGTCGTTAGGTGTGTACAATTGGATGCGCCAGAAGGTGACTTACGGTGTGATGAGCCCACAAACTCCAACAGGCTCCCTGATAGTAACAATTCTATTACCAGGAAGAGATGAGGGTATCGTATCGCCGTAGATTCGTGGTGCCTCTTCGCTGAACCATTCGAAGAAGTTCGCTGCATATGTAACCTCTCCCTTTGCGTCTGCGAGGGGCTTTCCATTCTCCCATGTTATGAGTGTTGCGATATCCTCTGAATTTTCCATCTACCCCACTTATCAACAACCAAGTCATATTCCTCTGCCACAGAACGTACCATCAAATCATACCACTTCCTCAAGAGCTTCGAGCGTTCACGTCCAGTCTTCAGCCTGAAGGCGGGGAAAGCTGTGGCTGCGGCTTGGATAGCAGCTTCTGTGTCTTGGGCGTCGAATTCGGGGGCTGTACCGATGAGTTTTCCTGATGTGGGATCTGCAGGCAAGAATTGTTGGTTAGAAAGATGTCTCCTTTGTAGAAATATGGGATGAGACGGTATAGGACAACATTGTATAGCATACCAAAAACCTCAAACGTCTTTCCCGACTTCGCCTTTACCCATTCTCCATTCACATACGCGACATTGAGCTTCAGCAATGACGGATCATTGAGCTTTGGCACATTGTGGGAGAGCGTCATGGTGGATGCTGCTCTAGTTATTCGTGTTGGTAAGGTGGATGGTTGAAAGGGAGCTCGTCTGGGTAGTATTCTGGAAGTTGTTTTGAAGATATTCATCCTTAGGGACTAAGTCTGTGGCTACTGAAGCCCTTCTTATAGTAACGGAAATGGTAATGGTCGAGACGCTATGGGTACGTAGAATGTATCTAAGAACTCAAATAGCATTGTCCAATTGACGTAGAGCTTTTCCAACCTAATTGAGTGAAGCGGTGATTTGTAAGTGGTGGTGGTGTTGATGTTTGACGAGAAGTGGGGTTAATGGCGGATGTCGGTACTAGGAGCTAAAGTGCCAAGATATAAATCCGAATGGGGTGGGGTCGGTTTGCCGTGGGTTTGCCGTATTGGGACTAGAGGATTACCCCACCTCGATACGCTCGTTCCGTAAGGTATATTCATCTCGATTCTCCCCTCAATATATTTTGGGTCTTTTATGTCTTTTACAGTAACAGGAGCAGGAGCAACGTATTTAAGAAGATATCCATGTCCAACTCTCATATACTCTCATGTAATATTTTCCTCACGTGCCCGTCCCTATATGATATGGTGCATCGTCGACACCGTGCCCACCCCGCGTCACACGTTCCATACCCCGCTATACACCGGACCAGCTTAATAGCGAGTTCCTCCTGCTCGCCGGATAATACAGAGCTTCAGTGGAACAATATGTCCGTCTCGGAACCATTCTGGTGAAAGATCTGCTGCTGCAGTACAGTATTTAGTTTTCATGTCAAGTCACTTCTGTTCCTTCATTCCACCTGCAGTCTGCTCAGAAACCACTCTACTCGTTCACGTAAATTGGCATTGAAGATGAAGACCCCATCAATAATACTGGTCATTGCCACCATTGTCCAGACCCTCGGATTCGCTCATGGTAGTACCATTGAGCTGTCAAGTACCCCGCCAGAAGATGCCAGCGATCCAATCCCAGAAGCATTCGTCAGTTACTCAATCGAGTTCTCATCTTTCCCAGACTTCGCAGGTACTTCCCCCCCCATTCCAAAGATCCTACCTCTGTTGTAATCTCTTATTTTCCAGGAAACAATTCCTCCCCGAATACCTTCTCTAACAACCTCCTGAACAATCTCGGAAACTTCACCGGCACAAAACCATACATCCGAGTCGGAGGGAACACGCAAGACTACGCTCTCTACAACGCCAGTCTCCCTTTTAGCATAAATAGCACAATCATCCCGTCAAGAGCAACGGATTATCCGACTATAATCTTCATCGGTCCATCCTACTTTGAATCTTATAATACGTGGCCAGACACAAAGTTCAGCCATGGCTTCAATCTCGGACTCGGTGGGAATAATTCAGAAGGATGGCAGACTTTGCTTGATACCGTACCATTGGCGTGTAAAGCACTTGGAGGAGGAAAGCTACTTTGGTGGGAATACGGAAATGAACCAGATCTCTTCTCCACTTCTGCTCAGGGACCAGTTCGCCCTCCTGGGTGGAACGAGTCGACGTATGTGAGTCAGTGGTTGAATGGAACGCGTGCTATTAAGCAAGAGCTTCAGAAGTCTTGTCCGGAACTCACATCAAACGAGTCGTATGGATATCTTGCTCCGTCATTTGCAGGCGTCAGTAATCATCTCAAGCCGGTCACGACGTGGCAGGATGGACTTAACGTCGATCGGGATATCAAACTAATTTCATCCCACAAGTAAGTCACCCCTCCCCCATCCCCACAACACGCACCCCTCAACAAACACAATGCAGCTACATCGGCGGCGCCACCCAACCAGGCGTCACACTCCAATCCACACTCATGAACCACACCAAAACGACCTCCTCCGTCTCCGCGCAAGCAGCACTAGCGCAAAACCTCTCCTCGTACGACATTCCCTTCATCCTCGGCGAAACCAACAGCCTCTACAACGAAGGCGCACCAGGCCTCTCCAACGCCTTCGGAGCCGCCCTCTGGGGCATCGACTTCAACCTCTACTGCGCATCCGTCGGTATCCGCCGCGTGCACATGCACCAGGGCACCAATTACCGCTACCAATTCTGGCAACCCGTCGAAACGAACATCACGACCAAGGGAACGAAAGCGCCCTATTATGGACATGTGGTCGTAGCGGCTATGCTAGGAGGGTCTGATACGCAGATCGTGGGATTGGACTTGGAGGATGAACGGGAAGCGGCTTATGCGGCGTATGTAGAGGGGGTGTTGGAGAGGGTGGTGGTGGTTAATTTGAGGGAGTATAATTATACTGTTAATGGGACGAGTGGGGTTGTTAATCCCGAACCAAGAGGAAGTCAGAATTACACGTTTAGTGTTCCGGATGGGTATAGCGGGAGCGTGGGCGTGCAGCGCTTGTGGGCTAATGGCAGTGATGCGATTTCGGGCATCAGCTGGGATGGATGGAGCTACAATTATGAGCTTGATGAGGGACGGCCCGTTAGGCTGGGGAACGTTACGGTGGGTGAGGTGGTGGATGTGGAGAATGGGGGGTTTACGGTTGCGGTGGAGGATTCGACGGCTGTTGTTCTGAACTTTTCTGAAGGTGAGGGTTAATAGTAGGACTTGGTAGAGCTAAAGTTCAGCGCACTGGCTGAGTTTTAATAACATCTAGGAATCTAGGGTGAAAGACACCAACCAAGCTTCACAATTCCATTCATGTGCCACATTTGGAAGAAAGGGAAACTAGGTATCTAAAAATACATGGGAAATGGCTGAGTTCTAAAAAATGAACGCCAAGGTGATACTTGTAAGTAGACTGAATACCTGCTCAATCGTAACCTAAATCAGTCAAGCGACCTCAGTCCTAAGCACAGGCTTGCTATTACTGAATCGCTATCCTCTTCATCCATACCACCAATTATATCCTCACCATCCCATCCCATCCCATCCCGACTCATCTCCCACCCTTCCCATTATCCTTATCCTTCTCCTTCTCCCAAGACCCCGCGATCTGTTCATGTGTACAGAACTCCACATCCTCACCCCACCCCTTTAACCACAGCACAACCCGCTCCGCCATCCCAATAACATGCGCCATGCCACTGGTATCCGGGTGCATAAGAATCGGAAAAATAAAATCAAAATCCGCCCATCCACTCCCCTCGCTATTGCTGTTATCCCACAGCCACATAAACTTATCCTTCCACATCTCCTCTACCAGTCGACACATAGCCAGATGCGGCAGGTACTGCAGCGCCATCATATCCTCATTGTACCAGCCACACGGTATCTCCACCAGCGCGTGCATACCCTCGTGCAACCGGCGTCGGCCGCAGCCACGAACTCGCCGGCTGGGAAAAATCTAGCGCCTTGATCGGCGGGTCTGCAGGCGTGAAGTACGGCTGCGAATCATGGTGCATGAGCGACGAGTCGTAGAGGAACTCGTGCTGCCGCAGCAGTTTCACAGTGCTTTCCCGGATCGTGTATATGGGCGCGCGGTACGTACCCGCGCGGCTTCTTCCCCACGAGCTTGGTGGCTACGTCGATGCATTTTAGCAGGACTTCTGTCTCTTGCTCTTCGCTCATCTGTTAGATGCCTTCGTGCGAGTAGATCCGTGCAGGCCGACTTCGGCGCCCGAGTCAACGACCGCGCGGGCTGTCTCTGGGAATGTCTCGATTGTATGGCCGGGAAGGGACCAGGTGACTTTATCGGCAATACCGTGCTTCTTTAGCAGGGTGAGCAGACGCACTGCGCCGACTTGGCCGGCGAAGATGCCGGAGCTGTAATCAGCCATGTTGTTGTCGGGATGGCAACCGGTTCCAAGCCAATGCGAGACTGCGTCGAAATCAAAGGTGAGAGCGACCTTGACTCGGCGACGACGACGGTGGCTGGAGGAGATGGTTTGGAGGATTTGAGTCATGATATCCGCAGATGCCTCCTGCTGGCCACTGATCCCATACTCGCAATCGGTGGGTTGCCCCCCATTGACGGGAGCCATATCCTGTGGACAAGAACTCGTGACGATGATCAGATCCGTTTCAGCTTTGAGCACGACAAATTGACCCTTCTCGCTGGTGGGGACTCTGATATCTAATTGCCCACGGTGATCAATCGCAACATTCATAAAGAGATTCAGTGGGTCTGGAACCCAGTCGTCCGCAATATGGAAATCGGGAAAGCTATCTCTCAGGGCCTAACGTAATAACTTCCGTCAGTGTTTATTGCTAGCAGGTCACCTACAGGTTCCGAGAAATACGCAACGCCATGGAACTCGGTTTGGGAAACAAAGCTTACGCATATTATCAGTACAATTACCATGATAGCTATCGTGTCCTTGCATGCGATATCTCTCCGCATCGCAAGCCGACCATATAATATCGTGCACCCCTTTCGTAGTATCTTCCGTCAAAGTCAACATCGGTTTCCTCCTCGTGCTATACAATTTGTCACCTTTGGACAGTGACACTTTCAAGAGAACGGTTCGCGTGTGCACCATGGAGAGAAAGTCGTGAGGATCGCTCGGGTTGAAGGCCCAGAAGTCCACTACTTGCTTGCCATAGCTGTTATATATTTTGATGTCTTGTCCTTTTTTAACGAGAAACGCGACGGCTTTGCGTGCTGGTGTAATACCCATTTCGTAGACTTGCGAGATCCGAAATGAACTTGTGGGAATTGAACAGGATAGACTTAATTACAAGATACTTGAGATAGAGGGTTGGAGAATTGAAGTCCGTAAGCTCCTTCTCAAATCAAAAAGGTGCACTTACAGCCCACCTACCACGTAACCCGCACACCCGGGCTTGGGTCCTGGGAGCTATCACTGTATGGTCTAGCATTAGGCGAACTTTCTGACGGGGAACTTCACTTCGCCCGTCGGCATTGGTTCATACCGCTATTCTATGGCTGACACGGCCGATGGAGTATTCGGGCTTTCTCGTGTGCCGTAAAGTTGCTCATATGTGCCTATAGCGTAGGATATTACGGTAAGACTATGGATACAATAGTTGGACTGATTCCTAAGCTGAATCTCTAACATAAGGAAGGTATACTGCAGGTAGTGTTGAAAGTGTAAACAGCTTGCAGGCAGGTGTTTTTGAAACTTTTCTCGCAAAGAAAAGCGTATCCGGTGTGTGGGCAGGTGCTACCACCATCGAAACAGCTTGGAATTGTCAAGAGGTCTTAGCAAGCCATGAATGGAAGCGACAAAACATAAAGGAAGAGCTTCAAAGAATTGGATGCTTCGGGAATATACCCGCGTCTTACAAAGCACAACCAATCGCTGCTCACTTTGAGCTGCACATCGAGCAAGGTCCAATTTTGCAAGACGAGGCGCGCAAGATCGGTCTTGTAACCGGCGGACAAGCTTTCCAATGGTTTGAGGTGGAAGTCAGAGGCAAAGATTCCCATGCCGGGACAACACCACCCTCCGCTCGGAAAGATGCGATTTTTGCAGCTGCGAAGATGATCGTTGCGTCTAACGAAACGGCGAAAGACGCTGGGGGCCTCGTCACCACAGGAGTCTTCCAAGTGGAACCTGGCAGTGTCAACACCGTAGCACATACTGTGCAATTCACGTTGGGCGTGCGCCACCCTAGTGACCAAATACTCTCTGAGATGATCGACCAGTGCCGTAGAGTATTCAGCGAGATTGCCGAGGAGCACTGTGTGGGCGGGAAAGACATCCAGCTGAAACGAACCGCTGGAAATAGCGCAGTGGAGTGGGACCAGGACTGTATCAGCGTTGTTGAGCAGTCTGCAGAACAAGTTTGCAACCAGCTGGTCTCGAGCAAGGATCCAGGTGTGAAATTGTGGAAACAATTGGTGAGCGGCGCCGGGCATGACAGTTGCCAGGTCAGTAGAAAGTGTCCTACTGCTATGATTTTTACTCCAACGAAGCACGGCTTGAGTCACACTCCAACTGAGTACTGTAGTCCTGAAGATAGTGCCTTGGGCGCCCAGGTATTGCTCGGGGCGGTTTGCGATATGATCAATTGCGAGCTTGCCGCGCTGACTTTGCATGAGTTATAGGGTGAATTGAGGTAGTGGTGACCATCGCACGCTGGATCCAAGACCGGCTTCAGGGCAGCTGAAAGGATCGCAATGTACATATGTTGCCCGTCACAGAAGAGTTCGACCGTTCAAAAACTAGTCTACGCAGCTCTGTTGCTTGGGAAACATTAGCTGATAGAAGTGCTTGTTCGCCAAAACGAGCAAGATGGCAAGCTAGGTAACTTCTAAGTTCCCTACGGGCTTAGATCGTGGGATGAGAATTTAACGCCGTTATTGTGAAATTCTATTTCTGGAAAGTTGCATGTCTTGTTCCTTGAGTAGTGTCATTGCCGGACTCTCTGGGCCGGTCCCATGAATGACAGCAGACAAACCCTTCCAAAACACAGCATCTAACCTCATTGTGGCCAGTCTGGCCAATGGCCACGCTTGCGCTTGAGAACGTAAAATATCTCTCCATTTGCCGAGGATAACTTTGCTTTGGTGAGCAATTCCTGTGGTTGGCGACTGAGCGAAACTTAGTGAAATGAGACTCGATATGTAGCACAATTGATATCTGGTATCTATGTGGATAGATTGCAAAGTTAGCATTACTCCACAAACTAAGCTGGCTGATCCTGAGACGGACATAAGCTCGAGTATTGGCGACGCGGTTCAAATATCCCCTACTGTTGTGGGTTTTAACAAAACAGGGGTAACCATCTTACATTGAGGCCAAAAATTTGCAAAATGCCTTGGTTTGAGAGAGTTGACAATCTCGGTGCCTAGTTTGGAACAGATGAAGCTATTTTCAAAAATCGTTGAAATCGGTTTCCTCGTTCCCTCGTCTTGTGATATAGCTCGGTATGATAGATGGCGGAGGAGCGCTCGGTAGATTAATATTTCAAGAGTCAAGTGGGATAATCGCAGGGCGGCACATTGTTCAAGATCGTCGTCGTCTAAATCAGACACTTTCGCAGAGAGAACGGGAAGAGTCTGCCTCCAGGTTTCAATGCATGCTCGTAACGACTGAGCTCGTGCTAGAATTTCTTGCAAGGAAGGGGATTCGCGCACTGCTTTCAGTGTGCTACGCAGGACACAGTTAATAAGCTATAGATTGCCAACTTTAACTAACTCAGCACTTACTAGAGTTCTTTCAAAATTTGGGCAGCAATTATGGATAAATTGCACTGAGCAAGCAGAATAGGGATCTGCAGATCGATGGAATTCTGAGTTTCCTCGTCTAAATGCTCGTTCACGTCAAAGTCATCATTCATAAGCCTCGAAACATCCCAATTGTCATCATTGAGGTGTGATGGCCGACCCAGTAATACAGCATGCCAGGCGTGTTGAATATAAGTCAACCACCACAACCTCCTCCGCAACCGGATTTCATTCGCCGGTAGCCGCCAGTTAGATGGGTCCAGGTTGAGTCCCAAGCTTTCGGCAATAGATAAAGCAGAGCAAGACAGAGCCCAAGTACTAGGCGGGTCTGCCACGACATAATTCCGAGGAGGCATTTGGAGTAGCATAAGACATAGTTGTAGGGATGAGAGGTGTGAGATGCGAATACAGCGAAGATAACTACGCTCTGCGATAGCCCAGAGTTCAGTGGTGGAAAGCTGGAGATATCCTTTAGAGACGCTCAATTCATCGTCCAAGAACATGAAAGGAGTAGCCAAGGCGAACACGGCTGCTTTAATACCAATGGGAAGCTTTGAGCAGCAATGGCCTTCGAGGTCTTGTTTGATATCAGTTATAGACAGTACGGGGAAACGTGGATGTACAGATCGAGCATATCTGCAGATATTAGTACAGGTCGGTTAAGACTTCAAAGTCACTTACAGCTTTAGTAGACGCGCTCCCAAATCGCCTGGCACGAGTTTTTTGAGCAGTTCAAGGTCATCAGGCTCTGTTTTGCATCCCGAATATGTCGCCTCTGCATTTTTCAAATCATCTTCGCATATTATCTCGTCCGTCATAACGAACTGCACAGGGATGTAACCGACAGGAAGCGCAGCTCGACCAGGGCGGGCATTTTCAGCCCGCGGCTGCAACTTCTCATCCCCCATGATATTGCGAAAATCCAGTCTAAACATTGGATACGTATCGTGCATATTATACTGGTGATAGCGGAGAAGGAATGGATCCGACTCCCCGGATAAACCTATTACCTGATTAGAATAGCCTTTCCTAGAGTCCAAGGAGAATTCGATTGGCCAATCGACAGTTTGATATGATTTTTGCCCGTCCATATGAACCCGGAAGAAGCAATCCACGTTAGGCTCATTTGCAGGAGCACCAAGCTCGGGTTCCTCATTGCTCCGTTCAGCTGAGTTATTAGCATAAGAAGGAGATGTGTTATTAAGCGGAAGTGAAGAGTTGGGATGGTATACAGGATTCCTGGCGCTAGGTTGTTCAGCCTGAGGGTAATGTACACCCTTCATTCGGGAGTCCACAGTCTGATCAGTCTGAGAAGACTGTGCCTGGTTATAGACACCAAAAGAAAAGTCCATGGAGGACCATTCCATGGCTAATAGATTGGATGGAGAGTCCAGGTCATGAGAGACGGCATTCGGCCATGATGATGTTGATAAAGCTGCGTCCGCGGCCGTATCAGAGTCGCCATGCTCCGGACGAGGAATTTGAGCTAGAGCAGGATCTTCTTGAACATCTTCGAGCTCGAGCTCATTTTGACTCTGAACGACTGGTTGCGCATGCGCTTCCGTAGCGTCACCGTGAACGGGTAGGGGCCGCTCTTTCCTCAGTGGGTGCAAGACAAATGTGCATGAGCGGTCCAGCCTTTTGCACAGCTCGCATACAGCATCGCCATCCAAGATCTTGCACTGTGTCTTTCTCGAGCGGCAGAGGTCGCAGGGCCTCTGCTTTTTGGAGCGATATTTGCGACCACTGCGTCCCTGCGAAAAGCTATCGGCCATAAAGCAGGTGACTAGCGTTTGTCGCTCAGAGGACCAGAGAACCAGAGGAGGTGGACTCAGTGAGTAGTAGGGTAGGGCAGACTACAGAGGCTTTGTGATCCGTGAGTAAGGAGGGGGCCATGATGAGGTTATTGGGTGGGGAGGCTCCGCGATCCCCACTTCTGAGGGCACGGACCGATCAAAACTCTAGAACTCTGCTATGCGTGGGTGGAGGTTATTTCAGTTAGGAATACCCCAAAGATGAATACATCTAAACCATTAGTAGTTAGGTAATTAGGTATTCTAACTCATTTTGCGTTAACAATCATACCTAGAATTACAAGTCTCAGTCATTATCTATTATCTTTGAAGAGGTTACTGGATACGCGAAGCCTAAAGGTTCAGTAACCGAAGAATAACCATAAATCTGTTACTAGTGCTGGGCTATACACCTACCTTACCTATACACGGATGATGATAAGGAGGGTTTCTGGCCCGTATAAGTAGTGTCTATACATTGATATCAGTCACGGATACTGTCACGAGTACGCCACGGCTGCACGTGATTATGTGGGCGCTAGTGTCACTAGCGCCACCAGACCTCAGCTCAGGTTGTCCCGTTCCTTCCTAGCTAGCTTCCTCCTCATTCTTCTACAATACAACCAACCACTTGACAAAGGAGACTACGTCCTCAGTGACAGGCATTAGGTATTAATTATTCTAATTCTAATAAAGGTGAAGCTTTTGTGTTTGAATCCCTCGTCTGCTATTATACGTGAATGCGCTCGGAAGGCTTGGTCGAGCTTTTTTCGGTTCGAAACTTTCATAACCCAAAGGTTTCTTTTAATACACGCTAGAAAATAGTTGATGATGTTACTCATCCCTGGAATAGCTAAGGATAAACCCATTCCTGAAGTATGGATTTGGCGGGGTACATTTCCCCGCCGGATGAATTGGACGGATAAATACAACTATTGTAAGCCGCTTCTTCACTTCTCAAAAGCTTTCAAATATATATTTATAACTCCTCTTGTTTTATGAAAATCACTGAATTATTTTGAGAATCATACAAAAAACCATGCCGTTAATCAGAAATCCCATCCTCCCGGGGTTCAACGCGGATCCGTCAATCCTTCGAGTTGGCAAAGACTACTACATCGCAACCTCGACATTCGAATGGTTTCCTGGTGTACAAATTCATCACTCCACAGATCTCGCAAATTGGGATCTGATAGTCCGTCCGCTGAGCCGGAAAAGCCAACTAGACATGCGTGGCAACCCAGACAGTTGTGGGGTTTGGGCACCCTGTCTTACGCATGACGGCGACAAGTTTTGGCTGGTGTATACAGATGTAAAGCGCAAAGACGGCTCCTTCAAAGATACGCATAACTATATTGTAACCTCACACACAATAGAAGGTCCCTGGTCTGATCCTATTTATGCGAACTCTTCCGGATTCGATCCATCACTATTCCATGACGACAATGGCAAAAAGTGGTTTATCAACATGCTTCAAGACCATCGTCGTCGTCCAAGGTACTTTGCAGGGATTATACTCCAAGAGTTTGACCCAAAACAAGGCAAGCTTGTAGGCCCGAAGAAGAACATCTTCCGCGGGACGGATCTAGACCTTGTCGAAGGCCCGCATCTGTACAAGAGGAACGGATGGTACCACCTATTGACAGCCGAAGGTGGTACTGGTTATCAACACGCGTGTACTCTCGCCCGCGCCCGCGATATATGGGGTCCTTATGAGGTGCATCCGCAAAAGCACATCTTGACCTCCAAAGATACACCGTTCGTGGCGCTTCAACGAGCAGGGCATGGAGATATCGTCGATATACCAGACGGTAAGACATATTTAGTTCACCTGACCGGCCGCCCAACGACACAAGACCGTCGATGTGTTCTTGGTCGCGAGACGGCTATTCAAGAAGCGTACTGGGAGGACGATTGGCTTTACATCAAGAATGGTCCCGTCCCGTCCCTCCATGTCGAGGTTCCAGGAGTGCAAGACGATGCAAAATACTGGGCTGAGCAACGATACACCTTTGAGAGAGGCTTACACAAAGACTTTCAATGGTTACGCACCCCGGAACCAGAACGCATCTTCACTGCCTCTCAAAAGGGCCTCACGCTTTTCGGCCGTGAGTCCATCGGTTCCTGGTTCGAGCAGTCACTTGTAGCGAGACGACAAACGCACTTCTCATACGATGCCGAGACAGTTATAAATTTCTCTCCCACGGACGAAAGGCAGTTCGCTGGTCTGACAGCCTATTATTGTCGCTTCAACTTTTTCTACTTGACCGTCACAGCTCACTCAGACGGGCAACGCGAACTGCTAATCCTGACGTCCGAAGCATCCTGGCCGTCAGGGGCACTCAACTTCCCCCTCTCAGAACCAGTTCAAATTCCTAATGAAGGGAAAGTCAAACTCGCCCTGTCCATTCGGGGTCCTGAGCTGAAGTTCTATTATGCTCTTGAAGGGCAAGAGTCTAAGCAGATAGGTGGGGTTTTTGATGCTAGTATTGTTTCTGATGAGTGTGGGGGACATCAAGCGCACGGGAGTTTTACTGGTGCATTTGTAGGGGTTGCGTGCTCGGATTTGAATGGCACCGCGATGGAGGCGACGTTTGATCACTTTGTTTATCGGCCTGTGAAGCATAAGACCGATCGATATGAGATCTAAGTCTTTTAATGTTCTTTATAGTTGCTAAAGAGATGTTAAGATTTTAACGGTATGCAAGCCAATCGTGTAGGATCGCCAATTCCATGACAAATTCTAAACATATAAAAGGTATGCGGAGTAGATGCAAGGGGCTACGAATACTGTATGCATTAGTACAAGTTCTAAACTGACTAGTTCTCGCAAGATGCTTGAAAGCCCAGCAATCGAAAAGACTAAAGTGACCATCTCAACCGTCGTTCAAGCCTAAAACTTATCATCAACATTGCTTTGAGTCCAATTCCGCGGGGCTGGATATTTGTGAATACCTTCAAAAATTGCCTGTGCATAGTTTCAGGGGTGGGGCGTAAGTGTGATACCCAAGGACCGCAAACTCTTTCCACCACAACTAATATTAAATTAATCTGTTTGATGTTATAGACTAAACCAGTGATTCAAAACAGTTTGGCATCTTCTAAACTATAATTAAGTTATGCTGTTATGAGATTTTAATTTCTGGAAAAAAGTCTAGAAAATATGTTAGCTAAATAGTATCGTATAGTATACCAAGAAATCGGCTAATAGTACGCTAGGGCTACGCTAAAAAAATTAGAGTTAAAGGGCAGTAGATGCTTTAATTGAGGGGCTATCTAATTCATGTGACTTAGTTAGTTAGTTTATATCTATTATATGCCTTCCTATCCTTATATAACCTATGGATTATATTACTGCTAATTTCGGGCTCTTAGATATTAGATAACTAGCAAATGCGCTGCCATATGCGGGGCTTTTTAATCATGTGATGTGATTTGTCATGAATATTTTGGCCATTTAGTAGACTAAAATTTAAATGATATAGCTAGGACCCACTTTGGCGCACATGTGGTGGGAGACGGGCTACTCGCGGGTGGCGACCCCTGGATCAGCGGGCCTAGTAAGACGGGCCAGCGCTACCCTCAGCTCAAGACTTCCTACCCAAACGGAAATTTTCTGCGAGCGGTATTCTCTACTACTAAGGACTTCTTAGGACAAGACTTTTCCCTTAGGACGAGCTTATCTAAATTGACTTAAGTCCGACTCAATTAAGAAAAGGCCTCACATTGTGTCACATATGCATTGAGTGCCGGCCCAGCCGGGTCCCGGTACCTCTATCATCCCCTAAGTTGTATTGCCCCTGAAGTACTTGTCTTACGTTCTCGCTTTTTCTTATGTCTGGCAGTAAAGACTGTTGTTACCCTACAACTTTATACTCCGCGCTCTTAGAGAGCTTAGATCCGATGAAATAATACGAGGGTCCAAATAAGATGTTTCACATCAGGATTGTTCTAGCTGTTATCTTTCTTGCTATTCTGCGAACTTACACTAGATCCATCATTTCTACGCTAATAGTATCCACAGCCCTGAGAAAAATCAAGTAACAAGGTTAGATCTTTGAATTTCGAACAATCGGCGAGTAACTTTTCAATAGTTCTCACAAATATGCCACATCCCATATGGCCCCATATGCCGCACGGGGAACGCAGGCATCTTGAACTATTTGATGTTATTTTTTCGGTATTTATCGAGTCGAAGATTGCTTTTATTGTTCAATTCCATATTTCTTTTTATTTACGAGTCCAAGTATTTAGAGTATCTGAAATGCAGTTACTTGCCTATATTTTTTAAACCCAAGCTTAGTTTGCTTCCAAACAATTCTCCCTCTTCCTTATCATCCTCATCTAATATATAAATTCAAGGAGATATGATACGTCATAGTAATACGTGGTTGTCAAAAACCTGATTTCATAGCATGTAGAGATTCTAGCTACTGGTAGAATATATCATCAGTTGAGATTTCCTTGTTTATCTCCTGCTAAAACATCCAAGCGCTTTTTGGTTTACAGGTGAGTCTTATCATGTGAAAGAAGTTGACCAAAGATAAACATTAATCCTTACTTAACTTATCTTAAGCTCTAAAATACTTATCTCATCTATCTAAACTTAAATATACTTAAGTCTTTTAAGTATATTTGTATATACTATAAGTGATAAACAGCAGTTGGCTTTTTGGGAACCTACTATGGTATCTATAAGTATTTAAGTGTTAGGTCCTTATCGTAAGCTTGATCATCTCCACGTTGCTTGCTTTAGTTTCTAAATTACCAAAGAACTCTCGTAATTCGTATAATCGGTATCTCGCTCCCATAATTACGCTTCACATATCGCTGACGAAAAGGCTGAGGTAGCGAAACAGTTCAGCCGGCGCTTGGATGAGAGGCTGAATGCTTTTGGAGATAGCGAATTTCGTCTCGGAGTTTTTTCATAATCGCCTCACCTCTGCGTTTGAGATATTCTTATTATCTGCGTCCACTGTCTAGACAACGCACCCCTCAAGCCTAACTCTAAGATGACATTTACTCCATTATTAGCTCAAGGATCTGCAGCCCTGAATATATTGATCACGGACTTTATAACTAGGATAATAAGCAAGTGCTAGCACTTACGACGTTTAGGGCTGCATTTATTAGAGCTGAACGAAATATGAAGCTTTCTTGTAAAGGGCAAACTTCGATGTTCCACCTTTTCGTGGTCTTGGCACCTGGATAAAAGGCTAATTATATAGGTGGAATCTACTTGGAGTATCTCTTCACGCTAAAATGTTTGATTTCGACTTTTATACTTCGTCACAGGCGTAACTATTCCGCCAAGAATTCTATAGCAGGGGGGTTAAGAAAGGTAGTAAACGCACCAAACCCTTTGCCCTGGCCTTCTTGGCGGAATAGTTACGCCTGTGACGAAGTGCAATATTCATTGCGGAAAAATGAAGTTTTTCGGGACATTAGTTAGTTGGGAGACCGGGGTTTCAGGGTGTTTCTAACCACAATAGTATACCACAATTAGTCAAATCCCGATGAACCATATCGCACGGTGGACGCGTGATAGATCATTTGATGATTGGTAAAATGTCTATGCACCGGGCGGCTGGCTAGTGCAGACCTGTCAAAGCCTTAATCGGGACTCATAATTAGAGCAAAGAGTGCTTAACATGCCCCTTTTCAGTATGAGTGCAGGGTGATACCGGATCTCAACGTAGCTACTTATTAGATAGCACGCAAGAGCCACGTGTTCAAGAAGAAATAACTTTCTTATTATCAAGGGCTTCATGTGATGGAGATTTCAAGTACTGTATACAAGATCCGCTGCTGACATAACACTTGGCCGAACCTCAGTCTGCTATGTCTGTCCCTGTAGGTAAATATAGAACGAATAACTCGAGAATCAGGAATAAAAGCCGCCATGTAGCAAAGCTTCAGAAGACGGTAAGATATCTATACAGGTCCCCGAATCTCTGCCGTAGCAAATTGACAATCGAGAATACAGCTGGGCGATGGGTGGACTTAGGTACATAGCCCCTGAACCGGCTGTCTTCCTAGCGTACCCGATTAGGGGCTCCGCTATATTACCGATCGATAGCGTTCTTTGCATTATCAGCTTGACCACTTAAGGCCTCTAGATAGGGCAGAAAAATGATTAAGCGATTAGAAGACGGAGATTTTCCCACACTAAGTGCAATCTAGCCCTATAGCCAAGTATTGACGATATGCCATAGTCATATATCCCGCGTTCCTGGAACGCTTAGATTTTAGAATTACGCAAGGGTGTAGAAAACTCTAACCGGGTGGTGTCACTCTACGCTTAGTATGATTATCCCGGCTCGTGATTTGCACTAGGGTGTAAAGCTAATCGGTATATGCGGGAGACTACTCTCCCCCTCTCCCCCCCCCCCCCTAATAAAGAGCATTTGTGAGATTCTCTACCGTAAATGCAAGGGGGCTAAGCCAATGATATCACTACGTCTATGGGCTTAGTGTGACCTTACAAGGACTTATAAGTACCCTTCAGGGCCAGCACGGGCTACCAGCAAGGGCTCTAGCCATTCAGTTCTATAGATTTCTACGTATTATGGGGATTTGACCCACAGATGCTCTTTATTTAAGGGGGGGGAGAGTAGGTATCTAATCACGCTAATGTTGACTACTTAGCAAAAATACGCCGTCCAGATCTGAACAAATTGATCCCTCTTAATCAGTGTGCATGTTCCCGCTTCTCGTCTTTGCAAAGTGCCAAGCATGGGAAAATTCCGTAGAGATAGAGATAAACTCGAATAAGCTCAGTTCCGTGAGATTTGCCCCTAAATAATCGCCTTGAAAAGAATACATCGTCGACTCGTCACATTGTTTGCTTTGAAGGAATTCCGCGAGTTTAAGGACTTCCAAGCAAGGCCCATTACTACTGTATAACGGGGTTTGAGCTCTCTGCAGTACTCTTTTGAAATACCATCTAATGTAACTTACTAACGCCGCCACTATGAACTAAAGTCTGGAATTCAAGTAACTATATAGCATGTGGCTTAAAATATGGAAATAGCTTAATTTAAACCTATATAATTTATAAGAGACTCGGTTGGATTACAGTGAGATCAGTTTCTGTGGCGAGACGCAGGTACCGAGTCATCAGCCGCAGGTTGGTGGCTTTCCCCTTTGCAGAACACTTTTACGAGTAATAGAATTCACTTACCCAAATTATACAGAGTTGGGCAGCCATTTTAAGCTAGGTTTTACGGAGTACACTTCTGCTCCACGAAATACTTCCCAAATACTGGTTTTAAAGGCAACAGGGAACCTTCTGCTATATACCTGACCAGTTTTCTGGGTGTAGGCATTTCTAGATGTAGCGCCGCTCTTGCGCTAGAGAGCGCCCGACGCCACGGAAATCTTGAAGCCCTATGGCTAAGTTATCAAGCTATCTTCAATAGTTTTATTATGATAATACGGGATGGGCAAGTGTCTCTGGCTAGATGTGCCTGGATCTCCTAATGGCTATGATGCCCAGGGTCTACGCCTCAGTCGTGGCAAAAGGGAGAAGTAACTTAAGCTTCTGATTGTCTTCGAGGATGAAGCCTTTTCTGTTTCCCAATTTTTAAACCGTTCTTCATTATTTTTGTATTGTGTCTTTTGATAGAGGTCGAGTTGGCACAGCGGGGTTGAAAGATCAGATCTTGGTGACAGAAGTCCACAACCGAGGCATGTATGTTATTTTAGACAACACCATGGCGACTATGGGAGATTTGATCGCATTCAAGGGATATCTCAATTCCTCAACGCCCTTTTTGCTCAAGGAGCATGAAGTCGAGTGGAGAAACCCCAAGCGTCAATATCTTGACTTTAAATTTGGAAATAATTACAACACGACCTGCGAATACCCCCGCTTATGGTTGGACGATGGCTACCGTGTTGGGGATGATGTCACCTCTCAGCTGAAGGGATGCTATGGTTCCGAGTTTGATCAGTATGGAGACACTGAAGCATTTGGTGTCTATCCTGATTGGCGTCGTCAGCTGTCCAAATTCGCTTCTTCGCAAGATCGTTTGCGTGAATGGGTACCCTCAGTTCGGACAAAAATCTCTCATTTCTCATGCATGGCCATCAAGATGCTTGACATCGATGGATTCCGTATGTATTCTATCCAGGCTCACTAATTTAGCAATGCTTACGAGAATATTTGCAGGTCTCGACAAGGCAACACAGATCACAGTAGATGCCCTAGGTGACTTCAGTGAGTCTCTCAGAGAATGTGCTCGCAGCGTCGGGAAGGAAAACTTCTTCATTCCCGGCGAAATTACTGGTGGCAACACGTTCGGAAGTATACTTGGGTCGTGGAAGGCAGCCAAATATGGTCCTGGAAAATGTGACAGTCGCTACCCAAATGACAAATGTGAGCAATAGCTCTATGTTCATTCGTGATATTGGTAAGAATGCTTTGGACAGTGCGGCCTTTCATTATTCGATATATCGTGCCCTCGCTAGATTTCTGGGAATGGATGGTTCCTTGTCTGCTGGTTTCGATCATCCAGTCGACTGGGTAGATGGTTGGAATGAGATGCTCGTGACTACTGATTTCCTGAATCCTAATACAAATCTCTATGATCCAAGACATATGTATGGAGTGTCAAATCAAGGTATGTCTCTATAATTTTGGTTCTTGGGAATATGAATGCTAACTTCCGTCGAGATGTTTTCCGTTGGCCGTCAATCAAAAATGGTACGCAGAAATGGCTCCTCGGTAACTTTATAACAACACTCCTTATGCCGGGAATCCCACTTCTGCTGTGGGGTGAAGAGCAAGCTGTAAGTATTACCGATATGTTTTAATGTATGCCGTTTAACGTTTCCCACAGTTCTATGTCCTTGACAACACGAATTCTAATTACGTGTTTGGGAGACAAGCAATGTCTTCTGCGCTTGCTTGGGAAGTTCATGGCTGCTATGCTGCCGGGTCCGGAAATTACTATAAGTGGGACACGATTGTCGAGAATGCAACCTACGGCTGCCAGGATCCATGGAATTCCCTCGATCATAGAGACGCTTCTCATCCGATTCGCAATACAGTCAAGAGCATGTATCAAATGCGAAATAACTTCCCGGTTCTCAACGACGGTATATTTCTTCAAGCTCTTTCCAAACAAACCAGATACGTATACCTACCCGGTTCATCTGGCGTTGGAACACAACTCGGCCTGTGGTCTACATACAGAGGACCTCTTCCCAGCTTTCAGGACTTGTCTACAGAGGGTGGACAAGGAAATCAGAGCGTCTGGCTGGTTTACCAGAACGATAATACCACGATCGATTATCAATTCGACTGTTCAGGAAACTCTACCCAGGCACTACTTTCCCCCTTTGAGGCTGGAACTACAGTCAAGAATTTATTTTACCCGCACGATGAATACTATCTTGCCAACTCGAGTACCAGACTATATCTTGACGATGTTCAGGGCTACAACGGATGTCTACGGCATCTGGAGATGCCTGCTTGGGGCTTCAAAGCCTTTGTACCAAAATCGTCTTTCGTGACTAATAGTCCTGTTATTACCAAGTTTGTCCCAGGTCATGATTACCGACTACAGTCAACAGTAGCTTCCAATGAAGCCGAGGATGTGGCAATCGAATTCCATTTTTCGACTGAAATGAACTGCTCATCATTAGCAGCCGGTCTTACATTTACTTCCACCACTGAGTTTGGCCAAGTTGCGTCGTTGCGTAATTCGACAGTGAGCTGTTCAGTTGTAAACGAGACCTACGTTGCGCCTTGGGTTGGCACGATCCCTACCTTTTTCACCTTCAAGGCAAATGTAACGAATGTCTACAACGGGATCCACACTATTACTGTCAACAATGCTACAAGTTCCAATGGAACAGCAACAAACTCTCGCGATACTTTTATTTTCAGGACAGGCCAGGAGGAAAATCCTATGATATTCCCGCGCTCTGCCAATTACACTCTCAGCCTTCTACACAAACTCGACAATGGCACACTTTATGTGTCACATAAGGCGACGGGAGCGGATTCATGGCGCTACACTCTCGATTGGGTACACTACAGTGATTGGATTCCGTATACCGGAGGAAACAGCACACTGACACCAGCAAATTGGACGGGAACCAAATTGCAGAGCTGGGAGGGAGAGCACATCATAGTTCAATATTTCAGTCGCGCAAGCGGTAGCAGCGACTATTTCCAACACGGCGATCTTGATCCAAAACAGGCCCCAAGGCGATTTCCCCATCTTTGGTTGGAAGGGCCTTTCAACGAATACGGATTCGACGCAGGAGTAGACAACCAGTTTCATCTCCAGGGTAATGGCACGTGGAAGTTTTCCTTCATGACAGAGTGGCCAGCTACGTATTCTTATTTCGATTCATGTTACTACTATATCATCTGTAAAGCTATTAGGCAAAGATATAGGAAAATGGGCTGCAACTACGGACGTGTTAATGCAATCACCTATGTTTTCCAACGGTCCAATTTAGTTTCTTTTTAGATAGATAGATAGATTGCAATACAAATATAAAGTACTTCCTTAGACTAGGACCCCGCTAGTCCCCGATTCCAATTAGACTCTGCCCGGCTGCTATACCAGATCGATCTATCTACCCGTCATGGATATCAGCCTCACCCTCCCCGGTCGATAAGCAGTACGGAGGCAAGCTCTGAAAATACCAACTTCATGACCTCAGCATTCTCATCACAAGAAATCATTGATGCTCGCATATTGCAGATCCTAGCCTCGAGTAATTCAAAGACTATACCTACCTACCTACCTACCTATAAGTAACGTAACCCCCCCACCCCCCCACCCCGTTTTCCTCCTTCTGCAAACAAAGCAAAAAACCACATCCTTTACCAACTACTCTTAGTACATACCTAAAATTTACAGCTTCTGTACCGTTACGTTCATCGCATATATACATTGACCAAAAATGCCTTCCGCAGACGACCAATACGAATCCCAGAACGACGCCGTCGCGCAAGGCGTCCCAGCCGGCGACGCGCAAGACAACGACTACGTCTCCAGCACCGGGCAGAAACAGGGTCCTATCCCCGTGCAATCTGACGGTGCTGAGGTCGAGGATCCTATTAATGCTGATACGGCTGATAGCGATCAGCAACTTGGTATGTAAGATCTTACTATGCTGTTCAGGATATTGTCTTTCTTTTTGTTTTCGGAAAGTTGGTTATCGTTTGGGACTTCTTTCTTTGTTTTGGAACAAGTGCTGACTTTTTGTTGGGTTGTACAGCGGATGATGATAGAGATGCTATCGATCAGTCCAATATACTCGGGTCTCGTACTCGACACGCCAAGCCGAGCGACGGGTACCGAGAGCCGGGTGATGAGGAGGGGTTGCCGGGGGCGGATGATGGGACGAGTTCTGGACGGCAGTAGGGTTGTGTGCATGTATGTCTGTATAAGGAAGGGAGATGGATATATATAGTACGCTGGGTGGCTTCGAGTTTAGTTACAGAACAGTTCGGATTCCACTATGTAAAGGCTCTGGGTCTTGCGTTCGCTGAACTAGTGATTTATAGCTTGAGAATCTAAACTCTATATATGTTCTTGCCTGGTGCTTTATAGTCACCTAGGTAGATATAAGGCAGCTCGTTTATTACTAAAGCAAGCTAGCTATGCATGAGTCGAGTGCATGTGTTTTGTATACCATGATTAATAAATCTATAAGTTTTCAAGAGATGCGGCGGAGATGTGTTTTGTGTTAGTTTGAGATAACTAGCTAGGTGACTGGCTGGTAAGTTTCGTTTCAAAGGGCCTGCTTTAGGCAAGGTAGGGATATGATTCGCGTGCTTTTATTAAACTACGAACAGCGTTGTATTCGCTCGTGTCTATAACGCTCTCTTCATATACTTTCTAATGCCATGGTCGATGTATCTTCTCTTCCCTCTCTAGCTCACGAGTCCTTGCTCCACATTCCCACTCCAGCGCATTGCGCTCGGCTCCTTATTTCGTATCCCCATCCATCACCCAATTAATTAATCATTAATCTTATAAGGTTTCTCTCCCCTCACAACATATATCTCGCCCACAAGCACCGCACACCCAACTGCCATCGCAATAGCGATAATCGGCACATTGACCCTCGCGAAATCCAAACGCCGCACTCTGATATGCTTCCGAGCCAGGATATCCCTCCACAGCAGACCCGCGAGCGACGCGCTGAAAGCAGTAGAGAAGGCGCCGTAATTTACACCGAGAGCCATGCCGTAGACGGCACCCCAGAAGGTGCGGTCCGTGATGGGCAGGCCGTTGCGGTGGTGAATTGCTTGCCAGGCTTGGATGACGCGGGAGAGCAGGATTGTGGTTCCGATGTTTGTGCCTGCGAACTAATGGTACAGTGTGTGGTTAGTTGGATTGGTATTAGGAGTAGGAAGTGTGGGAACAACGTACGTTGCACAGAATGACGGAGAGGAAACCCATGCCGCCAATACTGCCCACTGTCCCTGTCTTACGGACCCAATAATCCCAGCCGTGCGCAAACACAGGAACCCAGCCTTTCGTGACGAGTCCTTGCACGAGCACGAACATGGAGAATGCAAAGGGCACGAGCGCGAATGGTAAGTGGGCGATTACGGCGGTGACCGTGGGGAAGGTTTCTTGGGACCAGTGGTATCTGGAGGCGAGGAAGGAGACGAGGTTTGTGCGTTTGGGACTCTGCGGAAAGGAGGGTGAAGGTGATGGCGATGTGCGGGATGAGGCTCGTTTTTCGTCGTTGCTAGAGGTGGTGCCTAGTTCGATGCGGGACAGGTCTTTCTTCTCATCTACAGCGCTTGTAGTGCGGCCGTTTTCTTGAAAGTCGAGCATTGAGGCTGAGGTGTCGAGAGGTGGGGTCAACATGTAGGTTAGGCCGTTTCGTTTTTCGGTCGGCGCCGGTGTGATTTCATCATTTGTAGTTGTGGTGTGATCGTCAGCCTGGGGTTCTGGTGACGTTGTCAGGGTTAGGTTATATGCTGCTGTAGCATCTACATGCTCCTCAAGAGCTGCTCGATTTGCTTCCTCTTCTTCTCGGGCCAGTCGCTCAGCTAGGGCGTCTTCGATCTCCTGTCGACCTTTACGAGCAATCTCGCGAGTGTCATGACGATTATACCATCCAAACCCCACATCCCAACAGAACATGACAAACGCGGCGGGTAAAGTAACCCAGAAGACGGGATGTTCACCACTGCTCTGACTAGCAGCGTTGAGCGCCAGCAGGGTCACAAGCGTCGCAGTCATGATGACCGCGCCAAAAACTGCACCTCCTTTGTCCAGAAAAGGATTCATGATCTCTTCAAGCGAGAGAAGCTTGCCTTCTTCATTATTCTTGTCCTCTTCTTCCTCTGCGGTTCCTCTGGCATGAGGAATGTTGGGATTCACAGGCTTCTTAGCTTTCGCTTCCTCTGAGAGCTCATGCATTTGAATCGAGAAGGGTATGAGAGATTCGTCGGCGAAGACAATGTATAGCAGGAATGGGAATAGCACAATACCTGTGGTAACAACAGGTACAATCATATTCGCGGTATAGACGATGAACTTGATCTTGAAAGCACCGGCGAGCACGAGGTTGGTTGGGTTGGAAGACACAAGGATTGCTGAGGCGATATTAGCGACGGCGAATTGCGTATGAATCCAAGCTCTGGGATGAATAATGTTGCTCGATACCCGGGTCATGTAGGCAAGAAACGCAGTGCCCGATAGAATGATCGGATCGTTCCCAATGAAGCTGCCCAAGACGAAGAAGAAGGCGTAGAGGTAGAAAAATAGTCTGTGCCCAACCTTGCCTCCTTTCTGAAGCACTTTGAACGCCAGATACCTGATAAGACCAGAAGCGTCGATAGAGATAGCAATATATGCTAGAGAGAGGAAGAACACCATGATGTCGAGCGGCGAGATGTTGTTTGCCCCAATCGTACCATCGTGTACTTCATCTCGACCAATAGCGAGGATAGCAAGCAGGAAGAGGTCTGCAATCAGAGGTGTTGTAACAAAGTTCATAGGGAAGTTAAACCGTACAAACGGCTTGACTTTGCCATTGTTATCATCATTGAAGTCTTGCTCAAAGGGTTGTGATCTTGGCGATATTATCCGCAAAGCACTTAGGGTATCCAAGACGACGTTGTAAATTGGTCTCGGGATGTAGATTGGGATATGAAATGGAAAAAGCACAATGATATCTGTGGAACAGGGAAAGAGTCAATTACTAACACATTACCAGCCGGAAAGTCTGCACTTACTGGTGAAGATGAAAACGACAAGGGTGATGATGGATCGCCAGGTTTTGATCTGACCAGTGTCAAGGTTGATTGAATCAAGATCTGATGACATGTTGATATATTTTGATGGCAATGCTTGTTTAGATACCGTGAAGTGCTTTAGAACATAAGTCCTAGAATTTGGTCGTGGTGGTGATTGGAAAGTATTTCAGCCTGCCCCAAAAACGTATGAATGCTGACAGATGGTGATTGTCGGCAACAAGTAAGTATGACTGGTGTTTGCAGGCCTTGAATGCGGTTCGAGGATACTGAATAGAGGCTCGCTGATCAACCGACAAGGCAATGGAGCGATTCTTGAAAGACTCCTGGCGCAACCTCTGCCTGAAGCACTTCACGTGGTAGTCCCCGAGGTTGAAAAGTGATTAGGCGCGCTTTGGCCTAAAGCGCTTTTCCGTAGACAGGGCCCATCTATAAACAGCTTATTTAGACAACATAATAGAAGAGGGGTATCAACAGGGCGCGACTACCTTTATCATCAGGAAGCCAAGTTGGAGAAGTATCTTGGCACCGTGGCGCAGTGACTTGAAGGGTAAATGGGCTGGGCACGTGTTCGATCTACTTGTCCAAAGATCATTGTTAGCATAGTGCCAACGGGGGTATACACGAGAGGAGGCATGAGAATTGAGGGTATTGAGAGGCATAGGAGAGTGTCATTGGAACAGACGACAAGAGCAATCCCACCCCCATGCTTAGGACAAAGGAGCAACATAATAATGATATTTAGTATCTTTACCCCGCGATAGTCCAGCCTGACCCCTCTGTTATCACGTGTGTAGAGGCCCAGTGGCAGGTGGCAGGTAGGATGGCTCTCTCGTCACTTTGTCAAGGAAGGGGTTGTGGGTAACAACTCTGCTCTGTTTGTTACACTTACCACAATGGATTGGCGGATGGGAGCGAGGATGATGGCGAGAGTGAGATCTTAGATAGACGGAAGGATTTGTTGGATGAATATGGAGAAAAAAAAGGTACAAGAAGACGGGACAAGAAAAGTTCAGGATTAGCTAAGGTCAAGGAAGAGCAAGGCAAGGCTGTGCTAGATTGAGTGCAGCGCCGCTGTTCTTCTGTTGCTTGTGTTCTCTACTGTCTCCCCTCGCTGCCCTCCCTACTGTGCGTGCGGTGCTTCAAAGCGACCAAGATGGCAATGCTTGGCAAGGCAAGACGGCAGGAAGCGGTGAGGCTGGGTTGAGCCTCTCATTGGTCATAGGAATAGCGTGGCCAGACCGAGTACCGTATACTACGGACGATCCCGTGGCTGCTCGTAATAATCCATATATCAGCCAATAGAAAGGCCAGATTCTGCTATATTGTCCCCCACTGCCCCACCTCTCTTCCCGCAATTGACAGGCCACATGGCTTCGGCCTCCCCGTTCCCCGTAGAGGAGTGATCTGAGCCTCACCAGGGCGGCGTTCAATAGGTAGGGAGCAAGGCAAGTAGGTCGGTAGGTAGGTAGGTAGGTAGGCTCGTAGGTAGGTACTGATGCCTTGTGAGATCTATCTGTCGGTTTATATTGCGACGACAACACCAAAGTATATCACTCTTATTTATCCATATAACCGTATTACCGTGTCACCGTATGGCTGTATCAAGCAAGACAACCCTCTCCATCTCTTCATATACATCCGTCCCCTCACCCATCCATCTCTCCTGCGGTCGTCGGCCACACGGTAGTACACTGGCGGTCCACACCAGAGGCCATGCCGGCCTTTTCACCGGCTTCACTGATGAACACGGCCACCATCATCAGTCGAAATGCCACAGCCATAGCCACCAATGCTTCCGTTCCTAATGCTGCCAACACCACAGCTCTGCAAGTTATATGCGCATGGCCCGTCTCAGGACAGTATGGTCCAGGATCTAGAATCTTGTAAAGTTCCCCAGACCCCCAGATCTCCATTCCATCCCCCAGTTCTCCGCAAGAATCCACAATTATAGTCGCCCCGTAGTGCCAGACTATCTCATCGACACCGCTACTAACACTCTACCCCCTTTTTCCTTTATAGATACTATATCCTCATTGCAGCTTGTGTATTTGCTAGGAATTTCGAATGGCTGAGGAACGCTTGCACGGCAGCTGCCCTGATTCTGCCCGCCGTGGCTGCCATCCATGGCATCGTTCTTGCCGCCGTCCCCATGCATGGTATATTCCCCCTTTTCACATCCAGTACCACCAGAACTGATAATCCTATGTAGGCGCTGTTGATATGGATGTCTACGGGGCTTTCCAGCTCTGCTCCATCGGTATCTTGACTGCCCCAGTCACAGTCAAGTTATCACGGGCATACTTCTACGATCCTGGGCGGAACGCCATCTTCGCCTGGACCGGCCTTGTTCTTGCTGGACTACTGAGTTTGACGGTCGAATTCTTCAGAATCAAATCCACTGACTGCACGCATGCCGACGATGGTACCCCCATGTCCTCCCATGCAAGCGATTTCCCGTATGGAAATTCGTGCGGCCTCATTTGTGACGTAGATCGTGGCCCATTCTCTCCAATGCGAGGTGGGTCAGCTAACAACATATATGTAATACCCGCTCCAGAAAGGCTCACATTCGGTACCGCTACGCTCTTCTCGGCTGCTTGTTGTGTTCCGGCTATCCTCTCACTAGTATCTATGTGGAACAAGATTCTCGAAGTCAACTGGAAGGCACGCTTTGGTGAATCAGAAGAAGAGGAGCAGAGGAATGAGACGATATCGGGCACGAATGGTGCCACCATTGAGAAAATGAAAGGCGTCAATGCCATCATCCGATCATTCTTGAGTGCCGTCGAGGTCCCTGTATTTGGCGCTGCCATACTCGCTATTCTAATTATTGGCGAGAGGAACTTTTTCAGTGCACAAGTCGTGTATCAGACTGAGCCCTGGGCCAACGTTGGTAGGTGACAGTTTGTATTCCCATTATGGCGATAGATCGCTAACAGTTCCGCTTTGTGTAGGTCAATGGGCGCCCATTGTTGGTGCTGGACTTGCTGTACTAGGATCACTGTACCTTCTCCTAGCAGCAGACCTGGATGCCGAGAAGGAAGAAACGAATTCAGATCCTTCCGTTCAAAACCACCACCACCATAGTTGCAATTGTTCCCTCGAGCAAGTCAACCGAGGCAGAACCTCATACGCAGGATCCACCCACTCTGTTGCAACCCCAAGTCCAGTGGAAATGCGCCGTAGTGATGCTTCCAACCACGACAGACCAACCTCCCTCGAGCTCACATCCACAATCACCCGGCATCCCACAACCGCCACAAAAGCCAGCCGCCAACTTACTCGTTCTGGAACAAGTGATGTTGGCAACAGACGCAAAGTTGCTAAAGCGTTAAACGCCATCGGCAACCAGCTCGGCACGGCAGCACACTTTGACAACACCGAGTTCAAGCACGGCAAAGCTCTCGATTTCCCCGAGATTCCTGGAGAGGACTTTCGAAATCGTGCGTTACCTCAAATCAGGATGCAATACAACCAGGTCCACGAAGACGAGCCTCCTGCTACTCCCCTCCGCAGACAACATTCACGGGCAAGTAGTTTCCATGGAAGTATTGCGTCGGGTCTTGGTATTGAAGGCATACCGACGTCGCCAAGAGCAACATCACCTCAATCGCCACGCTCCCCTTCGACTTCTACCTCAGCTCGTGCTAACACGCTGCCGGTTGAGCGACCTACAGTCCAGCTGGAAAATGTGCCTACTTCATCATCTAGTGGAACAGCCAGAGTGAGACCAGCACGGCGGCGGGACACTCTCGAGGTGCCTTCGCCTGTCCATCATAGTCATACGCGCAACACATCTGCATCTTCTGTACCAATAATTACCAAAGCTGAGGACGAGATTTCACCCGTTATTATGATCTCCCCTGAGCCGGAGATGATTGCTTCTCCTGCGGCTTCGCCAGTCTTCAACCCACACGCTCACCACCCACCGTCACCCCCGCCGACAAACAATGGTTGAAGTCGGTTCTTTTGGGAGTTTATACGCACGACATGGCTGTTTACGATCGAATAGATAGCCACTCGAACAAAGACTCCACCATAATCAATAATCCAGATGAAGGGGATTCCCATAATTTCGCCAAAGCGCCACTAACATCGCAAACGATAGACCAGTCTACTACACGAGACTCCGGAGATCCAAAATACCATTTTTACCGATCAGTTCTTCGACTTCAACCTCGACCAGAGAAACTCATAATGGCCACAGACTTATTTCCACGAGTTCGATGACGTGCTCCTTGAAAGCTGCCACATGACCAAGAACTTCAGCTTATCTGCCGCCACGGTTCCTTGATATGAAAGTCTACACTTCCGAATCGACTACAGGATATGATTGTGGCCGTCTACGACAGATACATCGAATATATCCACTGATTGACCTCGAAAGCTTACGCGCCGTCTTATGATATACAGCTGCGTATCCTCCGTCAAATCAATTATCCCAAACCTCAGCAATCGCCTGCTCTGAAATATGGCCGTCTCAGAGCCTGAAATCGCTGGACCAAATACATAATATTGAACTTCAATATATACATATATAAAAAAATATAAATATCAAATATATTAAGAAGACCGATTTCAATCTTTCTCGACCTTTCATATAGTGGATTGGAGCAAAGTACGAGTACAAGGCAGAAATTTGCGGTCATTTTCTTGCCGGCGTTTTCTTTCGCCCCGAGTACGGATTACTCTCAAAATTTGCTAATCACAATGTTGCAAATTGCTGTTCTTCATTTTTATTTCGCTTCTGAAATCTGCATTTCCAGCGCACCCAGATACCACGGCGTCTAGTAGATCTGACCGCCTGACGACACTGTTGCGGATATGCATGTGTATGTTCGCGCAGTTATTGATTATTTCAAATTTATGCATTTTTATTTCATAGTCCGTGAAACCACTAGCAGACGAAGGACCACTTTCAGATTTCGACTCTATAATAGCCTTGACAAAAGTAAGGCCTATATTTTCTTGGGGCATTAAATACGTTCTAATATACGCAGATATTCAGCAAATTGTTGTCCCTCATCATATTTCCGAAGAAACAAATTCATATTCTAGCATGTCGTGTGCGAGGACGTGGATGAGAAAATGCGTGGAGAACCATGATATTTGCTCTAAAGTCTCGTCTTCCACATCCGGTATTCGACGGCCAATGCGTCTTCTCCAGATTGGAATGCCTGAGCCAGAAAAATTGCGTTTGCTCACAGACGAAGCCCAATCTTATAAGAACCTCAAGCCTGATTATCTGACTCTTAGTCACCGCTGGGGTTCCGCCAATCCATTGGAATTGACAAGTTCTACTTTCTCGCAATTGAAACAAGGCATCGAAATTGCTGATTTATCAAAAACCTTCCGTCATAGTATCAAAGTCGCGCAAGAATTGAATATCGACTTAATATGGATTGATTCTTTATGCATCTTCCAAGACTCAGCTGAGGATTGGGCGAGGGAGGCTCCTCTTATGCAGTGTGTATATGGAGGAGCAGTTTGTAACATTTCGGCTATTGCGTCGGAAGATAGCGACACGGGCTGCTTTTTCAAAAGAAACCCCTCACAATTAAAACCATATGATATCCAGACCCAATGGAACGATGGATCGAATGGGTCATGTATGCTCTACTATCCGGACCTTCGGAGAGATGCTATTGAGAACGCCCCGCTTGCGTCTAGAGGTTGGGTTTTCCAAGAACGCTTACTTGCACCCCGCATATTGTATCTTGATGATACACAACTATTCTGGGAGTGCCATGGTCTCAAAGCTTGTGAGGCTTATCCAGATGGAATGCCTTTTAGCGATGGTAGTTCTAAGGAAAGAGACGCTTTGGCTGCCCTAAAGCTTGGAACTATTGGGAGCACTATATCCTCCCCGGACAAGAAACAATTGCAGCGCTTATGGCAAAATTCCGTACGTTTATATTCCAAATGTAATCTGACATGTCCAGGGGACAAACTGGTAGCATTGTCAGGAGTTGCAAAAATGATGCAACAGTGTTTCGACGACGGTTACTGTGCGGGATTATGGCGAAAATATCTGCCATCACAGCTTCTTTGGCGTGCAGACATACACACCATAGGACACCTCAGACGATCTATTGAGTACCGAGCACCATCTTGGTCGTGGGCCAGCCTTGACGGACCAATAATACCAGGAGGGTTCTCCGACGATGGGATAATCATCAAAATTCTCGAATGTCATGTCCGAGACATCAGTGGCGATTCGACTGGACAAATACATAGCGGCGTGCTACGAATCTTGGGCCCCTTGATGACAATAGAACTACAACCATATGCAAGGAAATGGTATCGTTTTCGAATGCTCATTGACAGAAGATGGACATATGGGTTTATACTATGGCTAGACACAGATGACCCTATATGCAACGGAAGTTACCAGATCCATTGCCTACCCATCTTGTCGGATGCCGATTCAGACAGACCCGAGCGATCTCCGCTCACGAAGTGCTTACTCTTGTTACCCACGGGCAAATGGCCGGGGCAATTCGTAAGATGTGGTACACTGACATTAGAATCAGGGGAAATGAAAGACTGGAAAGGGTTTCGAAATATACGAAATCACGATTGGCTCCAATACGAGAGCAGGGATGATGAAGGCAATTGTGTTATTTCAATAATCTGAAATAGTAGCTAGTTTCAAGATCCTCGGTTTCGACAGGAATTATAACTCACAGTCTCAACCTAGGATTCAATTAGATTGTTTCTTTCATATCTATTCATTCGTTCATTCATTCATTCCATATTCACCACAAATCTCTCTCATCTCACACACATAAGGACCAGGCTTTCCAATACCCAATTCAACTACGCACCAAATCCCCTCACATCATCTATCCTTACACGCATACAGTATTACACCCTTCATGTCCAGCTGTTCATTTCTATTCTATTACACAGCATTACATACTGCTATAAACCGACAGCCTGTATAGTCCCCGCTCCACACAATTCCCCCGCCTATACATACAGTACCGCCCTCCTGAAACGCATCCCATCCCCGCTACAGCATCTCGCGCGCATAGATGCTTGGTGCCGAAATGAAATAGACGGACGGATCTGTTACAGAAGGTGGCGCGGCGCGGGGGGGCGTGTTCGGTCATGAAAATTTTACTTCTGTTGTGCTCTCGATTTCGGAGGAATAGTTTATTTTACTTCATAAGTAAGTATATATGTCTACCGGTATCTTATCTGAAAGAGAACTAAACATAGGAAGGAAAGGAAGGGAAAGGAAGGGATGGGATGGGTTCTATATATGATACTATACTGCTATGATTTTAAGTGGGTAGATAGTAAAAAAGTGGTTTTCTTAATATAAAGTTGGTTTAATAAAAAGAAATATAAGTAGCGCGAGCTTTCTCTCTCCCCTTTTCTTTTCTCTCTCAGATTTATTGGTGCTTTTCTTACTTCTACTACTATATTATCATATCTTATTCTAATACTCAGTAGTTTTAGCATCTAAGCTAGCTGTGCTAGGACTGTTCTGCCCTTCGGGTGTTTCAATCTCCCTTGCAGCCTGCTTCTTTTTATCTCGAGTTACGAAGTAAAGCATCACGAAGATCATAGCGAACTCGCCCACGCTAATCACTGACATGACAGTAAATCCAAGGTGGAATTTTGGAGCATACTTTCCAGTATTCAGAATCACGACTAAAATGATATCAATCATATGCTTAAATATAAAATAACAACTGGGAATTGCATACCTGGTACCCAAGCAATAAAAGCCTGTCCAAATGTTTGAGCAACACCAATGACAATCGCACGCTCCTCGGCATCCTCGTGACATATTTCGTTCACCCATGCGTAGGTCTTGTAAATAGTCAGTACGTTCAAGTCGGGAAGAGAATGTCAAGGGGACCTACAACTGGCCACATGCCCCACGAAGCGGCATTAATAAGATATCCAAAAAAGGTAGCACCGTAACCAGCGTCAGAGACAACAACTATCATTCCAACGAAATTGAGTATCTATAATCTGAGTCAGCTCTAAAACCATGGCTACAACTTGAAATGAAGTGAACTTACAGCTGGAACACACATCACCTGCCAGCGCTTTCCTCCTAGGGCGTCTGAAACCCAGGCGTAGGCAAGAGTTGTTACAAGACCCAACGCTTGAGCTGCCGTAGGGAAAAGATTGATTTGGTAGACAGAGAAGCGGTCTAGAGACTTGAGCCAGACCGAGAAATAGTTCAGGGGCTGAGTGACAATGCATTGACAGCTTTTGCACAAGTGTTAGACTCTAATAGATTTGCGGGAAGAAAGCCTGGCTTACATAAGCATGAGAGTGACCACATAGAGCGGCCAACGAGAAAAGATTTTCCTTATCTTTGCCCAACTTAGAGGAACAGGCGCACGTCGATCGACTCTCTGCATTCGAGCAATATACTGCTGAATCTTCTCCGGGTTGAGCCATCTCGCTCTTGTTGTGTATGGATTATCCGGGATAGCGTAGAGTCCCCAGAGAGGCGCGGGGAGCGAGATTACACCGCAGAAGATAAAGAGCCAGCGCCATCCTGCGAGCCCAAGATGACCATCCATACCCTTATATATGCCTGCTTGGAGGTACCCGCTAAACATGCTCGCTGCGTAACTGGCGGAATAAAAGATCGCGATACGCTTTGCGAGCTCTAGAGTAGGTTAACAACAAAAAGCCTTACGTACACTCATCGCAGCATTGGGAACTTACCCTTTTGTGTGTACCAGTTTCCCAGCACAGTCAGAACTCCTACGGCAAATGGACTCTCGAGGACGCCGATCACGAACCGAAGGCCAAGCACCTGCTTCGTTGTTTGAACTGCTGCGAAGCTGAAAGTGACAACAGTCCATAATAGCTCTACAACGGGAAGATAGTATGATGGACGAACTTAAAGCGTGTTAGGAAAGGTCGGTTCAGTGGATTGGAGAACGATGCGGCTTGAATGCCGAGGTTCTGGTACTCACATTTCGTCAATAGAACTTGAGATGGGATTTGACCGCAGAGATAACCGACTGTGAAGAAAGTGCCGATAAGGTTATATTGGTCTCCGTGAAAATGGAGATCTTCTTTCATTCCCGAGACGTATGCGTTGGCTTCATATAAGAAGTTAGTGACTTGGTGCGTTTATCAATAGAAGCAGAGTTCCTTACTAACATTTCCCGAATCCAGTAATCGTATGAAATATCCGTAAGTTGCCCAACTCCTGACTTCAATTAGCTGCGGCTCCGAGATGTATGGACTTAGTTAATATCAAATCCAACTTACAAGACAAAAATGTCAAGTCTTTGAACTAGTCTCCTCTCTTCTTCACTTCGCTCTCCATCCCAGATCACTTCGAGGATCTTCGTCTTTGAAGATTTGTTTTGTGTTTGCTCCAGACCGACACTCTGTGTATTTTCGACATCTCTTTGGTTGACGTCGACGCTTACTGTTTCGTTGCCCATGTTTGACTGTGATAAATCGCAATCTAGAAATGGGATAACTAGAAGACAAGATTAACAAAAAGCAGATCAAAGCAGATACAAATGTTCCCTAGCCACTATTCTACCCACAATAGCGAATAGCTTGAAAATGTGAGAACTTCGGCTAGCAAAGTCCTAGCTTAAATGATGTGCTAATACCCTGAGGTTGCGAATTTGTTAAGGTGCTGAGCCGCACAGGGCCTCGTGGTCCATCACTTGAGCTACTTGTATTAAGCTTAGCTTCGGAGTTGGTCACCCTATGTTACGAATAAAGAATGGGGGAAAATGGGGTCTGGTGTGAATAATTCTGGCTGGACCGACTAAAAGTACCTGTTGGAGACTCTATCGATCACCGTCGGACCAAAAGCGTTTGCGAATCTTCATAAATATTACTCGTCTGAATTTCAAATGACATGCCAATGATCTACTATAGCTATTAGGTATCTAGACGGTCTTAATTTGGCGAGATCCGTTTTTAAGCTTTCGTGGCTCAACGTGCATATACGCATTGTTAGGTATTGTGCATTTGTAGAGAGCTAAGCTTTCCTATATCTACTTTGGTGGATTTTCACTCTTAGGATCGTAGACAGCATACTTGTAGCTGCTACCAATATGATCGTTCCGCAGCTTTGATTGACCTTGACCGTAGATCCTCTCCCTCATAGTTCCTGATTCCCCCACTGGAGCGTACCTCCCGCGTCTTCTTAATTCAGGCACCAATAGGTGAACAACATCCTCAAAGCTGCCTGGAGTTACCACGTAGCCAATATTGAATCCGTCAATGTCAGCAACATCAATCCATTCCTCCAATACATCAGCAACTTCCTCTGGGGAGCCTACAGGCACTGGGCCATTACCTCCAATAGAAATAACCTTGCCAATGTTTCGGGGCGTCCAACGTGGAACATCACTCCCGTGATAAGATAAACTACTTACTAAGGAGTGGACTTTAGAGTCAACTTTCGAGTCCTCTGCCTTGATTTCTGTGTCTAAATCATATTTACTGAGATCGATCCCAGAATTTCCAGAGAAAAATGCTAGGCCACCCTCCGCACTTGCATATTTCAAAGCCGTTTGATATTTGGCATCTGCTTCTTCGGTAGTTCTGCCAATTATAGGCGTCATGATAGCGAATATTTTCACCGATTGCGGATCACGACCAGCCTCCGCAGCTTTATCACGAATTGCCTTGACACGCGGAGCTAGCATTTGAGGAGATAGGCCAGACACGAATATACCCTCTGCATGTGTAGCACCGAAAGCAATTCCGGCTCTGTTTAAAGTTAGGTATATATCCCGGCGAGCAAAACTCTTGATTTCCGTTGTGGGTACTTACGGAGAAGTTCCAGCTTGGAATAGAAAAGGCGTTCGCTGAGGTGAAGGGTCTAATATGTGCGGAGCATCCAAGGTAAAGTTCTTTCCCTGATGATGGATCCACCGAATGCGATCAAAACTGGCGTATAATTCATTCTCACGGTCTTCAACTAGAGCGTCGTCCGCCCAAGAACTTTCCCACAGTCTGCAAATTTCCCAATGATTAGTTAATTGAAACAGAGTCGAGGGGAGATCCATAGCTTACTTATACAAGACTCTCATGAACTCATCTGCAATGTTATAGCGTAAATCATGATCGACATATTTCAACCCAACCTACAACAAGCTATTAGATATCCCATAGCTTTAAAGAATATCATACGTACAGCCTTTGACGCGGACTGCTTCCAAGAGGTGACCACATTCCATCCAAATCGTCCTCCAGTCAGGTGATCAAGGGTCGAGAATCTTTTCGCAATAGTGTAGGGAGCCTCATATGAGGTAGATGTGGTTATCGCAAATCCGAGATTCTTAGTTACAGCCGCCATAGCTGAAATTGGCTATTTCAAGTCAACGACCACATTTCCTAAAAAAAGAATATCCTCACAATTGCTGGATCGCCCATTGGAAACTGTGCTCCAGTCCGAATACCAGGCTCAGCGCTCCCTTTGTAGACATCATATTGCCCAAATGTGTCTGCCAGGAATAAGGCGTTAATATCGCCCTCCTCCAGTAGTTTTGCCAGATTCGTCCAATATGAAAGATCTCGGCGTTTCGTTGCGCTCTTATCCTCTGGATTCCGCCACTGCCCGAAGGAAAGATGGCCTACAGTAAACATGTCAAAGGCATTGAGAAAGATGCGCTTCTTGCTAGGATTTTGTGCGGAGTTGGAAGACGCCATGATAGCTATTTGTTTGACGAAAATAATAATGCCAAATGAAGCCGTCTTGCAAGCTTTGAGTAAATGGAAAGGGAGATGGATCGGAAATAACCAGGCAATTAAAACAAAGCTATCAAGTGGAGTACAATCCATCGCAAGTCAGTTCGCTGCAGTGGGGGGCAACCCAGCCGTTCGGAATGTATGTCGCCATTTGTACCCGCTATGGTGCTCAATTCCCTACATTATTAGTATCCACCTAGAGGCTTCTTGTTAGCCGCATATACTCGCCGTTTTCTCAAGTCTGACAGCCCCTCTTTAAATCCACAACTTAGCGTAGATGGCTAGAATGCTATAGATCTGACTGGCTCATTACCCTAGTATAGATCCTTGAAACCATAATATAACCCAACATTAAAGTGAGTTCGGACCTCTTAGCAGCCCTATAATAGTGAAATCTCAGTTCTTTTAGTGGTGCGGAGTATATTTATATGGGTACATTTCAGGTGGGGTTATCGAACTAAAGAAAAAAGCGAGTACGCATAGAGCACTGCAATTGAAAACACTATCTTGCTCGACTTAGTATAGAATCTAGTGCTAAAGTTTCACTAATCAAAGCCTATCTCTACGTACACGGAAGTGGGATGCCATGACAAGCGCCCCCAAGGGTCACTTATTGCCATGTCAGTGGGATTTGTGAAGCTTATCTTTCCTTCTTGCTGGACATTGCCTGGAAAACACATTACGATCTCCCTATGGCACTGCATTCAACTTCACCCCCGCGTGGGCTGGCTAAGAGTACTCATGCTCCCAATGCAATTGACTTCTCCCCCATCCTGAAGGCTGAGATACAGCCAAAGTCCAAGCCAAAAGCCCCATTAAGGACGATATTCCCGCACCTGGAGATCGAGGAGCATGCTATCGATGATACACCTCCATTGAAAGCCATTGTAGTTGGCGCAGGAATTGGGGGAATTAATGCCGGTATTATTCTTCCCCAGAAAGTGCCTGGGTTAGATTTAAAAATATACGAGAAGACATCAGATGTTGTAAGCAAAGTTCTTGAGTTTGCTTTGCAATTGCAATAAACATTAACCTTTTCTCGCAGGGAGGTGTCTGGAACACGAACATCTACCCCGGGGTTAAGTGTGATATTCCTGCGGATGTATACCAAAGTACCTTCGCACCCTCAACTGAGTGGTCAACTCCCTACGCCTCAGGAGCAGAGATCAAGGCCTATTGGAAATCACTTGTGAATAAATACAATGTAGAAAAGTTCATTAGTTTCAATAGTATTGTCAAGAGGGCAACCTGGGCAGAGGCAAAGGGTAAATGGATCGTTGACGTAACGGTTAACGGACAAGACCAAATCGACGAAGCTGAATTTTTAATAACAGCAACCGGTCATTTCAGCAATCCACTGCTTCCTAGATATCAAGGCATTGAAGATTACAAGGGCCATCTCCGGCACAGCTCGAACTGGGATCCGAGTTTTGATCCAACTGGAAAACGAGTGGCAGTGATTGGAAATGGTGCTTCTGGGCTTCAAATACTTCCACCTTTGCAAAAGGTGGTTCAGCATCTTGATCATTACGCCCGGAGTCCCACTTGGATCGCCGGATCATTTGGGGGCGAAGACTTGAATGGATTGACCACGACTGAACGTCCACCTCAATCCCGAGATGCGGCAACTTTCCATGAGTATCGGAAGAACCTTGAAGCCAAGTCGTTCAAGCGATTTGCGGCGGTTATTAAAAACGGCGAAAAGAATGCTGCGTTGCGATCAACGTTCAAGAAATTGATGGCCGACAGACTTGATGGCCGCACAGATCTGCTAGACACTATCGTTCCGGAGTTCTCTCCGAGCTGTCGCAGGTTAACTCCAGGACCAGGATACCTCGAGGCACTTACAAAAGATAATGTGTCCTATATATCCACAAACATAGAGAAATTTACAGAAAATGGCATTCAGACCACGGACGGGGTTCACAGAGAAGTTGATGCTGTGATCTGTTGCACCGGCGCGGATATTTCTTTCTCATCTGCTTTCCCTATAATTGCAAATGGGGTTGATCTGCAAAAAGCTTGGAGGCCTGAAGGAACACCTGGATTTCCAGATACATACCTCTCGATTGCGGCTCCCAACTTCCCAAATCTGCTATTTATCCTTGGCCCCAATGCCACTGGACAAGCCGGAACACTACCGAACGCCGTCGAGAATCAAATGACCTATATTGCCAAAATACTTAGAAAAGTTGCAACACAAGGGATCCGGTCCATCACACCTACGCAAGCTGCAACAAATGACTTCCGTGCTTATTGCGAGTCCTTCTTTCCTCGCACAGTCATGAGTGAGGAATGCAGCTCGTGGTTCAATGGTGGAATTGCTGGAGGCAGAGTTTCCGGTATCTGGCCAGGAAGTGGAATTCACGCCAATATTGTAAAAAGAGATGTCAGGTGGGAGGACTTTACCTACACCTATCTGAACGGTACCGGTAACCGATTTTCGTACCTTGGCAATGGATTTAGCAAGAAGGAACTCGCCATTGAGGCTGACCCTGATGCGGAGATCGACTTTACTCCGTATCTGTTAGAGGAGGCGGTAAATGGAACGGTTGACCTTAGGTCATATAATGAGTTGTGGTTTGATATTTAGAAAATCTTTAATCCATGAAGGGGCGGGTAGTGCGAGACAGCTATAGTCTCTTGAAATGAAGAATGCAACGTTAAACAAACGCTTAGCGGTGAAAAACTGTGGACGGTGCGATGCAGCAGCTTGTGAGACTGGGGCTCTACGACTACGGATGATGATGATGATGATATTCATTAACGTCTAGCAGAATACAGGTAAGACCTATGATCCTGGGGACCTCCTAACGGTTATAGAGACGTGCAAAGTTTAGGGTTCAAATATAAGACAACCTATTAAGAAAGACATTTCAGGCAACAACGCGTAGCTAGAGGGGTTATATAACTATAAGTTCCCTGACACTTAGGATAGACCACTAGAAAAATATATAGGAATAAGCTATTATCTAGGTGAGAACGAGAACCTTTTGTCCTCGCTGTATTTTCAACAAAAGTGAACGATATTAGGTGCCGCTTTCTTCTATCCAGCGTAAGGAGCATACTCCGTAGGGCTTCTTATAGAGAGGGCCGTAAATACTATAGGAGATAAGCAACAGCATGCAATTAGCCTTATAATTGATCTGCTTTGACCTCCCAAACCCTTGTAGAAGCAATTTTATAAGGACTGGATTATACGTACAAATCAGGTGGGGCTGTCGAATTTGAAAAGAAAAGCGAGCACAACGAGAAATGACGCCTTCCAGGCTTGATTAAGAAGTGGAACTGATTATCCACCTTATATCTACTTTAATAGAAGAAAAAGTGTTTTAATTTCAGTCTACAGCTGTTAAATATCCTCGAGTCGAGCAACGGGCCAAGTCTCGAATTTTCCTCGAAAGTACATCACGAGGGATAAGCCGCGTGGAACTTTTATCTATATAAACGGAAGTAGGACTCTAGAATAAATCGGCTCGGCAGTATATTATCCAGCCGAGAAAATCTACATAAGCCAACACCTCAATTCCGGAAACGCGTGCAATATACCGGTATACGCGACGGGATTAGGAGGCGTCCTCTTAGCGCTAAGATAGGTACCGATTGTATCCAAGCAGCAATCAAGTTATCAAAGAGACTAGCAGGCAGGCCTCATGAGTAAACTTTCCGCCAGACCGGAACATGATCCACTGTTGCCAAGAATAGGATCTCGCTATGCATAATTATTAAGTGTCGGCTATTTAGACATGAAAGGTAATAATAAAGATATGTTATATCCATGGTGCTAAAGCAAGACTAAAAGACTAGTATATTAAATCAAGAGAGCTTTAGATTAGTAGTTTTTCACAACTTATTTACACTTATACGAGTAATTACTAGAAACTATTTAGCCGACTTTATTATCTTATAAAGAGAGACTATAGAGCTACTATTTTCTGCACCTTAAATTTACTATGGTGGCACTTACTCAAAAACCCCACCAAGTCCTCCTCTATGACTTGGTGGTTCACGAGCCATCCCGTTGGGTTTCTTAGCCCGAGTTTTAAGTTTAGTTATGAGTATAGGGATCTTTTAGCTCACGCCACGCACGTGGGCATGAATCATGGGCATAGTGCCCGGAACGTAACCTGACTCAATCCTTGTTTAGACGAGTGTAGCGCACGGCTAGTAGGCACAAGAGAAGTCAGGGAACATATCTGCTATCTATAGTGGGGTGTCTCTGCTGGAGTCTTAGTTTTACATCAAGGCTGGATCTCGCACGCAATGTTGTAGAAGATGACGCGTTGAGCATCTGATAATGGTTGGTAGTGAGGCAGTTCGCGCGTATCTCCGTAGCTGTATTTGAGGCAGAATCACAATCGCCAAGCAGTTCTGGTGACTTTATATCTAGTAAAAACATACATCCAGCAACTCGGTGTCCATACGTCCGATGGCAAAACATTGATTGTTAGACGTCAAAGACTTTTCATTTACTCTCTATATAAAAACCGTTGTTCTTCATCAATCATGGCACCAAGCGCCCAGCCAGACGATGCTAAGTCGAGCCTCCCTTCAAATCCAGATCACTTGAAATTTAAGAGGCAGATTGAGATCGAAGGCCCTAACAGTACGGCAAAAGTATGTTGTTACACCCGCCCGGCGTCCAATAACTAAAAGTCGCATCTAGGATCCTCATTACCTACCCACCTGGAATCCAACGCAAAAATACCCACCTCTCGAACCATTCGAGTACGTTGAGCGCGGTAAAGATGCCGACCCAAGTTTCAAAGACCTGTTGTTGGAAGGATCTACTCTCGAAGATATCACACCATCAATGGGATCCGAAATTCATGGTGTTCAGCTTTCCAAGTTAACGAATGCTGGAAAAGACCAACTCGCTTTGCTGGTCGCCCAGCGGAAAGTAGTTGCATTCAGAGATCAAGACTTTACAGAACTCCCCATCAAGCAGGCTCTAGATTTTGGCGGCTACTTTGGCCGGCATCATATTCATCCAACATCCGGATCACCGGAAGGATATCCCGAAATGCACATCGTTCACCGGGGTCCTCATGACACAACTTTTGATACTCTGTTTGAAAACAGACTCACCAGCACATCATGGCACTCCGATGTATCCAATGAAAAGCAACCACCTGGAATCACCTTTCTATATGCTCTTGAAACGCCTAAAGTGGGTGGCGATACAGGATTTGCTAATTTGGCAGAAGCCTACAATCGTCTTTCTCCGGCTATCAAAGAAAGGTTGCACGGCTTAGAAGCTGTGCACTCTGGATTTGAGCAAGCAGAAGGCAGTAGAAAGAAAGGAGGTGTTGTAAGGAGAGAGCCAGTTGCAAGTGTACACCCACTTGTGAGAACGCATCCTGCTACTGGGGAGAAAGCACTGTTTGTGAACACTGGATGTATGTGAGAGTTCGATCCATAACACCTTTCCTATTACAGTCTCCTGACCAACCCGTGTGTCCATAGTTACTCGTAATATAGTAGGTCTCAAGAAGGAGGAGAGTGATGCTTTACTCAAGTTTCTTCTTGATCACATTTCTAATGGGGGAGACTTTCAAGCAAGGGTCTCATGGAAACCACGCACCGTCGTAGTCTGGGATGTGAGTATTCCTGCAATTCTACCTCAGCAATTGAAATATCTAATTGGGTCAGAATCGCGTTACATCTCACACTGCTCTCTTAGACTGGTCATCTGCAGCTTCTCGACGCCATTTAGCCAGGATTACACCTCAGGCAGAACAACCATATGAGACTCCCTATGTAAAATAAATTCCAGAAGGACATTTTGATGTTTAAACTTAGCAAATTCATAGCTTTTACATAATCATATGAGAGAAATATTTCGAAACGAAAAACAAATAAGTTTGGCATCGGGGAAGTTTCGTCTACTTCGGGCAACCAAGCAGATATTTAGAATGAAATGCGACAAGTAGGTGTCAACAGGATGGTATATTCAGAGGCAACGATTGCGCATGTCGTTGCCGATGGAATCTCCCTCTAATAGTCACTTTATATCGAGATTGAATAAGGCACAAAGGAACTAAAAGCGGGTAAAGGTAAAGTCCCTGCATGACTTACTTGCTAATAGAACCCTGCAAATTGGTAAAGATGTATTGAAATTCCATGTATTACAGGAAGGGACTTAAGATAACCTTGCGTATTTGCTAAGAGAGAGACATATCTATATATGGCAGGCAGTTGGGAGTTACTGTGCTATATTAAGATGAAGTCAAATAAATGATAGACTTGAATGCTGAGACTTTATTAGAGTACCACTTACTACACCACAACTCTCTCACCACCCACAAAGCTTTTCAACAATCAACTCAACCACGCACCAAACCCCTCACATCATTAAACTTTACACGCATACAGCATTACAACACGCCAGTCAGACCTACACACCTTATCTACTACACCGCATTAACTACTACTATAAACCGACAGCCTATTCCCCGCTCCACACAGCTCCCCCGCATCCCCCGCACACGCAAAACTACAATCCACCGCCGCAGCCTCCACACTACCCTCCTCAAACACATCCCCGCAGTAGCACTCGCGCGCATACTCGGTGCCGAAATACGTGTATCCCGCGCAGAAATCCGCGCAGGATTCCAGCGTCATGCTGTCGTTTGCGTAGGTGTTGCTGGATAGGGCGCGTGTGGAGGTGGCTTCGGTTTGGCAGCCGAGGAAGGTCCAGGTTGGGGGGATGGTTGGGGGGGCTGTGGGGGTCGCGGTGGGGAGGGAGGTGGTGCTGGTGGAGGTTGGGGAGGGGAGGTTGGATGGGGGCGTGCTGAGGAGGACTAGGGTTATGGGGAGGCAGGGGTTTGTGGGATCGGATGCTAGGGGTTGGTGGGTTGTAAGTGATGAATGAATGAATGAATGAATGAATGTGGTGGGATTTTTATGTTAGGGACGGATCTGGATCTGGGTTTGGATTTGGATTTGGGATCGTGGGAAAGGAAAGGAAAGGAAAGTAAAGAATAACATACCAGGGTTCTCGGGAGGTGAGTATCGGAACTCATACCCCCTATTCCCACTAGCTACCCTTACACAAATCGATCCACCGACTGGACTCTCCTCGCGTGTTGCGAACGCGAGTTGGATCTGTGTCTCGGTGACGTTGTCGGGGTTGCAACCGTATACGGGGGTGAAGATTGCTTTGGGATCGCCGCGTTCAGTCATGAACATTTTGGTTGTGTTGTCGATTTCGGAATACTAGGGTGTTTTACTTCGTAAGTAAGGTAGCTATGTCTACTGGTATGGAAGGAAATACGAGCGGGAAAGGAAGGAAAGAAAGAGACGGGTTGGGTTGGGGTGGGTTAACTATATACCTCGCCGTCAATCACAGCGTGGATAATATCCTGTTCGAGGAAGCCCGTATTGAGATCTAGATCGAAAGCGTAGTCTCCAACGGGAGACAGGAATAGATGTTTATCCCCACCGCCCGCCACAGCGAGGTTCATGTACCGGTCATGGATAACTGGGTACGCGGGATTCTGGATCAGGATCCCGAAGCCGCCTGTGATGTTGCTTGAGAGGGAGGTGGTGGGGATGTTACATGCTGAAGTAACGACTGCTGCTGCTGCTAGAAGTAGTTCTACTAGCGCGATGCGGGGTGGTAATTGCATCTTGATTAATTGCTCTTTGCTCTTTGCTCTTTGCAGTAGCTTTGATGCAGAAAGAGAGGGGGGGGGGGGGAGGAATCTTGGGATGAAGTGTTGTGCTGTGCTATGTTGGCTGGAATGTTTATATAGTGGTTTGAAACAAAGGGCTCACTTGCAGTTATAAAGATGTGTCTCGTATTCCAGCAGGTCAGGCGGGGTAAATGTAAAGTACCTGCCTGACTTGGCTTGCCAATGTAACCCTGCAAATTAGCAAAGATATATTGGAATTTCATGCAATGCAGGAAGGGATATAAGATAACCTTGCACAGAAGTAAATGTCGATATTCGCGAAGGCCCAAGAGAGAGAGATATAAATGTATGCGGCAACCCGTTTGGGGGGCCGTGGGGGGGGGGGGGCGGGGGATTGGGCTGTATTGAGATCAAGTTGAATAAATTTAACTGCACACTCGCTGGAGGGTTCTGATTGGTTTTTTTTATAAATATAGAAGTAGAGAGAGGTGTAGATAGATGTATTGTGTTGCTGATAATAGAAGTTATATACTAAGTAGAATGTGTAAATGAAGGAGTGTAGGAAATCGAGTTGCGGTAAATTTGTAGCAAGCAATTGGAGGGGCATTGACATGTGGAAAGAAAAAATGGTTACATGGTATCATTTTGTAAGACTATATAGCATTTAAAATTACCCTGATAGGAGTGAGGATATACATTAATTGCCTCGGTCTTGAGCTGAATGTCCCACGCCACTGCGTAAGACTATCTATATGCGAGGTGAACGTTTGTAGATTGGAAGCAACAAGGCGAGCGAGAAGTATTACGCTTTAGGAAATGTGTACTAGGATTATAATAAACTTCTTAAACGCTAATATTTGCTGGAACATGAAAATATCTAAATAGAGGGAAAATATAGAGAAGGAAGAAAAACACGGAGGTCAAATTTCGGGGCTGGGTTTGAGAGACTGCTGCTACGCGACAAAAACACGCTAAAACGCGTCTCCCCAGCCGTTTCCCAAACCCTTCTAAACTTGACATCCTCAGACCCTTTCACTCCCTGATATTCCAACACTACCGTCCATCCTTCATCTGACAAAGAGTCTACCTACTCGCCAAGATGGTAAAACCAAAAGATGCCGCAGAGGCAACACCAGCGCGACCTCCACCATCGTTAAAGAAGCAGAACTCCAGTGCAGGTTCCGCATCAGGTCAACGATCAATCATGAATTTCTTCACCAAAGCACCTGTGAGCAGCACTCCCAGCTCTTCTGATGGAGCCTTGAAAACCAACGCGGGCAATGCCAAAAGCTCAATGGCCAAACCGACCGCTCCTCCCAAGAAGCCCGCTTTCAGGAAACCCACCGTCAAGAGCATGACGCCTGTTCCAAGCAGCGACGCGGCTGGCCCATCCAGCTCTCAGGAGAATGAGAATGGCGGCATTCCGGAAGAAGAGGTAGATAACCGTCTGCCCTCACCTACGACGCCTGCTAAGAGAGTCATCCAGCAGGTTTTCAACGGGAATCCAGCGGGTAGCAGCCCTTCACGAAAGGTATACAGTGATATTCCCTTCACCGGGTGATGTCTATCTAACTATATTCCAGGCCAAGAAGGTTGTGAGCTACGCAGAATCCGACGATGACGATGAAGATGCCTTTGACCCAGCCGGCATATCAACGCAAAGAAAGAGAATGCGAAAGCCCATAATCGCAGACGATGAAGACGAGGAGGACGAGTTCGTTGGGGGCATGGATGGAGCTATTGATGAAGATGGTAAGCCTCCAAATATGCGATGAATACAAGATTTAACGTACTGTAGAAGAGATGGATGATTTTATTGTTGACGATGATTCCGACGCGCCAGCGAAGCCCTCAAAGAAACGTAAACGTCCTACAACCACCACCACCTCCCGTAAGCGTTCAAATGTCACTCCGCCTACACCAGCCAATGCCGATGAGGATGAGGATGAGGATGTTGCTATGGACATCCCTGAACCCTCCACCGCACAACAGTGGAAGTATGACCCCGAGAACACGGAACCGCTCCAACCAAGATCTACAAACATTCAAAAGATGCCGACTCGCAAGCCAGGTAAGGAAAAAGCTCACAAGACCGAACCTGACCAGCGATACCCTTGGTTGGCAGACCTTGCAGATATCGACCGCAATCCAGTCGGCCATCCAGACTATGACCCACGAACCGTATATATTCCTCCCATTGCGTGGAATCAATTCTCTGCATTCGAGAAGCAGTACTGGACGATCAAGCAGAAGTTCTGGAATACCATTGTCTTCTTCAAAAAAGGCAAATTCTACGAGCTCTACGAGATCGATGCTACGATCGGTCATCAGCTGTTTGACTTGAAGCTCACAGACCGTGTCAATATGCGTATGGTTGGAGTCCCAGAGATGTCTTTGGATCACTGGGCCAATCAGTTCGTTGCAAAGGGTTACAAGATCGCTCGGGTTGATCAGGTCGAAACTGCTCTGGGCAAAGAAATGCGTGAGAAAGAGGGAACTAAGAGTGGAGGCAAATCCACCAAGGTCGCCAAGATCATCAATCGAGAATTGGCATGCGTTTTGACTGGTGGAACCTTAGTGGAGGGAAGCATGTTACAGGATGATATGGCAACATTCTGCGTTGCTATCAAAGAGTCCACCGTCGATGACCTGCCAGCATTTGGAATCTCATTTGTGGATACTTCAACTGGACAGTTCTTTCTGTCGGAGTTTATTGACGACCTGGACTTGACAAAGTTTGAGACCTTTGTTGCTCAGACCAGACCACAAGAGATATTGCTTGAGAAATCATGCATCTCCAACAAAGCTCTACGCATTCTCAAGAACAACACAAATCCAACCACGATTTGGAACTACCTCAAACCTGGAAAGGAGTTCTGGCCAGCCGACACAACAAGACGCGAGCTTGATTGCAGCGGCTACTTCATTAAAGATGAATCTGAGGGCAAGGAAGTTTGGCCCGAGGTGCTTGAAGAGGGTAGAAATAAGGATCTTCTGATGTCTTCATTTGGTGCTCTGACTGAATACCTCAGAACCCTCAAACTGGAACGTGATCTCCTCTCCCAAGGAAACTTTACATGGTATAATCCGATTCAGAAGGGAACCACGCTGGTTCTCGATGGCCAGACTCTCATAAATCTCGAAGTTTTCGCGAACACCTTTGATGGTAGTCAAGATGGCACGCTATTTACGCTGCTCAATCGTTGCGTGACACCGTTCGGAAAACGCATGTTCAGGCAATGGGTTTGTCATCCTTTGGCTGATGCCAAGCGGATTAATGAGCGCTTGGATGCCGTGGATATGCTGAATGGCGACCGGTCTTTGAGTGATAAGTTCGTCGGCTCGATGACCCGGATGCCAGATCTAGAGAGATTGATATCTCGTATTCATGCTGGGGTGTGCAAACCAGACGACTTTGTCAGGGTCCTCGATGGTTTTGAGCAGATTGAGTACACGATGGGCCTTCTAGGCTCTTTTGGTGGTGGGGATGGAATTGTCGATCGTCTGATTGATGCGATGCCAGACCTCAAAGGGCCTCTGGAATGGTGGAAGACGGCCTTTGATCGATCCAAGGCCAGGGACTTCAAGCTCCTGATACCTGAACGCGGCATTGAAGAAGAGTTCGATGGGAGCCAGGATCACATCGAAGAAATAGAGGCTGCTTTGGAGAAATTCTTGCAGAAGAAACGGAAGGAACTGGGAGGAAATTCGGGCAAGATCAAGTTCAAAGACATTGGTAAGGAAGTCTACCAACTCGAAGTTCCAGCTTCGATCAAAGTGCCCAAAGACTGGCAGATGATGTCTTCGGCAGCAGGATTCAAGCGATATTACAACACCGAGTTGAAGAGTCTTATCCGACAGCTTCAGGAAGCTCAAGAGACTCATGGTCAAATCGCGAAGCAAGTTGCTGGGAGGCTTTATGCTAGGTTTGACCAAGACTACCAGACTTGGCTGGCGGCAGTCAAAGTTATCGCTCAACTCGATTGCTTGATCAGTCTCGCAGCCGCTTCAGCAGCTTTGGGAGAACCAAGTTGTAGGCCAACTTTCGTCGAAGCCGAAAGAAGTGTCGTCGAGTTCGAGGAGCTTCGACATCCTTGTATGCTCCCAAATGTCACCGACTTCATTCCTAATGATGTCAAGCTGGGTGGAGAAGCACCAAACATCAATCTCTTGACCGGAGCTAACGCCGCCGGTAAATCTACAATCTTGCGAATGGTATGTCCTGCCCTCCTATCTCAATTGCCCCTTCTAACAATGCCCAGACCTGCGTGGCAGTAATCATGGCTCAAATCGGCTGCTACGTTCCCTGCGTCTCTGCGACCCTTACTCCTGTCGACCGCATAATGTCCCGCCTCGGCGCCAATGACAACATCTTTGCGGCGCAGTCCACCTTCTTCGTCGAGCTCTCAGAAACTAAGAAGATTCTTGCAGAAGCCACGCCCCGCTCCCTCGTGATCCTCGATGAACTTGGTCGCGGTACATCCTCGTACGATGGTGTCGCAGTCGCACAAGCCGTTCTACACCACGTGGCTTCCCATATCGGCTGTGTAGGCTTCTTCGCTACGCATTACCATTCTCTTGCTACAGAATTCGCGAATCACCCCGAGATTGTAGGGAAGAGGATGCAGATCCATGTTGATGAAGATAATCGGCAAATCACGTTCCTGTATAAACTTGAAAACGGTGTAGCGGAAGGCAGTTTCGGTATGCATTGTGCAGCCATGTGCGGCATTCCAAACAAAGTCATTGATCGCGCGGAGGTAGCGGCTAAGGAGTGGGAACATACTTCGAGACTCAAGGAGAGTCTGGAGCAAGCGAGGAGTGGATGTTATATTCCGTTGGGGGTACAGAGTGATGTTGCGTGGGTGCTGAGGGATGCTGTGGGAATTGAGGATAGGGGATTGGAGGTATTAATCAAGGCTATTGAGGGGTTGTAGATGTTTACGTGTGGTTCTTGGAGCTTTACTCACTTCTAAACTGTTTTGGGGGCGTTGTGGACTGGTATGGCCTTATTTTCAGATGGTGCTATGGTGTGTATCTATATCAAGCTATAATAGAGCTGAGCGAGCTTGGATCTGCTGTAGGTGCTTCAAAATACTCTGAAAATCAAGATTTCAAGTTTTGTATCCTGCCCTTGACTACGGTACAATAACCTGGGCGGTATATCCAGCCCATACTATGAAGCTCTTCACCTCTTTTACTATGACTTCATTGGCCCGAGTTGACTCTTTCTTGAGTCCTGAGTTGATATGCTTCTTCTAAGTTAGGTTTTGCAAACCTTTCTTCGGGTAGCTGAAGCTGGACTGACTATCTAGCTCGAAAGAGTGAATTTCATTGCTAACTAGTATAAGTATTAGCGTATGATTCGTATCTTTCAATTTTATCTTTTACTATTTAGTAGACTTGGACTTATCTGGAGATTATAGATGAATTTTAGGTAGAATAGAATAGAATGATAGAACGAAATAGATAGCTAGTCTGATATTAAGGTTAAAAAATGGTTTGTATACAAGGGATATTTCAGAAAGGAATTTTTACTGAAAATAGCTTCTGGGGGACTTTTTGAGAAATGATGGTGGATATGAATAGCTTACTATAGATATAAGATACGGAAAAGTATATAGTTGGACTAGAAGGAAGATTGGGGATTGTGAAAGGTAGATACTTGAAATTATGACTCAGGAGGTTTGTCTTATAGACCTGACTAGGTAGTCAATCTTCTGGTCAGCGTAGATTAGTAATTCTAGAATTGCAATCAACTTTTTCATCTATACTATAGGACTTGGATGCCCTGCTGATCTTCCTACCTCGTATGTATCCATGTTCTCGTGACAAGTTATCTCGTGTTAAGTTATCATCTTCTAAGCTGCTGATTTGATTACTCTGAGGATACAACCGCTGTGAGAAAGCTTATTGTAAATGTAAACCTGATGTGTAGACTGGGCCTGACAAATATTGCTGAGAAAGAGAGTATGAGTCTCAGTATGAGATAGAACAGGAGATCTTTAGCAACGTGACTTGTGCTGCTGACTTGTAGAATCTCCAATCTAGAGGATGTGGTGGCTATCAGCCCGGCGGTTAGGCGGCACGGTCCAAAGCGCTCAATTTAATGCCACGCGTCATTTCATCTAGAAAATAAACGCCTCTCCGCAGCCTAAATACTCGAGCAGGATTGTTGGGCTTACTGCAATGCAATGCTGCAATCGAGTCATCTGGCACTCGGAAAGACGGACGAAGAAAATGTCATGGAGCTTATGTTGCAGTTAAGCATTCATGTTTCTTGAATTCTTACACCAATCATACACTTATACTTTAGAGATCTTATCTTGTAAATATTAATGTGGTGCTGGCACTCGTATCTAAAAGATGCAGATAGGTCCGCATAAGTCCAGAGCCGTTATTGCCGCTCTAGCACTGATCTTGGATTTTACGTTAGGGCGCTACCTTTCTCTGCTGTGAGGCTATTGATGCGCTGCTGCAATGTTACACTATGTTCTGTAATCGGACGAAAGCCCTAATCAAGTACATTTACTCGGTTACTTCGGATGGAAAGGCATTTACCTATGTAAATATTAAGTGCCTAGAACGCCCCAGAATGAGCTGGCTGTCAGCAAATAAGCCACGGGCTGAGACCCAAGGAAAAATTAATGGAAAAGTCTGTTCTGGGCATATTTTAGTATGTACATAGAGTCGTATTGGGCCCTAAGTTTGCATTCCCATAAGGGGTACCGAACTAGTGCGGCTATACGAGGAAGGAACTACGTAGGCGCCGCAAGACTTTGCATCAAAATCCTGCCACGATTACACGATATATCAAGTTCGTCCACATTTTAGAATATGTAGCTGCTGCAATGTGAAGGATAATATGCGAGGTACGAAAATATCCTGCATGAAAAAACAGTAACCCAGTAACCATATAGGACTATTGGTTCGTCTGTTTGGCGCCTCAGACTTCAGACGACTCGCCCATTCTTGGTCGGGCCCCTCCTCCCCAATATTATGCAATGTTTAAGCTGAGAATAGCGCATTGTAAATGGAAACACGGGATGGGCGTAACACTTCTTTACTCGAAACATACATATAACGAATGAAAGAAATGGAATCAAGTGTGGTCAAAAGGATCAGCCTCAGCTTGTGGCGGTGTGGAAACTTTAATCGTTGTGGATCTCAGCTCAGCAAACTTTTGAGAGACGGGCGTAATGAACTCCGACTTGCTGATAAGCACAGAAGCTGAAGTAGCACTTGGAATACGACGCTGTGGGTTGGTAAGCCTCTCTCTGATTCGGGCCTAGATGCGATGGATAAAAACCTGTTGAACCATTGAAAATGCCTGCAATTCTACCACGACCGTGTCGAACTAGCGCAGGTTCTGCACGACATTCCGGGGACTCGATCTAGTCAACCTGTCAACCTCATGTCAACCGCGTGGTTGACGGGGATAGGTCCAAGGATCTTTCGTACCGAGAATCCCTGTCGCATATCAGAGCGTGACCTTGTGACCATAGGTTGCGAGCGAGGTAGGGGGGCCCGCGATACATTAGGCAACGGCAACCGTACTGTATATGGAATGTATGGCATGGCATGGCATGGCATGTTCAGTAAATCCCTGCCTGTCATATGCAGGATGATCCCATAGGAGCGTACCCGGCCCCCCGGAGGTAGATAAAGTATTTGCTGCGAATGCTCCTTCGTTCAAGCCTGGCGATTGGCGGCTGAACGACAGCAAAGGTGGGTAGAAGTTTGTGGTCAGATGATGTTGAATAAAGCATCCACAACGGTATAATGAGGTGCAATTTCTTCGAGTCTGGTGCTACTAAACAGTGAAAAATGGTGGCGTGGAGGTTTTGGTACTGTTATGTAGTACTATCGGCGCTGGTAGTGGCTGCACACTCGGCTCGTCTGTCAGTAAGCAACAGCTGAGGTTACATGGCGTTTGCAGCCACCCCCACTGGCGTCGGGTAAGTATTCGACACTCGATGCAGCAGCGGACCCGAGAGATGTTGTGTGACAAAAATACAGGTACATGAGCGAGAGGGAGTATATCGAGATGTATCGAGATGGTGTTGCAAGCGGGTAGATGATTATATCCGCTGCAGGGTCTAGTCCGGACAGAAGGGGCAGAAGGCGCTACTGTAAGTTTACAGTAGGGCTTTCTTCGATGAACTACGTACACTTTCAGCTTCATTCTTCAACCTCAATCTCAACCCATCCTCAACCTCCAGTACAGGGCGTTTGGCAACCTTGTGTTGCATTACCGCACGGATTCCACCTTTCAACTCCGGATAGTACCAGAAAACGTTCCTAACCCCGTCATCTGGGCTCATCCCCATCATCCCACATTACGTGTTGCCGTCTCGGCGACTGAATGGCCCCTTTAATGAATGACCCGAGGAATTGATGGCCTCGGGAATCTCTTCCTAACACGGTCTCACCTCTGGCAGGAATTTATTTCTCTACTCCGCCGGCTTGAAGCGCTATAGTATGTCCATAATTCTTGCAGGAGAACAGGAGAGCCTGACCAAAGGCCCATATTGAATTAGCACTACCCTGCTCAATGACTGTCACACTTCTGCTCGAACGTCTACGCGCAAACTTCATACTAGGACACAAGTGTTGCCCTTTGGATGGGTTGTGTCGAGAACGATGCTAGGAGCCATTTTTCTGAGCCGTTTCGCTTTGGCCTACTTTCAAAACCGGAAAATGATAATAGTCGGTGGCATATATGTATGGGCCTTTGCTTGGTAGCAAATAGGTACTTCGGAAAGCATGAATATGGGATCCTCATACGCTTCTTGTGCCTCTATTGCAGAGGCTAGAGAAATGTGGCAAGTTTCGATACAGGAATTAGTCTGCGGCTGTGAGTCCATGCCGTTACCTTCCACCAATCACTGAACTCTCAGACAGCCTTCTATACACCACCCGAGAGTCAAGTGCAGTCCCTTCCGCCCCGTTGATATTAGGGCTAGCCTTCCGTTCCCTATCGAGCGATCAGGGGTAGAAGCCAAGCTGCCATCCGAAGGAACCGTTGCTTCTATTATCGGAGTCAGCATTCACCAGGCCCAGGGTTACCACGTGGAGCCTAGTATTGGTGCGTCGCCATCATAAGCATGACCATTATCTTAGAATACTCCTTCTATATCCTAGTGTATGATACGAAAAGTGGTGTCCTAGGCTCTTCCCATCCACCAAATGTTGAAAGCCCGAAGATGTAATTCTATCCCCGCCAAACCAATACGGCATACTAGTTACATGCACGTCGGCCTTGCTGGAGGAGTATTTGTGCTATTGCTGGATTCTCCCCTGTCTTTATTGTAGCGTCTATCGTGCCTCTGCATGTGTCACCCTACGTTGGAATCGTGGGCCAATTGCAAAACTTCATACTCAGCTTTCTTGCCTAGGACGAGTTCTTTCGAATTGGTCTTCCTTATTACCCTTGCTAGCTTCTCAATATTACTATGTATGTGGGTGATATCGGTTGAATTCCACGCTTTTTGACCCTCCTTAGTTGTATTCTTTAGGTCTGCAAAAAGGAGGGTGGTTACTTGTTTTGGATCCCTACAAGCCTTTCTCCTTCCTGTAGCACATATAAAAGTATCTGGCATCTCTCTCAAATTGTCTCACTCTGTCTCTCTATCGACGCCTCTTACTTTACTCTTTATTATATAGATTTTGAAAATAATCTCCTTTACAATGAAGCTCGGCATATTCGCAACCCTCTTGTGGAGCTCGATCGTAGCAGGTCAATGTATGTATTAACAGAGATCTTGACAGGCTCCTGCTAACATGATATTATTAAGTCGATTACCCTGAACTCCCAGTTAATTTTCTTCAAACTACTACCCCAACCACTGTTAGTACCAGCGTCTTCTTTCCAATTGATATCTAACCATCTATAGCCTTTACCCCAGGGCTTTCCGTGGGGTACGAAAACTGCAAATAATACCAACGCTTGTGAGTTATCAAATCCGAAGTTATAAAGCCAACATGCGTGCTAATAACCTTCTAGATAGTAAGTTTCGAACATGCCACTACTACTAATACAGCGTCTGACCTGAATTCTCCCGTTAGATGGTAAGCTTCGCAATGATTTAATCAGCTAGCACTTTGCTAACGTTCCTTATAGATCCACCAAACACTGGGTATGTTTCCAAGTCCTGCCCCCCTCCATGCAATCACTAACAAACGAAGTGTCTTGCGAATTTACGATTTCACTGTTGCGAGGACATTGGGTTCGCCGGACGGCTACCAGAAGCATTCTTTGACCATCAACGGGCAATTCCCCGGTCCCTTGATTGAGGCAAACTGGTGAGACGCAATTCTCAGCGGCATTTTTGCATGTTACTAACTCTCACAGGGGTGACACTATTCAAGTTACTGTTCATAATAAGATCACCGGCCCAGACGAAGGAGTGGGACTTCACTGGCATGGAATCCTGCAAAAGACATCTCAGTAAGTTCGAATAATGGTGGAGTAAATAATATAGAGTGACTAAGTGTTTTTAGATGGATGGACGGTGTTCCAGGGGTCCAGCAATGCCCCATTCCGCCTAACGGAACCTTCACCTATACCTTCCTTGCCGATCTTTACGGGACTTCTTGGTATCACTCGCACTATTCAGCTCAATACGCTGGAGGTCTTGTTGGTCCTATGGTCATTCATGGGCCACAAACCGTCCCTTATGCTATCGGTAAGCAAAAATAGATCAGAGTCTATGTTGAAACAATGACAATTAATGAGAGTAGACAAGGGCCCATTTCTCCTGACAGATTATTATCATAAAGACTACTTCTCTCTTGTGGAAGAAGTCATGACTCCAGGAGCTGTAAGTTACAGAGTACCGAATTTTACTTTTGAACCACCACTAAACATATCTAGGCACCGCCATTCTCCGACAACAATTTGATCAATGGAAAAAACAATTTCAACTGCTCTACTGTAGCCTCAGGGGATAACACAACCTGCCATAACGGAGCACCCCTTTCAGTGACTCATTTCACACCTGGGGTGGTCCACAGACTCCGCCTAATCAATGCCGGAGCGGAAGGAGTGCAGAAGTTCTCAATTGACGGTCACAATCTTACGGTCATTGCAAACGACTTTGTCCCTATCATTCCTTATACTACTGATGGTATGTTATTAAACCTTGTGATACAAATGATATCTTCTGATATTTGCTAGTTGTGACACTTGGAATTGGCCAACGAACTGATGTTCTCGTCACTGGACTCACGACTCCCTCCCTCGGTGGCTACATAATGCGCTCTTCTATTGCTGGTGGCGGTTGCTCCTTGACCAATCAGCCTGACGCAACAGCCATCGTGTACTATGGACTGCTTCCACCCGCAACTATTCCCAAAACAACACCCTCGCCAAACTTCGTTACCTCGACCGCAACAATATGTGCAAATGACCCACTTACAGAGACAGTCCCCTGGTACCCAATTCAGCCGGATCCTAACCCGCCAACCACCAAAGAAATCGACATTGACTTCCATACAAATGACACTGGCTTCTCACTCTGGTATATGAACGGGGAATCCTTCCGAACAGATTACAACTCGCCCATCCTCCTACTTTCGAAGGCTGGCAACAACACTTTCGAGCCGGAATGGAACGTTGAGAACTTTGGTTCCAACTCTTCTATCCGAATCGTGATCAACAATAATAGTCCAACTGGAGGGTTCGCTACCCATCCCATCCACTTGCACGGCCACAATATGTTTATCCTGGATGTCGGAATCGGGACTTGGGATGGTACGACGACTGTCAACGCAAATAACCCCCAGCGAAGAGATGTCCAGCTTTTGCCAGCTGGAGGATATATGGTGTTGCAGATCTTTGCCGACAATCCTGGTGCTTGGCCGTTGCATTGCCATATTGTAAGCTACCGCCACTCTGAAGCCTCCTCGGCAGATTTGCTAATATGATGTTTAGGCATGGCATGTATCAGCCGGTCTGTATGTGACGGTTCTCGAACGCCCGGATGATATTGCGAATCTCCCTATTCCATCTATCATGGCTCAAACCTGCAGAGATTGGTCTGTGTTTACTGGCGAAGAGGTCGTCAACCAGATTGATTCTGGTCTTTAGAGTTGTGAACGTATATGGGTTCTTGAATCATGCTACCTTGATTTCTTCAACCATTCACTGCTTGAGTAATTTGGCTCGACTTGTAATTTCGTTTTTGATACTCTCCTTTTATCCCTTTCTTTGAATGATAGTACACTTGAAATACATTGGTACGCGAGGACTAGTATCTGCAAATATACAAACGATGCATTGACAGAGGTTTTTCATATTACCGTGTGATTTCTTAGGAATATGCGTCTAGTCTCGTGATTTCGACGGGCGTCTCATTTCGCCCTTCACGAATCATAACATGTCCTTAGCTGCAACACCGTAAGCGGATATACGAGCTTGATGCTTATTTTATGGATTGTAAGACTTCCACACAGTAACATGTTGGCGAGGTTTATACATGAATCAGATATCTCGATGCCTTATTGACCCCACAACGCCTTCCTCTCCTCAGTTAGGTGCTTATCCATGCGTGTAAGCTCTGCCCTAGTACCCCTAGCTATTCGTCTTCTATGAACTGAGTCAGATACGCCAGCCTCATTCCGATGTCCTGCTCTGGCATGGTGGTGATTTCTCCCAGAACCTTTTGCCACCAACACCTTCTTCCCTGGTGCAGCAGCCACGCTATTTGATTTCTCTGCCTCCTCCAGCCCAACATTCTCCACACATCCCCCCTTTCCCTCCTGTCGATGCTTTCCATCTTCTAGCCCAGCAGGTGATCCACCCAACCTCTCCGTCGGCTCCCAACGCCTTAAATCCTTCGGCCGAGAACTCTTCTTCAACCCATCCTCTCGCTCTGAGTCCTGCCATACTCGCTCGCTGCGAGGACTGGTTCTGAGCGAGGAATTTGTGCCGCGATCTAGAAAAGAAGAATATCCTTTGCCTTCAAGCTGAGTCAACGATGCTGGAAACTCATGCAGAGTTCCTTCGTTAGACGACACAGGCCACTCGAAGCGAATACGTCTATCACAATGCTCAGTCCAACTATTCGACTTAACGGACTCCGCAACCCGTGTTTGCCACACGAAATTCTGATGTATCTTTTGTGTGCTAATCCTGCCGTCCCTAACGGGCTGATCACTCGCCTCGACGCACTCAAACTCGCTCTTGTTGATCTTGCGAGACTTCAAGATCCCCCTCGGTGCACTGTGAGTGCTCCCTGTCGCAAGTGGGTATGCATCGTAGGTATTGGCAGATGTCTGTATGCGCACGGGGGACTTAGCCCGGGCGGCTCTTGAGACTTTTCGTGCGAGGTGCGCGCTTCTGTCTAGGGTATTGGAGGATGGTCTGCGGATGAGGACCCCTGTGGTGCGGTATTCGATGTCTATGTATTGATTGAATTTCCGGGGTGTGATTGATTGGGGGACGGTTGTGGCGTGATTGAGAGGAAGGGTTGGTTTTGCGAGAGAGTTTCCCATGTTGAATAGGTGGGTTTGAAAAGGGGGGTGTAATTGGGAAATCACCTATTATTGGTTAGCAATATATTTCGAAATGTATTTGCTGTAAACAGGTTGGAGTATTTACAATGTAATGATTCATTTATTTCCGCGTCGAGATGACTGGTACCGTAGTTTATGGCACATTCTTCGTGGGGGCGTAGAACGCAAACAAAGTCTCGTCTATCTCCTAGTGAATAAGGCGGTGAATTGATATTGAACTGGAGTCGATTCACATACTGCTCTGAATCCTTCACCCCCTACACCTAATCACGAGCTATGAGGAGCCTCGTCCTCCATTCCAACTATTAGATAGCTAGCCTGTAAACCCAAGAAATATATAAACACACTGAGATCCATTAAACATCACTTATACCCTCCACTAACATATCTCAATACCGGTACTGTGGTTTTGGAGTCAAGTTTTATCCCTTTTTTCCCCTTTAGCGAGGCATGAGGCTTGAAGATTGAAATATATGTGGACGAGACTGGAAGTGAAAAGACAGCAGTGTGATTGTACTTGAACGGGGTTCGATGATTTTAAGGGCTGGGAGTCTCTATTAAGAATTCCTGATAAAGCTAGATGGAATAGGCAGCAGCCCTCTTGTATCATGACAAGAGGCTGTATAATGCCCATGAATGTGCGAAGTCTTTCTGGATTTTGATTGATATAACATAGCTACTCTCACCTGCGTGAAGGTTATGCAAAGACGGAAAATAAATGACCTAACTGTGGATAGACTCTGGATGTTGGATATGAATACCAAATATAGCAGTTCTGCCTTGCCGGAAGGCTTCGAGTAATTTTATATTCATACTAGCTATGGCCCGATACTAACATATAGAGATAAGTTGCAAGTCACAAGAGGGAGCGTCGGTCAACTCACAGCTCGGTCTTCCTTGAAGATCTTTTCGCTCTAATCTGTGCCTCCGCTTCAGCCTTTGTTGGCAAAGTCCCTTCCAGATCCATCCACTCCGCCACAAATGCCGTCACGATCTTCGCCCAATCGTGTACAGTAGGTAAATCCAAGTGCTCACCATCATCGGCAGCCGTGTGCCATACATTGGGAAATGGCGTCGCTATTATGTGGAGCACTTCTACGCCTCGAGCCATGAATGGGATGTGGTCATCTTGCACTCCCCATTTATCACGGAAGTCGTTTAGGCCTTTGTTTGCATCGTAGAGGAAGGGTTGAGATGCTTGGGATTCCAGAAGGCCTAGTGTTCGCAATCGGGATTCGATGACGGCCAGGTGTTGATATGCCCAGTGTGTAGTCTTGAAGAACGAAGGGACTCGAGGGTTTGCTGAGCCAAGAAGATCCAAAAGCATGAACAGTGAGATGGAACTGAGGCCATTGCGGTATGTAGACATAGCAGCATGCGGAGTCGACTCCCATGTTTCGGCCAATGATCTGATAAAATTAGCATATTCCCTAATCACCATGAAATCTCCTTACCTTGCCCCATATAACGAGTCAGTATTCGTCCAATCCAAAAATGCCTCCTCCCCGTCCAAAAACAGAATCTGCACCCCGGTCTCCTCCTCCAACCCATTAGAACCATCCGCCTCCATAGCAGCCCATTTCTTCGTCAACGCCTCATCCACACTCCTTGCCGCATGCATTATAATTGCGCAAGGCGCTGCGCTATCTGTCGCCCCAATAAATCCAGGGGGTTGGAGCTTGCTGTCATAATGTGCAACCAGGGCCAGCCTTCCCACATCCCCAGCTTTCGCCCACGGCGGATCGCGTGTAATTATAAAGTTCACAAACGGGACTTGTGTATCGCCCGTCGCGGGAGTCGTCGCCGTTGAGTTTTGGAACTCGATGGTCCATTTTGGGAGATGGGCTCCAAACCAATTCGTGAAATGCTGCTGCACCGCCAACGAGCCGGGAGTTCCTGGTACTCGAGGGATCAGAATGGGCGCAAGGATAGATCCATCGTGTATATCAAAATCCGGGCCTGCAGAGGGCAGATTTCGTAGTGTTTCGTCAGACAATGGTGTGAATGCTGAGATGCCCAGCAAGATAGTTGCAAGGAAGAGCAAGGTCTGCGAGAACCGCATCTCCATGGTAGTTTCGACGAGGCAAGAGCCTGATATTGGGTCACCGAAGAAATCTCCGTAGGATCATCCTCAATCCAACTTCTACGTCGATGAGAAGTTTGTTGAGAATGCGAGTTTGATATCTGTTAACAGTGAGATAAAGTGATACACGGGAGCGGCCGCTTACGAGTACTGTACTTATCGCGGCTAACGCGCTTAAGTATTGAATGTTTTGACTTTGATATCAATGTTTTCATATTATTCAACAACGCCATTGAAAACTTCAAACTCTTCCTTTTCAACTTCATGGGAGGCTATTTTTAATCCATGGAATTCATTTTCTGTTTAGCTCCCCTCATTTGAGGCTTAAGAAAGGTACTCCGAGCGTGTCACGGAATTTTGTTTTTGCAGGCCAGTCGGTTCTGTTCTGCCCCTGAACTTCACTTTCAGCAAAAACATCATGTTCATACAACGCTTGATATCACGGCGAGCTGTCCAAACTTTCAGAAAACCATTCATATACCCCTTTCCCCTATCAACGAGCTCCAGAAACTCGATACAACATCTCAGTCGTCGGCTGGCTTCTTCGACCACCAGGACTGTCCCTCGTGTTTCCAGCAAGAAACAGAGTAACCCTTGAAACTCCTAACTTTATGCATATCTAAAAAAATCATAGTATTCCCAGAGCGGGTCCTCGTATACCATGCCGGGACAGGCCGGACCGTCTTCCTCGGCTCCCTGAAAGTCACCACAATCTTCATCGCCACCTTCTTTTGCGCTGTCCTAGGCCCAACATACTACTACGCAGAAAATGAGCCACCGTGGGTCTCAGTAATCGGTACATACGCCAACTTTCATCTCGATATAAGTACGTGACTAACCCCTTCTAGTCATCCTCTCGGGCATAATACCCATGATATCCGTATTATACATGACCTCGCCCTTCGTTAATTACATCCATCTCCGTCTCCCTCCATTTGCCCGCAACTCCACCGAATTGATGAGACGCTTTACCAAAACGCTGCCCAGAGACGCTGAAATTGACATCACGACCATGAACGTCCTTGGGAAACCGAGAGTGGCGCGTATGAAGATCCAGGATTTGTCTGCTGCGAATGAAAGGTTTGGGCTGGTCAACTATGTCAGGGATACGAAGGCGATTAATGAGAGGAGGAAGTGGTGGATGGGGAAAGCCGTGAGGCAGTTTGGCGTTCATGGGGGGAAGGGGAGTATGGTGGGGGGTGAGGCTTGGAAGGATATTCAGGCGGCTATTGCTAAGAGGGGTGAGAAGGGGGTTCGTGTAAATCCTAGCTCTTGAAAGTTTATTCCCTTTGGTAGTGCAGAGAAAATGTCACCATGCCCATCGAAATGGATGGGTCTACTTATCCTGTCACAATAAACCTATACTCCGCGCTCCGTAATCTTCGGAAGCCCTCGGAGGTACGCCTCATGTGGGTCGATTCCATATCCATTAATCAGAGAGATGATGAAGAGAAGTCTCAACAAGTCAATCTAATGCGAGACATGTATGCCAGCGCTAATACATGCGTGGTGTGGTTCGGAGACTTTCTAGACCATGGAATAACCATGACTGAAGCTACAGCCTTTTTGGACACGTTGGTGGAAATGATAAAGATCTGAGAGAAGTGGGACATTTCGAGGGAGTGGCATTATATGAGGAGTTCATGTCTGTTCTCTAGGTGCTTCCGGAAATCAGGTCAAAGCTGTACTCTGGAAGGCTTAGAAAGTTGGGTATAATTATGGTTTCCACACCTCATCAGAATAAGCTACGCATACCCCCTCTCCCGTCGAGATATCTTATAGAAGTTCCTATGATATAATTCCATTCACGTTAAAAATTGCACCCACCTCCCCTTTAAGAAAGAAACCATTTGCCCAATCTCCCTCTCCTCTAACTCATGTCCCAGCCTTCATACGTATGCATATTAACCACAACCCCAACACTCGTTATCACCTCCTTCATCTGCTCTCCCCACTTAAGCCTAACCTTCTCATCAGCCATCCCATGGGCAACCCAGAACCTCACATCACCCAACCCATCTTCCTCGTCTCCCTTCCCACCACCATCACCCTCACGATTACAATCCCCCAACCCTAAAATACCCCTTAAACACCCCCTCACAGCCCCCCTCCTCTTCCCATACACCTCTCGCGCGCCATCATCCCTCCCCAACTTACACTCCATCACCGCCCTCTTCAGTGCTCCCCGCCAAGGCAACCACCCCGAAAGCCCCACAAACCCCATTACACCTGGTACAAAGCCCCCTAATATCAACATGCTAACCATAGCAGCGCCCTGACTAAAGCCCCCTACTATTACCCTCTTCCCTACTTCCCCACTTCCACCTCCACCTCCACTTCCACTTCCACATCCTCCTTCTTTTTCATTTCTATGATCGAGAAGTTCCATTTCCCGCTCAACCAAACCCCCCAAATACCCAGCCGACTCCCTAACGCCCTCTCTCACCCCCAGCCCATCTTCCCCTACAGTCCGGTCTCCAAACGAATGTACATCGAACCAAGCATGGCTCTCGCGGCCCCCGAATACAGTTGTAGGGCGTAGCCGCCCGGTTGGGAAGATGAATTTAGTTCCCGGTAGAAGAGAGGTGAGAGTTTGGGTTTGGATTTGGGTTTCAGGGAGAGAGGGAGATGGGGTAATGGATATGGATATTGGGATTGGAATGCATATAGAGAGTAAAGCGGAAGCTATTTCTGGGCCCGATGTTGAGGTGCCGTGCAGGAGGATTAGCGTGGTGGTGTGCGTGGTGGAGGGGGGGATTATGTAGGGTTCTGGGTATGAGGATGTGGAGCTAGATGCGGAGGCCATTGTTTGGGAAATTGACGCTTGTATGTATATTTGTTTATTTGTTGGAGATAGTGTAGACATGGTATTGTACTGCAATGTATGCTCCGAGATCGGCTGCGGGGTAAGGTTGTTGGGCGCTGGAAAGTAATGCTACGTGGTGAAGTTGTATTTGCTGGTTGGGGAACTGCTTGGAATGTGATGATCTCGATAATTGAAGAATAACAATGCGTTGCAATGGGAGCACGGATTTTGGGACTCATCGTATTTTATTTCCATAAAGCTACTGAATACCAATATAGCAAGTAGTAGCTAATGACTCACTGGTTGTACCACCTTATGCGCAACCTCCAACCACATCCTTTTAGCAAGGCCATGTTAGTGCGTCGGGTTGATGTATATCTTCACTTCAACCTCATTGCTCCATCCACTCACCAGCTCGAGTTCTTTCCACGCCGTCTCGACATCTATGTTGAGAACATGCTCGTCGGCTTCATTGATAGTAATGGTGTGGACTGGTATTGGCTTTCCGAGGATTGTAATCATGAGCTTGTCCTTCCACGAAATTGTGGGTAGAGTAGAGATGTATATGCCTGCCACTAGTTAGCATGAAAGCACTAGGAAAGGCGACGAACACTTACCAAGAACGCCAAGCGCTTTGAGATTGGTATCAATGACGATCTTCCCATTCTCCAACTTCGTAATCTTGTTATCCACAACCGCCGCAGCACCAGCCATCTTCCCCAACAGACCCAGGTTCGCAATCCAAGTCGTTTCGCTCTTCTTTTCGTCCACGAAACCTCGAAGTGGGTATGCGGACAGGATATCATATCCTCGAATACCAAGAGATACGTGAATAATAGCAGAGGCATCGACGACTTGTAGAGGCCTGGTCACAAGCCCGCTTGAGTGGGCGCGGACAACGTAGTATTGTGCCTCGATAACGCCTGGGAATTTGGAGAGAGGAATGAGCTCGCTCAGAGGGCGTCCGGAGACATTGAAGAATCCGATGATTCCTGTTCCTGTGACTGCTGCACCTGTGCATGTATGAGCTATGTTAAAATATATCTCAGTTGCAAGTAGTTACCGTGATACGTGCCGACTAATAACAATTGATCATCGTCATATCCGTTGTACGGATTTAAACTCTTGCCAATAATGCTAGGTCTGAAAATAACCGTCTTTCCCCGCACAGTAGGGCCAGTCATCTGCCCAATGAGATCAAGATCATGTTCACCAGGCACATCAGTAATGTAGATCGGGCCACCACTAACACATCTAGCAGCCGCGTGGAAACCAGAGTAATCATGAACCGTTTGAAACATGTCCCAATCAGGTATCAGATTCAAATGTTGAGTAAAAAGGGCATTGTGTGCATTGGTGAAGATATGCCATGGATGACTGGTTGGGATCTCTGGGAAGAAGTCATCGGAATTTCGGACCAGAACTGGTGGTTTATTCTGCGGAAGCTGTGAATGAAAGAGAATCTGTGGCGTTTGTGACATGCAGGAAATTGCTTTTACGCTGAAATGTCGAAGGGTAGAGACAGTCCATGCATCGAGGTATGTGGGTATTAAATCTCGACGAGCTTTCGCGGAGACGAAAGTATCGAGCATGAATTGAGCACTAGAAAGGTCAGCTAAAGCTCGCGAGAATATGAAAGAGACGTACTCTGTTTTAACGGCATCGACACCACACGAAGCAAGGAAGCTATAAAAGTCGTCGTAAAACTTTGAGACATCTCTTTTATCGACGACGGTCATTTTACCACCCAGCGGGAGATTTCTTCGTTGGCCGTCTTCCCGGATAACCTCGATGGTTTTGTATGTCTTGGCTATCTTCCCTTCTGGCGCCAAACCACCCCAGTATCCTAAAATAGCATGCCACACAGCTATATGTTGAACACTCGGTAGCTTTTCTCTGATTTTAGTCACAACGCCTTTGAGGCCATTCGGGAAAGCTTCTCTCTCAGCCTCGAATTCGTCCCAGCCGTGCTGGAACTGACCGTGGCCTCGGTAGTCAATTGCCTGCCAATTATCATCAATAATAAAGTTCGTGACATTGATGTTGTTCTCTTTCAGAACTTCTGCGGCTTTGACAACTTTGTCTTCAGTAAGTCGTTGCCCGAGGGCGTTCCAAGTGCCTTCACAAATTTAGCGACGAGATGATGGAGACGGGAGGGGAACTCACAATAAGTCAGCCCATCATACCAGTTTTCAGCCCAAACCTTTGTAGTTTCATCGCCCTCGTTCAAAGCGGCGATTTCCTTTTGCTGTTCGGCACTGGCAGTTGGTCCCGCCGCTACGATATCTCGCGCATGGTACATTACGGCAGCATTGGCGGACTCGAAGTCATCGCCCAGGCCAACTAGCACACGTCCAACTGTATCTTCTGGACTATCATTCCGGATCTAGGATTGATTAGTCCATTTGCGAAGTATGATTCAAAAGGGAACGCACACGTAAGACGACGTTTCCATCACTGTCATTCGTGAACAGAGTCATGACATCTCCGACGCCACTGATACCCATCAAGACCAAATGTTTTCCAGTCACACTCAGGAAAGAGCACATCACTGCTTCTTTATCTAAGCCGAAGGTTGACTTTCCTTGCCTCGGTGCTAACCATGGAGACCAGATCCGAATGAGTGCAAACCATCTTGGAATTATTAGTAAGACGTATGGAATATCATATGACCGAGTGACAGAGACTTAGGTGCTGGAGGACACACATAACCCACATTTCGGCTTACCTTAAAAACTTCCCTTTTCCCCAAGGAAGACCAAATTTGATATCCTTAAAGGTAGATTTTTCCCCGTCAGCCGCCGCAATAGAAGCATCCACGGACCAAAGAGTAGTACCCGGACTCTGGCTTCGGTGATTTTCCGCTTTCAAGTCAAGATTTAGTCCCTCAACGCAGTCTCCCAAATTATTTAAGAGTGCATCTTGACTCGTGACCGACTTCAACATGACAACCCCTTCTTGAGTTCCCTGATGGTCTCTTACCCATTTCCACGACTGGTCTGAACTGCTTCGAAATTTGATGCTGAAGTTTGTTGGAAGGTGGATTGCAAGTGGGGTGGTGAAGTAGAGTTTTGTAAGAGCACTTCCAAAATGGGTACTTGATTTTTGAAGAGCCGTAGGTTGAGATGAAGCGTTCTTTAAAGGGGCCATAGGAACTTCTCGCCATTCCTTGCCCGCAGAATGCCACAATGACAGCTGCCATGGATCTTCAGCCCGGCTGTCGTCGACCTCGAGGAGAGCCGTAAAGACAGCAGTATGGTTGTCAATCTGGGTCACCTGACCCAAAGCTGGGAAGGTAGAGATATATGCCTTCATGCTGGGATGATCTGCGGCGGTAAGAGGTTTCTGCTTGGGGATGTACTTGGCCTGGAAGACCTCGTTGCCGTCTGCCCCAGATATGAACGTTTCTTCTGTCATTGTGTAAGGAAGATGCGGGGAAGAGAAAGTACGAGGGGCAGATAGGTAGCGACAAAGGTAGCAACAAAAGTAGACGCGGAAAGAAGGAGACGTACAAATAGAAAATAGAAAACAGAAGATACGAAGCAGACGAGAAGAAGAAGTTATATGTTCACTGCCAACACAGAGGCGTGACAAGTGACAAGTGTGCTACATGTACATCTACCGGTAGTGCATGTCATTGCTGCATTGATCCATACAACAGATCCATACATTGGGTTAGCTTAGGTAATGTTTAGGAACCATGGGCAATAGCATCATCACGTGTGGCTGCACATACGCGCATGCGGCAGGAACGGGAAAACATTGTTCCCACATCCATGCATTTCGTGTTTCCGGACCTTTTTTTGCTGCCATCAGAGAAGATCAAAAGCTTCACCAATTCCTCATTCAGACGTCTCGCAGATAGACATACTCTCCTTATTAATGTACTTATAGTTAGCTTTTCTGCCGCCAGCATGGCATCACCTTCCTTATTACGAAGTTCCACGCGACCAGACCTCTATGTCTGCGCCAGATGCGCATTTCGAGCAGCGCAACCGCCCGCCAGAAGCCCAAAACGATGTATTTCTACGTCGTTCCTCAAGAAGGTTGAGGCGGGCGAGGTGAAATGGCAGGAACAAGCTATTGAGGTGCAGACCGGGAAGCGGAAGAGCATGTTGACCATCTTGGAAGAGAGAGGTTTAATACAAGCAATCACAGGGTAAGAATTGGTTTCTTCGATGCGTGTCTTCGCCTGCTAATTGCTTTCAGAACTCGCGATGCTGCAGACAAACGGTTGACGGAGGGAAGGCTCGGTGCCTATGTCGGAATCGACCCTACCGCCTCTTCATTACACGTTGGACATCTACTACCTTTCATGTCCCTCTTCTGGATGTACTTCCACGGATATCAATCGGTCGTACTACTTGGGGGAGCAACTGCGAAGATCGGGGATCCGTCTGATCGATTGACAACTCGAGAAAAGGAACATTCGTCCACCAGAACAGCGAATATGGTCAACATGCACTACCAGTTGAAGAAGTTGTGGGGGAACATCCATGCATATGGGCAAAACTACGGGTTCTATGAAGGCAAGGACTTTAACCATCAAAGGGCTTTGCTTAACAATAATGCTTGGTGGAATAAAATGCCCATGTTGGAAGTTCTGCAGGTTCTGGGGCCTGGCATGCGCATGGGACCCATGCTGGCAAAGGATACGTTAGTTGCTATTCCATCTGCACCAGTTCATATGCTAAATTAGGCAGTGTGAAAAACAAGATGGAAAAGGGGGATGGCATGTCCTTCGCCGAATTCACATACCCCATAATGCAAGCCTGGGATTGGTGGCATCTGTATAACACAAAAGGAGTACAGGTACAGATTGGAGGGGCAGATCAATATGGCAACATCACAGCTGGTATCGACGCAGTCAAATACATTTCCAAAAACCACCCTGATCCAGTAGTTCGATCCAACGTTGCGCCATTAGGAGACCCTTTCGGCTTCACCGTTCCACTCCTCACTACTTCCTCCGGCGCAAAATTTGGAAAAAGCACCGGAAACGCCATTTGGTTGGACCGCGAGCTAACAAGCACCTTTGAGTTATACGGCTACTTCCTCCGCACCTCCGACGCAGACGTCGGAAAATATCTCAAGCTCTTCACATTCATGCCCATCGAACAAATCGACGCCCTCGTCCAAGAACACCAGGCAGAACCCTCCCTCCGCAAAGCCCAACACACCCTCGCTCGCGAACTCGTCGAAATCGTGCACGGCGCCCACGAAGCAAAGATAGCAGAAGAACAGCACCGTTTCCTGTTCCGCAAACAGCCAGAAGAACCTGCAATAATCGAAGTAGAGGTAGATGCTGCCAGCCGCGCAGGCTACATGACACTGAATAATCGCCCGAATGTCAATATTCAGCTCCCAGCTTCCGTTATACACAATCTCAGTATACCGCGTATCTTGTATGCGTGCGGACTAGCATCATCGACATCAGATGGTACACGACTTGTGCAACAAAATGCTGCTTTTATAGGGGGTATGAATCATAAAAAGGACAAAGTACCCATGATGGACGGCTCGGTGAACTGGACGCGTGTCAAACCCTGGGCTGTTGCCGACACGGCGAAATACATCCTTCACGGCGATTTACTCATGTTTAGAAAAGGAAAGCACAATATCAGGGTTATCCAAATCGTGCCGGACGAGGAGTACGATGCAAGTGGCAAGAGTTACCCAGGCATGAAAATGAAGCTTGGACCGCTGAGTATGCTCGATAAGAGGAGCCAAAAGGCGAGAGAGAATCTGGACTCTCATAGGGGTAGATGGGAGGGGCATGATGAACCATCAAGCGAGGACGAGATTGTGGCTCTAGATGAGCTAGCAGACGATGGAACCGAATTCCGTGGTCATGGTAGGCTGTAAAAATGACAAATGGTAGATATGTGGATCATGTAGGATAACGTCGAGTTGTATGAACATAATAACTGTAGTATAGGAAATCTAAAACATCCCACTTGGGTCCGGCGGCCAAGACATGACTCAAGTTGTAATAGCTAGAAGGAATCTTGTCCGCTTCGAGGTAATAACTCCTAATGCTTGTCCTGTCTGTTTCTGCTGAAGTTTATCTCCAAAATTTAGTGGTACTGCACCATTCAGGACGCAGTGTTTATCTCCAGTGAAGGTTTTGGTTGAATTTGTGAATTTTTAAATTTGTAATCGTCTGTACAGAGTACGAAATATATGCTATCCTATTCCGTCCACTCGTTTGTCTTCCTCCAGATATCATAACATGTCTCGTTCAATCTCCTCTTCGTACTCGTATTCTTGATTCCACAACCCTTCATCCAGCTCCTCCTGCCTGTCAGCTCTACTCATATCCTCAGCCTTCCGCTTCCCAACTTCCTTCCGGGTTCGGAAAGGATGTAACCCTTTATCCCAACGCCTCTGCTCGACATTAGACAACGGCTTGAACACCGAAGCTGGTCTTTTCTTCGCCTCTCCCACCCCTTGCAAATCCCCAGCATCCTTCAAATTTTGAATTGCTATTATCTTTGCACTGCGGGCCGCTTTTAGCTTACGCGGTTTGAGCGTCCAAAACAGCATCTTGTACTCCTCTTGCGTCGTGGGCCGGAAGGACTCATCGAGTTCCAATTCGCCGTCGCGTGTAATTATCATATCGGGCCGGTAGCCCTTGATGAGGATAAGCTCGTTCACTTCAGCTCGTTGATGCGTTGCCGCTTTCGCGGCATTCACGGCGGCTTTCTTGGCCATAACCTCTTCTTTCTCAGGGCCTTCCTCCATGAGTTTGACGGTCTGCTTGAGCATCGTTGCGTCGCTTTTGTTGTACTGCACCCAAGCACCCCTGTCGCCAGTCACATGCTGGACAGCGTGAGATACGATCGCTGCCTCCATGTATATAAAGTCCCCACGCTGGAAAGGGAGCCTAACGCCGACTTCCGGCAAGCAGAAGTCACCGCCGACGAAATCTCCCCAACATGTTTCGACCACCGGCCCATAGTTGAGAACGTCTTTATGTGGCAAGACCGTTCTGTTGACAACATGGCTTTGGCACAGGTGGCATTGAAAGTCCGCCAACTTCTTTTCTGCGAACTCCGGGTCTTGGGATGTTATAAAGTCGAAATGCTTTTTGTTCTCTGTGTAGCGTTCCGCGTCAATGGCTTCCGCAAATGCGCACATGCCTTCTTCTACAGGAAGGAAGTTTGCCCTGAATTCGACCAACGCTGCTGCCTCTGCCGCGTTGCCCTTTCCCTTGCTGTCGCCGGTTACCATATGACACCACGGCCCTAGCATATCCTGGGTTTGATCTCTGCCAACACCTAATGAACTATGGAATTAGCAGGTACTCCGATGAGGTCTCCCAAGCAGGAGCTAGACTCAGCACTAAAAGAATTGCCGTCGAACGAAAACTTACCAATTGGTGGCGCAATGCCATAGTTTCCACCTCCGACCGCCTTCCCAGCATCCATGTAATGTTTTGCCTGCTCTGTATAATATACTCCGGCGTACCGCTTGTCTTTCTTGAGAATCCGAGCAGGGTACTTCTCCTCGAACGTCTCTCCCCATTTCCGAAGACGCGGCTCAAGTGGCTGGTGGCCTTCAACACCGCGATACGCTTCATCAATCGCACAAGGCAGCCAGACAAGCAGCGGCTCGCCGCTCTTGAAATACACACGACAGCCGTTGCGGAATGTAGTATCCTTTGCTACCTTCCAGAGCTTGTTTTTCAGCTCGGCTGCATTGTTGTTTTTGGTGAACTCGTTCTTATTGAAGGGACAGATTGCCTTTGGTAGACGATCGATCAGGAATCTGAACCAATTGCTGATATTTCCGTATCTTGGGAGTCGACCTTGTCCAACGTTCGTGATTAATTCCAGCTTATCTGGGAGATTTGTTTCTTAGCGTGGGGTTATATGTTCAAGTGAATCAGGAATGAGTTACCAAAAGTAGTGCAATACTGCTGCCACAGGATCGCGCGCTCGGCTTCGACTGCTGTCTCGAAGGCTGTTTGCGCTTTCCCGCCTTCTGCGAGGATTTGTGTGATCTGCTGTGGTGTCTGTTGAGGGAACACAGATGGGTGGGCTGGCTCTAGCCTCATGTCTTTGAAAGATAAGACTAAGGTGTCTTGCTGAGAAGTCATCTCAAAGGGTGGCAACACAAACAAGAGTTAAGATTTGTAAGTTTTATACAAGAACAGCAAATAGGATGTATAGATATCTTAAAGCAAAAGACAAGGGTGTGATAAAACAAGATCAAATGTCAAACCGGAAAAAAAAGTGATGATGTTGGTTATTTTTCAAGTCGTATGTGTAGACATTTTCTTGCTAGCAAGGCAGCCTCCGCAGATACTGCAGCAGACTGCTATTATCTGCTAGCGTCTATACGGACCGGATGTGACTGATTCCGTTCCCAGGACGACATGATTTGAACCAACTAGTCATTCATTCCGAATTGTCTCGCTGGTCAACGTGACCTTTACTTCAGAGGGTGCCCATGGTTGACATAGATATTTCACAAGTCAATTTTATCACAGCAACTTACAGCAACTTACAGCAGCTCACAGATTAGGAAGTAGTAGGACTTGGGAAGCATGAATTCGTTAAAATGCCATACTATGCATTTTTCTATAAAGTATAAGGATGTTCGCAAGAAATGATAGGAGACAGACACTAAACTCGTAGTTTCATCTGGCGGTGCATGCTTCTTATCTACTTTTAGGACTAGGTGATTTCAATTGTGTGTTTGTAACGCTTTTCAAATCAAGGTACTACTGCTCCCGAACAAACCCCATTGACAGGTCATGCAAACAGGTAAACGGTTTTCCAAGCAATCCTTATGTGAATTTCAGTCATACAACTGCTTTGGCAACTTGTATACTCACAAACGAATAGTCACTAGAGTAGAAATCAAGCAAAGGTGGAATCTCCACAGCAAGCTATTATTGTCAACTTCAGGATACAATGCCATCTCTCGCAAACTTATAGTAAGCGGCGATATCGAAAACCCCTATACTTTGTCTTTCTAACGTGTCTCATCTAGAAATGGCACTAGGAACTGTACCTAATCAGTCTAGTGGTTGATTAAATTCTTTTCGCGCCATTGAATATTTCATTTGTAAATCGTAACTTTACTTATGGTTCTACATTAGTTAAATTCGCCTTACTGATCTTGCTAATCATTACCGCACAGAGTCCTTTGCAGCAGAAAAAGCAAGCGGCACTGGAAAACTAACATTGTTGATCGCCAATATGGACTGCGTAATAGCGATTATTGGGGGCTATTTTGATAATTCTTCAAGTCTTGTTGGTATCACAGGATACACGGGTAAATCACATCGTACTAGCTAGTATAAGGTGGTCACAATCGGTTTGTGTTGCGTTACCCATCTTGAAGTGGAAGGGTGGGAAGCGAAGAGGTGTGGACCTCTTCGCTGACTAAGCTACGCTAAATCACATGACGAGGGATACAGCCCTTATTCCGACCAGTCCGATAGATTATGAATTCTTGTCATGTTTCCCTCAAGGAGAGCAGATCACTTCTCAGAGTAATCACATGTAGAGGTCCTGGAGGACAAGCACTAGCTCCATCTCGGGATACTATGTTTTGATTTTTGAGACTTGCTAACCAAAACAGTTTCTCGCTGCCCTCTAGCCCTCTATTCCCACGGACAGTTCTAACACTATACGAATGAGCGCATTGCGACCCACCTCACAGCGTCTCATCCTCGTCCTTAATTGGCACCAACTCGCCTTTCCCTCTAAAGGTCTCCAGAATATCAGCTTGTTCATTCAACATGAACCGATCCTTCTGCGTCCCTATAGTCGCCAACCCTCTCCACCGCTTAAAATCCTCCGCATTCCTCTTGTCCCCGTGCGCCTCTTGCGCGTGCTCCCAATGGCCCTGGCTGAAAGCGAGGAGGGTAGAAATCTTCTTGCGCGGAATATCGTAGACGAGGGAGCAAACGGTGCCGGTTTCTAGGACGAATGAGTTCATGGAATACAAGAGGAAGGTGAAGTGGGAAAACCTTCAAGCCAATTGCACTGCCAGAGTTCGCCGGGACGGATGCACTGGTATGAGGCGGTCTGATAGTTCAAGCGGCCCGCCATCGGCCCACCATGGATTGCGTAGACGATACGATTATGGGAAAAGAACCACCTGAGAGAGATGCGGTTTCAGCTTGTGGGCTCATATGATAGTAGACAGGTGGAGAGACATCTCATATTTCCATTTCTCGGGATTCCCGTTCTCGTCGTGGGCTGCGTAGTCATATATCAGATGCACATCACGAATGTCTTTGTCGAATTGTGGGAGAACTTCAGGTTCCGTTACAGCGTGAGTTGGGACGGGCATTTTTGAAATGTAGATGAGATGATTTTGGGTGATTGATCCAACGTTGACGTTTATCTGAGGTTTATTAAAACTAGAAGGCACCGCTCCTTAGTCTGCTTGGTGGAGACGAGAGTTCAAAGTGGCGTGCCAATGACGAAGACGGCAAATACGACCAGACTCGAGTCTACTTCGTAAAAATGCAAATATGGTTCTATTATATATATTATAACTGTTAAATAAATATACAACGGCTTTTGATAGTGATTTTCCGTAGGTGACTTGTCTTTTCACCTTGTAGTACTTGGCTAGATTACTCTATAGCTTGGATTACCAAATGTCTCACCACAGAAAGGTGGGTCTGATGTTCCGCCATCGTTGGTAACTATCGTCGGCCACTTCGGCAATAACACCTTCCCCCATCGCGCGGAGTACAACATCCTTCACACTCTCCAGATATTCCGGGTGGACATAGAATTGTCCTTCAAGGGTTGATGCTTCAAGATTCGGAAGGTATCGCTACTCCGACTGTAAGACCTCGGGTAGCGCAGGCATAACATTTTGCCAGTGGCCAGACTTGTTGCAAGAGTGATACAAATACGTCTTCAAATCTTGGGGAAGGCACTGAACAGAGAGCAGGTGTCGTAATTATCGGCTCTGCCGAGGAACAGCGTTGAGACCTTGAGATACTCCAAGTTGGTGAAAACACAAAAGACCATTAGCTTAAGATTATCGTTCTGAAGAGATCGTTATGATCAAGCACTGTATTCTCCAAACTTTCTTTAAGACGAGAATGACCTTTGTGTAAGTTGTTTGTGTCAGCGGGGTAGTAGAACGCGGCGTGCCCCGCTTCATAGCTTCATATATCAACGTCTCGAGTACTTTCGGCGCGCTTAATATACTCTTCAGGTCCTCGGAATAGAGTTTGCTCCCTCTTGATTCGATCTCTTCAACCGAAGAAATAGCTTTCTGTGAATCGGCTAGTGATGTGGTAGGTTCGTCCTGTTCGGCCTCGCCCATGCCTATAGCATAGATTCCCCGCAGTGACGGCAGCCCTAAGCAAGCTCCAAGCATGACAGGCGGAGTTGGATATTTATCTCCAAGATCAGCAACAAGTACATCCGTAAGAGTAGAGAAAGTATCCCCTTTTATCAAAAGGCCTTTCTCCTTTTGAAACTGTGCATCATCAACGCGAGACGGTTATCGAATAGGTCTCTACAATGAACCTTGAATTATGAATCTTCCTGAAATGAAAAACTCTCCAAGCCTAGCCCTTCTGTCCTTTCTTCTTCTTCTGCTTGCCAGAGACACTCTCACTTGCATTCTTCTCTTTCTCTCTTGACTGGCCAAGACCGGTCCTCCTCAACCTGCTCAAGAACTTCTCATTCTTCAAATCTTCTTTCGTAATGCCAAAGACTGCTTGATAAATTGGGCCCATGTCATGGGGTCCACATGGTCGAGCATCACCACTTGCTCTGCGCTTTTCAAAGAAATTTTGGAGACAAGATTTAATAGCGGCTTCGATGGTCATTGTCTCGGGTGTTGGTACTTCTTTGCTGCTTTCATCGATGGAATTATCCATACAGAGAGACTCAAATTCTGGGATCTCGTTCAGCGATGGGGGCGAAACCAGTGTAGCTTTAATAATTATGGCTTCCTCGGGTGAGAAGTAAGGGCCGCTAATGTATAGCTCATCAGTTGTGGCTAAGGTACGTGCTTCAGCGGCTCGGTCACTGGCGATGTTATAGAGATCATAGAGTAGGATATGAATCTGCCACCATTAGCATATATTTTAATATCGGAAACCCGTCCATGGCTACGCCCATGTACATCTGCGGGCCTCCTCGCTCCTGCCACACGTCGTGGATGTATTGATGAGAGGCGTGCTTACCTTGTACCAGATGTCCGAGTTTGATTGGAGACTCAATAGAGTTGATGTTGATATTGAGGTGCTAGATTGCTTCTTTCTTGTAGTAGCAGGTATCTTTGATTTGGCCATCTTGATTATCTTGTTTTAAGTGAGGATATAGGTAAGGGAATGTTGAAGCACAGGTTTTGAGATGAGGGCAGGGATTATTCGGTTCAAGGTGAAGACTTGATTTTATTAAAATCTACGTGTGCTGCGATGATATAACCTCGAGCATGACTACGCTAATCGGATGTGCCGTCGGTCACGTGGCCCACAAATGACCCTCACAGCATCTAGCTAGCATACGGAGGATGATTCATACCCTTGCCGATTCCAGTTAGTGGGCATAAAATTAAATGCGTGGTTGCAGAGCAAATCGCGATTTAATAATTATAATTTAAGGGGTTTTCCACTTAAGGGGGTCCTCGGCAAAAATCGCATTTTTGACGCTAGTTAGTTGTATCGCTGTATGAGTTACTGAGGGAGCATAAAACTTCAAGATTCAATCCCCTCGATCTTATTCCTCAAACTCTGATGATTCTCGATGATCTTACGACTTTAATATTGTGACTTCTTATCTATCAGTTTCTCGATCCCTTCTCTAAGACTTCTCTGCACTTCTGCGACTTAAATCACATGTCTTCACCTTTCAAGACCGCTCCAGATGAGCAACTCTGGTTCTTCCTCAAGGAAGACATGAATCTGCCAACATTCGTGCAGCATCAGTACACTCTCGCGGATGTCAGGAGAAATGGCATTAAACTCGAAAGCGTTCTTACTATTCTCAATGTCAAAGATAAAGTCCAGAAGTTCGCGTTCTATCTACACTCTGCAAGCATGGCTGCAGCTGTTCGCTTGCTCAGCGATGAGAGCATCTTGGTCACATACAATCTCTACTGTCAGCAAGATAATGTCATAACGATTCTAGTCCGCGGTATCAACGAGCCTTCGCCAAACACTTCTCGCTCTCCCAGCCATCAAAACTCTCTCCGCGAGCGAAGAAAGATTTCTCGTGGCGCGCTTGTTCCAGAGATCTTCATTCAGCCGGCACCTCGACATGCATCTAACACGATTGATATTAGCACAATGGAAGAGATTGAAGATGAGAGTAAGATGGTAACTCTTGATTTGGGCAATGGCGACTTCATCACTTTCACCAAAGAGTATCAGATATCATCTGTAAGTAATCGCCTGTGCTGATTTGTATATTTCTAGCTAATACAAATTCTAGGCTGGATCACTTCTCAACTCGAAGATGGAAAACCTCTCATCGACATCGTCGTACAATCCTTTGGCCCCAATAGAACTATGCGAAAGGTTCAGCTCACGGCAGAAATTTGGCAGCGATCACTCATCCACGGTGCATGGGGAAAGGACTTTTCTCCTCTCTGGAGTAACTATAACAGAATTAGAGGATCTCGCGAAGCTATTCTGGCTAGTCTCTCGCAACAGTCTCCTAAGTTCACACAATCGTGTCAGAATTTTATATACGTCCTTCGCAAATTGAGCGGTGATAAAGCTGCGCAAAACAGGCTTGATCAAACAGGACATGCATACTATCTTGGCAAGCCATACTTTGAAGACAACATCCGCGAGAAGATCTTGACCATTCCTACAAAGTATGGTACCTTGCAGGATGACATCAATCTTCTTGCTGCTAAGAGAAGTGAAGGAGAAGTGTGTGCTGCTCATGATCTCTCGCCTCTTTATGAGGCCGCGTTGGGAGTTGAGTGGGACAAGATTCGGGGAAAGGGTGTTGCTCTGCATCAGATAGGTGGTCTCAGTCTTCAGCAACAAGCATCACAACCGGGAACTGCTAGACAACTAGCGAAGAAGGGTAGCCAGTTCTTCAAAAGTACTTTTGGGAAGAAGGGTGGAGGTCGTAGGGATGATACTTCAGGTGCTGGTGGAAGCAAATCTGCGGGATGGTAGTAGAATTAGCTATATCATTTAAAATACTGCCAACATAAAGTAGTCTTCTCCGGTATGAGTAGATCGAATATTTCTGGCGATGATTCATGGCTCTCTATTAATTTATTTTTGTGATAGAGCGGGCAGGCTCGCGTTATTCCCCTTATTCGTTATATCATCTCCCCCTTCCTGCTTAACTGTCAAAACTTGACAAAAGTGATTCGAGAGAACAGAGGTCAGATTAAGTGTAATTTGGTTAAAAACAGAAGTCACCCCTTTAAAGCTTGCGAAGTAAATAAAGCCTACTAGCCTTTTGAATTAATTCATAAAAAGTAGTGCCATCCTCATAACCTTCTATTTACAGGTATTGACAATCTACTTGGCGAAGAAATAAATATTACTTCCTACATCCTTCTCCTCCACGAATCGGCACTTTGTATAATTATTCCAAAACGCCCACAAGAACGGCGACTTCGTATCACTTTTGTAATGTCTCCCCATAACCTTCTTGATAGCGTTATTGGCTTCTACTGCGTGATAGAATGGGATGCGTGAAGCGTGATGGTGCAAAACATGGAAATCGATGGCGCCGTGAAAGAAACATCGCCCAATAAACCCAAAGTCTCTATCAACTGTTGATGCGGCGCCACGTAGGAAGCTCCAGCTTGAGGCTTGATAATATGGTAGTGCGGGGTCGGTGTGCTGGAGATAAGTTATGGCAACTATGTTTATCACGTTAGCATCATCATCCATAGCCCTTCTGTTATACAAGAATACTCCCTCCTATTGCCTAGAAACAGACAGTGATAACGCCATAGAGATGAAATAGATAAATGCCTGAACTTACGGATCCAGTGATTTGTCCACAGCCAAGGCGCACCGTACAGCAGAAAGACCTTCTCAAATCCAAGAAGATTGACGCTAGCCCACAGGCCTGCAACTGCTATAGCAATTCCGGCGTTGCTTATAATGATATCGTCACGGTCTGAAGCCTTGAAGTTGGGTCCGTCGCTGCCGAAATAGAAGTGTGATCTTGTCCACCATGGGAAAACATTCATGCGAGGCAACGCAAAATTGTTGATGGTCAGGTATAATGGCCATGCTATTAGCTGATGAAAGAACAGGGTGACGAAAGCGACAATAGGGGTGTCTTCAAATAAGCTCCAATAACTGAAAAAGAGGTCTGGTTTTCGATTCTCATGGGCTTTCATGTAGACCTCTTTAGTCTAGAAAACAGAATTAGAGTTTATTTCACTGTATTGCCTAGCTTTTTGAAAGGTTTACTCACATCCGGCACAAACGCAATGTCTCGCTCGATGTTGTTGGTTGACTTGTGATGTTGCGAATGGGTGAGGCGCCACCCATTATAAGGAACAAGCAGGAGAGAATGAATAAACAGCCCAACAGAGTTGTTAAAACTTCTGTGTTTGCTCAATGCACCGCTGTTTGCACGCTGGTAAGTAAAACTCGGACGATGGGGAATAAGCCGCCTCTATTGCACTGCCCTTGGAGCAATGGAATGGGTCTACACTACCTAGGTAGCGCTTCGGGAGCTACCTAGTCTCAGGGGAAGCGAGAAAGAAATGACAGACTGTCCGCACTCGTGAGCCAACTCCCATAACCCTGTGAACACTAAGCCTTGGCAAAACGAATACAACCACCAGCCTGAAGTCCGGAGGAAATGCGATGGAAGATTAGATATGTGAGTTGAGAGGTAGAAAAGTACGGCAATGAAGAAAAAGTCGCGAAGGACATAGGCTGATGATAGAAGAGTGTTGCGTTGGAAGCAGTGGGCTGGAATAGCATCATGAATCTGCTTCATGGTATAGGTAGGCGGCGTAAAGAATCGCTTGGTTGGTGGATTTGTATCATTGTCCGTGTTTATAGTATTTGCGTCGTTCGTAGCGTTTGTAGCCTTTTGGGCTCCTGGCGAATCTTGCATTGGATGAAGCCTGGTTGTTTATTTGAAAGATTACTACTGGCTTCTATGTGTTTTATACGATTTACTTCTCCTATTCTTGAATTATTGGCAATCTTAGATGTTTCGTACTGCTTTCTGCAACGGTCGTTTTAAGTGGGAGAGTGACGGGCGCGAGCCTTATTAAGCAGATCCGGCAGTGTTTGATTGCCACGGCCCCTGTCCAGGTCCACTAAGTACAGCCCCAATACGCGGCTTTGCTGGTGGAAGCGACGATCGAGACAAGTAGTTTTACAAGTGCTTCAGCATACTCCGTAAGCGGTGCCAAATGGATCCGAGAAACGCATCCTAGCAGACCGCGATTGCAGGAATGTGCGGCTTATTCCCAGTCAGGGCAGGGGCAGAGCCCGATTTTGTCCCCTGTTACGTACTGTACTGTAGCGGTACTGTAGCGGTAGTTTCAATGGTTTGGGCCGTGAGCGAGGCCTAGCGCCGGGACCCTGAATATCTCTACAGGGGCCGAGCATCAGATGTAAGATTTACGAGATGCCTAAGATTTTACTAAGCTACGGTCCTTAGGAGAATGTTTCGTGAAGAAGATAGTACTCTTATAGTTATTACGATAAAAGACAAATGAACTATTTGATTTGTTATATTATATGATTAAGACACTTGGCATTCCGTATATTTAAAGAGAGTACCATACCGTATCAATCCACCACCAAGGTATTCTTTTACAGTCTCGCTTAAGGCTATGGCATAAGGCGATTGGGTGTTTTAGCATACTTCGTATATACGGTCGCGGGAGAGTGCTAGGGTAGAAGGTCCTCATTTAACTCACTCCACTCTAACTATGTGGACTAATCAGATGCCTCCACTTAGCAGCTATTTGAGCGAGACTATGTGTGGTGATAAATAGTACTGTATCACTCATGTGCGTAACGTGATTAAACATTGGATACTTCGTAATTATTTCGTGCCTTGCTTTCACTCCGCAACCTTCTAAATTGTACTCCCTAATGGAACCGTCTCGCCCATCGGCTGCCTAACCACGCTTTCCCCGGTCTCCTCACTTCATTAACTTCAACATGCGGCCGTTTCCATTTGTCTAATTCAACATCCACCAAGCCAGGTGCGAAGAACTTCGCATTTCGGCCATTGATCCGAGGTCTCAATTGTTTCGATTCCCTTCTCTCCTTCTCCAGCCTTCTTTTCCTTGCTCGGGTCTTCCGTCGCTTGCAGTAGCAATAGCAAGCGAGCGCGGCAAACATTGTCGCGACGGTAACGGTAATGACGATGAGGATTATGAGTTTTGTGGCAATCTTTGCCCCGTGGACATAGGTTGACGGCGGAATGGGTACGAAGCGGGGCTTGAGAGGTTGCCCGTGAACAGTGGCACAGAGAAGGGGTAACAGGAGTGCATATTGAGAGAGGGGTCCATGGTAGTGGAGGTTTAGAGCCATGATGAGGAACTGCTGATGAGGTTCTAGAGATAGGAAGCAACGCCGGAAAAGAGACAGCTTATGGGTTCGGAGAAGCCTGATTAATTAATGACGGTCAACTCCAACCAGCCTCAAGGCAGAAGCCATTTTATATAATCATGACTCACGAGGCAGAAAGACGAACATGACGGAAAAGCGGCGGAATCAGCCTCCTTAGAATTCGTGGATTACCGGTAAATACTCAATATTTACGAGGTTTCGGAGCGGAGGGCTGATGCCGCTGAGGCCGGACGCCGGAACCGATGATGTGGCATGGCGTGGCGTGGCAACAGCAGCCTGCGCTTCGCTTCGCGTTAAAGGGGGCTTAGCGCCCCACTTTCGATGCTCTAGCGACTGATATTGGCCAAGTCGTAAAGCTAGACCTTCACGGCGTATCTACACCACTCATCGGATATATATCAAAATAGAAATATATCACTTGAATCTTATATTGCAATTCAACTAATACTTCACAATCCCTTCTATTTAGTACGTTGGACTACCTAAGACGTCTTAACAGGCTCTTGGGATTCATCAATGTCTTCAGGCGCATCATAGTCACCAGCCAAATACTTATAGGGCTGAATGAAGTCTACAAATCCAATGTTAGGACTCGAAACCGTATAACCCATTCTTGCCTGAACTTTATAAGACCATGAAAGGACTTCTTCGGTGCTATAGGAGAGGTATGCGTTTTCCTATTTCGCTAGATTAGCTAACGTGGATGATTTGACAGAACTAGATTAGAAAGTTGTAATTTACCTCTGTTCGTAGATATCCTCGACAGAAGAAGAGACCATGCATTGGGCGCTTTTGATCTTGTGTCAAGTTGTGCCCTCCTGCATGGTAGAGGCCTCCCAGAAAGCAAAGAGAGTCTCCAACATTCATCTCTGCATATACTGCTTCCTCGACTTTTGGTACTCTATCGGAGTCCCAAAGATGCGATCCCGGAACGGCCTTTGATACGTTATCATATATACACCACGAGTTTGCGGAATTTACTTACTAGTGTAGCACCATTCTCATAAGTGGTATCAATGCCAGGAACCAAGAAAGCAAGCGAAACATCTGACCCGACTTGGTATCCAGTCTTAGTCTGGTCCAAGTGCGCGACGTGGTGATTCTTATCATCGCGATGGAGTCTCTGCGCTTTACCACCAGGCCCGATCTCCATAGTCAGGGCGGTATTGATAATTGCATGGCTGGTGTAAACATGCTTGGTTTCCCCATAGTAGTTATGCGTCGTCTTGTCCACAAACACAGACAGGATCTTGTCGACCAGTGGATCGACAAGCCACTCATCGCGGTAAGTCTTGCTTCGAGCAGTAAGACGAGTACACCGTCGTGTCTCGGGCGGAAAGAGGTCACCCTGAGCTGCATAAGCCGATGATCACCAAGGAAATGGAACGTGGTAATCTACCTTCCAAGGCTTGTCGTTGTCTAGGTAGGGTCTCGTATCTGCGTTCACTCGTTCAACGGCCTCGCGAGATGCAAAATTCTTGATAATGACACCTCCATCTTGGATGACAGCTTGGATGATTTTATCTACTTCTGCCCGGTCGATTCGCTGCAGGGACGGTCTTTCGATAGAGCCCATGTTGAAGATTGAATGTTGAATCTAATATTACAAGCCTATTTCAATTTATGTGGCTAGACAGGATCTCAATCGATGCAAAAGCAGCTTCTTAAGTTCAGGACATTCAAGTGTCCTTATCGGATATCGATGGCAATCTCCATAGCCATTGATAGTGGGATAGGGAGAGGTTATCTATTTGCGGTTAGTCGTCCTTTCGACTCCCCCGCACTTAGGAAAGGCAAGTCATCCCGACCGAAGTATATCCCACCTTTGTTTATGAGTTTAGAGGGAAGCTTAAGAATACAGCTGAAGCAGTATGCAACCAATCGTGAAACAAATGTTCTTTTAGCATGGAATTAATTAAACCAATTCGGCTTCTGACGAGATCTATTATACAATTTAGCAACAGGTAAGCCTCACTACTTGTCTCGCGGTGCCAGACTTCGGTTGAGAGTCCGAGTGAAATTAAAGCCTTATGATACACGTATAAGGGCTTTTACCAACCTACGGCATACTTTGCCTCAAACCTACGAGAATACTTTGAGCAATGATAGCAAAACATACAAATAAACCAAACTTCGAACTGCAGGTAATCCGCTTTTCTCACGTCAATATTCTGATAGATACTAATTCCATCCAATAAACCTTTATGTAAATCCTTTCGTTGACCGCTTTGTGACGGCTTAGGATTTGAAGATCATTTTGTTATACATAGTGACTTTAGCGTCACCGCGTCACAATAGTAGGCCTTTTGCGGGGTTGTTTGACATCTTTATCCAGTCTGGGCGATTCAAAGTCTGGAAATACCGTGACAGGAGCCCCGTATTGTGCCACACATGAGAAATCGATCGTACTTGACAAAAGCATTATGAGTGGATATGCTTGACGCCGGCAAGAGATGCCAACTTGTGCAGTAACCTATATACCCTCAGAGGTAGATCAGATCCTTGTTGATTGAAACCTGGGTAGTAATAAAGAAACGCGCGGATTAATGAACTTGTGGACGCCTGCTTAAGCAAAAAACTCCAGTGTCACCCTTGTTTTTGTCGTGCCTATATTATTTTCCCCAAGTGAGAATTCTCACACAAAGGGCATTGACGCTTGTAAGGTATCAACACGGCTAGATAGTGAACATTTCAGATGATCTGGTGATAATAGGTCTCCATTTTGATTGGAGATCTTGTAGAGAGATATCAAGATTTCATATACGTCGCATATTTAAATATGCAATTAACTATAAAAACTATTTCAAAGGGTTGAATTGAGGACAAATGCCAAATTGTACACATGAATCCTGGGAGCGGAAATAGAACAGGGTGCGTGCCATAAGTAGGAATACACCATCCCATCAGCCAACCATTTGCACACTTTGCAAACGTCAAGGCTTATTCGTGGCTCCTAGTTGAAAAACCTTAGTAAATAGTAATAAAAAGCGAAACACATATTATGAAAAGTGTAACGAAACTAGTAATAGTATAATGTCCGTATAGAAAGACTTTGAAATATATCACTTCAACTGGTGCGCTTAGCAGGTAATTCTCTGGACAGGTAGTCTTTTATGAGAAAGAACTTGGTGATATATTACCCGTTCTTGGATAACTCTTAAGATTCATACATAACCTTGAAGTTTTAGACGCGGGTCTTTCTTGAAAGATTTACCCCTAGACATTGGTTCATACCATATATCACGACCTCCCAGACATGTCCTTATAACTGCCACTCGCGAATCTTAGAAGCTGACTAAAAAGAAGAATAAATTGATAGTTGTAACGTATGTTATGAATTATTACCGGAAAGGTTTCCTACTAATACTTTACATTTATTGCGACTGGAGGTGATTTCTGAAAGAATAATATTTCTATACTTGAATACCAAATACGCAAGGTTTAATTGCATGTAAAGAACTTTGAATATAGATTTTGCATATATTAGAGTGGCAGAAATCTCTACTTCTATGTTCTCAGGGGCGCGCGGCTTATCATTTTACGTATCAAGTGACCTTCCGCTTTAGTCAACCCCTTTTCTATCATTCGCCCCCAACATCACCAAGTAACGTTACAAAAACTCTCCAACGCGAATTTCCCACATACCTCTGTAGCCCTACTCACATTGACATTCCCGCAGAAACCGTCACCGCGCTTCGCTAAGACACAGTTACCGTCGTTGATCGTCTCTGAAGGGCAATGATTGACATTCCGGGAGCAAGGGGGCCGCACCTCACTCGGATGACCCTGACGATCTTCCTATCTAGTCCTGTGGTCTATGGCATCTATATCACACGCGACGTTACCGTGCAACGCGTTGCCTCAAAGACTGTGATTTCAACTCGTTACCAAAGTACCACTTAGGAAGGAACTGATCACCAGATGAGGTGTTTGAAGTCCTAATACGCCGCTATCATCTGAACAGTAGCCCAACTAATACTAAATAGCAGATATCGAGACAAATGGGGATAGTAGTTCATGTTGTCGCATGGCTCCTACGTTTTTTGTCACCTGGGGCGGAAATGAGGCACACTTCAGCTTTCCATCACGTCGAATTACTAGATGTCTCAACTTGTCCCCTCCATAGCTTATGGATTGAATAGACTAGGAATGAACCTTAACGTTAATCTGGCACGAGCTCCGAATGATCTTATTTTTGCTATACATTAAAGGTCATTGCAAGGCACACCGGATCATATCTTATCAATAGCAAGGATTCTCTATCACCAAATATCAAAAGTGATTGTTACACCTACACATCTTCAATGCTACCGTTCCTTGATAGAGTGTTGTAGGTTACAGAGTGGCACACAAGTCAGAGTGCAAGCACCATTAGGTAATCTTCAGTATCATCTATATATGACATTATAACCCCGAGATCAAGGACATTCAGAGACTCTGACTCCTGCCTATCAGTTTCATATTCTTTGTATATACTCCGCAAATCTTATTATTCTTTATTTCATCCTTCATCGACGGGTTATCTCAGACATGGAAGCATATCTCAGAGGCTTATGCCTTACGAGCTTGCTCGCTTTCATGCCCTTGGCATACGCTGGATTTAGCTCTTCATCCTCTAGTAACTTAGCTGTCTACTGGGGTGAGTAGCCTTGAAAACATCCTAGAGCAGTTTAGTTACTAATTGATTAAAGGTCAAAATTCTTACGGCCAAGGAACCGGCACCCTTGCTCAACAGAGATTGTCATACTATTGTGCAAGTATGCAAATGAGACACGCCGTCTATAGATACAAATGACTAACCGAAACTAGATTCTGCTGTCGATGTAAGCAATAGGAACTATACTTCAACTTAGCCAGTCTAACAGAAAAGATCATACCCCTTGCATTTCTCACAACCATCTCAGATCCTAGTCTTAATTTCGCCAACGCTGGTGATAATTGCACTGCAGTATCAGGATCTAACCTTTTCTCTTGTCCCCAACTTGAGTAATTTACCTAGCTTTGATCTTCATTCCTGTGCTAAACAAAAGTAGAGAGGATATTGCTACCTGCCAGTCAACCTATGGGAAAACAATCCTCCTGTCCGTAGGTGGATCTACATATACTGAAGGTGGTTTCACATCCGAGGATGCTGCAGTAGCAGCTGCAAGTAATCTTTGGGATATCTTCGGCCCTCCCACCTCATCTTCTGTTACACGCCCCTTTGGCACCTCGGTAATTGACGGTTTTGACTTCGACTTCGAATCCACTGTTCAAAACATGGTTCCATTTGCCAATCAACTCCGCTCATTAATGACCGCTTCTTCATCATCTACCGGAAAGCAATATATCTTGACTGCTGCACCCCAGTGCCCATACCCGGATGCGGCGGACGGAAGCATGCTTGCCGGAGCAGTATCTTTTGATGCAATCTTCATCCAGTTTTACAACAATTACTGTGGCGTGCAATCGTACACAGTTGGCTCCAGCACGCAGAACAATTTCAACTTCGATACCTGGGACAACTGGGCAAAAACAGTGTCTCTGAATCCAGACGTCAAATTACTTCTTGGCATTCCCGGAAACACCGGTGCAGGTGCTGGCTATGAGACTGGAACCACTCTTGCAGCAGTTATTGCTTATTCAAAAAGCTTTTCCAGCTTTGGGGGTGTGATGATTTGGGATATGAGTCAAGCGTATTCAAATTCGGGTTTCATAGATGGTGTCACCAATGATCTTGCAGCTCCGGCATCTACTACGGTCGGAACAACCCTTACCACTTCTACGACAAAGCTGACAACAACAGCGACGACGACAACGGGGAGTACAACGCCAACGAATACAGGTTTAGTGAGCCAGTGGAATCAATGCGGAGGACAAGGTTGGACGGGAGGAACTCAGTGTATTGCTCCCTATGTTTGCACCACCCTAAGCGTTTGGTACTCAATGTGCGAGTGATTTGGATGTCATACAAGCTCATTCAGAGGAGATGGCTTACATTTTTGATGATCTTGTCATGTGATTGTGTCCCCTTTTCTACGAGTATCTGCTGAGGCTATGTTCTCGCTTCGTGTATATAAATAATGCTCTTTGGACAGAGCAAACTGTTATTGATTACAATGATTACAAATATTACCTGCAATAGCTGTGGTAGATTTTCTTCATGTTAGCAACATCCTTAATGCATCCGCCAAAACTTTCACATTATGTGCCCCTTTATAAATAGACCTGGGATTTCTCTTCGTCCCCATAAGTTCGTGTACGGCAATTTGTGCTGCACGCACACTATACTCAACAGTAAAGACTGTGTCCTCTAGAATCTCCACATATTGCCCAAGCAAAGCTAAATTTGTACTTCCCTTCGGAATGACTAGCGGCCTATCTCCTATGTTTTGTGTCAAGAATTGAGAAGTGATATAGGGCAACATAGACGGGATCGTGATGGATGTGTTAAGAGTAGGCTGCTCAGGAAATTTTAAATGGCCTAACAATTCCTTAAGAATTTCTTCTCCTGAACATTCCGACATAGGTTTCTTGACGAAATCACCGGTGTGGGCAGGAAAAGCCCATAACCCCAGAAGACTTGGGTTCCGGCTGTTTGGTTGAGGAAATGCGGCTGATGGGGGACAACTATGCTCATTAACCAAGCACTGTCTTTAAATGTTACTAGTGCTCCAGTCCCGGCTTTGTCGCCAGACCATGTCTCATATCGTTCTATGAAGCTAGGGTCCTTTAACGTGACCGTGAAAGATAGCCAGTTACTTTCCTCGACGCGACTGTAGAAGTTTGTTGGAGTGCCAAATTCACGCCAGAATTGAGGGTTGCTATCAGAATTTGCTAAAGTAGACCAAAGTTCCCATGAGCCATCAGGTGCAGTCTTAGCTACTTCTGGTGTTGGGAGAGCCTTGGGATGGCTAGTGTTGCTACCAATAGAAGAGCAAGCTGTCATTGAACCCAATGTCACCATAACAACATCATGGAGCTCCACATGGATAAGGCCTGTAGCCCCAGTCTTGGAGAATGCAAAATGAATCTCGCTTGCAGTCATTTTGTTGTAGCCTGTAAGTGGCAAGTGGCAAAGCTTATAAAGCCTGTGGCGAAGCTTAGAAATAGCTATTTCTAAGCAGGTGGCAAAGCTTAGAAATAGGGCTTGAAGAGCCCTATATATACAGCATACTTCCCACTGTAGAACAGTAGTCAATTCAAGTTATTACCCCTAGAAACAACACATTTCTTCCGTAGAACGAAAAGAGAGTGAAGTGGCTTTTGTTTCTGCAATCCATATTAGAGTAATAGGGTGGATGTTATTGATGATCTACTTACCATAGCGGAAATCTACACCTTGAGCCTTCAAATATGTCTCGATTGGTTGAATTACAGAATCATATTGGTTATACGGGGTGCGGTCGACTCCAGCTAGTGTGTTTATGCGAGGAAACTCCTGGATGAATCGATGCAGATAGCGCCTGAACTCAACTGCGCTATGCCACGGCTCAAAAGCAAACCTGAAAGAAATCAGTTCCTGCTATTCGTCACTGTGTTTGTCACTCACATTGTGTCCCACATGTACCAAAACTTCGTCTGCAAAAAGGATTTGTCAAAACACTCGTCAATGCGTTTAGCGCCCAGCGTCTTCTCGGTTTGAAACGGACCCGCAAGTGCGAGAAGGTCTTCGCGGTCCTTCCAACTTAGACCCATGCTTTCGACATTGAGAATTTCCGGCCCACTTTCTCCTTTGCTAACTAGCCTTGCATGGGCGTGGGTTTTGTTGCTAGGAACTGCATTAAACTCATCAAGTTCTTGCTTGACCGTTTTTGAGGGATTTGTGAGAGATGGGACCATCGAAAGAAGATCGTATGTGCACAGGTAGCTAAAATTCAGCATCCTCCCTCCACGAAGCACATATCCGTTCTCGGAATCTCCGGCGCCGTCCATTGAGCCTCCTGGTGAAGAGCCAGACTCAATAATATGGATTTGGTTTGCTGGTATATCTGCATCTTGAATAAGATGAACGGCTGCTGCTAGAGATGCGATACCTCCACCAACTAGATAAGCATTGGTGTTCTTTGACCTTTCGGTGTGTTGTCCTTGATGAATGTTTCCGTGCGGCATATTCAAATGTTCTTAGGTACTCGTAGTTTTCCCAAATAGTTGTCGATTATTACGCTGACTTGAATTGACTTTTGTGAGAAACGATAGATCATAGATGTCATTTTCCTAACAAAGATACCTGTAATACTTATATACCACGAGTCTTTCAAGACCTGTCTCATGATTGAGACATAGGGTTTTTTTAAACCTGATTTATTTTCGGGAGCAAAAAACATGTGTTCGCAAAGTAACACGTGATAATCACCATAACTGAAAGCTTCACATGTGAAAAAGGAATAATAATATGACTATATTATTAAATGGGTTAGATGTTACAGGTTTTTGCGTTCTTCAAATTGCATAGAATTTCTCTTCTGAAATAAAATCAATGCCAACTTCATCTATTATGATAGTAGCACTAAAGTCCATCTTTTAGCGTGTTGCTATTATTCACAGGGGTCATATATTCCCTTTATTTTTAGTTTTCGACTCGCTTCTTTTTATTGTTCTGTGTCATGAGTACTCTTATCTTGCTTTGCGGCTCGCCGGCCCCTTCTACCAAGGAATAACCGCGGCAAGCAAGCATGTTATCATCTATATAGGTATAATAATACTATATTAGCGTTTATATTTATACCGGTTATGTATTATAAATATTTTAGCTTTCAGGAGTAATAACCTTCGAATGAGGCAAAAATAGCCCAAAATGGTTAATATATACAAGTTTTGGCGGTACGCTAAGTCGAAAAAGGTTATCCAAAGGTAATAAGGCGTGAAACTGCCGGACCGAGATTGATACAGTATCGCAAACCTCCTTCCTATTCTCGTTGTCTGAACGCCGAAATGAAATATACGAAGTACTTAGTGAGAGCTTTACTTACGGAACGCTAGGCGGGAGAGGGGTGTGCCCGAAAGCTAACCTGCATCCCTTTAAGCATTCGTGGAATATAGTTGTGACGGTATACCCATATAGATGCGGTAGAGCTAGGATAAATCAAGCAACTGCATGGCTTGCTTAACCTTACTTGACAACGGCGCTAAAGGGTTTCCCCGCTCAACGAACCGTAGATTCTTTGTTGCCAAGCTCTGATAAGCTCTCCCCCTCGCTTGTACCTTACATGCCTGCCCAATGCGGCATAGTTGACGGTTCTTATCCACTAATTGCCGGTACATATATACGAGGCGAGATCGAGTTGCTGTATAAAGGGACGACTGCCATTGCCAAGTGATGCCAAGTGATGCCAAGTGATTCGAAGGCCACCTACAATGCGACGCATTCGATCTGCTTGGCAGTTTCTGTCCATGTTATTAGCTGAGGTTCGATAGTCGTATCGGAGTTGACCTAAACGATTTAGGTCATATGTTCTTTGTGTTATACCGTGAAGGCCGGATATGGGATGAATAGTTGTTATCATTTCAACATGGAACAATAAGAAAGTACTTATATGCTTCCTCTCTCGCAGGTGGAATAGAAGACCATCCACTCACTTCAACACCAGGCCAAGTTCAAAGTTCAAACTCTACGTGATCTCATCATGATTTCAAAAGTCCTTCCAGTTCTTGCCCTTGCTGGCGCGGCGATGGCTGTTTGCCCTCTTTCCGTTGAAATTGTTGGAACTGCCGATCATGTTGCTCAAGTCGCCGTGACAAACAATGGCACTGAGACTATCACTGTCTTCAAGGGCAATACTGTGCTTAGTGATCATGCGACCAAAGATCTAGTGGTGGCTGCCGCAGGTATGTTGAACTTCTTCTCATGAACTCGGAATTCAACCCAATGGCTAACGCGAGAATAAGATGGAACAACACTCCCGTTCGCTGGTGTTTACATCAACTACAAGCGAAGTGGACTCGCAGCCGACAGTTTCCAGACTCTGGAGCCCGGTCAGACAGTTACCGCCTCCGTGAACGCAGCCCAGAGCTACAAGCTCGCTGGCGTCACCACGGCTCAAATAACCGCTGTTCAGGGATTTCAATACGCGACAGGATCTGAAGTACCTACCACGTTGGGGGATTTGACATCTTGTGATGACATTACCTCAAGTACCGTGACAATCACCCCTGACCAGAACACGGTTGCCAGGTAGGTCTTCAAATGTGCCCTTGATGAATTATTCATTGCAGCTCTGGAAGCTAACTCTTTCCCCAGCGAGCACATCTCCAAGCGGGATACACCTAACTTTTTCTCCCGCATCAAGAAGCGCTCTGTAACTTACAGTTCATGCTCCACCTCCCAAACCACCAAGCTCAAGACCAGCGTTTCCGATGCTATCTCCATGTCATCTGCTGCGTACACCGCAGCTGGCTCTGGCGCAGATGACTTCACTACTTGGTTCATCTCAACTTCCGAGGAAACTAAAGTCCGCTCTATCTACACCGACGTCAAAGGCGTACAGACGACGTCCCCCGAGATATCCTGTACCGACACTTACGGCGACTGCTCGGATGGGTCAGCGTTGCTCTACACAGTCCCAAGTGACAACGTCATTGTGCCATGCCCAGACAATGGATTCTGGGGCTTCCCGGAGTACGCAACGACTTGCTCAGATGATGACTACGACAGGGCCGGCAGTATCTTGCATGAGATGACCCATCTCTACGGAACTGACGATTATGCCTATGGTCCAACCGCGGCAAAAGCACTCACTGCCGCGAAGGCAGCGGAGAATGCGGATACGTATGAGATGTATGCCGGAAGTGTGAGACTCGGTGGATGTACTTAGTGGATCAAGGTATATGACATGAGGTAGGGAGGTAGTGTACAGGGGGAAGATGTGAGGGACATTGGAAGGGGTTAAGAGTTCATTCCTAACGAGTGGCAGTAAATTGATGGACTTTTGTAGTAAAAGTTATGGTCTGGAGAAACCGCACAGAGACAAATTGTGATATCTTCAAGCCATCATCCAATTCCAATAAAATCATTCCAGATCTTATCATGAAGAAACCATAAAATTCTCTATTTGGTAATAATCCATGGATTGAAGGCTCCTACTTTTGGAATTTGCAAGACAAAGTTTGTTAGACGGAGACTCCTAACGGGTCAAAAAGTAGTTTTGTCTCGAATTATATAATGTAACATCAAGTCACTTAGCAATATTTCGTGCATTTTAATTGCAAACTCCTAAAAACGCCATGTGACCTCGCGCGTGAAGCTTTAGCAGCTAAACTGTAAGGCTTTTAGCCTTTTTTGACTCTTCCAAGCTTCGGTGCGGGAACTTGCATATAGACCAATCCTGCCCCTAGATGATTAATCACAGAAACTGTAGGGGCAAGTATGACATTGGTCGTTCTGCCCATAAGCTGGATTGTTTTGTACCAATCAGACCACATCCCTGCATGTCTTGGCTTACATGGTATGACACTGCTGAGTCAAGATTCTGCATATTCAAGAGCCGCAAGTCGCCTAGGTATGACTTTACCGCTGTATGTATTTGCATTGGTTCTAGCAAAGGTCGGTGTGCATTTTGTTCTAAAAAAGGGTGAGATCAAACTTCACGTAAGCTAAACCCTTTGAAGAAAGTGTACTCGGCCAATTGACTGTATTTGCTGGTGATTTGCCAAGCATGTAATCTTCCTAGAAGGGGGGAACTTATGCTTGGGCGCCGAATTCAAGGGGCGGCATAGTTCTATCTATACGCAGGCCTATAATCTTCTGCTGTTGCTGAGAAAATTGAAATGATTTCTTCGGGGATATGAGAATACAGGTGGCGATGGCAATATAAATTCTGCAGTCCTTGCTTACAACCTTGTACGAGGACGGAGGTCAGAAAAGCAGAAGTCCAATAGCGATGACCATGTGGTGTCGACAAAGACAAAGGCACCGCTGTAGTTCAATCTCACTTTCGCAAAGCAAGGATATATATGTGAGTCCCAGACCCGACACTTCCTTCTTCAGCTCATCATTCTCCTTTGATTTTCAAGAAAGCCTCACCCTTCAGTCGTCCAACCTCCAAGTCACATCAATATGCACCTCAAGACTCTCGCATCCATTGCTCTTTCAGCAGCAACATCTGTTCAAGGTACACATTCTTATTTCACCAACTCGTCAGTGAGCTGAAATAAACTCGGTTGAAACTGAACGGATCGTAGGATATAATTTTGTTCGTTTGAACAAAACGGATGCTGTGAGTTTGCGAATTGAGATTCCATCAAGATCCACCTAACAACTTCCAGGTTCTCCTCGTTGTCGACCATCAACTCGGTCTTTCTCAGCTAGTGCACGACTTCAGCACCGTCGAATTCCGTCAGTCAATACTGGCTCATGCTGCCATTGGAAATTTATTCAATCTCCCCACCATCTTGACAACATCTGCCGACACTGGTACTCTCCCCCCCCATTCAACCCACTAAACGATATGCTGACAATTACCAGGACCAAATGGAGCACTCCCGAAAGAAGTCATTGCTATGCACCCCAACGCCCCATTTATCCACCGCCAAGGGGAAGTAAACGCCTGGGACAATACCGACTTCCGCGCCGCAGTTGAGGCAACCGGCAAGAAGCAAATCATCCTCGGTGGCATTGTCACGGAAGTTTGTGAGTTTGCTCAATCGCCCACTTATTCAACCACATTGATCTTAAGATAGGCACTGCTTTTCTCTCCCTCTCTCTCGTAGAAGCCGGATACGAGGTATTCGCCAACACTGGCGGGACCTTCAGCGACAAGCTTGCTGCTGACGCCAACCGCCGTATGGAACAGGCAGGTGTGCATCTCATGGGTATGTTTGGTATTGTCATGGATTTGATGCGGGATTGGCGAAATACCCCGGGCACTGCGGAAGTCTTGCCTTTCCTTGATACGTAAGTGTCTTCTTTGACTGTTCTGTATTGAGGGTGCTGATCTGCAAAAAGGTTTTTGGTGCCCTATTCATTGGTTGCAAGAGATCATGGTTATGCCATTGATAATGGAACCATTGTCCCTGGGGAAGCAAAGATCTTGTAAAGAATAGAGGTAGTAGGGGGATGGACCGGTCTTGAGATAGGGTGCAACTGTTACAGTTTGCAATGAGCTATGCAGAAGAGTTTCAGCGGAGAAGCAACAAAAACATAAAATAGTAGGTATAAATTATTCTAAGTCGGTCGCTACTTGAACAATTTTGAGAATAATATATGAAGGCTTTTGGAAAGACTACAAGATATTTGAAAACAAATTTGTAGCGCGCACACTTGAAGCTGATAGATCTCGCCTTTTTGTCTAAATGTGACCATTCTGCGCGATAGATTAGAAGCACTGCCTTTAGCTCATTTTTCGCTGTCTTTCTCCTTGGAGGCCGACTGAACTTGCCCCAGCTTCTTCAAAAGACCAATCTTCCCAATGTTTCTCAAACCGCAAATAGTCACCCCAACACAAACAACCATGCAACCAAAGCATACCCACTCTGCAGCTCTTAAGCCCTCTAAATACGCAAAGCTTTCGGTTCTCCCATCTTTTAGCTGTTTCTCTTGCACCGCGGATTGAGCAGCTGCAATGACTGGCAACGAAATAGCTCGTCCCATTGCAGCGACTGTTTGAAACATTGCTCCGGCGAGAGCTTGGTCTTTCCTTGGGAGCGCTTGGGTGGTGAAAAGCCCCAAACAAGTGTATACGGTATCGACTCCAAAGGCAGCTAGGGCCATAGCGGGCATGCCGTATGCAAAGTACGATGTGGATGGTGGAATTGGAACCGCGAATAAGATGTTAGCAATACATGACGACACGAGTCCAAAAATGAGGATAAAATCGCCGCGAAGTCGTGAGAGAAGATAGCCGGAAGCGATGATAGTGAGTACTAACTGGAATTAAGCCTATGATTGGGGAGGATGGTCGCATTACTTACTGCCTACGACTCCAAGTGGAAGAAAGCGAAGCATTGTTTGTAGAGGGGATAGGAGTTGATAGTCTTGATAGCTGAAGCACAATTAGTTATTGCTGGACCTAGGGAAAGGGGCTAGGTAGCTTACAAGTAGGTCGAGTACAAAATAAAATTTGTAAAGCCACCAGAAAACAAAAATACAATGATCATAGCGAAAGTGAACCGAGAATTCTTGAATGTAGATATTGGCATCAGTGGTTCTTTGACCGCTTTACTCTCCAGGTAATGCTGCCAGTAAACGAAAGCCAATAAAAATATCACAGATGCGATAAGAATGCCAATAACAAAGCCTGAATTCCATCCTTGTGATGCTCCCTCGGAAAGAGAAATTATCATAAGCAGCGTTCCGGACGTGAATAAGAAGGCACCAATCCAATCCACTCCAGATGCACGAGGTGAATCTTCGGGGTGCTCTTTTCTTCCAGGCTCTTTCGGAATCGCGAATATCGCGGTGATGCCAATAATGCAAGAAGCGCCAGAAATGACAAAGAGGACAACCTTCCAGCTTGTATACTGTGAGATGATACCACCCTAGAGCTAACTTCAGCAAACACCCACTCGTCTACAGCAATGACTACTTACAATGATATTTCCCATGGCCTGTCCGACAGGAGCTCCTCCAGAGTAAAAGGCAAAGCTGTAGTTTTTAACTCGCCCAGGAGGGATTGTATAACCGAGAATCCCAATAGCAGAAGGAATCGTAGCAGCAGCAGCCTGGGTTGGTTTAGCATCTACTCTCTACAGACATAGATAAAACATACCAGGCCATGCAGTGCCCTCATGACATATAGGCAGATCTCAACCGGGGAGAATGCTGTCCCTAGAGAGACCGCAGTCACCCAGAAGCATCCTGATATGAAAAGCGGACGTTTACCGTAAACATCGCCAAGCTTTCCAAAGAGCAGAAGAAATGATCCAGAAGTCAAAGCGTAGGCAGACACGATCCATTGTTGGCGAGTAAATGGAATGTTCAAGTGTCTACTCATCTCCGGAAGAAGAATGACCACCGCTTGCAACGCGAGGGTCTGCATCACTCCATGAAGTCAGTCGAGACTTTTAAGACATCTTTTGTCGACCGATAGGGAAACTCACATTAAGAAATGTAGCACCGGTCAAGATCAGAACCAGTGGTGCGACTTGACGAATTGTTACTTCTTTCGTATCGCTTCGGCTCTCGACCGTATTTATCTCGACAGGGGATGGAGGAAGATCTTGCATCAAGGATGTTTCGACCGGCACAAGTCCAGCTGGCGCTTTGGGCGCTTTGGGCTCTTCAATGGGAATGACATGGCTCATGTCTAAGTAGAAAAAGTCGGAGGCTTGCACTTGAATTGGAGAAAAAACGAAAGAAGAAGTGTTAGGAAGACGACCAAGTGAAAGTACTTCGCGACGTAAATTTACCTACACCCCACTCCTGAACTCCGAAAGCCGCGACTTAGCGCAACCTCCTAGCCAGGGCCAGGGCCTGGTATAATCTGCTTACGTGCTTATTATAGAGCGAGCACGCAAGAGAAGAAGGAAGCTCTGTACGGAGTGTACTCATACTGCTCGAATTGGGAGAATAATAATATGGTGTTAAGATCACGGCTTGATAATGGGAGGAAGTAGAACTACAAGTAAAGGCGGGAGAAATTATACCGAGTTGCAGTACGAGTAGACTTCTGACTAAGCGAGTCCTTAACTCCGAAGCCCATTGCAGCCCTACCCCTACCTCCCAGTCGCCCAACTTCAACCTCTTTCTCACTGGACAAGAGGACTCGTCTTTCTCGCTGGACCAGCCCCAGCTTTGTCAAACCTGGGCATGCAGCTTTTATCTACTGTTAAACTGCACCGGGCTATCACTATCACTACAAATCCGGGGAAGTGCGCATATTCATCAGGTAGCTCAGCCCTACGATGGCACTCCACAACAATGGCTGCCACAATCAAAACTAGAACCTACGATGTCCGTCACAACTCTTTATTATTCCTGAAAAGACCTACTCACCTGATATACCCTAGGATGCCGTCGGTCTTCTTAATTCTCTTCAAACACCGTATCATATCCTCAAGCAACGTCACGATGCCGGAATACGCATTGACAAGACGGCAAATGAAGAAATGCGCAGGTGCCTGCATCATATTGGATACTCGGTACATGCAACCCCTCGTCTAAAATGCCTGTACTAAGTGCTTCATAGCAACAAGATCTAGAAAACCTCAACATCGTTCACGTTGCAGGTACCAAAGGCAAAGGGTCAACATGTGCCTATGTCGATTCCATCTTGTCGCAATATCGCAAGTCACGTGGCGTCCCCAAGAACGTCGGACTCTTCACCTCCCCGCACCTCGTCGCTGTCCGAGAACGGATACGTATAGATTCTGCTCCCATTTCCGCAGAAGTTTTTGCGAAATACTTCTTCGATGTGTGGGACAAACTCGAGGCAGCCTCTGAGCACAAGCCCGTCTATTTTCGCTACCTGACTCTTATGAGCTACCATGTCTTCCTCCAAGAAGGCGTCGATGCAGCTGTCTATGAGGTTGGCGTCGGAGGCGAGTATGACTCTACGAATATTGTTGATCGGCCTGCGGTTACTGGGATTTCTACTTTGGGAATTGATCACACCTTCTCGCTAGGAGATACCATCGAAAGTATCGCGTGGCATAAAGCGGGTATTCAGAAGAAAGATGTGCCTTCTTTTACTGTTAGACAGAATTCAGGTGCCTTGGAAGTTGTTGAAAGCCGAGCTGCTGAAAGAGGGGTCAAATCTTTCACTGTACTAGACCTAGACTCGCGACTTCAAGGAGTCAGGATTCGACCAGACGCAGAATTCCAGAAGTCCAACGCAAGCTTAGCGATTGCTCTGGCAGATACTGTGCTTCAGAAGATGGATCCAAGTCATGTCCTACCGGTAGACTCACTACCCAAAGAATATATCGACGGGCTCGAGCAGGTAGTATGGCGAGGACGATGCGAGACGAAGGTGGAAGGTGATATTACATGGTACTTGGACGGAGCTCATACTGCAGAAAGCATTATGGTAGCCGCAAAATGGTTTAGCCAAGAATGTTCCAACAAGTGAGTCTATTATGCTACTACAGTCGGAAATACTGTTTGAGAAAACCTAACAGTCACGCAGATCGGGAACTCGCGCTCTCATTTTCAACCAGCAAGGTGACCGTAAAGCAATCGAGCTTCTTGAAGGCCTTCACACAGCAATCACTAATGAAGGCACTGTGAAGTTTGACCACGTTATATTCTGCCCGGCTGTTTTGGGGGGGACGAGCACGAAAAGAGGTACGTGTTAGACATCCAATATATTGCTTTCTCGTGCTGTACTGACCTGACACCAAGATTTCGATGACAAGGGTCGGGATTCCACCGATGTCTCGGAGCTCACTTTACAGAAGGCCTTTGCGGAGAAATGGAAGGCATTGGATTCATCAACGTCAACAACTATCCAAGTTCTTCCCACCATTGAAGATGCGTTTAGGTATGTGAGGAAATTAAAATCTGGTGAGAGTGGAAATGAAGTATCTACCCTGATTACTGGGAGTGTGCGCTTGGTGGGTACCGCGTTGGCTGCCTTGGAGGATGTGGAGGCTTTATGATTATAGAGCTGGATGTTTGGTGGTAAATATCAAATGAGAAAACATGAATATCCAGTTTGGCCTTCCAGGAGATGATGAAGCGATCAACTAACAGATGAACTCTCATGCTCTTCTTTTTCTGCTTCGATCTTCGATACAGCGTTTTAAGTTTCCCATCCAGTCACAAGCAAAAGTCCTGGCTAGGAAGGATGGTGCTAAGATGAGGGCTTTACTGGCTTAGAAGGATAGGCATATAAAATTTCAATACATGATAAGTAGATATACCAGCTTCCCCGTCCCTGGTCCACTACAGCCTTAACCACAAATAGGGACCGCAGTCACGGCTTTCATACTATCCCATCCCATCCCGCCATCCCAATTCCCTTCGCAAAGTACTACCACCAGGTCTACATACTCCAGCATTCCCTTCAAGTGCTCGTTTCAGCTCTACTCGCCAAATCCTCCCTTCTGCTCTTGCTGTCAGGGTCAAAGTATGGTGCCTCGCCTATACTTACAGTTCGCACCCCGTATCTTTCCCCATACCCCTCAATGTCATCGGTCGCAGTATGGAAAGTGGAACGGTTGTCCCAAATGGCAATGTCGTTAACATTCTGCCACTTGAATCTCACTTGGAGATCGTGGTTGTCCACCAGAAGCCGAACAAACCACTTTAATAGTGCCTTGCTCTCTAAGTCGGTAATATCATTGATATGTGAAATATGCCCGCCAATTGGGAAAATAGACTTCCAGCCAGTCACCGGATTCGTGCGGACGACAGGATGCACTGCCGTGAGCTCTCGGCCGATATTCTCCGGTGCTCCACGAGGCTTTTCGTAAATCTCGAACCCTCCTTTCTTGGCTGCTTCAATAAATCCGGGCTGTGAAAATGTGCCCGTCAGACCTTCGAGGAACTTCTGGTACGGCGTGGACAGACGATCATAGATCTCGTATCCAGAAGCCCAGAGTGTATCGCCCCCTGTCTCTGGCAGGACTTCTAGTCTCAGAGATGAATAGTCAGCTGGCTTAGGCTCGAAAGCAATGTCGGAGTGCCAAGCTCCAGAGTTCTGCTTTTTTTTGTGCGCGCTGTCGAATTTTGTGTTCAGATATAGCTTTTTGGCCAACACCGAATCAATAGTGCTGATTTCTGGATCGGAAACCCGATAGTTCTCACGCTCCGAGTTCAAGATCGGATGGATGTGCAGCCCAGAAGTTTCCGGCTTCCCCGACAAAAGACCCAGCTGCTGAACAAGCTTCTTCTGGAGGTCGGCTGTTAAGTCGTTCTGAGCACGGAAGAAAACCACCCCTCGCTGGGAGACTGATGGGTGTTAGTTTAACGCGAAGTATGCCAGCACTTTAACTCACTAGTGAGTGCAAGTTCCCGAAGCAATTCATCAGAGTTGGGAGCTTGAAGCCACGAAACGAGACTTGCGCGGGGAAACTCTCGCCCAATAATAGGAGTTGTTTCAAAGCTTTCAAATTGATCTAATACCCCCGTACTTTTCACCCATGGCTTCTCGGCCTTGAGTTTCCCCTCGGGGACTGTGGTTGGGGTGTTGCTTTCGGTAGCTGATGGTGCCATTGTTCCTTATTGGGAGGAGAAATGTCACTTTGAGGAGTTGGGACAATGGCTGGGGGGTGCAGAATGTTTATGATGGTCTTGAGGGTGAGTGAGCTTGAAATCATGATGGGTATAACAAGAGAAGGAGAGGGAGCCAACTTGTATAAGAAACTCTATGCAAGGCGTGTAAATAATGGGACCAATCAGATTACAAGGTCGAGGCAGAGGCGGAGTGCAGAATGGCAACATGGGAGCATGCTCTGACGCCATAGCCTTGACTGTGGGGTATAGGCCAGGCTTTGTGCATGTGGTGATATCAATCTCATATTGCGCAATCTGTTCAGCATGTGGTATCAAATCACGTGCCAAAGGGGTAAACAGCACCTGTCTCGACTAATAAAGGGGCTTGGTTGTGAGAAAGCTAACAACTAGCCTGCATCTCAGTAGAGAGAACGCGCCGGGCCGAGTAGGACATCTGAAGTCGAACATAATGAGTGCTGCGTCTTTCGTCTGTATAAGCCTAAACACCTTTTGGATAGGCTTCAAAGAGGCGTGCTATGGCTACCTCCGGCCTTCGATTATACTTTATCTATTTCCGAAATGTTCTCGGCTTTCAGATTGTGAGTGGTCGTCGTGTGAGCTGCTTGGGCAATCTCGGGGTGTTCCTCTTTCAACCGAGCAAAATTGCGTTCCGCATCCCAAACCCACGGGGTCTTTGCAGCGAACAACAAGTCCATCTCCTCAAGCGTACGTTGATTCGATTCGGGATAGAGCGCCCAGACCATAGGTATCGTGATGACATTGGAGATTGCGAAAATGTATAGAGTCTTCTCACCAATGCTGTCAAACATCACCGGGCACAAGAGGGTCTATTCAAGATTAGCGAAAAATAATAACCGAGTAGGTAGGATGCAAAGAATATACCAGCCATCCATTCCCAATACTCCACCCTACAACACCCCACGCGTTGCCCTTTGCTCGAACTTCCAAGGGAAAGATCTCTGCTGGATACAGCCAAGGAACAGTCAACCACGTCGCTCCAAAAACGGAGGTGAATATGAATATCATCGATGCTGCTGCTGCTCCGTATTGGGATGCTTTGGCGGTTTCGCCTGCTGCTGTAGCGTCAATTCCAAGACGAGACATGCCTCCCGCAAGGAACATGGCAATTCCTTGAGCCACCGAGCCCCAATAAAGTGTCCAGCGGCGGCCAATGCGGTCAAGTGTGAAGACGCAGATTAGGGTGGCGAACATGTAGAAGATGTTGTTAAGACCTGATATCCATTGGCTCTTCTGGGTGTTGAATCCTGCGATACGAAAGATTGTGGGGGCGTCTGATCTTGTCAGGAATCATTCACAGAGAAGGCAAGCGGAACTTACAAATCGTGACTCCGGCGATCCCAACCCACTCTTGCATGATCTGTAACCATACCACAAGCTGCACTCTCCTCCCGGTATGTAAATCTCCAGATCCTCGTCCAGTCAGCATCGAGAAGTATGATGTTCTATTTCCAGCCTCTTTTTCTAAACGTGACACATTCCGGATGTCCTGGAACTCTGCGTCTGCTTGAATCTTCTCTTCGCCTTCGTCACCTCTTAGTCGTGCAAGAATAAAGCGTGCTTCTTCTTCTCGCCCGACTTTCACGAGCCATCTAGGTGATTCGGGGAACCACCACACAGCTGTAAACAGGAGAAGAAGGGGAATAATTTGGAAAGCAATTGGGAATCTCCATCTAATTTGAGAGGCCCCATCATCGATAAATGAAAGACCACTGGTAAAATCAGTTAGCAATTAGAATAAATGAAAAAGGGCATGCGTACAATTCAAGCCAATAGGCAACTACGACACCAAATATGTTCAGCGTGAATTCAATGGCAATGAACTGGCCTCGACTAGTATGTGGGACGGACTCCGTTGCCCAGACCGGGACAATAGCATTCAAGATTCCAGTTCCAAAGCCGTTTATCAGTCGAGCTGCAGTCATATCAGCTTTGAGTAAGGAACTTCAGTATTCAAACCCACCAAAAATCATCCAGATATGATTCTGGGCCGAACATTGCAGCGAAGCTCCCAATACGCCCCATGCCGCACCGAGGGCGATGGTCTTGATCCTCCCTACCTTTTCCCCTACCCACCCTCCAGCGAGCCCTCCAACGAGCGTTCCTAGATAATACACACTGACGATCCCACCTTGCAGCAGCGAGTTTGTGATGACTGGCGTGTTCTTGGAGCCATCAATTGTCTCAACGTGACCAAATTTCATGGTCTCAATGTAATCTTTGGCATTATTGACTCCACCCATCATGCCTTGGTCGTATCCAAACTAAAAAGGAATAAGCTTTACTTCTTTATTGGGAAAGTTTCAGGAGTGCAGCAATGTCTCAGGAGCCACGAGAGATGCTCAAGCATGACTGTAAACACCAACAGATAACGAAAGAGGAAACAAAAGGGGGTATCGTTGTTCTCACAAAAAATATCGAAAGACCTGCAATGCAATTGATTGCTATGAGGAGCTTCCTTTTCTGAAATGCATGGGCCACATTCCAGGAATTGATTTGGTGACCCATATCGAAATAGCACTTGTGGTGTAATAAGTTGGACCTGTGACAGCTCAAACTAAAGACCAAAGAGAGGTCAGCTGAAGCGGGAGAAAATGTTAGTATTAAGCTTCTCCAATAATGACGATACTGAACTAAGGAGGAAAGAGGGTTTGCGGGGAAGGGCCCTTCTTATACTAGTTAACTCATACATCCTGTGCTGACTAACCCTTTGGTGTGCCTCACGTCATAAATAGTCCCTGGTCCTGACTCTATACAAGTAAATCTAGGGGGGTGGATCCCGTGATTCACACACGTGATATCGCGCGTCTAGTGACAGAACCAATCGCAGAGTAAATAGCTTGGGATTACAACACCCTCAAATTTATAGAGGACATTTTCAATTAAAACTTATAATATCAGTTCTCTAAACTCGTATGTACAACGATTTGCCCTCGTGACATCAGAAACCATTCACACAATACCCCACCTTGTGAAACCCCATCCCTATCTTCTACTCGTTGAGACTCCGATTCGACATGCGGTTGATCACTCGGACTGCTAAAATGAGTGTTAGCCGAACCTCCCCGAGAGTGGGAGCATTGAATACGCAGAACCGCCTACCTATATGCGCACGAATTAGAAGCCCGCTCGTCGGATGTCCTCTTATGGCAATGCGGATAAGTTTCCGTCCGACCTTTGGTTCCATCTATAACATCGAAGAATAGAATGTAAGGACTCAGTTTTGCGGAAAATAAACTATCATCTAACGTCCTGCTTGTCGCCGCGGACATAACGTGGGCAGCAAGGCAGTCCCCTTCAATAAGAATGTAATTCGTCCTCTTATCCGTCATCCATGGCCTTTTTGCTCTAGCAAGCTGGGCCGCGAGGGGAAAGCCGTGAAGATCATAGCGCTACTAAGTGGGATCCCAGGCCCGGTGTCTGAGAAGAGTTCATGAAATAGGCGACCTTTGATGCATATGCATGTTATACAAGTTTGTGAAATGTTGCATGGCTCTGTAAGACACCGTCGCTTGTAACAGTTTGCCAACTTTAGATGAATTGGTTCCCGTACAACACTTGCAACTTTCGCAGATCCATAATTTCCCGCGGAAGCTGGATGGGTAAAATCTATTCTCGTCATGCAATATTAATCTATAAAATCAGAGCAAGACAAAGATGAATCTAGACATGCCGGCTAGAGAAGTAATAATACAAACAAAAGAGCTTATAGATCATTCAATCCTTTTCTTGCCTTCCTCGGCATTGGTGTACCGCGCCGTACTGAGACCCCTCTCATGCCTGGCAACCAAGGTCCCGATAACCTTGTCATTCCGCACGTTACTGATCGCTTCGTTGTAACCTTCTGTTGCCCAGGGCCGGGGGTTGAGTTTGGGCCAATTGACCTGAGCACATTGTCAGTAGTTGGCCGAGGCAATAGAGAGGCAAGAGGACTTACGTATAACATGCCGTTGCTGTAGATGAAGTTCAAAGACCAGCAGCCGACGGCGAACCAAAATATGATGAATATCCGAAGTGGCAGAACGGCTGCATCTGGAAGACGCCGCGTAAATGCTCCCACAAAGACGAAGAATAAACTGAAGGCCAGGATATAAGGGATGCTTTGGATGAGCAGTGGCCGCCGGTCGGCAAAGACCATGTGTGACGTTGTTTCGGGGAGGTGGGACCCCAAGAATAGATCGAAAGCATCCTGCTTGGGCCCGTCCAGAAAGTTGTTTCTCACGTATCTCGTGATGGAGTTCTGAAGATCTTGCAATGCGCCAGCTTTGGTACGTTGGCCGGTGCGAGTAAAATCAGTCTTCAAGGCTCCAGTGCCAGAATAGGATTTCGAAACCACGTCAGCATTGTCCGCCCAGACTTTGCGGAATAAGAATTCAAAGGAGGCATCTGATGTGAAGGTCTCGCCGCGGGCAAGAACACCGACATCTGTTAGTTGACGGTTTAAGGATGATCTGGCCAGCATGCTTTGCACGACGTTGGTGCGGTCAAGACAGTCCATGCAGTTGGTACGGACGATGCTCGTCTGATGATTCCGCACTTCAAGTCTGCCTTCTAGGTCTGCCGGCATATCTACGCCACGGAAGTACTGTTGCTTCTCAAGAGCATCGTGAAGTCTGTCTAAAAGAAGCTGAGCCCGGTGCCATTTAAGCCCCTTTGTCTCATTGTGGAAGTCAAAGTAGACGTAATGTAAGCGGTCAAATTCTTGCTGGCGTCCGCTTGGCTCCACAATCCGGAATTTCTCATCGGAGATCTGGTCCTGCTGAGAACTCTCAGCTGGCGCAGAGACCAGATATTTGACCATCTGCTCATATGCTTCCTTCACCCTCACCTCGCGACCCTTCTGGTTTACGAGATTGACTAGGTAGTTGTCGCCGTAGAGTCGAATCTGCTGACTGAAGTGTGCCCTGGCCGCTGCAACGGCAGGTTCAACCCCACGGATTTGAAGCTTGGGGGTGTAGTGGAGAGTGTTTACTTCTGCCCAATATACAGGCACACTGCCTCTTGTTTGCACGTAAGACATGATTTGCACTTCCTTCCCACTGGATCCACCAACCTTGCCATTCTGCATGCCTCCGCCTCCCGCAAAGCCACCCATCCCGCTTGTGCTATCGTTCAGTATAACAATTTGCTCGGTCTCGTTGAAGTTGGAAACATTTCCCTGCTCATCGATTCCTCGAGAGAAGTATCTGGTTCCAGCCCGGAGGCGCGATCGTCGAGTGATGAGAACCAGGGTCAACGGTGTTGTCTTTACCCGTGTACTCACAATCTCCATCATGCCAAACATGACTGGTAGAATATACGCATCTACTGCGGGCTGCTGCCCGTGTTGGTTTTTGGACCCCGAGGTCCTAAAGTCAATGAGGTCGGACTGCACAAACTTATTCCAGAAGAAACGATCATCTGCCCTCTTCCACAACGGCTGGGCAGTGTCGAGTTGAGATTGGCGTTGGAAGGTGTTTGTGAGGTCGAAGGAGTAGGAAAAGTACAGGGGACTGGACTTGATAAAGGTCTTCAGCAAGGCGAGGTAGTTGTCTTCGTCTTGGTCGTGGAGGGGTCGTTCGCGGAGTGGGAGGAACTCGGTAGCGATAACTTTGTAGATCATATGGCCCTTTAACCGTCCCATGGGTTGGGCCTTGGTGATGACAATGATGTACTTGTCTTGCATATAGTTAGAGCGGATTCTTGCTTGTTTGCTTCTTTGTTTCCTTCTTCCTTTTTCCCCTTCCTGGCCATGCCATGCCCTGCCCTGGGCCATTTATTTCATTTGCTTACCTAGTCGCAACTTGATCATTCCTAGGATGCCCGCAATACTCGACACCCTCTTTCCACCCAACAATGCCCCATCGTTCAGGCGCAGGTCTCCCGAGGGTCGGTCTACAACGAGGGTTAGGGCGGATGGCGAGGAAGGAGAGGTAAAGGCGTAGTGGGAGGCGGATGCGTGGACATTGATGTCGCGGAAAGGGAGGGAGGCCATGATGAGGGGCGGATGAGGGCGAGGAGAGCGCTTGGCTCTTGGTAATAACAGTCGCAGTATAGGTTATGGGCTCATGAAGGAGGGATCTGTGCTGTGCGAAGCTCTGCATGGGAAGTTCTTGGTGTTGATGCTTCAGCTAATACTCTGTACAAGCAGCTAGCTGTCTTTAGTCAAATTAGCAGGGAAGCTGCGAGTGAGGCGAAGATAGACGTACGTGGTGTGTAGATAGTGACAGGACAGGTACCTAGTAGAGAAGGGTAACCATGACACTGATAATTATGGAATTATAACAGAGGTAAGCCCAAACCATCAACAAGTAGAAATCATGTAAATGTATGAAGCATGAAGCATGAATCACGAAGGACTTATGGAAGTCCTTCACGTTGTTCAATATCCAATATAAGGGTGAATGTATCCTGACCCTTATAAATAAATCCCACGTGATATCTAAATAGCGTCTCTTCCGTTCGCAGCAAGACATCGTCACTCGGTCCCAAGACCTCCAAGCAAGCAATACCCATCCACGAAACAAAACACTATACCACATCCGCATCTTCCTCTTGCAATCTCGGTCTCACAAATCACTGTTCCTACAAACGCTCGTCCATCCTATCCCCTCTCTCCTCGACCCCCTCCAATCTCATCACCCAATATGGCTGCCAGAGGCCCAGCAGGCTCCCGCGTTGGGAACTCTCGATTTGCGCAGTTCAAGCTAGTATTATTAGGTATGTGCCTTGTTGTTTCCTGTAGAACTTTCAACTCTAGCTACTGTTCTAACGTCTACCTCTAGGAGAATCTGCCGTGGGAAAGGTGCGCCTTGTACATTCAAACCACCCGTCCTAGAACTAACTTCAACGTAGAGTTCCATCGTCTTGCGCTTCGTCAAGGTACGACTGCTAGACTACGCTTCTACTTCTAGCCACTGACATCTCTATAGGACCAGTTCGATTCTTACAGAGAGAGCACGATTGGTGCCGCTTTCTTAACACAAACAATATCACTCGACGAGAACACCACCGTCAAGTTCGAGATATGGGATACCGCCGGGCAGGAGAGATACAAATCCTTGGCACCTATGTACTACCGGAATGCCAACTGTGCTGTGGTGGTTTATGATATTACACAAGCGGTAAGGATTTATCTGGCTGGTACCTGGACTCAGCTGATAAGTACACCAATAGTCATCACTGGATAAGGCAAAGCAATGGGTAAAAGAGCTGCAACGGCAGGCAAACGAGAACATTATCATCGCTTTGGCAGGAAACAAGTTGGATTTGGTCACTGAGCAACCTGATAAGCGGGCAATTCAGACCGCCGACGCCGAAGCATATGCTAGGGAAGCAGGGCTGCTTTTCTTCGAAACATCAGCCAAGACAGCCGAGAACGTCCGAGAACTATTTACATCGATTGCGAAGAAGCTACCCTTAGACCAGGCGGGACCGAGGAACCCAAGATCCGGTGGACGAGGAGGTGTTGAGCTACGACCTGATACTCCAGGAACCCAGGCGGGAGGTCCTTGCAGCTGTTAGAGGGGGGACAAGTGATTTTTACGGGATACCGGATACTCGACATACTTGGGCGGTGAGAGATCATTTACGTGAGAGTGGAGTGGATCATAATCACTACTGCAGGAATGTCCAGCGTTGTCTTTTTTCGGTGGGAAACTGACGGGATTGAGAGACGGCAGCAGTACATGCCGGATCTCAACCTGTTTATGAGAGCAGTCGTTTAATACCTTGAGATGTGTCTGGTTTCTCCTCAGAGGGGGGTTAGTTTTAGTGGGTGCAGGGTTTTTCCTGCAAGGCGTGAGAGGGTCTTTCCATTGAATTGTTCTGCGGCATTTGGGTTGTACGATATGCAATATGCAATAGAACACAATCACACTGATATTGATATCAAAGGCTTTGGAGGATATGGTGTGCATAGGTACTTGATGCATAATAATGAAAGACGCTACTTTACTATGCAAAACTTTACTAGGCTTGCATTAAGCAAAAACAGTACAATATAAATGTCATATACATGCCTTATTATAGTTGCTGAGTTATGGTCATTGCATCCCTCACCTTCCATGCTCTCAACTTGGCTTGCCTTGCTGCGTTCGGAGGCGGCGGAAGTCTTGGCGTGACGGAAGACAGGGGCGGGAAGGTTGTAACCACCAGGAAACATTTTGCAGCCCGAACACAGCTCCAGCTTGTTTCACGCGCATTAACAACCTCATAAATCCACCGCCGACCCTCGTTCTCGCTCTCACCATACGCAGCCCGCCATGCTGCGCGCTTCTCTTCGCTCGTCCAAGGCATTGGCACTGGCATACAGGCCCATTGCCTCTAATGCTGGGCCTCAATGGCATGCAGTACAGGCAGCTCGGGTGGTCCCGGGCACCCTGGTATGAGCTCTCAAATACTTCGAATATGGTCAATTGGGCGATATAATATAGGCAGATTGCTGACTTGTGCTGCCAACTTATAGAGAGGCTATGCCGATGCCTCCAAACCCAGCATCAGCGATTCGAAACCCATTGTTCTTCCTGGATCTGCGAGCACAGCTACTTCCCAGCCACTCCCTCCTGGACCTGTCGCAACATCACCTAGTTCAAAGATTGCAACCTCCCCTACGCCTGCAAGCTCCACGATCCCTCCTCAAAATGTACCATTGACTCCTCCATCGCCAGCCGAGGTCAACGCCGCCCCGCCTAAATCAACGGGCTCTTCTCCTCCCCCTCCTCCTCCACCACCACCTGCCCCTGCCCCGAAGCCCAAACGCCGCATTCGCAGGACCTTTACAGCCCTTGTTCTCCTAATAGCCCTGGGTTATGGTGGAGGTATTTATTACTCGACCGTCAACGATAACTTCCATGATTTCTTCACCGAATACGTGCCCTACGGCGAAGACGCTGTGCTTTATTTCGAAGAGAGAGAGTTTCGAAAACGTTTCCCATCAGTCACAAGACGGTCGAAGCCGAGAGATACTGGAGATCAGATCACAATCCCGAGTCAAAGCGGTGTTTCTTGGAAGGTATCAGAAGACAACAGACATGCCAACGCTACGAAGCCGGATGCACACGAGCCTAAGGAGGCTATACAGTCTCCCACCGAGAAACAGATTGCCGAGAAGGTCAAGGCTGTTGAGGAAGTAAAGAAAGATACGGCGGACCTCCCAGCTCTAAATGTGTCAGTTGCTGGAAAGTCCCCCGAGTCTCAGTCACCAGCGAAACCCGGGCACCCCGCCACCAACGAGAAACCCAATTCTAAAAAGGAGTCGCCGCAAGCGGTCCCTTTCACATCTCCAGAAGTCGATCAACCTTCCCAGTTCCCGCCTGAGGTCACACGAATTGACCCGATCAATATCAAAGACGCCAATGAGCCCCTTGTTCAGGACCTGGTCAAAATTCTCAATGATATCATTACTGTTGTGAATGCCGACAACTCCGACTCCAGGTTCTCCACCACGATTGGAAAGGCAAAGCGCGAGTTGAGCAAGGTCGGAAGCAAAATCAGAGCCTTAAAAGATGCTGCACAGAAAGACGCAGATACCAAGATTAGCAGCGAGCGGGAAGACTTTGACCGTTCTGCCAAGGAGCTTCTCCGAAGAGTCGAGGCTGAGATGAGCGACCAACAGGCTCAATGGCAAGAAGAGTACCAGTCTGAACGCCAAAGACTGCAGGAGAATTACGAGCAGAAGCTCAAAGCCGAGATCGAGCGCGCGAACGAAGTCAACCAGCAGCGCCTCCGGAATGGACTTCTTGAGCAAGCAGTGGACATGAGGAAGAAGTTCACCCAAGAAGTCAAGGATCGCGTCGAGGAAGAACGAGCTGGTCGGCTGGGCAAACTTACCGATCTCTCCAAAACCGTCGACGATCTCGAGAAGCTTACTACGGATTGGAACTCAGTCGTGGATTCTAACCTCAAGACTCAGCATCTTCATGTGGCCGTCGAAGCAGTCCGTGCAAATCTGGAGAAGAGCCAGGTTCCTCGCTCATTCATTCGGGAGCTCGCAGCATTGAAAGAAATTGCTTCCGATGACCCTGTTGTTAATGCAGCCATCGCATCCATCAAGCCTACCGCCTACCAGCACGGTATTCCCTCGTCTGCTCAACTCATCGATCGTTTCCGCCGCGTCGCAACCGAAGTCAGAAAAGCTTCCCTGCTCCCAGAAGATGCTGGAGTCGCAAGCCATGCATCGAGCTTTGTCCTCAGCAAGCTTTTATTCAAAAAGAAGGGTCTTGCTACTGGTGATGATGTTGAGAGTATCTTGACGAGGACAGAGACTTTCTTGGAGGAAGGTGATTTAGACGGTGCAGCGAGAGAGATGAATGGGTTGAAGGGGTGGGCGAAGACTTTGAGCCGGGACTGGCTTGGTGAGGTGAGGAAGGTGCTTGAGGTGCAGCAGGCTTTAGATGTAAGTTCTCTCCTGATTTCTTCTGATATGTAGTGCTAATATTGATGCAGGTAATTGCTACGGAAGCAAGGCTACAAAGCTTGAGGGTCGAATAGGCGCTGACGTTTCGTTTGTACATGATTGAGACCAGTAGCTAGGTGTACGAGTACTAAAATAGAAATGCATATTTATACCTTTCCCATCACAACTGCTTAGCAATTCCCATCATTATACAGCTTGTCAATTTTGTCATACCAATTACTATATCTTGGGGAGAAGTGATGGCTTAGTAGGTAATATTGTTGTTTTGGGGAATTTCTCCTCGACACGTCTTCATCCTTCGGTATTTGAATCTATGCTACTCTGATGTTTCCCGTGTGTTCAAAATCAAGCTCAAGGAGATAGATATAATCCTTTCTAGCAAGCTATCAGGAGACAAGTCATACCTTCAATTAAATTTGAAATGGGAACCGCAGTTTGCGTTTTTGGAGATCGCAATTTCACAATTGTCCTCTGCTGGATGGTTAAGCTAAGTTGACTTTTGGATTATCCCTTCAGGTACATATCTACTCTCATTAATACCCAGAGTTCGTTTACAAGGGGGTTAGACAGACTAACATGTTTCGCGTGCTTTATCGTGATACAGCAGCAAAGGCTTACGCTTGGCATGCGCCTAAAACGTGTCTCCGCAATTTTGTCCGCAATCTCAGTCTCCTGCTCTCTTATTAAGTTCCTAATACACATAACACACAACATCCTCCCAGAATCACGTCCCTCTTACGTAACAAGTAATCCTTGATTGGAACCATATTTCCCGATGACAGAAGTACAAATGTTATGTTCACTTTGCAAGGCTCTCCCACCACTCAATGACTTCAATGGTGTCCAAGAGCATCACACGATCCAAACTCTGGAAGAATCCGTGGAAAAGGATTGTCCCCTCTGCAAAATCATTTGGCATACCCTATTAGGAGCATTTAGCTTTGAATCGATTCGAGAGAAAAAGAATGGTGAAGCAGCAAAAACTATAGTCGGCTTGGAATATGCCCCGTGTCACTCACCACGATATGACCGCCAGTATATCTGGGTATCAACGGATTACTTAGGTAATGGAGGCTCGAAAATGACACTTTTCGTAAAAGAAGGTGGGTAACTTTCCGGCACATTGATTCAACTTCCCTCTATTTTCTGTAACATCGAGCAAGATATTTTAGCTAACCAAATTTATATTTCTTACAGATGAAGTGGCCCCGAATCTGATTGATGGAAGAGAAGTTGGACTTGATCCAGCAGGAGAGCAAATTATTAAAATGGTCCAAGATTCTTTGCTCGACTGCTTTTCCAACCACAAGAGCTGCTCACCTCTTGAATCTACGTTATTGCCATCGTTTGCTATTAATGTTGGCCCATTGGATGGCTCAAGGGAGCCTCTGCTTGTAGAAAATGACGGAACATTATTAGGATCGTATGTAACTCTCAGTTATTGCTGGGGTGGTCCTCAAACACTACAGTTGGTGAGAAGCTCCAAAGAGGGGTTGAAAAAATGTTTAGCCCTCGACAGGTGAGTCAAATCTGGGAATGGTATCTCGCATTCCTAATGTCTTATAATATATTGTAAAGGGTTTACTGAAACGATAATGTTTCACGTCCAAACCTTTGCCTTTTCAAATAATACTGACTTCAAGATAGCCACAAACTTTGAAAGATGCTGTCATACTCACTCGAAGGCTCGGCCAGCAATATCTGTGGGTGGATGCTCTTTGCATCTTACAGGATGATAACGAAGCGAAGCAAGAAGAGATCTCAAGGATGAGCCAAATATATAAAAATTCAGTCTTTACAATCCAGGCTGCATCCTCGAATGCAGTCGCTCAAGGGTTCCTCCACACTCGAAAGGCTCCTAGTATTCCCCCGTGTAAACTGTTGTTCAGCAGAGACACTGAAGGACACGAGACTTACGTTTATGCGAGACTGCCCACCTATACCAAGGTAGTTGGTGATGCACCCACAAACAGCAGAGCGTGGATTTTCCAGGAGTCAGTCTTAGCATCACGTGTTCTAGTATATGCAAGCGACCAAGTCTATTTTGCTTGTAGACAAAGTGTGAAGAGGGTGGATGGAATGTGGGGTCCATCATACGGAGGTCCTACGATCAGTCCACGGCATTACCGTAACCTCCGACCAGACCTTTTCAACCAAGGTGGTCTGTCGGCTTCAGAAATGAGAGAAGAGACACTCGCAGCGTGGTACACAGGCATATCGTTATTTTATACATATCGGTCTATTACCGACAGCCGGGATCGATTGCCAGCTGTCTCGGCGTTTGCAGCAGAAGCTTATATGGTGATTGGTGCCCGGTATCTCGCAGGAATATGGGAAGTCGATATGATAAATGGTCTTTTATGGAGGCGACATACATCACCACAGGCAAAAGCCTGGCAAAGAAGACCTCTGAATAAGCCCGAGGCCTACCGAGCGCCATCTTGGTCTTGGGCAGCCTATGATGGCCCGATCAGCTTCAGCTTACAATGGCAGCGGGCGATAGTAAAGGAAAACTCGGCATACAATGCAAAAATCCTGCATGCTGCAAGCACCCTTTCCGGATCTGATATGTATGGCGAGGTACTGGACGCAAGTATTATTATAAAAGGATATCTAGGTCTCGCGGTTGCAGGGGCCAGAGATTGTCCAAACAACACCTATAGCTCCATCATGCTCAAAACCACAGATGCGCAGCAGCCGCTATGTCGAGCGACTTTAGACATAGATCATCAACCAATCATGCTTATATGCCTTCTTCTGAACGGCCGTGCTGGAATATTGCTTAAGGTCGCTCCTTCAAACGAAGAAACCCCCGATACATATACAAGGATTGGGCACTTTACATTTGTCAGTAGTTTCAAGTTAGATGTATTCGAAGACTGGCGTACAAAATGCGAGGTTAGAACTGTACGCCTTATCTAAGTATCACATGTAAGCTATATTATGATACAACGTGTGCTCTGTAGGCACTATCCCATCGGAATCCGATCAGTTGGCTAGTATCATCCTATCTGGATTGTATCTGGCAAAGAGAACGACGAACTGCATGATGAGAAACCAAAGTAGAATAATTGTGAAGGTGGGGTAGAACAATTTTAAATTGATATTGGAAAGAATAGGATATCTCACATCGGAATATCGATATAAGTAATTTCTATTTCCATCTTTAGACCAAAGCTGCTACTGCTCTAACCTAAGCTGAACCCTAAGTCTTAAGCGTGCTAATAATTTAGCTAGATTACGCATAGAGGGACCCTCTTATAGCGCCTCGCAAACCGCTTATAGTTTTCCTATAGTCTAGTAGTCCAAGGGCCTCAAAATTAGGAAGTAGTTACGCCGGGCAGCCGGTTCAGAGACAGAATCAACCACTAATTGGTTTGTTCGGTCTCCATACTGTAACTAGAAGCCACCTCTCCTGCTCGAATTGCCAGCAATGGAGTCTGCGGAATCCATTGATTGTGAAAATACAAGAATCAGGTGCATGGCTAGGAAAGATTACGCCACTATAAATATCAGCGCACTGTGGAGCGCTCCCCTCGACCACTCCTAGCCTCACTGCACGTTATATAAGCCCCGACTTTTTCACCCACGTTTTCGGCTATGCCCTGCAGTCTGTCATTCTCAGTCCGTAGCTCGGCATAAAGATCTGGCGAGGAGTCTAGTGCCCCCAAGAGAACGAGTTTCAGTACTAGATGGAAGAAGCGCAAGAAAGACACCGAAATAGGCTCAGAACCAGGAGATCCCATCTCCTCCTGAACGAGCTCAAGATCAATTGGCCACGCTTCTAAAGAGTCCAGCAGAGCTCCTTTCTCGGAAAGTAGTCGAAGAGCGATTCCTACAGATTCGATTTGCGACACTTGGCCGAGGAATTCAAGCGTGGACGCAGCAATTCTTGTAAGCTCTGTCCGCATGTCGGGTGCAATCGTGCGAAGATGGCGAGATTCAATAGGCTGTTGACGAGGCGAAATCAAACACGCAGACGACGTCGTCCCGCTTACGTCGACTGCTGCTGGAGGATCCGCAAATTTACAAGGTGCAGCAAACAGCTTAATGATGAAAACATCCAGGAAGGGTACTTGGTCATGGTGTGCTGGCACCAATGTATTGGTGGCGACAAAACCTGGCCTTACCAGGTACTCGTGCATGTTTCTGAGTCCTCGAATGATATGCTGGGCCATAGTAGCGTAGCTCTTCTGCACTTGCTCAATGCTGACGAAGATCTGACAGCAAAGTAATGCCGACTTCAACCCGTTGGAGCCCAAAGATGACAAGTTAGATGCAAGACCCCCCAAAGCCATACTGTATTGCTGGATGCCATATTGATAGCTCGGGGTTGGCTGCACGATAGATGCCGGACCGTCCCTAGACATCTCGAGATCTTCCCGAAGAGCTTTAAGAGACAAGACTGCGTGTCGTATAGGCGGATCAGTTAAGCTAGCTTGAAGCACTTGCCTGGCTTCTTCATCACAGCCCAGCTTCACGTCGAACATGGTTTTGGTTGAAAAGTAATGATCGAGAAGATAGATGTCCTGAGGGGCGATGTTAATGAAGGTGGGCTGGATGGGTCGTAAGCCAACGTCTGACTTGATGCCGCCAGCATGAGCGCTGTTGATGGGTTGACTGGTAAAAAGTTTAAATGGGGACTCGTAGTCGTCGCAAGTACGACTAGTGTTGACACATTTTTCGCAAAACGGCTTATTCTCGTCGCATTTGACCTTCCTAATTCTATATTGCTAATTGAGCACAATCCTGCTGCAGAGCTGACCTTGGGGTATAAACCGGTTGGTGATGGGATCTGGCCACTATGACTGACCTGCAGGTTATACTACCAGTTCTCACCTTGGTTCTACACCTATTGTTCTGTTTGCGTGCGACAACGCTTCCGGCCATGTTCGATATTCACGCTTGCCATGCAACACCCTTCACAGGAAATCCGAGCAGATGAATCGAATGATACGATTTGATTGATTCTCCACCGGGACTATGAGGAAGGCGAGTTGAATTCGCTTCACGTACTTTGGTAGTTGAGCCCAGAGGAACAGGCGTCGGTGCTAGCTCGATTGGGTAGCAAAAGCGAACCCACCAATAATACGGCTGCGTTCCATGTCCTAATGGTCTTAATTCGAAGTGAAGGCATCCAGACTCTGTAGATAGCGCTACTTTGGCTCCTGCTCTTGGCGAGATGTCTTTGGCTTATATATGTTTCGTATATATATACCGAGTCCTTGGCCCCATCTCCCTCGAAATGAGTACGAGTACCTGCTTATACAATAAATAATGTCGAGGCTCGCAAATAGCCCCGGATTCGCGTCGAAACTACTAAACAGCTCGAAGATGCCAGCCTTTACTCTGTATGGCTCTCGCGGTTCGACTAACACCGATCGTGTCCGCTTGACTCTTGCTGAAGGTGGCTTTACGGACTACGAACTCGTGCTTCTCAACCTTCAAAAAGGGGAGCAAAAGGTGCGTGACCCTTTTCTCTTCGAAGACGATGCTCAAATATTTGTTCCAGTCCAAAGAGCACCAGAAACGTCACCCGTGGGATAAAATACCTGTAATAACTTCCGCCGACGGTTTCAATCTCTATGAGAGCCGCGCAATCTGCAAATACCTCGCAACAAAGTACTCCTTTCCACTTGTACCGCGCGACTCGGACGTCGAAGCCGCGGCGCTATTCGGCCAGGCGCAGTGCGTGGAAACGCTTTGTTTCGCAGAGCCAGCAGGTAGAATCGCATTCGAGAAATTTGCAAAAAGATCCATGGGGCTGCCTCCTGACGACGCCGTTGTCTCAGATGCACTGCGATTGGTCGAGATGTTTTTCGACGTTGCAGAACGTCTCTTGCACCAGAACTCCTACATGGCAGGAAATGACTTCACCCTCGTCGATATTTACTACGTTCCGCTGATCCAAAGACTTTTCGCATGCGGGTACGGAGATGTCATCGTCAGTCGCGAAGCTGTGAGTGCTTGGTGGGATCGCTGCGTGAATCGGCAAGCCATACAGAGGATAATGGCCGCTGACAAGGAGGCTGCGGTTGCTGCTGGTAGATAGATAAATAGTTGGGACATAGGGGAAGAAAGATGCAAGGTGAAACAATGATCGCCTTAATAGAGTAAAAGTCTTAGGAAAATGTAATATCCATGCATGTGGATATTTTTGCATCCTGGGGATTAGTTCTAGTGGTGACAGTTTTTGGATCCCTGGCTGGGTGAAAAGGGGTCAAAACGGGCGAGTAGACCTGAGTAGACCTAAGTAGCCTTGAGAAATAAGGCATATGGCATAAAGAAAGGCAAGATGTTAAACACAAATACTTCTAGCACTACGCAGTGTAACAGTGGAGAAGAATTGAGAAGAAGTGTGGAAATATGCATCATAGGAAGCATTTAATCGCTGTTTCTAAACAGGTATCCTGCTACTCGTCTAGAGTATCTACTAACTAAGTTTCAGGTGGCATGACGAGAGGATTTGGTTTTCTTCCCTCCTCTATTCCGAGAATGTCTTCCATTATTCCGACGAATCCTGTGGCTCTCCCTGCTGACCGCGACGGTTGTGTTTGTGGGCTCAATAGGGTTTGAGGGAGCATATGGCGGCCTGATTTAGAAATTCAAACCTCTCCCATCAGACCTTGCTACCAATTATGTCCATTGTTCCAATCTTGCTAATCGTCTTTTCATCGCCGCTTAGATTTGCATCAACCCGAATGGTCAAGCTCTTGATCGCAGTAAATTTGGAGGTCTTAAGCTTCAGCTCGGCTTTGCCATCAACGTATTCGTCAGAGAAGACATTGAACGCTTGAGTATTTTCCGCCTTGGTCAAAGACTCCAAATCGAGATCGTTTGACTCGACCCCCTCGGGGGACTTTGTTACCCGGACTGGGACGTTTGTGCCAACTTGTATCCTAGAAGGAGCGTTGGAAAGGGAGTCTTTCGCAATGCTTATGTGGAGGTGGCTGGCGCTGACGGCTTGGGTGAAGGGGAGGTGGATGAGGAGACGTGCGCCTGATGCGGATGCCACGGCGTATCCTGCTGGAGGAGGGGAGGCGATATTCCGTGCGGAGCTGAGGTTGGAGTTATTGAACAACTTGGCCGCGTCGATATCGATTAATGAGCGTAGACTGCCCGGACCAGCTGTAGAATCTGCCTTCTTCGACTTCAAACCGCTGGTCGACGAAGCTCCTTGCCCAGTATTCTCCTTTGCCGCTGCCGCCGTATAATATCCAATCTTGGTCGTTAGTTGTTGAACATCCGCGCCCTTGACTTCATCCACTTTGCTGCCGTTCTTGAAGACTTGGAACGTCGGCATGGCCGTTATGCCACATGTTTGCGCAACATCTTTCGCCTTATCGACGTCGACTTTCGCAAAGATGATTGAGGGGGAGGATTCGTGGGGGTTTGCGAGTCTGTCGAATGCGGGGGAGATGACTTTGCAGGGACCGCACCATGTGGCATAAAAGTCGATGATGAGGAGAGGGTTGGCTTTGAGTTTGTTAAACTGCGAGAGGGTTTTGATTTCCTGCATAGTGTATTGAGGAAGTTGTTGTTGTTGTTTTATGTATAGGTAGGTATTTATTGATGTTGTAGAAGAAAGAGTTAAGGTTGTTTGTTTATAGATTCAATTGCCCCTCCACGCCTGGAAACTTCGGCCTAAGCTTACCTTATCAGCCCTGAAACTCACCTCAGCCACTAACTTCGCTAAACATCTCGCTAATCGCCCCTAAGCCCCCCTGAATGTGTCGATTTACAGCCGCCATTTCCAAGACTCCGCTACCATTCTTCCCACCCAGTAATACGCAAATGGGCAAATGGGCTAAATGACGACTCTATAATATGGTATTACATAGCTTAGTGTTTATTGCACTACAGACAGTGACCAGGAGTGATGTAGATAAATAAAGTCAGATTCGGCTGTGTAATAAGACAGAGATAGTAGGCATAGAATAATACAAGGGAGTAATAATTCTACTTGATACAGTACGGGAAGTGTTTTCAACTTGAAGATTGTAGAAGCTACAAATCATCCTAGTGCTATGAACCGGACCCACGCTCCAGCCTTAATCTACATGGTGCCATGAGAAATCCTTCTTCCCGGACTCAGTCTATTCCCCTGCACACCACACCCAACATTACTGTCGTATAATATACTTCCGGCAAGATTGGCGCTGTTGGTTTTCTTGACTGCGTCTATATCGAAATAACAAGTGCCGATTTGACTAGTATACCCTGGATCGGTTTTATGGTCGAAGAGGAGGGCATATATACCATTGTAGTCACTAGTGAAGCCGCCATGCTAACCGCACATCTTGTTGACAGCTACAGGGCCGATATTGGAGAGGACTACATTATGCCCGCTTTGGACATTAGGGAAGTGGTCCTATGTAGAATGGCGATTAGTGTTGTGCAAGGCATAGAAGGTTGCAACGGAACGACAGAAAAGGAGAAGAGGGAATCATTAGAGAAGGCAAACTTACAGTTATGTTGCACTAGTTTGTCGTTGGTCCTTTGACTCTTGGGAATACGCTTCCAACGCCAACGTGGCCACAGAAGTTGCTTAGATCGCTAGAAGCCTATATACCACCCTCATTATAGGCTGAAGAGGTACCTCCACCACCTCCAACGTCCCCTCGCAGGTGCTCCTCTTCTTCATTGCTGCTCGCCACCTATAAAACGCCTGAGATAGAACTACCCTTTACAACATTTTGCATGTTGAAAACTGTCAAGGCAATATGCTGAGAAGGTGGGAAGGAGTATCCTAATTAGGCGGAATCAGGCAGGGTGTAAAACATCAATATGAACACAGAAATAAACCCTTTGAGCTTGAATTCGCAGAGGCATAGTTCAGGTCTCATATGTGCTGCTGAGCCTTTCCTCTATGAACCGAAAGGCCCATAGTACTGGTGGTAGGTAGATGTCGAAGTGACAGCGCGTGATGATGGTTTCAACTCATCAAAAATGCAGGGTATTGTTTGCTAAAAATCATGATCAATCAAGATCTTGCTCGTCATCGCAGGGCTCTTCAACTAAAAACTCTTTGCCCCTTTCAAGCACCTGCAATAGCCCACCAACCAAGTGCAAGCTGCCTGTGACGAGCACAAGGACTCTCTCATCTCCCTCCGAGACCCGCATTGCGAGACGTACCGCCTCTTCGACGCTGCCATAAACCATGTGCAAAGCGTTGCCGTCCAGTCCTTGGTACAACATTGCCATCCCCTCCTGGAGCTTCAGGTTCACATTCTTCCCCTCATTGGTGGCAGTGAAAGGCTCATTGGTACAGAAAGCCGCATACGTGAACAATTGTAGGTACCTGATCGGCTTTATTGGCCGTATATTTTGGGCTTCCCGTATATCGGAAGCCGGAGGCTCGAAAGAGACCATTGTCAGTAGCAACTTTTGCAATAGTGCCTGTCCGTCGCGTTCGTCTTGGTTGAAGATAAGCATGGTTGCTGTTGGAGGCTGTTCTTCGAGATGTGCCTCGTCCATTTTGGTACGAAACCAGCGGCCTACTGCTTCCATACTCTCTATCGTGTGGGCACCGTCGAGGAACCATTCGATGTTTCCATCTTTGCGTATTTCACATCTCCCGGGCCAAGTCACTGTTTCCAATCCGTGCTCAAACTGTTGTGGCAGCACTGTTACGAGATTGCCGAGCTCTTGGTGGAGAGGAATGCCCTCCGTATCCCCTATACCTCGTAAATATGATGCTGCGACGGCGGTTGCCAGACTGGCATTGTCGGATTGAAAATCCCCAAGCAATCCCAAAAAGAAATCGGCCGTTTCCAATACAGGCAGCCTGTGAACGACATTCAACTCCATGCCTGTTTCCGCGGCGCGTTCCTCGAGCACACCTAGGGCTTCCGAGGGCTGATCCATGGTAAACACCGGTACACCCTCCTTCATGATGCCGCCCTTATGCCATGCAATCTCCTCGATCGTCCCCCCAAGCATTGATGTATGATCAATTCCCAGCCTCGTGATGGCGCTCACAGCGACCGCGTTGGCGGGTAGTATGTTGGTGCTATCGTACTCCCCTCCAATACCACACTCCATGATGGCCGTTTTTACACCCTCTTGTCTGAATACATGAATTGCCAGCAATGTTAAATAGCGAAAATACCCCGGCTGAGTTTCCCCAGTATCGTGATTCTTGCCATTGGAAGCAGCTGTCTCGAAACGATCCCAGAGTTCGTAGAAATAGTGGGTGAAGAGGCTTTCCGATATAGAGACTCCATCGATCCTTATTCTTTCCCGGACTGTGACGAGATGTGGGGAGGTGTATAAGCCGATCTTGCCTACACGCGCCTCCTTGAGCCCCTCGACCTCTGCTCTGCGGTACTGCAACAGTATATTCTCAACCATCACACACACGCTCCCCTTCCCGTTTGTTCCCGCAACGTGTATGTATCTCTGGCCTTGATTCCCCAGCTCTGCAGCTTCATAGCCTGCCTTCCGCGCCCATTCTAGCATCTCTGGAATCGCCCTGCGATTTGGATCTGTATCTTGTGGCGCGTCGGCGATTGCAGTTCGAATGGCACTATTCAATTGGAGCGTCTGGAGAGCGGCCAGGGCATCTTCGTAGGTGCGTCTTACGGGGGGAGGGGGAATGGAAATTTTCATGGTTCTCCTGGCAGCGCACGATATAGAAAAGGGACGAACTATAAGGCTGAGGGGCAGGGAGATCGTGGGAATGAGGGAGAGGGGCAATACAATTGCACGGCGAACGCAAGGGGTGAGGAAGAACGGAGTCGTCATGGAGGCCGCCGGTACATTATAGAGGTGTGAGGATCACAATTGGATTGGATAATGGTATGCGTTGAGGCTGACTGTTCTCTTTGCGCATTCAAGTTGTGTAAAGAACGCGCTGCTGAGGGGAAAGTCGCGTTGGATTAAGCCCCTACGCTCACGTGACAAAGTGCCACTTTTTTTTAGTATTACTTCGTATTTTATCTATATCTATATCTTCTATATCTATCTATATATATTATCACTAACTGCCGACGTGGTCCTGAAAATAGGACTAATTAAATATAGTACACTTTATCCTTTTTTCTTATATCTCTCTTTCTTCTTTTACTCTATAGTTCTTCTATAAGAGGCGAGCTCTAGAGGTAAAGCACGGGCTGTGCCTGTGCTTACTAAGCCTTGACCGGGGGGCGCTCACTTTCCTTCGAATCTAGATAAAGATTCTTTTCTCTCTTTTATTAAACTTATTAAATACTCTATTTAACAACCAGACGGCAAACTAGCTGCTGTTTTCGGCAGGTTTAGTCGCTGTTTTCCGCAGCTGACTTGCTAAAATCTCGCGCTGCCCTAGCGCTCACGTACCTTATAGCTAAGGCGGCACGGCAGTAGAGACCCCTGCTATAGGAACACTAAAAAAAGCAAGTAGGTTAAGTTATTATTCGGAAAAGCCACTTTCTCTTATCTTATCCTTATTTAATATTTTCTAAGAAGAGGGGAGCAGAAAACAGCTGCCTACTATCCCCTAGGTGACTTAAGATAGCGGTTATTCTATCTATATCTTTATTTATCCTCCCTCCCTCCCTCCTCCATCTTCTTTCTTCTAAACCTCTTATACTTAACTATTATAGTCCCTTGCTCTACCTCTCTCCTACCCCTCCGCTGGCTGCTATTGCTTAGGTAGCAGGCTCCTTCTTTATATCCTCTGCCTTACTTCTTTACTTTTAATTGCCCTTGCTGTTATCCTCTTCGGTTAATTTAGTTAATATGCGTTATTGCTAATAACTAATACTAAGCTCTGCCTCCTCTAATAGCAATGGATTAGATATTAAGAGCTGCTTTAATATAAGAGATAAGTAAGAGGGGACTAACGCTAAGACTAAGCCGACTAATGTTAATACTAATATAAATAGAGATAATAAGGCAGACATGCTTGATCTAGAGTGGCTTGCTAGAGAGGAGAATGCCTAGCCGCTAGAGTACTACCTCGACTAAAAGAATAACTCTAATAAATCCAAGGATAAAGATAAGAACTATAGTAATAGCAGCCTCCTCCTCCTAGATATAATTAAGAGAAATTTCTATTAGTAGATATCTTATTCTCTTCTTGCGTGCTATCTTCTACTATTAAACCGCTAATCTAATACTCTTTATAGGTATTATAAGTATATATAAAAGCATCCTACCTAAGTGATATAGGCTATCTCTTGCTATACCCTTAAGGCCTTCTTTAAATAGATATTAAATTAATATTAGGGGAAGGGTAGAAGGAGGCTTGCAGGCATCCAGTCAGCTAGCATGCTTAGGATATACTAGAAAGTCTTCTAGCTTATATATAAACAAGTAACTAGAGAGAAGATTAAAGGGAAGATAAACTATTATATATATCAGGTAAGTAGTATTTCCTGTCTGCCCGCTTAATCTAGACTGAATTACTATAGATAAGAGCTAATAAAATATTTATTACAGGTCCTTAAAAAGCTGGCAAAGAAGTACCGCCTATTAATAAAGAAGCGTAATAATATTACTATATATATTAAGGATCTCGCAGGCGTCCTATAGACTAACTTAACTATAATAAAGTAAAGATATATATATAGCCGGCAGCGGATCTAAACTAGCCTCTTTTGCTAGCTAGCTATATTCTCCGCAAACTAACCTTTAGCGCTCTTAAAGCTCCGCTATAGTAATATTGCAGTGAACCTGCTACGGGACTCTAGTAGCAGGCCCTATTAGATCCTAATTAAGTTTACGTGCGAGTTTATAAAGAAGTATCTCAGTATAAAAGAGGCGTAAGTTTAACCTTAAGCCTTATCTCATCCCTCTACCATCTTCTTTCCCCGCTTATTCTAGCTAAGACATGCGACTTACATAGAAGCTAGGAATATGTTTATACTCCCTAAGATTATCTTTAATCTATCCCTAATACTTAGTCTACACGTCGCCCTCCTAGGTCTTATCTTTACTAATAATACATTCTTAGCTCCAAGTCTTATATTAGCTAAGAGGATTAGCAAGCTGGATATCCCGCCTAGCTATAAGCAGCTGCTCTTATATCTTAAGCCGGAGATAGCTAATATCCCTGTCTTCTGCAAGTCTATTAGGACGCCTTATAGCTAGGAGATCTCGCCTAACTAGCTACTACTATATATAACTCTCTTAAAGTGGATAAAGCGGCTTAGCATACTTACTAGGTTCCTGCAGATCACGCATCTATACTGCCTCTAATATGATATAGGCAATGCTTTTAACTAGAGCAGTGCATATTATATAGTCCCCTTCTTGCAACCCCGCCCCTATCTGCTATGCGATATGCTAACCGTAGACTAATAGGTGATATAAGCAATGCGCTCTAGAATATAATAATATAATATGCTAAGATTAATACCTTTATTAAGTACTACCTCCGCCGGATAGTTACTGCTAATACGCGAGCTATTATCTCTAGCTATAAACCTTAGCGCGACCTGATACGAGCGGCCTATTAGATAACTCGCTAGATTAATCCTAACTAGCTGTAAGAACTTACGCTTAAGGAATCCCTATCTGTTAATTAGGATCCTATTATCTGCTGCCTTATTATAGAGCGGGAGAAGTGAAAGCGCCGCTTTGTCACAATCACACTTAGACAGGCCAGAACCAGACGTGCGAATATAACTTAGAATATAAAGTAGAGAGCTAAGTATAGTGGAGGTTGCTAGAGTTTGATGTGGAAGCTGCTTAGTCAGCTTAGTCAGCCCTATCACATGACCAGTCACGTGGGACCGTGACACGCTTCTAGGGCATAGCGATATAGCAGCTAGGGTACCGGATTATTAGCTAGGCAATCTTTAATACTAGGCAGCGGCTAAGAGCTGCGCTTCTTAAGTACGTTTAAGAGCGCTAGGATCTGGAACACCTAGTTAATAAGATTAAGCAGCAGCTTTCTAGGCTTAAGCTTAGCTAGGATGTAAAGACTACCTTAGACTAGAATAATAAGATGCCCCCGCTCTAGAAGCGCTTAGCTGAGATGGTGATAATGCTTCTAGGCACAACTATTAAAGAAGAGTTCCGCTGCTGTAATACAGCTATTAATGCAGTCGCTGCTTACTGCCACTTCTAGGAGGGGGGAGCTGCTGCCGTACTATATAAAAGGTTATTAATGCAATAGATAAGTCTAATACTATTAAAGGAGATCAGCCCCTAGCTAGCAGCTGCTCAGGCCAAGAAGCAAGCGTTAAGTAATGCTATATTATTAGTGTTTACCAAGAAGAGGACTACTACCTGTTTCCTCTACTTAGAGGAGTAGAGCTTGCTATTTAAAAAGCGTACTTATAAGTTTACTAGTCCGGGAGACTTAATAAAGCACTTTAAGTAGAAGCATCTAGCCTATATTAAAGAAGGGGATCGGCTCTAGTGTAAGGTCTATTAAATAGAGCTGTAGCACAAGTAGCATCTCTAGAATTACATAGAGAGTATCCATGGAACCGTTTCCTAGTACTTAAATAATACACCTAAGAGCGTATAATTATAGAGCTTATATTTGCCCCGTCTTTTCTCTCCTTCTCTGCCTTTTCTAGGTTAATATGCTACTCTTATAGCGTGCTTCCTAAGTAAACTTATAGCTAGTTATGCAATTACAGGGTTGCTTGCTTATTCCAAGCAACTTTATTTAGGGCAAGACTAAATTAGGCGGGGCCCTAGTAACTACGTAAGAATGGAAGGCTGTTCTAGAGCGGAGCTAGTTTATAGGCTACTGATATAACTTAGCCTCGTAGACTTTCTTTTGCTTATAGTAAGCTTAAGGCCTATCTAGATTGATTTAAGGCTATAAAGGACGTCGTATGCTAGTGCCTGCCGGGCTTTAACGTTATTACTCTATACTCTTAATTTAGCGTGATAGTTGCTATATATTAGACTAGCGAAATCGCTACAAGCAAGACATGTCATAATAGGAGAGATTAATTGAGATGGGATGGTATAGCTATCATTTCTTATACTAGCTCTATATTTAGAATCCACTGCAATTTTAACGTCTTCCCAGCTTACTCCTAGGACCCTATAAGCCCCTAGGACCTACAAGGGTCCTAGGACACTTGCTTCTAGGACTATAGGAGGTCCTGGGAGCGGTAGTCCCAGGACACGCTGCGATCCCGGGACTCTTACCGGTCCTAGGAGCCCGTAATATTATATGCATAGCTAAGGCTTATTAATCGTGCTTTAAGTTTATATGGTGGATTTATTCTATTATTATATAGGCAGATTCCCGCCACGGTTCCTTTATGCCAACTATTTGTTTGCATCAACTACTTCTTTCTAGTATTAACGTTCATCACTGCGTACCGGAAAACACTGCGTGCCGGAAAAAATTATTGGTACTTTGACTTTAAGAATTTAAAATTTTAAGTATATCTTAATATCTTTTGAAATAATTTAAAAACTACCTTCTTTAGCCACTTCCGGACATCTTCGACCCTTGCACTAGGAAAATTATAGTCTTGTCGTCGCCGTCGCACCTGATTTGTAAAAGGGTTATTCTTATTGTAAAATTAGATTCCTCCGTTACAGCTCTACCACCAAGCTCTTATTCTCTCAGAGATATATAAAAGGCTTGTATCCGAGCTCTATGGACTTCCCACCACACGGAAAATCGTCCTCAGCCATAGCTGTGGTGGCGTGCTGATTCATGTAAGATCGCCACACAGATCAAGACTTTGTATAATGCAACTAACCATATGTGGGCTAACGAAACGACCCCGCAGATCCGACAATATTTTATGCCGTAATCTTAGCTATAAAGCCTAAGGCAAACAGTGGCAGGATAAGTGTGGCGCAACCAGCGCCACACTTAGTAATAATCTTGACTGATGCCTGGCTTAGTTGGTCCAGGCGCGAAAGTCGCAAACAAGATGTGAACAGAAACAAGTCTCTATATTCAAAATCACGTCCAAGTCAACATCGACCCTATCTTCTCGACGAAATCTCACTTGCTAGAGATCTTTTGGACTCACTGCTAGCGGCGGCCAGGCCGGCTCGGACCATGCCTACTGGCATCAAGTTAGATCACCAGAGACCCATCATGTACGAGTCGGCAGTAAAGAAAGACGCCAATATCATTAGCCAAGCAGCATACCTTGAGGCAGCGACGGAGCTCTATGATTCACTCTGGGATCAGAGGCAAACCATTCAAGCACTTGTCAGTTACCACTTGAGGCTCCCCAATCGAGACATCTGTATGGTCGATGCAAAGGCTCGATGGATTTGTGAAACTTCAATGTATGCATACCTATCGAGATACGATCGACGTGGTGCCACAAGAAGCTCATGTTTCGTTGTCCTATACCACACAAGCTTGCTGAAATTAATTATCCTGGAACAGTGGATGAGAAGTTGAGCTCTGTAGTCAATTTCTGAGAAGCTATAAGAGGACTGAGCTTCACCAGATGTTTTATTTCCTCGATAGATAAGTTACGTATAATGGAAGGCGAATTGAGTGTCGCTATATTTACACATAACCTTTTCAAGCGAGCTCCACTTCTGACACTTAGTGGCTGTGCATCCTTATCTGGATGTACCGTAAGGTACCGATTATCATCATAGAGCAGAGCTAATTACTCTTTCCACTTCGCCCCGAGGCCTTATCTGCAAAACAGTCCCTTTTACAGGCTTACATTTTACCTCCATGAAATTTCCACCATCAAGCTCATACCATCTCTTCGCGTCATTGTAGCACGGCTGATCAAAATGGTGACGGATAGGACATCAGCTTTCTGATCATAAATAGATACTCGAAAGACTATCAGCAACCTTGTCATTGCTTTTGGTCAATTTAATGCCATCCGAGTTGTATAATGTCCATCATTATATTAAGAGCCCCCCCGTAACGAGATGAACCATAAAACTCACTCCACATCAGCTTAAATGGCAGGAGCAGCTGCCATGGTGTAGGCACACAAGCACTTCTCTCTATCGACCAATTTCTGCTTCCAATTACTGCCTGAAAACCTCGTAGATTTAGAAGTACCCAGAAAGATACAGCAAAGTTGCTACATCAATTTCCAATCTTCTTTCGCTTGCTGCTCTAAGCAATTCAGGCTCTCGGTATGGAGAGAAGGGGAGATGACGGTCTGGCTGAAGCACTAAACCTTTTCCAGTGACATGTGCCAAGCTGGAATCTGCTGACAAGATTGCAAGCTGTCTATCCCCACCACTGATTTTATGTACATGGTCCCCCAAACCCACATTTCGTATAACAGTTCCTGTCATGCCGGTCGAAGTGAGGAAAAGCATGAGGTCCAATTCTCGCCATCTCAATACGCGGCTTTTTAATTCATTTTGCCGCTCGCGCTCGAGATGAGGTGAGAACCACAGACGTCTTTGCTGGAAGCACAGGTAGCTCCAGAAGTCCTTTTCTGTAATCGCTTCCGAAGTCTTAGCTCCCAGTGGTTCATTACCCACGCTCAAGTGTCTCCCATTACTCTCTCGCGGTCTGTAAATAGAGTATCCTAGACAGCGCCTCTGGCTCACAGTATCCCATGATAACTGTCCTGGCCTTTGCATCCATCACACGACTAAGCTTCGTATCCATAGCTCTACTTGACTCCGCTGCCTTCCCTTCCACTGTTCCATCGCCTGTACCTTTTACAGACGTTTCAGCTTCCTGACCCGGTGGCTCAATAGTATCCCACGTGTCCTTTGCCTTAATCACAGCCCTAGTTATAGCAGCCCATGTCCTATAGTTTAAGCTATTTAACTTGGTAATTCTAACCTTCTTGATAGTTGAATCATCCTCTATTTCAGCGAGATTTGGACCTTCCTGGTCCCGTTCTGATAGTAGCGGCCTGCGTCGCGGTTCTTGTGGCAGTGGTCAAGCGCCGGGCTCATAACCTGTTGGAAGTCACGTCTTTCAGCTCAATGATACAATGTAACAGAAAATCGTACGCAGGACTCAATTAGGGCAAATCAAGTATATTGTTAACTGTATAGAACAAGCTACGGAGGGCTTCCAGCCACATATAAGGACTACAAGTGAGACGTGCATGAAACAAGTACTGGGCGGCCTCAGGCCGCCAGGCACACTTCAACAATAATATCTCATTGTTATGATCACGTGATGCATGAGTGGATAAAGAGTTCCAAATCAAACAACCTTACATGCTTATACTGTGTAGTTCTACATACTGCACTGTACAGAGCAGGTTTTTCCAGAGCCTTCGCCCAATTCTTCCCAGGAGGTTTGAGCGGTCTGTCCGCCTTGGATCGCTGGCGGGTAACACTGAAAGCTATTGAAAGGATAAACTTGATTCGTATTGGTTGTTCAAGCTCGGACATTTGTAACACGAACTTAACGACAACATCCTTTTTCCACAGTGTGACGTACTGTCAGCTTTTGGCGTTCTCTTCTATTAAGCGTCGTCTGCGAGCACAATAATAGAGGGTAGACCAAGGGACATTACCATGATCTGTAAGAGCACGGTATAAGTGAGGCACGCCAGGAGGCCCACCTTACGCCAATACTTGACTGGCTCTGTCCATGTTAGCTTACTGTCGTAATGGTGTTGTGAACGAGACGACTGATTGGCAGCGGTTTGGCAATGGCGTACCCACAATTCTCAGGCTAAGTCACGTGTATGGCGTAACAGCATGTTTCTGGAACACTACTCTCACCCCCTAAATAAACCTATTACGGTGGAGATGTGTGGGTAGCTTCCCAGGGGGTCCAGCGAGTGATATATGAGGTTCTGCGCCCTGTGAAGTCCTCCAGAACCTTCTACAGCCACACCTGCCAGGATAAAAGACCACCTTTTGGCCTGTGCAATGAGGCAAAACAGGGGTTCTGACCACTCACAGTAATACTTTCCAACGAGACCCGCTGAATTTGGTTTATTTAGGGGGGGGAGAGTATAGTGCGCCTCGTCTCATTCCACATCATCATCGGACGCCAATAATAGGGTCGTCCTAACAGAGCATTCATCTAATCTATCTAATCTAATTAGGCGATAGTGGAGTGTACTACTATATAAAGTGGAAATAGAGAATAGATTACTGGTGTTGCCTCCTTATCGCCGTCGCCGTCACCAAAGGGAACCCGCTCCTGTTGCAAAATTGCTAACGAGTTCGAAGATGACCTTAAGTTTGTAAAGGTTCGAAGGACTGCCGAGAGAAGCCTGATATTAGTACATAAAACAACTATGACTTGGCAAAGACTGAGACCCAGTTTATATAGTGACAAAGAGTTCGTTCGAGGTCTAACTGGAAGCGTCATCCAGTTTCTTTAACGAATCTGAATGCACAGACCCTTTATTTCGAGGGTCAGATGATGACCATTATTGTGACGGTTCGGGCCATCATGGTCATGTGTTTCTCACGTGCTGGCTGAACGTCACCTGTATATTAGTCTCTTCTTCCACTTCTCTTCTCTCTTCACCTTTAGATTCTAAGAGAGTATCGAGTCTTGTGCCGTTGTACACTACCACGCTCACAATTATTGCTGAATCGAGGCTCACTTACGTTGTTATTAGACCAGTAAGCGTACTTTGAAGCACGCCAAATGACAACACTGGAGCATTGCATCTACACGCAGAGAGCAACAGATGGCCATTTCGATCGTTGCGGGCACCTAGGGAATGGCTCTGCGGCTTAAAAAATCTTGGTCCGAATGATCCTCCTCATGATGTCGCTATTCCCCTTCCTTTAGCCTAATACCACTTCCATCTCCTTTGAAGAAACTACCAATAGTATCTGTCTAGTGACCGCCGGCCCTGGTCGCCAGAATCGTGCTGTGTCTCCCTACCAGCCTCAACTATGTATACACTTTTGGAGGAGCAGGATTCCACACATTTTACCAAGACTTTCCACGCAACAGGCCAGCGAAACATAGCCCATCCTGCGTGCAACAACTTTTATGCACACTCTTGATTGCAATCAAAACGCCGCTGCTTTTCGATTTGCCGTTCCAGTGCTACACTGTTAAACAGTTCGTGAAGCCGACCCAATTCATATCTTCTTCACTCTATACTAGTAGGACCATTTGATACAGTATGTTTTACCAGTCAATTCCTGAGTTATGTTCGATTTGCGTCTTGAAAGTACCTGCACTAATCGCGGTTCGGTATCTCCAAATAGAGGTTTTGGCGCCTCCCCCGGTGTTATTAACCTCCTGGTAAAGACTGCGGCGATGCGACTAATGGCCTGCAACCTGCTACAATGCATTATCTCGATTCAGCTCCACTCGCCAATTTATCTCAACTCTTGCTGTTGGCACCATCAGTCAGGGCGCTGTTGTGAACCATGACCCATAACAGAACCCGTTACAGGCAGCCAAGGTACACCGTAGCGGTTACGGTAGCGCTCGGTGCAGCTAAGATTTAGCTGTGGTCGATGACATACATATCACGCCATCGTTAGTTGAGTGAAAGTCAGTTAGAGGAAAACTACTCAGATCTTTTGCTGCTATTTTCTGTGACGGACGGTGATGGTTCCGCCGCCGTTGCTGGCAATAGCACACTCATCAAACCGTGCACTAGGCTTGCTAAAGATGTAAATAATAGATTCCACTATGTAAAGGTTTGAGCAATACTCACATGTAGCATTTGCGTACAGCGTATCTTGATATTTTGAATAAATCTTTGTAGGTCATGAAGGACCTAATCGGGGCTTGCTTTTAGTTGATGTATTTCAGACCCCCCCTCCCCCTTCCCTCTCCCTCTCTCCTGTTTAATTCTCGGGGGAGACCCCTAAAACCCCCCTTCTTCTATCTCTTAATTCTTAGGGGAGACCCCTAAGACCCCCCTTCCACCTTACCTAGCTCTAAGAATCGGACTTAGAGTCTTAACCCTAAGTCACATGATTTTAATTCGATTTCGACTAATTAGGATTGTAGTTCGTTTGGACAACCGGTCCCCTATAGGGATTTATAAGGTGACTGAGCAGGTCTGATTGTAGTAAAGCTTGCTGCGCAAGCAATAAAAGGTCAAGTTATCCTTGCTGGTTTCAATTAGCTGCGAAGGTTACCGCTTAAGCCCCTCGACTGAAAGTATCACTAACTTCAATATTTCCATTGCGAAGAACCGACTTGCTCTATATATGTGCTGTTGTAGACGATGATGGAAGCCAAAGTCATTGATCATGTACCTAGGGTGGTGATGCCAGCGCCTACCTCAGAAACGGAGAGGTAGTACCGCCACTTTTGGTACAAGACGCGAATATGTTAAGTGGCTACTACAATTGCTCGATCTAACCTTTCAAAACTAAAGATTCTGTTACACCAATCTGACGGACCGATCGAGGCCTCCATGGAAGTCTTAGAAGCGGATGAGCTCCCAGGAAATTGTTTCAATAGAGATTGAAACTTGCGGAAGCGGTACTTGTGTAATTCAAGATCAGATAGGAATGAATAGCGCTGAACCCATTGTCAGAATTTCAGTGAGGGATCTAATTTCTATTGAAGTACATCATAAGAGCAATGAAGGCGGTCAACACGGTCGCGTCAGCCCAGAACCGTGTCCTTGAGTAAATCAAGAAGTTCTGCTTTCATCCAAAACGCGAACCCCAGTGGGTTTGGAGAAGTAGGCTTGTCAGTACGCACATGAGACGCTTTTTCTGTCCGGGAATTACGAGGCATGAACTGCTTCATAAGATTCTCTTTCTCGGGTCGATTGAAGTAACGGAATACATGAAAAGAAGCTGTAAACTCAGAATAGTCGGTCATCTCTGTGACGTGATGAGATACGCTGGAAGCCCCGATCTGGGATCGAGGCTTTATTGGATGCCATTCGCCGGCGAAGACACTAATTGGAACTTGATTGGCATTGCGGGCGCTCGATTCTACTTGTTGTTTGATAGGGGCTGTAGATGGGCGTTGGATCCAAGCACGCATTTTAGCTAACTAAAGAATCTATATCAACCATGTCGGCTCTCCCAGAGCGTCCAGAAAAGCGAGTCAGGCTTGCTCTTCAGCTCACGAGGATCGCCTACCTCCACAATCCGTCCCTTATCCATAACAACGACGAGATCCAGATCCGCGATAGTCTCCAGCCTATGCGCCACTACCAAAACCGTTTTCTCCTTGAAAACCTCCCGTAGCACCTTTTGCGCCTGCTCATCTGAATAGTGGTCGACACTACTAGTGGCTTCGTCAAGGAGCACAACGGGGCTCTTGCTCAGCAGGGCTCGAGCTAGGCAGAAGAGCTGTTTCTGCCCGTGAGATAGTCCAAGACTCTCGAAGTCTACGTCCAGACCACCGCGGCTGCTGATGGTCTCCCACATGCCCGCACTAGATAAGGCATCGATCAGGATCTCGTCGGCGGCAACCGTCTCTAGAGGGTCGAGGTTTGTACGGACAGTGCCGGGTAGCGTCACGGAATCCTGGGGGAGAGCTGTGAGGTGGGTTCGAGGTACTACGCTCGGCACCGACGCCAAATCGAGCCCGTCGATTGTAATTGAACCTGACTGGGTTTCCAATAGTTTCAGAAGGCTTAGTAGCAGCGAGCTCTTACCGCTGTATTGTATGATATGTAAGCCGCTGTTCAGAGTGGCGGCGTGAAGGCACGCGTTGGAGAAAATACATACCTTCCTGTACGCCCGCAGATTCCCACCTTCTGGCCTGGTTGAATCCGAAGCGATACATCACGTAGTACTGTCTCATCTTCGAGACTGAAACCTTGTCAGCATCTAGATATACTTCAAGGAAATGGGGCTTTGTCTTTCACAACTTACTGGTAGGTAGCAGTAAGTCCATCAACCTGAATGAAGCCAGTTGAGGGCCACGATACAGGCGCCTCTAGAATTTGTACTCCAGAGTCTTCTCGGGGCGTGTCTCGTATGAAGTTGCGCAATCGAGCGATAGCGCCAAGAGACGTCTCCATATTCGTCCAAGACATTATTACCCTGGAAAGGCTGTTGTTGAAGCCAATGAGAGTGACCATGGAAAGGCCGATGGCGCCGCGGGATGTTGTGCTCGTAAACCCAACAGCAAAGCTCACTAGAACGATGGCGATGCCTGTAACAAACAGGTCCATGACGACGTTCAACCATCGTTGGACGCAGAACAGGAGATAGAAAGGTTTTTGGGACTGGTCGAGGAACCGAAGATTCCCCTCCTGGAAGTCTTGCTGCCAGCCAAAGGCTCGAATTGTCGCCACACCGTGGAGCGTCTCGGTGAAATGCGTATATAACGGCGACTTGGACTCGAGATCGAGATGTCGGAGCTGACGCGATGTACGAAGATAGTATTTCTGTAGGAAGTATAGCGCTACGATGCAGAAAGGAATCACGGCAGCAACGTACTGTGCGCCCGACGCAATTACGGCCGCATTGGCAAGAAGGGTGAGCGAATCTATAGTCGTGGCGAAGAAGGCCATTGGCAATGCCTGGTCGATGAGTGTCATGTCTTGGCTGAAGCGATTGAGGATGGTACCACTGTCAGTTGTAGTGAAGTACCACAGCGGCGCTCCGACAGCTGCGTCCAGCAGAAGCCAGTGAAGATACTTGGCCGATTTTGGGATGATCAAGAAGGTGACGAACCAACCTACCATACCAGTCAAAATAATGGTGGCTGTTGCGAAGACAATATAGCCGCTGAAATATGCACCACGATCTTGGTCGATGCCATGCTCAGTCCAAATGCGTACCCTTTGAGACTTGTGTGATTAATTTATTGTATCATCTGAATTATAACTGTGTTCGAAACTGATCTTGGAGGGGGAAAGAAGCTTGCCCCGTAATTGAGAGGAATAGAACATACCAAACAATTGACATCTGTTTTACGCCGACACAGCAAATGGCGATAAGTAAGAATCCGAGTGATAGAGGTATCCCGGTCGACTTCAGATAGAATTTGTATAATGACCGATCCCCGGTCTGTCGTGTAAAGTCGCTCTCATCCTCCCCCGCAGCCTTAGCAGCGGCCGGATCAGCGGTTGTTTCAGTGTCGGCGTTTTGTATATCTTCGATTTCATGACTGGAGCGCGTTTTTAACGCGAGGCTTCTCACATAGCCATCCTGAGCCTGCAGCTCGGCAAAACTGCCACTCTGCGCAATGCGGCCGGATGTTTCAAGCACGATGATATTGTCTGCAAAGGGGAGTTGGTGGACTAAGGAAGTTGTTAATAGACAGCTAAAGTATTACAGCATTCGGCGCATATGGCCCACGTACTTGCGTTGGTCGCTAGCAGCACTGTTGCGCCCTGCTTTCGCAGAATTCCGACGACGCAGTTGAAGACTGTTCGGGAGGTAACGCTATCAAGGGCACTGAACACGTCGTCGAGCAAGACAATATCTCTTCGTGCGTATAGTGCTCGAGCGATTGCCTGTACACAAGAAGTGATATTGGGTCAGCACATTAAGATATCAGGCTACTGGCCCCACGCCGTACGTACCACTCTTTGTTTCTGTCCTCCACTAAGACTGATGCCCCCACTCCCAACCAGGCTCTTATCGCCCAGAGGAAATTGAGAAATATCGTCGTTGAGGGCACAGGCATGGCACACGGAGGCGTACCACTTCTCATCAAATTGCCCCGGACCAATGATGTTGTCACGAATGGAGATGTTCCGGAGCCAAGCAGTTTGGTCACAGTAAGCTATCGATGCGCCGACGTCCTCAACCCTAACTGTCCCGCCAGAGAGGCGGATCTCACCCAAGATACCTCTAAGAAGGGAAGATTTACCGCAGCCTACAGGGCCAGCGAGCATTGTGCAGCTGGACTTTGGAAGAGAAACGCTGATGCCCTGAAGCACAGGCTCTGTCTGGCTCTTTAGCGTGAAATTGGCATGTTCCAGGACAAGTCGAGTGGCGTGTGGCTTTCGAATCAAGGGAAGCTCGATATCTGAGTGTTCTTGCCTTTGTGCTAAGACAAGATGATCGCTCTCGCTCGTAGACGGGGATGGGGTTTCACCAGTGGTACTTGTATCGATCCTTTTATCCTCATGGCTTTCCAAGACCAAGAAGGCCTGGATACGATCAAAACAAGCAACAGATGCCTTGAAGTTTGGGATCGACCCCATCAGGTTGGCCATGGGTGACACGACAAGCGCCACGATAGACAAACTGGTGAACGCCTCGGAAGCACCGAATGCATCGGTCCCGGATTTTGTCCAAAATACAGCTGCTGTTATCACAACTACTGGAGTCGCTTGGTCCGAGAAGTTTGCTAGATTAAATCAGTCTTGGGCTTTTGTGCAATGTATGATACAGCATACCTATCAATACTATCTTTACGATAAACGCTCTAAATATTTTCGACACCTCGAGCTCGCTGGCCCGAAGGTCTTGAATCGATTTAGCAATATAGTCAGTGAGACCCATCATCTTCAGGCCCTTGATCTGCGTCAGCATCGAAGATGTGCTGGAAACCCTTTTCTGTATAGCTTGGTTCCATATCGCTCGAGCGGGACCAATGCCATCGGTGACATAGTTTGTGGCAATAACGGACACTAAGGCCACACACATACGCTTAGTTAACATCTTTGAGATAAAACGTCAAGGTTTACTTACCAACAGTTGGAATAACGACGAGGAAGCATGCAGGTCCTATTTGTCTTTCCAGGAGGTAGACAGCAACAAACAGCTCTACAACACTTGCCCAGATCTCGTGCATCAGTTGAATACCAGTAGCAATACCGTCCACGTCAGTGCTCATCAAAGTGACTGCGGCGCCTTCTTTGGCAGAGTTCGTATCAAGACCGATGGTCTTCTTGAAGATCAATGGCACAAGGCTTCCCCGAAGTATTGTGATCAGCTGAAATATGAAATGGTTGTAGATGACTCGTGATAGCTTGTTGGCGGAGGATGTTAGTTTGATGGGATCTCTTCGTTTGGGGACGAGCCAACTCACTGCAAGCCCCAGATAGACCAGACACGTAGCACCAATCAGTCCACCGGCATTACCAACAGCGTTCCGCTGATCAGCACCCCTATCACTCTCCCCAACAAAGCTCACAACTCGATTGATCAGAAAAGGCTGGGCGAAGCCGAAGCCAGCGAGACAAAGACGAGGGACGACTGGAGCAAGGAAGGGGACCTTGAAGGCAGAAAAAGCCGACTTGATGAGAACATGTTTCCCGCTTCTGTCGCTTGCCTGCCAGACGGCATCGAGCTTGGCTAAAAGTCTAGATGAGTCAAACTTGTTGCCAATACTGCCCAAGTCTCTGACCTGGAGCAGACTTTTGAAGCCGTTCAAAAACAGCCGATTCAGCCACCAGAAGACCGACCGATTGATAGGGCCACTGGTTGCCTCCAAGGCGAGGTTTTTGGTCTTGTCGGTCACCAAGGGGCGCTTTTGTAGCTCTTCAAGGCATACAAGCACAAGCTTTGTTGCCAGTGAGGCGGTAAATAAGGCCTGTATTGGGCCACTGTCTGGGGATCTTAGGAACAGTGTCCTGGTCTGCGCGAGTTCAAGCAAGATGGAGAGGGCGAGATAGCTGACCAAGAGGGTCGACGGCTTGATAGACCGGCGATGCTCTGTGTATGATAGTACGACAATGGCGAATGATCCGATGAGATCCAAGACAGAGCCAGCGAGTGACACCGGCGTCCTAACGGTTCCTGGCAGCGCCCAGAGCACAACAAGGGCGATTTGGACCCAAATCAACGTTGTAGCCGCCGCCTTTGTGTGGAAGAAAGAGAATTAGCGTTTTCTACAAGTAAGTGGCAAAACTGAATGTCCTCGTCCGTCCCCAACGACCGACTTACAAGCTTAGCCCACAGGAGCCATCCAGCGCGCACACAGGTCTTCACCTGCCACAGTGATGTTGCTCGGGCTATAGAAACCAAAATAAACAAGCCAGAAGGGAGGATGCCGAGAATACTCTGCTCGAAGAGGAGCGTGAAGTCGAACACATCGTGCCGCTCTGGACCGAACGCCATGTCGGCAGTGTCGCGCCTATAGGATATATTCAGACCACGATGCAATTCCATGGTGTTCTTTTCAGTAGATCAATGGCAAGAAAGCTTCAGATTACTAGTTTGTTATCGGCAGTATGATTCGCTATTGAAAGTCAAGTCAGACGAGGTTGGTGATTCATAGACCCGATCTTCGATAAGCGCATTGACGTTGCCGATGCACAAGTGACATCTCTTTGGATGCATGAGTGACATCCCTTTGCTCTCTTCTCTGTCCACGTTCTCCTTCCCCGCTTCTCCGGTATTCGTTTCGCACGATACTCGACAGGGGCTTCCATGATGCAATTGTTGTACAAATTGACATCTTAACTGACGTGATTAAAGAATGCAAAACCCTGATCACAAAGCGAAAGCATAATAGACACGTTGTCGTGATGTTAGAAACCAACAAATGGCGTGCTCCACCAGTACAACATAACTCTATCGCTGATAGGTTTGATTACTGTATAGATAACGCTTTTAAGCATGCATGCAGAACATATTAGGGCAGCACACCGTTGTTCGGCCCATCCCTCCCATCTCGCTAAAAGTCGGGATAATAACGTACCGGTACTTGCCGCAGGACTAGGCGTGCGGGGCGAGTAGGATCTATCTTACACAATTATCGGTCTACTAGGGAAAAGCCCATTGAGTACTAGTCAAGTTATATAGCAACAAGCTGAGGTTTATTGTTTGCTTCTAAGGTACACTTAGAAAATTGTGAGCTCTACACGATGAGTAACTACAGTGAACACAAACAAAAGCGTCACGATCGGTCGTCACGATCACCGTCACCATCATCATCGGAATTGGAAGGTTTTCTACCTCATAAAGGTTCCAGACATTTGCCAACTCGGAAACATGGAGAACTTCGGTTACTATACTCCAGAGCCATTTCCTTCGCCTTGATCTTTCTTCTGGTTGGAACAAACGTTGCATGGTATCGATTCTACCTTTCCAAGGCATCTCAACCCGAGGAACCTTACTGTAGATGGTCTCTTCAGATGCAAACTGGGAGATCGACTAACAGCAGCACAGATGGAAGTCCGGCTCAGAAAATGATTGCCTTCGACAATGCCTGGAAAGGTCTTGATGTAGACGAAGTGAATGGGCATCATTACGCAGACGACAAGTGGCAGCATATCTTCCCAGGTGAGCTTGAGAGATCAATAGCAATTCTTTTGATATAACGTTGCTAATACATAACGTGGTGCAGCACACGGAGGTGGAGTTGCGCTGTCCCGTCCCTTCGCCGAAAAGCACGATCTCGCCCCGGGCGATGTTGTAAACGGTGATCCATCAAGGATGCATTACATACTGGCTGGTTACCATCAGCTCCATTGCCTAGTCTGTACCAGCACCATATAGGAGAAAATCCATGCTAACAAGTACTAAGGGAATCGTACGCGAGACTATTTATCAACTGAACGGCACTTCTAGCAACACCGACCCCATCTGGTGGGATCATGTCCTCCATTGTATGGAGCTCGTTCGGCAGGCATTGTTTTGTTTCATGGATGACACACTCCTTCCTGTGGCGGTGGAGCAAGGTATCCCAAATGACCCCAAGCATGTTTGTAGGAACACCGACGCGATCAGGAAGTGGGTCGATGCAAATGGGTATGCGGTGCCGCCGGCCCCTGACGGACCTCAAGCTCATAAAAATGGCACAAAGACATAGTACAGAAACCATAGCTATATACCAGATATCGAAGACGCGAGCACGCTTATTCTCTACTTGATCTCGGCTTTCTGGCTCTTCTCTAATGCCGTGGGCTGCATAGAATTCAGCCCTTTTATCTTCTTCTCGTTCCATACATTTTTAAAACAAGTTGTCTACGACCCATTTACTTTCTACCTAACCTTAAAGGTCTATACGCCATGTCCAGATATGATTTCCTACTTTCCGCTCGCACAAGGCGTAGAGTGCAGGTTCTTTCAAAGGCCCCGGTCCACAGGATTCGGCTACTATACAGAGGATCTTGACAAACTCATCTTTCTCAGACCTTCCGCCAACCTCCATCGCATGAGCGCAGGTCTTATACGCGTCAACATAATAATAACGGTCAAAGCTATATGAGTACTTAAAAACTATTCATACGCGTGGCGTCGAACGAACGGCAATGAAAACACGCCCGAAATAGCTATGCTAACAGCGGCCTAGAGCATATTTTTAATATAGGAACCTTTAACTAAACTTAATTGTAACTTATAGTGAGACCTGCTATGCTTAATACCGATGCAAAAGGACGCGTGCTAGGCCAAATCCGACTTAAAGCAGCTGTCAAGTAAACGGCACATTCGATTATAGCAATGATACTAAGCCATCTATAAATAAAACTTATAAACTATTGTAATACGTGGACGCACTCGGAGAATATGTTGGGCCTGCTACACACTGAGAGCAAAATCAGATTAATCGAAACTCCTTCACCGGATTGCCTTATCAGCACAGTTCGGCCCTTGGAAATAGTGAGAACTGCGGAACTAATTACTAGTATGGAGTGAAAACCAAGTAGATAAAGTGGTGTAGCAATGCAAATACTTCTAAAGTATCGATGGATTGGATGATCAGAGGTATATTTGCGAGCGGAGAACTTCAGATCACGGGAACTGATATAAGGAAGGGAGATGTTCCGTAGGTGGTATTGTAAAAAGGCTAAAATCATGATCCCAAGCTAGTGACATAAGAGAGTGTGCTGTAACATCAGCCGTGAAATCAATGATTTCAACAGGTACTTTGACATATCATATTCCAATGTTCCCCGTCCTGTTATACTACCTTCCATGATGATGCGAACGTCCAGCTTCAAGGTCAAGCTTATTTCCCTCTTCTTCCATATCAGCAACGACAACTCCATTCATCACAGTTCTCTCCTTTCCCTTAGTGCCAGCCCTAGCTTTCGGAGTCCTTGCTTCAGACCATTCGACGAGATCGTCCATTACCCTAGGGCAATAGCGGCTGGTCGCAAAGTCGGGACCCCATGAATTAATGCCGTCATGCCATTTGTAGCGCACGGGGTTCGTGTCCCCGTGGCACGTAATTGCTTGTCGCAGGTAGTCGACGCAGTGATTTATATGTAGCTCCCAGTTGCGAGGCGAGCCCTTGCGGGGATAATAGTCGGGGTATATAAGCCTACGGAGAGAGTCCAAGCAGTGCATCTGATGCATAACATCGAGTCCGGTGACCCAATACCCATCTTGCAGAAGTGTTTTGCCCCGGACGTTATCGGCTTCTTCGCCATCAAGCAGCACGACCCAAACTGTGATTCAAATCGTGTTAGTACTGTGTGTATACATTCATTTTGGTGTGGGTGCGAGGGAGATTAAAAAGAGAGAGGGAGAAATCAAGGAATCGCTCACATTCTTCTAAATCTTCCCAGGCCTCGTCCATAGTCGGGGACGGTTTTCCAGACCAGCGTCTTTGACCTGGCACGTACTCCGCAATCAGAGAACCACTCGAGTTATAGGTAAGACCGCCCGTGAACTCCATTGAGATGCGTTTATTACCGACACCTTTGCCATCGTCAGCTGCATTCTGCGAAATCTAAAGTGCTAAATAAGGGGTTGTAGATACCAAGTGC